ATGGCAAAACCCAGTAACTGTTCTCTTGATGCTTATGTTGGCAATATGTCACGTTTCGAGGGTTAGCCCTTCGTTAGAGCGGTTGATGGCGCGATTGAATCGTCACCACAGTGAAATAAATTGGTTCTACGGCGACTCTTTCAAATCTCTGTGGCTTTATACCGTATAATTTATCCTCATTAACTAAGGTTATTGAGCATCGTTCAATTTGAGAAGTTGATGATCATAAAACTAAATTCAGACCTCTATTTATGGTGTAGACCGTCCCACGCTGATATCATTGGAATTCCGTAGTGCTCCATTACGTGGTTTTCCATTAGCTATGATCTGCACTAGCAATTAACTTGACTTTGTTTTTAGGAGGGTTTAACGATCGATTAAGAGATCATGGTAGATTCGACTTGAATTTCCGTTTTCTACCCGTACACAAGCGTTTCATGGTCGAGACACCATTTGTAGAAGTCCTAAATTTAATAACTGTCCTAAATGTAATAAAGTCCTAAATGTAATAACATTTGGTCCTAAATGTAATAAAGCCCTAAATGTAATAACGTTCGGTCCTAAATGTAATAAGGCTCCTATGCAATCGTTTAACTGCGCTAACGTTGAGATGTGAAAGTGACAGCTGTTGCATCAAAGAATCCTCTGACCAGTATTCATGGCATATTGCGGGCTCACTGATATTTATCAGCGTCTTTTTATTTGCTAAAGACGTAGATTGAAAAGCCCTGGCTACAAAACCTTATATTGATACTGATGTGCTTTTGGCAGCAAATTGACGGACGCAAAAGCAATGAGAGCGCTGACCAATAGCTCTCTTTATATCATTGGCTCAGACTCTTAAGTGTAACAGATTTTGACGATATACTTCTGTCATCAGTGCTGAAGTTAACATTTCATGAACCGAATTACAAGGAAAAGGAAGTCCACCGACTTATACGTTAGACAAATTCCGGGCTCGGAAGTGCATTTTTTGTACTGTCTTCCCTTGCCAGAATTGTATGGGTCTGCATAAAATATATTCATATGCGTTATTGCCCAAGCGTGAGGTCAAAATAGCTGGATGTTGGCCGAGTTCTTTTTTTTTGCGTTTTTCTTGGACGGAGACGAAGTCTCCGTCTATAAAAAAGAAGAAAAAGAACGAGACTAATACCCAGAAATCTTGACCATACAAGCTTGGTCAATAGAGTTTATATTCTCCCGGCTTAATCATTAAAGGATTCATTGTATAGCAAAATATTTCGCTTTGATAAGAATCAAGAATGGCCTGTTTATTTCGAGAGCCGATAGTGAAAGCCAACTGTCCTTGCAGCACAATAAACCCAAGAAGGTCGTTTATTTTTTTCTATGTTTATGCCAACATTGTCCAAAAGTTACGAACTTTGTAAGTTTTCTTGCGTGGGATCAATACGGGGAATCCCGAGCGGGCGAGGGTGGGCCCATCATGCCCGCTCAGGTAGCCAATCAGAACACAGGATTCACTTCATCTTGCCCGCGTGCGCTGCTAGCTTTATGATAAAGTGACTTACAGAGCAAGATGTCTACTGACCAATCATATGTTATCCCATTTCACGATCAAAGGTCTCGACATGTTGCCTTTTTTCCAAGCAAGAGTGAAATTGAACCATTGAGCTACAATATTCAACACAAGATGGTCAGTTGATGGTCTAATGAACCATTCATTTTTTTTACCCTTTAGCCCTTTATGACAGGTTCATCAGTTCCCGAACCGAATTATTGGGAAAACATATATTTGATCTCAAGTTTATATTCCATTTTTTTGTCGTCATCCCTTCTCCCCGCGTTGAGGGGAGAAAATGAATAGATAAATAGATGATGAAGAAGAAAGCTCAACAGTTTCCATTTAGTCATATGGTACATGAACTGATTACTGAGGTGGAGTAAAGCCATAGAGGGCTAGGAATGCAATATCCCAGGTTCAAAATTGAATAAATCAGGATAGTCAGTCTTAAAAATGAACCCAAATGCTTCATTAAAATCAATTGACACTAAATAACATTGATGTGCAAAATTTCAGTAACACAACTGATAATAATAATTTTCTTTTGGATTAACATGTGACACAGCGAAATCATTCAAACTGCTCTAAAATGTTGCATCACTACTAAAGACTTTAACTGTAAAGTCACTGTCACTAACTGTCACTCTTTAACTGTTTTATTGTAGTCAATTTCTTGTCAAAAAAAGTCTTAATGATTACGTACCAATCGATTCTATCTTATTGAGCTTCCAGCCAAGCACTAGCCCACTTTGGGTTGGAAATGATTTTCTTTAACTCGATCAATAGACCACTTTAAGGACCATACTTCGATTGCTGATATTTCTTATGTCTAGCAAGTAGAAAGACGCTGATTTATATCAGCGAGCCCGTAATGTGACATGTATACTGGTCAGCGGTTTTTTGGTGCAACGGCTTTCACTTTTACATCTCATTGTGGATGTCCGCCATAACAACAATGCACTGAAGGAGTTAAACGATTGCATTGGAGGCTTATTACATTTAGTACTAAAACTACAATCATCCAGGTGAGAGTAGTCCTGAAAAAGTTTGTTGTCGAAACTAGAGACTGGCCTGAGCAGAAGTCATCAGAGTCGACTGAACAATTTTTTGTAACTCGAACGTTGCAAATTTGGTTTGTAAAAGTGATTGGTCAGTTTTGCATTGAAGTGGCTGTCAGACTCAAATTGGGATTTTCGTCCGTTGATTCGTCAGTTTTGATCAGTCGCTAAGGTTAGTTCATTCTATTTGGTCCCTTGTTAACCGCGCCTGGTTTTTTTTTTTTTTTTTTTTTCGTAAGTCGTTTGTTACTTGTCAAGTTTGGTTCCCTCTGTTGTAAGAAGTCTTCACTTAGATAGCAAACCAGTTTTCTAAAATTCAGTCTTTGATGATGGTGTAAGTCGATGGTGTTCAGCAACTTGATTTTTGACGTAAACAAGATACGAAAACTCATCAAAAGATTTCAATTTCGAATTCCATTTGGTCTTTGTACGGCCGAAGTTTTTTTTTGGAGTGCCACTTTATATCACCTTTGTGCGATATCAACTAGGATATAAATGTGATACTAACTGTTAAACAAACCCCCAAAAATGAGCGATCAGAGCTTCCGAATTTAATAATTTAAGTAACAGCATTCCGTAGCCAGGATTCTATCAGTTTCCAATTGTTTCTGTCTTTAATTCGATGCAACCAGACTATCTGAGATAAATTACACCAAATTATGACTGGTAGCTCAAATACTTGAAATCAAATGATCGTCCAGGGTCTGTATAACAATCCGTAACATAACAAACTATTCCAAACATGGTGGCTAATTAAGAACTATCCACTTACCATGTAATCAGTTTTATCCTTTCCAAGACAATTGGTAAAAAAACGAACACCTCGTATAGTAATTAGACTTCAAAAGGGCCACCATTTTTGCCAGTATTACTAAATAATCCGGAAGTTCTTATCTTTGCAGTATCCACTAAAAAGTTAGTGATTCCAATGTCTTCTCTTGACCAAAATCTTTGTTTCTCCATCCTTCCGACATGAAAGGGTCTGGGTACGAGACTAGTTTGACACTTCTAAGGGGTTAGTCATTATTTATCGCCGTGGGGGGTGGAGGATTTTAATGATTACATGGTTTTTAGGGAGAACGTTTGGGAATTATCCGTCGCTAACAGAGTTTAATAAAAGGCGGGACCATAGTAAATTGATTGCCAATTAACTGCCAACGAGGCGTGGTGGGGGGGGGAAGGAGGGTGAGATCCTCACAGGTAAGCCGATTTAAAATCAATTGTTGCCGATAGTTAAATGAAAACTTCTCTGTTTCTTCTTTTTCGCTTGTTTCTCTGTTGACAGTCACGGTATCTGCTGAGACTTCAGTCAGTGCCTCCCAAATACCAATTAGGCATTATTATCAGCTGAACCACGAGTGAGTTCGAGGTTAGGGGCTTTCATGCTATTTTTCCTATTAATATAATCCGTGTATAGAATATATGCAATTGATTTCAACGCTTTTAGTTTTGTAACAGCGGGAGTGGTTGACGTCACAGTAGTGAAAATGTTCGCCGCGAGGTATTTAGAAGATGGATCTGGTAAAGGAAACACATAGGAGAGTGCATGAAGACAGCAGAGGGGAGCTGATGACCGCTTGGAGAAGGTCAGCGTACAGGGGAAGAAATCAAGTCAGGTGAAGGAAGAGGGGTGCGGCGAGGGTGGCGACACAAAATATAGTGATGATGACCTTATACGCCCACTGGTGCGGTGAGATCAAATCGCAATAATGGTGATGATGACAACAGAAATCTTGGTTTATCTTTGGATTGTTGTTAAATTCAGTCAACTTAACAACTCAGGGGGATGTAACTTCAAGAGTTGAAGCCTTAAAATAATTAACGTAAGCCACAATGACTGGTATTTGTGCGCGCTTCGCTATCCCAAATAGCCTTTTTCACTACTGGTTCGCCGACTTCTAACCCTCAACAGCACTTTGTATATTCTTCATGCTGTTCTCTACATATTTCCTAAGGTGCTGACGAGGAGAATTTGTTTAACAATAAAGAGGTTTTTCAGTTGATGATATTGCAGGGAGAAATTAGATACTAGTCATTCTTAGGGGTTAAAGGGTTAACAAATAGAAGGAAAGTACTCTCTTGATTTTCATCGGGTAGCCAAGGAAACAGATCTAACCTGAATCCTTAAAAAATCCTCTCAAGCTTATAATTTTCACACCAGGATTTCAAGCTAAAAGTTGAACTATTTTGAATCCTGCCTCTCTCTCTCTCTCTCGGTCGCTTGCCCAAGCTACTGATCTGCGAGGGAAGGCCTCTTCGATAAAATGGACCACAGTGGTTAAGTTCATTCTCTCTCATGTTGGCAGCTTTTACAGAGAACAAGGTTTTCTTGACAAGTGCATGACAAAGTTGCTAGCGTCAATTCATGGGACTCAATTCATTGATTTCAGGACTGATCTAAACAACAAACAAATTCGCACGTCATAGAAAATTACCTTTGTTTATTCAATTCCTACAAAATTTTTAAAGCTTTACTTAACATTCACAAAAACATAGAATCCACTGTATCGAGAGAGTCTGGAAGCTGTACTCTCTGTAACAAATGGTTTCACATTAAAATAGTTCATGGCAAACGTGCAAATTGACAATATTAATCTCTACTTAAATAGTTTCTTGAAGATTCACATACAAACTCTACACTTTTTCAAGAAATATTATTGTCCCAAAAAGGTTTAACTTAGTTTGCTCTCACATTCTTAAAGAGCTATATTACGGGCGAAACGACCAGAGCGTTGTAATGCACTCAGTGAAAAGCTTTAATTGCCTTCGAGAAAATGGAAGTGTATTATAAAAAGCGCCCAGTACAAAAATGACGGTTTTTCTTATCTTAGTAAAATTACGAAAAATTAAGTTTACGAAATAGAACGACTGCGTGTTTGTGGTCGTTGTTAGCTTTTCATATAAACGAAGTTAAATGAAACAATATCATACCACATAATTAAATTTGACTCTCTTTAAGAGCATTAAATTAAATACTTTCCTAGCTTGATGAAGACAAAAAAAATTAATTTAAGACTACCTATTAATTCGCTCTGCCTATTCAAATTCGCTTCGTTTCAATCCAAAAACAAAAATGATTTGAAAAACAGTTTTTTCCTTTACTTCTTCGGACCTTTCTTTTCTTCTCCGTTCTTTAACTTTGTTGTTCCAGGGCTTCTCGTTGTACTTTTAGTCATCCCAGAACTTTTCGTCGTTCCTTCTTTGGCTTTGTGAAGACTCTCCCTGCTACCTCGCACATTTTCCCGACTTCCGGTTCTTGCCATTCCAGTCGACTTAGTAGCTGATTTAGACGCGGCCGAACCTGGACGATCCGGAGACCCGCGAGACGAGGTGCTGCTTGGGCTTGAGGGGATTCCCGAAGATACCCGAGGTGAAGTGCCCTCCGAAGAGTCCTCGAGCGATCCCGTACTACCAAGTGACGTCTGACTGTCAGATTTCCTAACCCTTGATACGCCACTAGGTCTCTTCGTGGAGGGGGACTTTTCAGCCGTCCCCTTTAAATTTGTTCCGCTTCTCTGTTTGGTGGGACCACTTGGTGGCCGAAGTTCTCCCGACTTTTCACGACGAGGCCGAAGTTCACCGGATTTCTCTCGACGGAGGCCGTAACCACTACTCGGAACGTCGAGCCTAGGTTTTCGACCGAGACCAGTGGGCGGTTTTTCCGTGACCACTGTCGATTTCTGTTCCGAGTGTCGTTTGCTTGTGAAGGCTCCCATGGTCTGTGTGACGCCTTCAGGTCTTGACAACTGTTCTCTAAGTTCTACATTTGTTCGTCCAGTAGCTAAAGGAAAAATATGACACAATGAGATCAACATGCAACATCTCCTTAATTGTTCAAAAACAGATTGTCCTGCCAGTACCATAGAAATTGTAGAGAAGAGTATGAAGAATACGGAAACTGATGTTAGGGTGTAAAGGAGTTAAAAAGTCTTTGGTCGGCAACAACTTGTTTAGTTGTGGTAGGTTATAGTTTCTTTGCCTCTAAGTGCTTTTATTTACCTTTGCTGGGTTCGTTCTTTAGAAGGAATTCTTCCAGTGTTTCCCAGCCTCCTCCGACTCGTACCATGACAGTGCTGCGAAGGATACGAACCAAACGCATCTTCTGGGAGTCACCGAACTGTAAGAGATGACAAAACAGACGGTTAAATATAAAGTAAGCAGTGGTGATTGGTGATCAGTTTTCGGTGTGCGGAAAGATCCGTGAGAAAGCATACAGAAAACTACTCACACCGCGGTCACAGGATAAGTATAAACACAACCCTGAGGAAAATTCTCCTTAACAAGTTGCTATGTTGCATCGTTTTACAAAGTTATAATTAAAGAATTTTACATATTTACTTCGTAATATCATGAAAATCTACAAAATTGCATCGTACACCACTTCGCTGATGTACTTTCTGATGCGAAACGAGCAAACAACCAATCAGATTGCGCATAATAGTATCAAGCAAACTGTCCAATGCTGAGAGAGTAGTTTGGTGCGATGTGACGAAATAACCGAGGAAATAAATCGGCAAAGCGGTGAAGGAATTGTGAGCTTGGAAAGCTAAATATTAATTATTTAAGGGGGCTCTTACCCTGTACTTGTTCTCGGCCACTTTGACAAATGTCACGCCGCACTTACGACACAGGCGTTCAATTTCAGACTGAATCTGTTGTTCTTCAGTCTTTGGCTTCTCTGGCTTCTTAGTCTGATGAAAGGAATAAGTGTCAGACCAATAATTATAATTATAATTACACACTCCTGGTGAATACTGGCCCCTTACTGCAACAACGTTTCCTAGTTTCAGTGGCACGAAGCGGAGAGCTAGTTTAATTTAAGGGAACCACCTAAAATCCGCTAGTTTTCACTGATAGTTTTCTGGTACCCTTCTATATTCCCCTGTGGAGGAAGAAAGTCTAGAGGTTAAGTGTCTTCTTCCGGAACACAACACAATAAACCGGCCGAAGGCTTGGGGCCAGAACTTTCTATCTAGAAAGCACGCCCGCTGACCACAAAGCCCGCGCCTCCTAACAAGATGTGCCACAACTCCCCTTTTAAATGTCATGAGTTGAACTAGTAGGAAATGGTGCTTACTGGTTTTTTATCCTTAAGCGAGTTTACGAATTCTTTGTAGTCGATCAGTCCATCACGTTCAAATTTACTGGCGACTATTTCCATCTCCCATCTCTCTGTTGGGAAACCTAGAAAACAAAGACAGAAAGGGTGTTACTCCAAACATGTCACGTTTATATTAAACAGTATGTCACGCTTAGCTTAATAAGTATGTCAACAAGTTAAGGTGGAACAATATGTCACGCTTACTTGTGCTGAGCACTCCTGAGATAAACTGCTCTCTGGTAAGCTTGCCATCTCGGTCTTGATCCATGCGGCGGAAGATGTCAAGAACGCGTGACTTGCTGTCACGCAGCCATTTGTTAAACTGTGAACAAAAAAAAATTCATCAGATCAATAAAACGACAAGAAGTAACTGGAATAATACGTGTGCATATCTTGAAAAAGAAGATCTATCTTTACAGTAAATTGTTCATAATCTGTTTGATAAACTTACCCTACTCTTCCACTCGTTGAAGTCAAACTTCGCCGAGGCTCGTCTCTGCAAAAGGAAATAAATTGAATATTTGTTATAAAAAAAGAAAAAATAATCAATTTACTATTGAAAATTGTCCACCCACTTATTCAGAAAGATTGATAAAATGTCACAACAGCTAGATAAAAAGAAAAAAAAAGCGGGAAAAAAGCAGCGATTCATTGTGAACTTTGAGGAAAGGCATCGCTAAATAAGCTTTTTTTCGCGAGGAAACAAACTAAATCAAAACAGCGTGAATCACGCCTTTTTATTTTCCTGAGTGATGCGCGACTGAAACACAGTAACTTTACTTACGATGGCAATTCGTTCCAACTTCTCTTGAAGACGTCGCAGCCTCTCCATCGAAAGAAGCCACAAATGCTGCCATCGTTTGGACAAGTGCAGCAAAGCTGGATGATTCTTATCAAGTGTGGTGGAACCAGACCGAGTGAACGAAGAACCCGGGCTGGTGACCAGCGTCAACTTCTCGCGTGACCGTTCGCGAGTGAAGGACGGAGAAGGACTGGAGGTGAGTTTAGGTATTCTGCTTCCACGCCGACCTTGCTTGTCCGGAGTGGTCTGAGCTTGGACTGGGGCAGCAGAAACAGCGGTAGGCGCTACAGAACCACGTCGTTTTACCGACTTGGTGAGTCTGTCGTATGTTGGCCGTTTCTTGGCCATTTCTTCTTGAAAACCTTTGTGGTCTTCCAACAGCGTCATGACTTGCTCGTAATCATCGTCAGGGATAGGCTCATTTTCCTTTTCGATCAGGATTTCTTCTTTCTCTCCAATCCACTGCAGCAGTTCCTCCATCATGCTTTGCTCCTCTGTCAGCTTAGATTGTTCTTCCTCCAGGCGAGTCAATCTTTGAACTGACCATTTGCGAACCTGGAAAAGCGCCAGCCAACTGTTTGTTATTCATCCAATTACAGTCAAATTACACCAGCAGGTTTTCTTTAACAAATATTCTTTAGAAAAAATTTCCCTTAGCAGTGAAGGTTAAACAATATGACGAAATTTCCCTTGGCAAGTCACCTTGCTGAGAACCTGACTCGCCAGTTTTTGGAAAAGGAGGATTGTGAAGGAAAAACTTTTCAAGGAAAAAATTTTCTGGTGTAGATGACTTAACTTGAAAAGGACACTTGTCACGAAGATTTCAGGAAAATTCTGCTCCACCTTAATTCTTTGCCACTTTAGACAAGGAAAAAGTTTTAAAGGAGGAAGCTCTAATGTGTCCACACTCACAGACAATATTACTGACGAACGTTTCATAGCGAATAGCTTTGTTTTACAGCTCGTATTCAAATGTACAGATTCACTAAGTCACCTCATCCCATCGTTTCTTTAATCTTGCAATCCATTGCTGGATGATTGGCAGTGCGCTTGGATGACAGAATCGTGCAATCACTTGGCCCTTCTTAATGGCTGATTGAACGTTCACTTCCTCTGCCATTAGATCTTCGTGGAAAACCTACCATGGACACGAATCCAATGAATTGTTAATGTGGCAAACTTAACGGACCTACACTAAATCTTTGTACAATTAAAGGCAAACTTCGCGATCGCACAAGGAGCTAAGGCAAATGTTAGAAAACCTTTGAAATTCGGAGATCGTCATGACTCGTAAAAAGAAGAGCCACTTCTCATAAATTGAAAGTTAGCCAACGGTGTCCTATTACTTCACACGTACCTTGTGTTCATTCAGTTGATCAGCAATAGTTTCTAAGTCGTCGGCAATTGGACCCAGTCCCCTAAGCGTATCTTCGAAGTCTTTCAGTATGCGCAACTCTGTCTTGACGGCAGTGTCGAACTCCTTCGCCAAAACGAGTGCATTGTCGAGTCTACCAGATGAGTTAAATGGAGAAATTTAGTTATCTGTGAGTGGGTAGTGTGAACAGTAGGCAATTTTGCCAGAAAGGTAAAATGTCAAAACATGCTTCCGTTTTAGTCAACTTAAAAAGCGTTACCTATCTTGTTTAGTGTTAGATAAGGCGCTGATGGCTTCCCAACGCATGCGCAAGTCATCGAGCCTCTCTTCCAGTTTGTGCGGGTCCTCCACTTTGTTCTCATTGATCATTGTTCTACCTGTATTCATTACCGAGTCGTAATTTGCTTGGCGGCGTCCGAGCTCGCGTTGGAAGGTCTGCAAGATTGGAACAAGTACACTGTTAGAATGTGAATATAAGAGATCCTCGCAGCTAAGAAAACTACTGAACTGGTAAAAAAAATTTTCAGGCTCGTACGGGATTTGAACCCATGACCTCTGCGATACCGGTGCAGCGTTTTTGTCTCGGTCAGTAGCATGCGTTCTTTGTGTACAAATCTGTCATGCTAAAATCCGCGAGTGAATGTCCTATGCTTAGTAAATTTTCTTAAACGATTCTGATTCGGTTCAAGTATGCTCGAAATCCATGTTGCATCCCTAACCTTGTGATTGTCAATTAAGATCTGTACAGTTTCAGGGTCACCCATGACAGCAGTTTCAGTGGAAAGACTAGGCTCCACTGCACTGAGCCAGTCAAGCAGCGACTGCAGGGCATCCTGGAACATACCAGTGAAGAGGAGAGCCTCCTCTAGTTTTTGTTGTCTGAAAAAGGAGTGAAGCAAACACAAGTCATCATATAAAAAGAAACCGTAGAGCTAATTGTTTTACTATTAAGCGTTAGACCTCCATGATACTAAGTGTTACATGCAACTAACCTTTCCACTGATAGCGCGCAGATGGCGTCCCATCGTGCCTTGAGGTCAGCTATCTTTCCTTCGATAATAATGGCGTCATCTCCAGGACTCTTCTCCATCAACACTTTACCCGTCTTAATGATTCCATCCATTGATGTTTGGTTGGCACCGAGCATGGATTGGAACTCCTGAGAGATAAGTAACAACATTGTCAAAAAGCTGCTTCATTCTCTATCATCTGCGACCCGTGCAAGTTGTCGCTTTATCGATTTATATTCTTGTTCCCTTTCAGCTTTTACCACCTTCACCCTTAAATCCCTAGAAGTGATAAGCGTCCAACCTCTGCCGACACTTCTCACCCCTGAATCTCACCTTAAGCTCATGTGAATAAAGGAGATGATCGCGAACTAAAGAAAGTATTGATTGTTGTACACATTCTCCTTGTAAGGACCATAGGAAATGATTAGAGAACAGTATGGAGAATATGCATACTGATGTCAGGGTGTACAAGGTTAACAAATAACTATTTCGACGTTTTATTCTGTTGAACGAAACTCTCTACGACGTGAAAAATGACCCAAAATAAGGTAATGCTGCTCTTTTAGCACAAAGGAGACAAAAAAGTGAAAAAAAAAGACATTCACAAACCTTGTGTTTTTTAAGTTGGGACCTCAGGTGAGCGGGGTCCACCCCAATAGGTTCCTCATCTTTAAGGCTCCGCTCAGCTTCGTCCAGCATGTTCAATAGTTCTTCAGCACCTTTGAAGAACTTGTGCGACAGCTTGTAATTTTCATCGAGATCTTTCTTTCTACCCGAAGACAGACCTGTCAGCTCTTTCCAGCGAGCATCCAGGTCACGGATCGTATCGTCGATGTAAGTCACGTCCTCCTGGAGACACACATCTGTGATCTTGAATGCTAGTACCTTGAGTTGTTTGAACGGGTCACGGTGTGCGTCAATGTCCTCTTTGAGATCCTATAAGGGAAGAAGGACCATTTAACTCTTTGACCCTCGACCTAAATTCTCAAACTCAATACTTAGTTTTTCCATCAGAAAGAGGTAACTTTTTAAAATTTAGGAGGACATTTATTGGGAATTTTGTTCAGACACTATTCTTGAATTTAGTAAAACACTTAAACGACCTTCGTAAAAAAAAGAGCAAATAAAAGTGAAGAAATTTTTTTCGAAGACCGTTTCTATCAACTGCAGTAAACTACTTAACAACTTTTTCTAGGCAAAGAAATAAACAAAAGCTTAAAAAAAAGGAAGAGTTTCATTTGAAGGCTGCGGCTCCATTAGGATGTCATGATACTTCAGCTAGCGCGTTTAATCATCTCTTAACCCTTAAGCTCCCACAAGTGATAAACATGTAACCTCTCTCTATAATATCCATACATTATCCAGCAAAAAGGTAATATACTAAAACTAATCAGGTAGAAGTCATACAAAATTCTTGTAATTAATTTACAAGGAAATGTGTAACAGCTAGAGGGGAGAATTTACCATCTGATCTTGGGAGTTATAGGATTACAAATATCACTCAAGTAATGTGTCACCATTCCATTTCCCTTTCATACCTTGTATTCCTGTCGTTGCTTTTCCAAAATGTCTAAAATGCAGCTGACATTATCAAAGGACACTATTTGATCATGAACCTGCGTGAGCCAAGAGTCCATATCTGTGATTTGTTTCTCTAATTCCACTGCATTCTTGAGCGCGTCATCCAACTTACGGCCTTCCTCGTCAGCCTTTGTGCTCACTTGTTCCCAGGCTTCTGTCAATTCATCCGACTGCCTTTGAAGGGAGGCTGCTGTGGTAGGATCGCTGTTCTTTATCATGGCTTGGACGGCTTCAGTGATTCGTTGGTATGTTTCCTTACGTTTTTCAAGTACGTCTAGGAAGTCCTGTAGAAGTAAAGGGATCATTGACATCGTCAATAAAAAATATTGCCTGCGTGGTTCGAGTGCAAATCGTTCCCGGTTTGTTTATCTATTGCAGAACATCTTAAAATTTTTAGTTCAGTAGCAACTGGTTTATTCTTGCGCGAGTGATGTTTTCTCTACTCCAACAAAGTAGATTATCAAGGATTTTTAAACATATTCATATTATGTTTTCAAACCCCCGCAATGAATCAAACTATCGTTCAAACCCGTAAGTAAGAATTTAAGGCATTTATTTCCCAAAACAAACCTTATGCTTGGTCAGTTGGTTACGTGCACTCTCAGGGCGCCCGCCAATTTGTCTCCTGGAGTCAAGGAAGTCACGTCCCTCATTCAGCCAAGTTCTCAGTTCCTTCATCTGGTCCATGACGTCATGAGACGCGCTTAGGGCAGCTGCGAGGTGGGCGTCTAAGCGGGCTGCTTTGTCTAACACCTCCTGCCAGCCGTCCTGTAGTTCCGTCATCTTCATCTGCAGGGAACCACTATCCAACTTGCTGTCTCCATTTTCCGTCAGCAGGGAAGAAGCCGCGCGCGTCACGGATTCCACAGATGGTTCGTGGGCCAAGATGTCATTGTAGAGAATCTGAAGACGAAAATCGCAGAAGTAAATATCTCTCTGAGTGTCCTAATAACTATAAGCAGTTAAGGTGAGAAAAGCCAGAACCGAGAGGGCTCAAAGGCGAGATAGCTTGCTTCCCATCACTGAGAACATGGGGCCGCCTCGTGCATGTGTCACAATTACTCTTTCTACTTTAAAAAACAAACAGACAACAAAAACAAACAAACAACAACATTTGACATTTGACGATTGATATTCGTCACTTGCTCTAAAGTAAAGATTCACACCTTGTGTTTGGCTTTTTCCACCTCAATAAACTTAACGTCTCCCTGAACATCCCTGGCCAGCTGCTCATCCAAAGTAGCATTGGTCTGTTTGACCCAAACCAGAAGTTCCTCTAAGGCCAGTTGGAACTGTCCTAGCTGTAACAGAGCACTTTCAATTGTCTGCTGCCTCTCACCGGAATGAAGACACAAGTCATCCCATCGAGTGTTCAAATCCTCCAGCTGTGCCGCTATTAGATCTGCGTCCTCCGGACGACACTGCTCACTAAGAATTGTACCTTTTTGGTTTACAGCTGTCACATCGCTTTGGAGTGGTGTAAGTTCCTTATGGAAGTCCTATAACAGAAGAAAGCTTTTTAGTTTTAGAGGCCACGAATACGGTAGTTTAACTTTTACAACAGAACCAAAAAATCCTCGGTATTAATTTTGCATTTGTGAAAAGGTTCTACATAAACTTGACTAGAAATTGGCAAATTTCAATTGCTCTAGGCTAAATTGTGATGATGATAGAAACATATCATTAGAAGACGTTCGTTAATTTAGCACAAAGAAGTTACCTTTTGCTCTTTAAGTTGTTCTTTGACGATATCCAACTCAGTTCCTACCGGCGGCTGCTCGGCCAGCCTTTGTTCTAGGTTAGTCAACTTAGCCAGCAAGGGGTCATGGGTATTGTGATACTGAGTAGCTGTTTCCTTGACTTCCGCCATGTCAGCTTCTCTCTTGTTCCAGGTCTTCTCGATGTCTGCCCACTGTTTGGTGACCTTGGAGAGTTCTGTTTGTACTAGCATCTTGTCGCCTGGACTACAGTGCGCTACAAGAACAGGACTGGTTTCACACAACACATTCACTGCTTCACTATGTGCGTCCAGCTCTGTTCGAAGTTCCTAAATAAAAAAGACGAAACAACCAGAGATATTTAGAGGGGATGTCGCAAGAAGTTTATTACCGGTAGGTCCAAATATGCTATGCAGGTCATGGGTAAGACTTCTAAGAAAAGAGTTCCCCATACCGTACAAAGATTACAGTCGGAGAAACCACGGAGAACACAAACTGGGACGTCACTGACTTGACATGGTTGATGGTTTGGTGTGACTGTGTTATTTGACGTCTCACGAAAAGAGACATGCTGGTGGTAAAAGTGAGATAGTTCAAAACAGTAGGAAGTAAGAGATTCCTACCTGATGATCGTGAATCTGCTCCTCCAGTACCTCTAGCTCAGCGGCCGGGGGTTCTTCGGAGTCCTGATGATCCTGCACGTCCTTGAGGATGTGCTTTATCTCATCTAAGCCCGTCCAAAATTTGTCCCCGGCATCGAGGGTCAGTTCTAGAGATTTGAGCCTGTCATCATACATGGTCTGCGTATCGGATGCAAGCGTGGAAACTTTGTTCATCTTGTCTTTCATGAGCAATGATGTTTTGGAATCTGGGTTGGCATTTACCACAGCAGTCGCTAGCGGTCTGATTTCTTCCACCATTTCCTTCTCTGGATCAAACTCACTTTGAAGTACCTGTACAATGAAAGATAGAAAAAATACACTTGGGTTGTGTATTACAACAGGCGATCAAAAACCGCTTTAATATTCCCGTTGCGCAATAAACAAACGCAACCTTTTGTGTCACATGTTTGAACATTGAGTTATGCCAAATTACCTTCAGCTCTTCAATCTGTTCACGAATTACATCTGGTCTCACACTGATCGGTTTCAAACTTCCAAACTCTTCTTTTCTCTTTTCTAACAGTGTCTGTAACTCGTCCAATCTGGTCTGCACTTCTTCTTCTTGTGCTAGGGTCATTCCGATCTTGATTCCTCGCTCCTCTGTCTGTAGCTGAAGTCGTTCGTAGCGCTCAACACAAGCTGCCACCTTTTGTTCAATTGAAGTGGATGCCTCACCTGGGCCGCTCAACTTAACAAGGTCGCTTCCAGTCTCTTCCAAATTGCCGATTAAAACTTTAAGGGCAGTGATACCCTCTTGGATTGACTGCAAAAGAAACCAAAGAACTCGTTCTTTCAATGAAGGAGTGAAATTGAAAACAGGTAAGACGCGTTTAGGTAGTGGTTGACGCGCTGGTGTTGTGCCCCCACGCAGGGCACTTAACTGTCTCGGGGGCCTCTTCTCCCTCCAGGAGCATGAATAGACACCAGTGAAATGAAATGTCGCAGGATCGCGCTTCCCCGTGCAAGCTGCACCACAGGAACTTTCCAAACTCGTGATCGTGCCTTCTTAGAGTCTAAAGGTTTTAAAGACTACGGAAATATCTCAGTAAAGCAAAAGAAAATTACCTTGATTCTCTCCTGTTGAAGTTCCGCAACCGATTCATCGTCCAGCTTACGGAAGTTTTCCTCGCAGCGATCAAGCCAAGTGACCACTTCTTTGTGAATGTCTCTGAACTGCTGAGACAGCAACAGAGCCTCTACTAAAGCTGCCTGCCTAACTGACGTGTCATTCTTTACACTCTGGTAGCGAGTCTTGATACTTTCGAGATCGTCTTTGATGGCTTGCTGTTCCTCATCCTTAAGTGCTGGTATCAGCGCCTCGCCGTTCTCGCACACAGATTTAACGGGTTTCTCATGGGCTGCAACGTCTGCGTTGAGGGCCTAGAAACAGAAAACGAGAAACTTGTATAAAAGATCGCCAACCCTTTCAACTCCAGAGGCGATGAGTACGTACAATTTCCTTACTATTTCAGTGCACTGTCCCGCAGAGAGGTAATGAGAATAAGGAAAATCACCCTCTCAACACGCTTACTCGTTAGAGAACTCCTAGTTTTACAAATAAAACCAGTGCTATTGTAAGAACTTCCGTGTTCAATTTACAAGACACATCTTATATTTTAAAACTCTACAATTAATTTCGCTGTTTCCTTTAGCATAATTTTTTTTTCCTTCATCACTCTAAGTAAGCGCGAGGGGGTATTGGAGGATCAGACTGACATAGCCTCTTCCGCACAGCCACGCAGCTTACCGCCTGTGTTCCCAACTGTTGTTTGACTTGCTCTGGCTCGACCCCCACAGGCTCCAAATTGGTCAGCTTTCCTTCAGTATCAGTGAGCCACGCCTTCAACTCGTTCACTTCAAGCTGGTAACTGTCTACACGAGCCTGAGATGAAAACAATTTCTTGGCCAGCTCGTCCACATCGGCTTGCAAAGAGCGCCACTTTTCGTCCACCTCGCTCTGTGCTTGATCTACTTTTGGTTTTTCTTCTTGGACGAGGTATTTCTTAAGGTCGTCTCCAAGTTCTTTACATGAAGAAAGATCTGGTTCCTTGGCCGACAAAGCCTTCTGGATTTCCTTTAACAAGATAAATAAGAATAATGAACCAATGTCTTCCTCTTCAGACTTTCGGCCAAATTTTGTTACTCGTGCTATGCTCACGAGGCTGGACCCCTTTTACGTTGGGAAGAAATTACAATGTAGCTCCTTCCCTGTATTTCGATACATTATTTAGCAAACAGGTGAAGGGAAGAGACTTATGAGCCAGGAGTATTACATGGAATCCACTATCTTGTCACAAGACTTGGAAAAATTTTCAATTGAGTGTCGAGAGTAATCCAAGATAGTATTGGTTTTGCTGCACTTCGCTCTGGTCCAAAAAAACTCGCGCCATTCTCACTCTTTCTTGTGATTGGCCGATCTGATCACTTTGGCTCTGGATTTACGAAATTCAATCAAAAAGCGCTCTATTAACAAGAACATGTTTGCTGTAGGGGCGAAGTTCTAATAAAATCTTGCGAGTTGAAGGGTAACCAAGGCACAAACATCTGTCTTTAGCCTCACACACAGTGACGAAGTTGTCGCCGTTTTGTAGAGAATATCACGTTACTCAACAAGCTGTGCACTTCTTTCTAAGTCAGCCCTGTAGCAGTAATGGCAGTGCAAAGTTCATTGATACTAACCTGAAGTTTCTCCTGCTGAACATTTTCACTCTCTCCCTTTGCATCTTCCAGCTTTCTTGCTGTCTCATCACACCATGCCATCAACTGATCTTTAGCGTTAAAGAAATCTTCAGAAAGTTTGGCGGCGTCCTCAGCCTCTTTCCTCTTTTCATCTGCCTGGTTACGCAGTGTCTGGTAACGCTGTGACAACTTGTCTGTTTTGTCACGGACTAGGTTCTTATCGTCATCTGTGCAGTGTGAAATGAGTTCCTCGCCTGCTTGAGTGGCCTCTTGAACGGGGGACTCCAAGACGTCGATTTGTTCGCACAAGGCCTGATAAATAAATTAAAGGGCAGTATGTCAAAACAAAAAAATGAATCTTTATTAAGCTGCTACAAGCGAAGAGATGCATAAGTGCAACCCTCAGATACCTGACGAGCTAAAGAATGTGGTAGAGATGAGAAGGGCTGCGGGGAGGGGGGGGTAGGGGGTAGGGGGTAGGGGGTAGGGGACAAAAATAGATTCAAACCCTTTCAACATCAGAAAGCAGTCGATTAGGATTTCTCACCTGTAGTGTTTTGGCCTCCTCTAGGATGGATGCAGGTTCTACCTTCTGACCAAGTTGTTGAGCCTGTAGTTCCTCTTCAGCGGCGGTTATCTTCTTGTTGGCGTCATTAAGCAGGGCGTCAAAACTGACGGCCGCCTCCATGGCTGCGTCCAGTGCGTTCTTCCTGGTGTCTGTCATATTATTAAGCTCCTCCCACTGGCGTGTTACGTTTTCGAGTCCTTCCTCGATTCGTGCCTTAGTTTCTTCGTCGGCGCTTTTCAGAACCTCTTCCCCAGTCTCCTGTAAGGACTTTACGGCGGGCGCTCGATCGGCGATCATTCGGGTAAATAGCTGTGGTAAAGAACAAAGTTTGCTTACTTTGAACAATTTCACCTCCAAGGGAATAATAAGCAATTTCTTAATACTTATCTTTATGAAGAAGGAAAAAAACATCCAGAGGGCAATATAAAAAGTTTGGCGGCGAATCAAAAATTACCTTCTGTTCTTGCATTTGAGCCTTCATGACATTCGGGTCGGCGGCTGCAATGGGGCCTTGATTCTCTATTAGTTCACGACTCTCTGCCAGCCAGTCTAGCAACGACTGCAAGGCATCCTGGAACTTTCCACAGGCCAGCAGTGCGCTTTCCAGCTTACTCTGTCTGTTTCCAAGATCTTGATTTAAAGCTACGAGTCGTTGGTTAAGATTACTTATGGCCGTATCGATATCACTTGTGTCTGCGTCTGGGTAGGCTACAGCCATCTTGGATTTCAGGTCATTAATTGCCGCGAGTTGTTCTTGAATTCCATCAATTTCTTTTTGTAAATCCTAAATTATAAAAATACAATAGCAAATATATAAAATTTGGCGAAAGAGCTCCAAACAATTACGATACTACCTCATACACTTAATAACCCAAAAGACTTCGTTGACAATCTCACTCAAACCTCCTCTTGGAAATTAACGTAAGGCAGCACTGAGGTGCCTTTCAAAGAGAGGCAACGAGGCAGCACTTTTATTTAATACAGTTCGTTTGACCAGAAAAAGATAGATTAAATGGTAAGGTATATGGAGGCATTGTTACTTTAGATCTTTTTGAAGTGAAAACAATTGCTCTTAGACGCAACTTTCATGTCGCACGGTTTGCTATGTTGTAGAGGATTCGCGTATTAATGTATGTCCGAGTTGAGGGAAATCAACCGAACAGAAACTTCACGAGGTGCTGCTGATTTTGCAAAAATGTTTAAGTATTTCCAAGGCAATCTTATGCGATCCCAGCCTATGAAAGCTTTATAACCTTTATAATGTCAAAGTTTTGCTTGTCTTTTGGTCATTATGTCATTGACATTTCCTTCTTTGAGAGTGGCAGAGGATCTGGTACCTAGAGCAAAACCCTTTAGCCCCTAGCAGTAAACAGCATCTACTTTTCCCTCAACAATTATCCAAATATATTACGAGAAAAAAAGGAAATGATCAGCAAGTGAAAGATTTCTTGATCATTTACAAAATTTCCCCCATGGATATCCTTCGAAATATGGGGAAAATAGCGTGGAGAAGACTGAAGCTCAGACCTTTATGCCCTCCAGTTGTTGGTTAATCGTGTCAACATCTGCACCAACAGGTGGTAACTGTTTCACTTTCTCCTCTGATTCAGTCATGGCTTGGTCTGCTCTCTGTAAGGCTTCTTGTAGCTCTTCCACCTCTTGAAGAGCCTTCTCGATTTCCGCTTGTTGATCGGCTGCAGCGTCCTTAACGTCATTCCACTGTTTGTCGGTGTCAGACATTTGTTTTACTACCGCAGAATCTAATCCCAGGCCAGCAGTGATCAGATCCTGAGCTTGTTTGTTAACTGTGTCAACATCCGGCTTAAGATCCTCTACTCCTGCTTTCAACAGCTGGATAACAAACATCAAGAGAATAGTTTTAAATGTGTATAGTAAGTAATCAGGAACTGCATTAGTTTAATTTTAAGTAACTCTTTGATTATTCCAGAAAACAGGTGTCACCCTCTCAACCAATCAGAAGCAAAACTTAAAGCAATCACGACAGTTCCGATCGAAATTAACATTTCCATCTAAAAATCAACACCACTGACTACAAAACCTTAAATGGTAACAATTCTTTCTCCAATTACTGAACGACTGAGGATTCCTCAGTAAATCCTCTTCACTCACAGTTTGTGATTTAAGCACTGGTCAATGTTTCAAGAGTTCATTTATTACAACGTAGTCTCTTAAAAAGCTTTCACGTTGCATTGGTTAGCAAGAAGAACATGCAGATAAGTGTCAATTTAAACGAGTGCCGTACCTTTGCCTTCTCCAACTGCTCTTTCAGTTTCTCAACATCCATCACCGCTGGTTTGTTTTCTCCCAATTTATCCCCAGTCTCCTTTACCTGTTCCACGACCTTATCCTGTTGTTCCCAGTACTCCTCTAAATCCTCTAGAATCTTCTTATTATTTTCAATCGCAGAGGCCATCTTATCTTCGAGAGCGGCATAATGCTCTTGAAGGTTGTTGTTATCTGATTCAACAGCAGTAGTGTCAGCGCTTGGGTTACCCTCCTGAATACTGTTCCCAGCTTCTAAAGCGGACTGAACGTCCGGTTTCAACTCTTCAACCTGCTTCTTCAGCGACCCAAGATCTTGAATATGTTTCTTCATCTCTTTACATCTGATACGGGAGCCCTTTCCAAGTTAAATTCACTTTCGACCACAGATATTTTCTCATCAACACTGTCAACAATGTCTCTGTACTCCTTCACCTGACCTTGCAAGGTCTCAATATCTGCAAGTTTGTCCTTAAGGTTTTTGTTCAATTCGTCCCATCGCTTGTCCAGATTTTGAATGTCGTCTTCGACAGAACTGACTTCTTCTACGCAGACTTGAGTGATTCCCTCCGCTGTGTTGTCCAGGTCACGGTGCGGATCAGAATGGTTCGCCACATCTTGCTGGAGTTCCTGTTTAAAAAAAATGCAAATTATAAACTGGCACCAAAGGCATCATTACAACATAAAAATATAACCAAAAGATAATCACTAGCATCTGCAAACTTTGACGACTTTGATCACTTAAGTGCAATTCCAATCACTAGCAAGTATTCTAGGCACAGTTAAGTCGGAATATTTTTCGTGAAATTCCAGTTCGTGTTTTGCAACACAACTTCGATTGTTCATTTTACACATTTTTCAATTAGAGCTGACACTGAGGAATAAGAAAGATTCACATCTATAATTTCTTGATGATGTGATAATGATTCGTTCATGAAGTTGAGAAATCAACCGTTTGAAAATGACACAAAACAAACAGACAAACACAGAAACAAAAACAACACCTAACGAAGAACTGGCTAATTGTACTGTGTATGAATACCTCGACATGTTGCTTGTTTGTCTCCAGAGCTTCTGAATCACAAGTCAAGTGAATAGCGTCCGCTCTTCTTTCTGCTGAATCTAGCCATGGGGCAAAGTGGCCGCGCTGCTCCTGGTACTCGGTAGTCAGTTCTACCGCTTTTTCTAAATTGTTGGTTCGGTCATCAGACGTCGTATTTAGCTCAGTCCATCGCTGTCTCATATTATCAAGTTTTTCCTGTAGGTTTTCTTGGTCAGCGGGTAGCTGACTTGTTTCCTTCAATTGTTCACCAGCTGCCATCAGGGCCGCATAAGTTGGTTCTTTTTCTCTTATCTCCTGGTGGATGGGCTGAAAAGTTTCAAACAAATTAGCTGGAAAAGCTCTATCACTTTTAGAGCAAGTACGTAACATGGGAAAACTTCACTTTATTCTCTATTTATCACAGGTTCGTAGGGAGTGGATTCGTCTTATTCAAACCATTATACAAACTCGAAACATAGGATCAACGTCAGCATCTGCGCAACTACGCACCTACCCCTCCCCTAGCCCAACAACATTCCGCTGATAACAAGTTATGGTAAACGCTGGGTTAAGGGAGGGGCAGGTGCGCAGTTGCGCAGATACTATTGCTCCAAAAAATCATTCCTAGCTTATGATGTTTTCTGTGGCAGCGTATATATTGATTGTTTTTCTGCCGAGCCTGGAATTTGCTACCGTCAATGAGTTTTTTTCTTTTTGAGCAAATTAAGGATAGACTTGCCTGAGAAAACACTAAAGGATTGTAATTACTTTTTTTAAGTCTCTTTAAGGGCTACTGTGAAGAGCTTCGGATGATACTCATACCAACCTGGAAGCTATCTTTTTGTTCTCGAACTGTCCCTGCATCAGCTGAAATAGGCCTGAGCTTGGCGAAAGTTCTCTCCGTCTTGGTAAGCCAGCGTAAGAAATCATCTGAATCAGCCTCGAACTGATCACACTGCGCAAGGGCTGCTTGAAGCTGATTTTCCCGCGCTTCGATCTTATCTAAGAGTTTTTTCAACTCGAGATCAGCTCTGGACAGACGGCTCTCAAGTTCAGCTGCAGCGATCGGATCTTCGCTGTCGGACAGCAGCTTCTCTGCTAAAGCTTGGGAGTCTTTTAGACTAGCGTGATGTTTTTCGAGATCATCCTTCATCGCCTGCAATCGAAAGTAAAGCTTTAGATTTAACCCTGCCAAAATTTTAGGAAAATTATTTTCTACATTACGAGTAAAGAACATGTCTGACTTCTCAAGGAAGTTATCAAAAGCTTAAGGGGGCTTTGGCAACCACAAGCAATCAGTCTCATTTCCCGCCTTTCGACAGCGAACTTCATGTATTAAGTTCAAAAGAAACTTAACTCAAGCGACTAAATGCTTCATGTCGTCCACCAAACACCAATAAACGCTAAATAACCATTGAATAGTTGCATTCATGGTTTGCTTATTATATTTCATGTGTGTTGCAATTGTAAAAATTAGAATCCTTGTAAATCAATGGAAGATTTTGATCCTTTTAAATTTCATGCAAAAGTTTAATTTCCCTTAACTAATTAACTTTAAGTTCAACCAAAATCCAGATTTTCTCAGGGAACTGAATCCCTTCCTTCTTGAAACCTTGAACTTTCAATAAGTAACTAATTCTTAACTTCTCCTCAAAATTTAACCAAATTATGCAGTCATCAAGAGATTAAAGAACCTATTTTGTCGGAAAGTGGTATCCTGATTGTAGCACTGAGTTCTCATACCCTTATTTACAAGGACATGTGTGGCAACTACAAGTGAGAATTACAAATCAGATCAGAGAATTAAAGCGTGATGTGCGTTAAATTAATGTTCATCCTTCAAGGAGTAATCATACCTGTAACTCCTCCAACTGTTTCTTGGCTGTGACGGCATCTGTACTGATTGGTTCCCAGGCTTCTGCCTTCTCAGCACTGTCTGCAGTCCAGGCTTCAATTTCATCCAGTTTGTCTTGTAGCTCCAGACCTTGACCTATCGCCTGCTCCAGCTGCGACTGTTTGCCCTTCAGTTGATCCATTAGAGAATCGTAGTTGGCATTAACCGCTTTGAGTTCCTCTTGGACAAGAGCGGGATCGCCGTCCAAGGCTGTAATAGCCGCAGCTGTTTCCTTGCCACTTGTCTCTGCACTGTCGAGGTTGTCTTTCATATCGTTCAGTTGACGAATTAACGCCTGTTTGGCAGGGAAAGGAAAAACGATGAAACACCAGATAGAAGAAAATTTGCAACGAACGAAACACTGAACTCAACACGATGTACAGCCGAACACAAAAGTTTACTACCTGTAAGTAAAGTAAATGTGTCAAGTGATCAAAACGGCGCTTTTAAACTCTTTCTCCTTTTTGTAAGTACTGTAACAAGCAAAATTCAAAACAGATTTGCGAAACTTCAATGGGGCGACGTCACCTGCAACCGGTGTACCATTCGAGATGAGATGTCTAAGATGATTACGCTTTACTAGCGACAAAACTCCTTTTCCTCCTCTAAAGAAAAAAACTTTTAGTCGAGTGATACACAATACTTGCCTTAGTCTTTGCAAGATCTTCCTCGTTCTTTTTCACGTCAGCACTAACTGGTCCTTGTGAGGCAAGCTCTGCGCCGACAGTTTCCAGTGTATCCTGTACAGGCTGCACCAGACCGTGATACTTGTCCAACATCTGCTTCACGTCCTGTAGATCTTTCTCTTTGGCAGCCAGAGCTGTATCCAATGCGTCATATCGATCTACACTCTCTTGAGCTTCGTTCCTTATAACGTCTCCATCGGCATCAGTCAATTCTACAACAGCTCTCGATTTCTCACTTACTGAGTCTCTCTCTGGTCTGTGTTTGTCAATATCTTCACGAAGCAACGCTACTTCATTATTGAGTTTCTCCACAACGTCTTGATTGGCTACAATAGGTTCTAAGGATGTCAATTTTCTCTCCGTATCCGCCAACCACGGCCCAAGACTGCCGGCGCTCTCGTGGTATGTCTCCGCTTCGGGGAGAGCTGCATCAACACGAGCTGAGTGTTCAGACGCAATTTGTTTGATTTCATTCCAGCGCCTCTCTGTGTCAGCGATTTTCGCCTCGAGTTCGTCTTTCTCAGCCCCAGGTTCTGCGCTTTCAAGGAGATTTTTGCCATTGCTCAAGAGCTGTTCAAAAACAGGTTCTTGTTGTTTGATCTTTTCTTGCAGTTCCTGTGATAAACAACTTACAGTTAGTATTTCATTCACTCTTTAATAGGTCACCTCTTTTTGGGAAATTATACCGTTCTTACATCCAGTAGATCACAAATTTGGAGCGCGGAGTGGTATTTTTCTCATGAATAGAATTTCGGATAAGATGGGATCTTTGTGTCACAATTTAAACACTGAAGTAGAACTTCGAGTCGCTCTGAAGTAAACGGAGCCTCACCTGTATACCTTTTCTGGTATAAAATCCTCTCAGGGAAAAATATCACAGTGGTACGGTATTACAAAGTTTTTAAGAACCGATTATCTTTGACAAATGTTGGCAAGACTTTTGTTTGAGAAAGGCTGGTCGGAAACAAAAACCACTTTATACCTCATCATCGTTCTTCTGTTCTTTGAGCCTGTCGTATATGGCGGACACAGGCTTCAGGTTGGTGGAAAGTTCTTCTAAGTCTTGCAGCTTGTCTGTAAACACACTGAAAGACACGTTGAATTCCTGTGAGCGTATCTGTGCTGCCTGTAGTCTTCCCTCAAGGTCAGCGAGTTTTGCCTTGAGGTCTTCAAATGGCGACTCGACTTTGTCAAGTTTGTCTTTAATGGCTGCTACGATAAGCGGTTCGTCTTTGTTCTGATCAGTCAACTTCTCACATAAACCCTTGGCATCTTCAAGAGTTGGTTTCTTCGCCTCCAGTTTCGCTTTCAAGTCCTGAAAAACGATAAACAGTACAAGTTAAAGAACAACTCACAAACTTAAAAGCACAACAGCCCATTAAATTTGCTGTCATCGTGCTTTAAGAAAATAGACAAAATAGTTGTATTTTGTCAAGATTAATAAGGGAAAGACCTCCCTTGAGATCATAACGTATTTATCCTATGACCCGTGCAACCCCGCTCTCACAATCCTATAGAAATAAAAGCTGAATGTGTGGAGGACTGGACGAGTCAACGTGAATCGGTCCTTAAATAAAAACTTTCCAGCCCCTCACTGGCACGGCTCTCTGAGTTTTACATTAATGTAAAATCTCATAGGAAACTATCATCATAAAATTTTCGTATGACATTGAGAATTAATAGAAACGTGATTAGAAGTACAATCTCTGTAGACAGTAACCTAGAGTGCGATGAGTCAATTGAACAGCACTGAGCCGAACTTGCTAACAGCTTATGAGAACAGACGAGCTTATCAGCTTGAAGGTGTTATGTAGATAAAACATCAAATCCTTCTGTCTTCTTTACAAGCAAATGCATTGAAGTCCTTTAGGAGAGTTAATAATTGGATCTTGGGAGGGTAAGAGTTCTTCAAAGTGTTACAGTTACCTTATCACGATTTATCAAAGTACTATGAGTTTTGATAACACTCTATCGAGTTTACTACTCACCTGTACAAGCTCCAGCTGTTTTTCTACAGCAGTAGGGTCAGTGCTGACAGGTCCAACTGCCGCGAGCTTCTCACGAGTGTCTTGTATGCACCCGTCCAGTTCTTCCACCTTAGCATTGAAGTTGTCTGTATCTCTGATCTTGCTGGTAAGAGCCTCTTCCTGAGCCTTGAGCTTCTGCTGTAATTCTCCAAACTTTTGGGATACATGTGCCACTTTACTGGTAACGACTGCGTGATCTGGTGATGAGTCATGAACTTGTTGGAGAAGAGTTTTGCCCTTGTGACCGACATTTTGTACCTCTGGGGCGTGGTCATCAAGAACTGAACTTAGTTCCTGGAGGAAGTAAAAAATTCACGAACGTAAATGTAAAAATTCCTGTGCACTTATACTAAATGAAAAAAAACTTTTCATTACGGGTAAAAGCTCCAAAATCGCTCTCAACAGCAGTTATAATTACCCGAATATTTTTTTTGCAAGAAACACACAGATAGATTCACATTAAGCATGAAGGTAAGTTCAGTTTTGGTGACAAAACGCGGTCAAAACATTTGCATATTGCGACTAGCACAATACCGTTACTCGGCCTTTTAAAACTGAACAGTTTACCTTGATCTTGGCAAGCTGTTGTGCAGCTGACTCCGTGTTCGTTCCACACACCACTGGTGCATCGACGACGTCACATGCCTCGCAGAACACGTCCTCCACTTTCTTAACTGTGACATGATAGTCATGTGACGCCGCTTCCATCGCTGACAGCTGGTCGTCTTTCTCGCCGACGGATGCTGATAACTTCTCGATGCGCGAAACGTAGTCTTCCACCTCAGCTTCAAGAACAGGGACATCTTTCTCAGCCTGTTCCTTGAGTTCTTCAGCGCTTCCTCCAACCTCTTGCACATCTGACTTAAGTTTGTCTGCCATTCCCTGAATCTGCTTCACAAGTTCTTTTTGTTTAGCAATGTTGTCTATGTCTACAGTAAGCGGTTCAAACTCATCAACCTGTTTTTCTGCATCTACTAGCAGCACAGCCAAGGAGTCTGCATCCTGACGGAATTTCTGTGCCTCTGGTTCGACTTTAACCAGTTTGTTTTGACGTTCATCGACTTTTCCTTTCAGACTCTGCCATCTCGACTTCAGTTCCTCCATCTTTTTCTCCATAACTTCCCTCTCCGGCGCATCTTCCAGCGCGTCCACCACACCTTGTCCGTTTTGAACAAGTTTTTCAAACACAGGATCTTGAAGTGCCAATTCTTTTTGTAAGGCTTCATTTTCTTGCCGCTGAACTTGAACAGTTTCGTGAAGAGCAGAAATCGGGTCTTGCTTCGCTAGTTCGTCTTCAAATGTGTCCAGTTTAGCCATGAATTCATCGAAAGACACCTATAGTGCAAGAAAATTGGAAAGAAAAATAAACTCCCCAAAAAAATAACTTGGGTAGTAAGTGACAACCCTCTCATTTCCTCTTAAATATAATCAACGCCTTCCAGATCACAAAGGCACAATTCTACCTTAACGACATGAAAGCTTAGAAGTGGACGATTCACTAATTTAACTGACGGCACACCGCTTTGCGAAATTAGGACTGCCAATCTGTAGGCTCAAATATTCCTTTCTTTTAATATGCAAGTGTTTAACTAAATACCTGGAATTCCTGAGATCGAAGCAAAGCATTCTGTAGTTTGACTTGACGTTCAGCGAGTTTTCGAAGAATCAAGTCAACAGGAGAAACGATTTTGTTCAGTTCACCCCGAACATCGCGAACCACTTGGGGATCGTCGTTGCTGTCTGCAATAATTTCCTTCCCTGTGTCTTCCAGTGCGTCCAGAAGAGCTTTGTTTTTCGCTATGTCGTCCCTTAAGGCCTGCGAAAGAGAAGGTGATGGATTAGTGGGTAGCTAGGTTAACCCGACAAGGGATTAGTCAGATCTCCTCACTACAAAACTGACGAGAACAAAAATTAACATCTAGATGGAAAAAAAATCTCTCTGAGCTACCTAAAATGCATTAGGAATGTACAACGTATCTTTCAGACGGATCACACAACATTACAAGCAAAACAACACCGACCTCCGCCTGTTGAAGCTGTTGCTTCACAACTTCCGGGTCGCTACTAATTGGTTCCTGAGCTCCAACGGCTTCCTCCACCCTGGGTAACCACTCCTCCAGGTTGCGCAAAGCATCCTGAAACTTCAAGGCCTTCTCGGTTTCTTTCTCGAGTTGTTCTTTTTCATTGCTTAAACTCTCCAGTAGGTCCTTGTATCTCCGACTAACTGCTTCCACTTCATGGTTAACACGTAGGACTTCGGAAGATTTGGGATCCATAGCTGATGTCAATTTGTCTCCCGCCTCCTTCAAATCGTTGACGCCAGGTTCGTGCGCTCGAAGGGCCGATAAAAGATCCTCTACAGCCTTAAGTTGGTCTTTACCTTTGTCCACATCTATACCAGTGGATTCGCGCGACGCGATCGACTTTTCTGTGCGTTCCAAGAGTTCTTCGACGGGTGTTAAAGCCTGGTTGTACTGGATTAACGCTACCTTCAATTTTGTCAAATTGTCTTCTATTCTGGGCACCTCAGAAGACAGATTTTCATAGCGTTTTCGGACATCTTGTTCCTCTCCCTCAATCACGAACTTATCCGCACTACAACTGTTAGATAAAGATGAAGAAGTATCTTCCATGGTCTCGACAATTGGTTGATGTTCAGCAATCTCCTTGTTCAAATCAGTTAGCGCCTGCAGTTGTTTGTCGATTGATCTCTCATCACAGGCATCTGGATCAATGGCTTGAAGTCGTTTTTCAGCATCGCTCAGCCATGGTTTTAAGTCCTGAATCTCACCGTGAAACTCCTTTGAAAGAGGCAGCACTTGATCAAGCTGTTGTTGCCGGTCAGAAGTTTGTCTTTTGACTGAATCCCATCGCTGTGTCAGATCATTCAATTTATCCTCCAAAGCGTCCCGGTCTGGTCCAGGCTCAGATGTTTCCAGAATGTTTTTTCCAGCCCGCACAAGCTGCTCAAACAGCGGCTCTTGTTGTTGAATGGTGTCATTGACGGTCTACGAAATCACGTCAAAATGAGCAACATATTATTCAATCGAACTTTTGACTCTCAGCAGTGACTAACACGCAACCACTTCGGCTTAAAATATCGTTACGCTATTTAAAGAATAGACCACAATTTCTATCTGTTTATTGGTGTAATAATCCACTTGGGAAGTTGGACGAACATGAGAAATGTTTTACTTGACCAGTCAGGAGGCTCGTAATATCTCAGTCGTTTTAAAAAGAGCAATAAGGTAATGGGGATATACAAACCTACTTGGTAGGTGCGATTACAGCTCCTCTTAATAGGAGCATCTACATCAGCACACTTTCCCCAAAAATTTTACCTTAGCGTAGAAGGAAAAAAAATAAAAACAAAAACTGGCTAGCCGATTTTCTGACTTGCAAGCCCATCGAACGAGGAGACTTGTAAAGGATCAACTGTGAAGGACGAAATATGCTGATGTACTGCTGAAATAGACTTGAGAAGGATTCTCTACCAGAGAAATTGAGGGGGAAAATTGTGCTTCACAAAGATTTTCCAGACATGAGAAGTTTTTTCTTTTCTAATGCCTACAGCCGACAATTTTTCGTTTTAAATCTTGCTAATGGGTTTAAGCATGGAGTATCAGGAAGAAGGCTCTGAATATTGAGGAAAAGTGACACAGCTCCTTAGCTCACCTTTTGTTGTTGGTTCTGTTCTTTAACCGTGCTGTACACTCCCGACACGGGGGCCTGGAGAGCAATCTGTTCTTCAACTCGACCCAGTTTCTCCAAGAACTCGGCGAAAGAAACGTAAAACTCCTGACTTTGCAGTAGAACATGTTGCAGCCGACCAAGGCGCTGATCAGCTCGAGCCGACAGCTTGTCCAATGCAGTGCGCACCTTGTAAAGTTTACTATAAACGTCGGCGACCACTGCTGGATCCTCTTGGCTCCGTTCGATCAGTTTCTGTCCAGTGTTCTCTGCTGTTTGGAAGAGTGCTCTGTGTTTAGCGATGTCGTCTTTAAGAATCTAAACCAAGAAAGAAACAAGTTTAAAACCCCGGCAGCTATACTCATAGGAATAAGGGGAGTAAGTTTCCAAAGAAACTGTGGTGCTGCGTCAGTGGGAGAGTATAACAGGATAATTTAGTGTTATCAACCGACTTGAAAACGTAAATTGGTCGCCGTAAAGAGTTCAAAGGCTGTCGTTTCGAGCGTTGGCCCTTCGTAAGCTCTGACGAAGGGCTAACGCTTGAAACGTCAGCCTTTTAACTCTTTACGGCGGCCAATTTACGTTTTATGCTCATAGGACCAGTTCACATTTTTAAGTGTTAGTTAGTTTTTGTCATTTGGTATTATCTTTAATTTGCACAAATACCATGGGCGGGGGGAGAAGAAGGAAAGGGGGGGTGTCCGTCTGTCGGGTGTCAGGTGTCAGGCTGAAACATGTAACAGAGTGTATTTTGGGCTATATTATTCCAAGAAGCGCACTGGATTTAACACTAACGCGACAAATAGCAGTAACCAGATTAGTCAGTCGCTTCGCCATTTGCCAGTTTTTTAAGGTCACGCCATGAAGACGATAAAAATTGTCTGCTCACTTCTCACGTCTCAGGCAGTTATCTCTTATTAGGAAACTCGGACAATTGTGTCCAAACTTAACAAATAGAAGTAACCAACTAGATGGATCAGTCACTAAGCCATTTGCCAACTGCAAAGGTAAAGCACTGTTTACATTTGATATCTGACCTCTTGATGACACAAATTCGTGATGTGTTTATACCAAACTCGGATCCGATCACGAGATTGGTCACTGAGTTGAAAACAAATCAATTAAGAGAGAAGTAAAACAAACAAAAACCTTAACCCATTCTCTGAGATCATTTTGTTAATCGAAAATGGCCCTAAGACGGCAAGTGTGATATATTGAAACGTCATGAAATGCGGGATAAAAACAGGAAGCCGATATATATTTTCTGCTCACGTTTCATGTCTTCTTACGTAATGAAGGTCTCAAGGCTGTTTCCGGAATTAATCGGAATATGAACGGTGACTTCCGGATCAGTTTATTCTCTAAATTTCAACAACGAAACATTACTCGACCGTGGCATAAACACAAATAGGGCATGTTTTGAGATCATCAACACAGGTATTATAATGTAAACGCAGTGGGACCAATGTCTATTTAACAAGAACGATAAATGTGACGGTGTGCAAAATTCAAATTGACGAAAAAGTAACGCCAGACACCGAAGCAAAACACGCAAGGTGCAGTATGGCGTTATGAGCTAAGAAATGTACGCGAAAGATCGCAGCGCCGCAAAATTGTTTCTTGACACTTCGAAGTGCTTATGGCGGGAACTGAAAAAGCTTCACAGATGAATACAGTTCGCTTGGCGCGATTTTACTAATCACATTCCGACACGTGAACCTAAAATATTTATAGCAACCACTGTGTCAAATGATCTGTCGACTCGCTGGGATAAACTCAGCAGAACGGTAAAGAAAAAGGCGATTGACGAATAGAAAGGTTCGATCGACAACCTGAACGAATCGATCAATTCATAATTACCAGAATGAAGTCTTCGCGTATTGATCCAAGACCAGGGACAAAATTCGAAGGAAGAACTAGAACTTCTCCACAAACCCTGCTAGATCCTCTTCCGTTGGATCGCTGCTGTCTTAAACCGCTTTCCTTCATATTTAATCCTTGTGCGTTAAAGCGTTCGACGAGATCGTTATGCATCTGTTTGGCACGAATTTCGTTTCGGTTGAAGCACAACAGCCCCACAAATTGTTGGTGGTTTAAATTATTGATGCGATGCAGTCCCTCGACGTCTTTTGATGTCCGATGAACAAAACAATGAAATACCTGTCACAGTATTTAATTCCCACCGGTGCCAAAGAAACTTAAGTCTCAGAGGAGCTCATGTTAATGATGTCAAGCCTACATCGAGGATCATTAATCCGGTGTGTCGTGAAAATAAGACCGCACCGAAGTTTCGTAACACCACGTGTGCTGTGAATATTAATCTCTGGTGCGAAACGCCGTGACTGATCTAGAATATTTATGCAAGCATTCTTGTGTGATAAAGATCGAGAAGAAGTTCAGACAACTTACGAGAATCTAATTACATGGTGAAATGACTCATTAACGATGTTCGTAATTTGCATGACAGGAGGACCCCGAAGATTTTTAACAAACAACTTAATAATCGTGATGCTAAAATCGAGGAGCAGTCATATGTTTTTCACACTTAATTCACGTGCTAAATGCACATGTAAGTGAAACTTGCCATATGAAAGGCATGTGAAAAATTTTATTTTTCCATACCGTGTTTTCGCGTGTTTTTATGCTAGTTCATAGACTACGTGTGAGAAACTTGGACTCAAGCGTGCGCTTTATAGCCTTGATGGCTATTTGTAACTGATTTTATCTAAAATCGGGCCTCCTACGGAGTGTCTGAGTAAAAAGCTCATGGCTTATCACTTTCAACAAAAATGAAAAAATAAGTTTGATTTCATTTTCATTTTTTTACGGAGAGAGGCTGAATTTGAACGCACTAAGACTTCAAGAGTGAAAATATATTTTTAGCACACCACCTACAAGTCTAGGTACCCATGAGTAAGAGTACATTGACAATAAATGCTGCCGATTATTAAAGAGCGAATAATTTGTAACTTATCTCATCTTATCTCGTGAAAAGAGTCAGTGGGGTCTAGTTCCAACTGTCTGTAGCGGCACTTCATATCTTAGCAACAAATGGATACTAAGTCTACTCCTACTGACCTCCCCCCTGAAAAATACTCCAACCAACCTGTGCTTCCTCGAGCTGTTTTCTAACCGTCTCAGGATCTGTGCTGATTGGTTGTTGAGCAGAAACACGCTCTTCAGCTTCAGGTAACCAGGCTTCTACGTCGGCGAGTGATCCCTGGAAGACGCGCGCGTGTTTCACGTCCTCCTCAACGTTGATTTTGCGGGCGTTCAGCTTTTCGATGAGCTCTTTCTGTTTCTGGTCTGCCTGTGACACTTCAGCCTTAACTTGGGCTGCGTGAGGCGTCTTCTCGTCAACTTGCTGCATCAGAAGTGACAGGTTGTCATTCACTTCATTCAGTTCAGGCTCCTGTTCTTCAAGGACTGAAAGCAAAGCCTAAAGATCAAAGAACAAAGTTTTAGAGAGCAGACGCTTTCTCTGTTTTCTGTCTCACTTGACAAAAGGCCGAGGAAGGAATCAGTTCTACAAAACCTTATTTGCTCTTTACAAACGGAAAAATATATTTTCGAGTAGAAAGTTCTTTATTGATCCTTCCCATGGTGCATGGCGAGTAGGCAAACGTTCTTGCGATATTTGTTCCATAGCTCCCTTTTGACAGTCAAACTCCCAGCCGCGAAATTCGTCAGGTGAAAAGAGAATACAAACTTAGATAGAAGGGGTTACATGGGAATGTGTAAGGGGTAGAAGGAAAAATAACTGATAAGATCTAGTGAATAGCAGTCAAAGTAAGAAATAAACTTATCAGTCCATTAAACATTCTGGGACTGAATAAAATAAGTTTGATATCACAACCCTCAGAGCGCAAATTTCTGAATATTCGGCAAATTCACGAGACCCAATTGATTATTATAACAGGATTCAGTGAGATTTCAGAACACGTCTTACAGATTGATACCATGAATGTTTTACCAAGCAAACTTCATTACCTCAATTTTCCTGAGCTCTTCTTCTCCTTTTTCAGCGTCGGTGAGGTTGGCCAGCGGCGCATCAACTAGTGCTTCTGCTTCGTCCAGTTTCTCCTCAATCGGCTGAAGCTGATTGGTCAGTTGTTCAAGCAACGTAGCCACGCTCTCCAAATGTTGTTGTCGGACTGTCAGATTCGCTGTTAGCACTTGCCATCTCTTGTTGGCATCCTTGCATTCAGCTTGGACAACCTGTATATCATCACACAGGTCTCCCAGCTCGCGAGCAGAATCATTAACAGCGTCGACTTCAGGCTTGTGCTCCTCGAGTTGCTGCACCAAAGTAGCCAAGGTTTTCCTCTCTTTTGCGATACTCTTCTCGTCGCAGGAAACTGGCTCAAGGGAATCGACCCAGGTTTCAGAGTCACTCATCCAGGGAAGAACCGATTGCAGTGAGTCATGATAACATTTTGCTACAACTACAACTTCATCAATTTTTGATTTCCGATCATCAACCTTGCCCTTCACCGCATTCCAACGAGAGGCAAGATCATCCAATCTCTCCTTAAGTTCATCTTTCTCCTCTCCCGGCTCAAGACTCGCAAAAATGTCCTCACCGTTGCTAGAAATCCTTTCGTACACAGGCTCAAGTTGTCTTACATCGGCAACAGCGTGTTCAATGTCTTCGCTCTGCTCGCGTAACACGTCATACTGAGAAGACACAGGTGTCATTTTGGCCACATCATCTTCCAACTTTGCCAGCTTCTCAGCAAAATCATCCAGTGTTTCTTGGAATTCTTGCGACTGTAAAACGGCCTCTTGCAGTTTCTTTTGTTGGTCATCAACTTTGGCCGAGAGGAGATCCAGTGAGGTTGTTGCTTTATATACTTTACTATTGACCTCCATTACAATTGCCGGTTCATTTTCACAGCATTCCACCAACCGCTGCCCAGCATCATCCGCGGACTCGAGGACGTATTTTTGCTTCACAATGTTTTCCTGAATTTTCTCAATTTCATCCAACTGGCTCTTCACAGCACTCGGATTAGTTCTTGTAACATGGAAGGTCTCGATCACGATGGTTATCTCCTCAGTCCAAGTTATCAAAACTTCGTATTTTTCCGTAAACTCTATTATATACACGATGATTTTCTCAAGCTGTGTTTTGCGTTCTCTGCCTCGTGCCAGAGCAGTTGTGTATGAATCTCCAACTTTACCTAACTGCTGCTTCAACATCACGGCATCGACGGAATCGGGATTCATTCCTTGAAGTAACTTCTCTCCAAGTTCTTGCATCTCTTTGTGACGAGGTTCACATTGTTCCAAATCATCCACGACTTGTTGAACTTTTGCAAGTTCTTCCCTGCTCTTACTGACGTCGAGATCGGTCGGTGTTTGGCATTCAAGCGATGTTTCAGCCTTCTGTACAACTTCTTCAACAGCTCCCAAGGCATCTCGGTATTTATCCACAGTATCCTTGGCGGTTTGTAGGTCAGTTTCCTTTGTCTCCATGTCCTTGAAAAGTTCGTCCCAGCGTCTGTTTAAGTCCTTAATTTGCACCTCTACAAAATAGCTGTTATCTTTACATTTGTCCATGAGTGAGTCAGCGGTGTTATTCAATGATTTGTGGTCCGGCTGATGACTCTCTACAGCCTCTTTAAGATCCTCGAACACTTTTTGTTGTTGAGTCAGTTCTTCTGGACTCACAGATTCGGTGTTGACGGCGGCAAGTTTTCTTTCCGTCTCGGAAAGCCAAGAGTCAAACGCTTGTGCTCCAGTATGGAACGATTTCGCATCGGGAATCACAGAAGAAATACTTTCCTCACGTTCCGAGGCCTTTCTTTTAGCATCCTTCCATTTCTCTTTAAGATCGTCCAACTTCTTTCGTACAGCGTCTCGGTCTTTTCCAGGATCCGATGTCTCCAAAACCTTATCCCCTACAGCTAAAAGTTTATCTAAAACTGGCTGCATCTGAGCGATGTTTTCACTGAACTCTTCTGTTTCGTCCTTTTGGCGTCTTGTTGTTGGATAATCCGGAGAAATCGGCTCTTGGCTTTGAAGGATGTCGTCGAGAGTCCCTAAACGAGCAATGAAATCGTCGTACACTTCTTGGAATTCTTGAGATTGCATCATGGCGTCATGCAATCGAAGACTTCTCTGTTCCAACTTTGCACTGAGTTTATCGAGTGGTTGGCGAGCTTTCTCCATGTTGTTTTGAATGTCTGCTACAGCGTCAGGATTCTGCATACTGTCCTCGATCAGCCGCTGACCTGTCTCTTCCACAACGCACAGGCGCACCAAATATCTCTTCACCCCATCATGCAGGGCTTCGGTCTCTCTGATTTGCTCCTTGAGATTTTCCGGTTCTGAACTTACAGGTTCAAGGGCTTCAACAGTTTCGACAGTTTCTGGCAGCCACTGTTCTATTTCTGCCAGTGATGAATTGAACTGCAATGTATCCTCAAGCGCTTTCTCCAGTTCCTTTTGTCTGTCGCTGAGTCTGGTAGGCAAGTCTTTAAATTTGCCGTTAGTGCTTACCAGTTGTTCCTTTACACTCAGGGTGGACGGCGCGTCGTCTTCAGCTTGTTGCAAAAGCTGCTGACCAGACTGATTCAGCTGCTTTATGTCTCCTTTCCTTTCATCCAGAGTAGATACCAGGGCCTTTATCTGCTCCAGTTCTTGTTGGATTTTGTCAGCGTCAGTTCCCGCTGGCTTATGGGAAGCCAAAGCGTCTTCTGCTTGAGTAAAAGCCTCTTGTACAGGCTGCAAGGCACTCTGGTACTTCTCAAAAGCCTCTTTGGCTTCTTCAACTTTGATTTTTTTCTCCAGCACCGCAACCTGTAATGCGTCCCAGCGGCTCTTAAGCTCGTTGAAATCTGCTTTGATCACATCACCATCCGCTTGACACAAGTCCGTAAGAGTGCTGGCCGACTCGTTCAACTCATCGAAGTCTAACTTATGCGACTCTATTTCAGAAGCAAGTCCATCAAGTTCTACAAGCCTTTCATCCAATTCGTTATCGTCACATGAAACAGGATAGATCTTGCTTACTTTCTTCTCTGCGTCCTGGAGCCACTCCCTGAAGTTTGTCGCCCTCTGGTCATACTTCTGAGAAGCTTCATGAACCACCTGAACACGCTTCTGCATGTCAGCTGTTTTCTCCTTGATCTTGTTCCACCGCGTTTCCATCTGTTCTAGTTTTTCCTTCTGCGCGTCCTTCTCGTCGCCTGCTTCCATTCTTTCCAACATGCCATGCCCATCTTCCAAGATCTTATCGAACACAGGTTGCTTCCTCGTGATGTTGTCGCTGACACTTCGCTGGATGTGTTCTTTTTGCTCGCTTACGATTTCCAGGATGGCAGAAATTGGCCTGAACTTGTTCACTTCATCTTCCATCTCTTCAAGTTTGGTAACGAACTCATCCAACATCACATCATAGACCTGAATCTGAAGCAGGATGTTCTGTAAAATAGCATGGCGTTGTTCGATTCTGGCATCCAAGCGATCCAATTGAACACGAACCTTGGTTAGTTTCCCTTGTACATCAGCAACCACCAAAGGATTATCACCACTGTTGTCTATGATCACCTTACCAAGGTCATTCGTACGATCCAATGCGGCACGTTGCTTGGCTATCTCGTTTTGCAAGTTCTGTTATATCAAATTGAAGAGGAGAAACCAGTAGATAACTTTGTCACAAACGAAACACAAAGCGTAAACAAGACCTAACATTTAGTCACAAACAACGTAACGTAGACAAAATCACAATATTAGGTTCACTTCTGTTTTCATTAAAAGCCAACAATGTCAAACAAGTTACCAGTTTCATATGAGTTAAAAATTTCATAAGTTCGCCACTGGATGATGTCTCTCTGTCCAATCATAGAGTACGTAGTTTTCGGTCCGTTGCCTAATTCTACAAACATTCCCCCTTCCACTATTTACCTCAGTCTGTTCCAGACGTTTGTGCACAACCTTCGGATTAGTACTGATAGGCTCTTGCATAGCTGTGCTCTCAGAGACTTCCGTGACCCACAGCTCCAGCTCTCTGATTTGCTTTTGGAACACTGAACTATCCTGGATGATTCTCTCCAGCTGCTCTTGTTGTTCTGTGAGCTGGTTCTTAAGGTCCGCGTACTTCTCTGGGATCTCTCTAACTTCCTGTTTGAGTGATGAGACTTCTGGAGATGCAGAATCTGAGTTTAGAACCAGATTCTGGCCGAGTCTCTGTGCCTGTTTCATATCAGCTTCACGCGTGGCCATCAGGTTGAGCAACGCCTGTAAACAGTTTCGTCATAAGACCAAAATTAAATCATTACAACGACCAATCAATAACGGAACGCAACACAAAAGAACGTACGAAAATTTTTCGTAAGTAAATGTATTTGGCCTAAATCAAAAGTCCTGCATATGATAGATTTAAAAGGTGACGCGAGATTTCTGGACCTATCAAAAGTTGACCAAGAATCGATAGTTCAATCAGAAATACTTTCTGACCTTAACTGATGAAAAACCAATATGGGCAGACTGCAAGTTTGATCCTTAAGCCCCTGTGTTACAAGCTGTTCATCACATTTCCTGAAATCTGTTTGTAGTGAAGTTGCCAGGCTTGTAAAGGATGAGTTGCTTAACGTTACTCGCACAGCTTTACTAATCGTCCACGAAACTCGCAAATCTTTCAACATTTTCCGCATTAAACAGGGCGCCGAGAAAAAAAGTAGATATTGAAAAATGAAAACCAACCTTTGTGTTGTTCAGTTCTTGTTTAGCTCTTTCAATGTTCGAACCAATTGCTTCTGCCGGTACTATAGCCTCTTCTGCCCATGCGTACAGAGCGCGCACAGGTCTCTGGGCCTTCTGATACTCCTCAGCGATGTCCTTGACATTGTTGATTTGGTCTGACCTGTCCTTAAGGCGGAAAGAAACGCTTTCCCACATCTTGATAACGTACTGCAATTGCGCCTCGACAACATACACATCATCTGGCTGGCGTTTGATCACATCAGAGGAAATCTCTTTCACGGTCTCAAATTCTGGCTTGTGTAATTCAAGATCTTTGTTCAGAGCTTCTACCTGCTGGAGCTGTTTAGCTATCATCTTCGGATCACATGAAACAGGGCTCTGTGATGAGATCTTGTTATCAAGGTCTGTCAACCACGCGACAAAGTCCTCCATGTTATCGTGGTAGTCATGAAGGACTGGGGCTCGCTCTTCAATTTCTGTTTCTCTAGCACTAACTTTATCTTTGACGTCACCCCACTTAGCCTTCATATCTTCGAATCTTGTTTGTAATGCATCGCGGTCTGGGCTGGGCTCAGCGTTCTCCAACACATTTTCTACGCGGGAAATTAGCTCGTTAGCTAGTTCGTCTAAATCTTTGACGTCATCTTTCATGATCTGTAAAAGGAATTCGCATTTAGCAACTAACTGTGTTGAAATTTGTGACGAGAATGTTCAAACTTTCAGGCAAAAATTTTGATTTCGATTTAACATCAAATTCTCACAACTGATTCCCATGGAAATGTGTGGTAGCTAGAGGGAAGAATTAATTATAAGAACTTGGGAATTAAAGGGTTAAAAGAGAAACTTCCTTCCAGAAGTAAGAGGGGACGTTTTCGTCCTTCCCTTTCTTTATGCCTGCACATGAACTTTCAAATGGCGACTCCACAAAACTCAATTTAAATTTCAGTCGAGGTCATGGAACTCAAATGTGCTATAATATAAAATACAAGGAACTAGGTTGGTTCTGCACGTAAGGAAACTTGAACAATTGATAAATATGTGAAGCCGCATCTTTTAGCAATACAATTTAAATCTTGAGAATGCTTTGTAAAAAAAATCTGACTGATCTCTACCTCAAACTGCCGTTCTTGCTCCTTTAGTGTATCACGGACTACAGAGATTGGCCTCATGCCAGCAAGCTGCTCTTCAATCCTACTCAAGTCATCGACAAACTCAGCGAAGGTTACCTCGACGCTCTGACTTGCGATGACTGCGCTCTGCAGTCGAGAATGTCTCTGATCAATATAAGCGGTCACGCGATCCATCTTGGCATGGCATCCACTTAGAATGGTCACCACATCAATCACCATGTCTTCGTCTTCTTTGCTATGTTCCATCATCCACTCTCCTTCTGTTTGCGCACTCTTCAGAAGATATGTCTTCTCTTGTATTTCACGCTGCAGTTCCTCCGCTTCAGCCAACTGCTTTTTCAGTTTCTCCGGTTCGGTGCTGACTGGTTCTAGGTCTTCAACGGTCGCACTGAAGGTTTCAAACCAGTTCTCTAGCTGTTCGATGTTTTCCCTGAAGGGCACAAGGTGCTGGTTGTGCTTATCCAGCTGCGCTCGTCTTCGCTGTAAATGATCTCTTGTCACATGGAATCGTGTATACAAAGCATCTACTTGGTTTCTGATAATGGCGGCATCTGGGGCATCATCCTCCAAGAGGTCTAAGAGCTCCATTCCTACACTTTGAACCACTACCAACTCTTCCTCTTGATCAGCGAAAGCATCAAGTAACTCCTGGATCAAGGCTAGTTCCTCGGCAATTTTGTCGGCGTCCATTAAAGGTGTTTTGTAGGCGGACACGACAACGCCCTGCACAACCAGCTCCTCAACAGCGTGTCTGCGGAAGTTGAAGTTTTCTAAAAGCTGTTTGATCTTCTCCAGTTTATTTGCTTTCTCTAGGAGGATGCCTTGAAGCGCAACATACCGATTCCGTACGTCCTGTACTTGTGCATTCACGATGTTGGCGTCTGCTGGGTTGAATTCCAATAACGAGCGCGCGATCTGATCTAATTCAATGAGAGCGCTCTCCTTTTCTTGCAGATCACTCTCCATCTCTTTCAGTAACTCTTCGTACTTTTGAGGACCCTTTCTATCACATGGAACATACTTCAGCAGAGTTGTATTCTTTTCAGCGGTAACCAACCAGGACAAGAAGCTATGCAAGCTCTCTCCATAATCCTGCGCCGCAGGGTCTATCCGGTCTAGCAAAGTCTTACGGTCAGTGGTGTTCTTTTGAACATTGTCCCATCTGCTTTGAATTTGGGCCATTCTTTGCTCTACTCTTTCACGCTCTTTACCAGGCTCCGTCGCTTGAAGGACATCATCTGCTGACTTCTTTAAGGCGGCCAATACAAGCTCATGTTGCTGTACGTCTTCATTGACAGGCTGTTAAAAAAGACAAATAATACCAAGGTAAATAACGTAAAAGCAACTGTACACATCAGATGGTATTGGATTATGAGCCAAGTCTACTTCTTTGAACGTCTTCTGACGCATTAAGATGCAAATGATGATTGCCTGTAACAAATATCAGCGCAGAAAGGAACAGGGATCTACTATCTCTCTTTTTGAGGAATATGACGTGTTACACTGATCTTCAGTTCCATTACAACGCAGAAGATGATAGCGAAAGTATGGAGGAATCGATCAACCATGAGGAATATTTTGATTTGGTTCAAAATCTTACCACATGATCCTTTTTAAGTTCCCGGATGGAGTCTGTGTCTGACGTCACAGGAGGTTGAGACGCAAGCCTGTCTTCCACACCATTAAGCCAGATGAGGAAGTCATTTGAAGCAGCCTTGAACTCCTTGGATTGCATTAGCGCGCACTTCAAAGCGTTTTGCCTTTCGTTATTAACAGCCATGAGCTCGTCTATGGCTTCTTTAGAAACTCTAACTCTGGCCTTCAGTTCTTCCTTCGCTAGAGGTTCTGAGTCACAGTTTGCAGCCAACCAATCAGCAGCTTCCTGAGCGCCGTCAAGTGAGACCCGCTCGTCAACAAGAGAGGACTGCAACTGCTCAGCTTGTTGAAGTTGTTCTTGGACCACTTCTGGTTCGGTACTGATGGGTGGCAGACTGGCAATCTCTTCTTTAACCTTCGGAATGAACCTTTCAACATTCTTAGTATTTGTCGTGTAGACAACAATGTGACGGACAACTCTCTCCATGAAGTCTTCCCGTTCGTGTAACTTGATTTCCAGGGTGTTGTACTTTTGACGCATGACTGCCACGTTTTCCTGCCATTCAGGTGAGCCAGTCTTTTCTGTTAAAGCTTTTCCGCTATTTTCAAGATCTTTCAAATCCGGTCGTCGATTTTTAAGGAGCACAATAGATTTCTGGAAGGAAAACATACAAAAAGACTCAAACACGTAACTCCGAGGTGGCAGGAAAACTTGCGTTTATTGTTAGCTTATTAGTTATTCTTCATCACCAGAAACTCTCATCAATTAGAAACAGCAAGGAACACCTGTTAAAGGTTCCACTTTTCCAGGCTTATGGTTGAGCGAGCTTAAGCCCTTATCGATAACACTACATTGCGTTAGGTGTCACAAAAACTGACCTGCTATTTCGCGCAAAGGGAGTTTGATACACTGTATAGAGTGGAGCAAAACCGTTTCATTTCTCTACACTATGCCAGCGACGTGGCAGGACACTAAGTTCATGAGAGATTAAAACACCAACTCTCTGACGAATCAATACTACCGCAACTTTTTATCTATTCCCTTAAGAAAGGTATCCATCAAACGCCAAATTGTTCATTAACAAGTTGTGGTTATTTTCAGGTTTATATAGGAACACTATGGCTCCTTTAAATTCTTGTTCCTCTCAGCTCAAATGCGACTTCGGTGACCGCTGTTTTTTTTTTTACCAGAGAATTATCATAAAATCAGCATGCCTTGATTTAACTTTTAGTAAGCATTGAAGAATCTATAATAAGCTTCAGAGTCACTTTAAATTAACGCAATATCATGAAAGCTCTAAGCCTACAGAGCAGATTTTTCACAACTTTTCAAAGAAGGAACTTGCCAGAAACTAACAAAATATTCGACCTGAATATCCACTATTTCTATCTCTTACCTTAACTTCTGCAAGATCCTGCTTAGCTTTATTCTGATCCAAGACCAAGATATACTCAACATACACAATCTGTTCAAGCTCTATGAGTGTTTTCTTCACAACATTAAGCACCAGCTGATGTCGATGGACATCTTCTTGTACGTTCTCTAAAGTCCGGAGGCGTTCGCCAACAGTGGCACACAATTCATTCCATCGCTTATCAACGGATGCGATCTCCTCTTCCAAAACTGACAAATCAGCTGTCACCTCCTTGTCATTGCATATGTCCGTGTGGCGAGTGGATGTTTCTGTGAATGTCTGATGTTCTGACATGTGTAGCAGAATTTCATGTTGTAAAGTCTGTTGAAAACGAAACGAATATACTATTCAAAGTGCAGTTCTGAATGATATAGGCATGAAATTAAAATCAAGAACAGTACCAGCCCAATAAATTGCTCTGATAAGTTTGTTTCATCGCCAGTTTGCTGAATAAAGTTAATCACTTCTGGTATACAAAAGCATCACAAACACTTCGCAGATAAGGTTAAATAACGCATAGAACATTCTCGTTCAACTTTCCTTTAACATCACTAGATTTGTTGAACGATAATGTCGCCTGTATTATTACGTAACCTCAAATATTTCGATAGAAATAAAATACGTGAAAACTTGTTAAGCCGAAAACGCTTGGCGATATCAATGATCGTGGATATCGCACCATGTGATCCTCCACAATTGTGTCATGAACCATTAAATCTCAAGATCTGACACCCAATTCTCCTTTCTAGCTGCTTTACACCCGCTAGGAATGTGCTTTAGAGAATTGAGCATTGCATCGAAAAACAAAACCCAGATGATAAGTTAGTCTGTAATCGTCACATCTTTCAGTACGTTATAAAGGAGATAAAAATTTGAGAAGAACCAAAATGTCGATCACAGCAGTAAGAGCCTTGAAGTATTCAGTTCAGTCTAAAAACCAAACTTACCTCTAACAGCTCAATTTGTTGTGTAGTACTCTCTTCATCTTCCGGGATCTTTTCGCAACTTTTCAAACGCTCCTCTGATTCTGCTAACCAGTTTGTGAAGGGTTCAAAACTGTTGACATATTTGCTTGCAGAAGGTTCTACGTTCTTCAGCTTCTGGTTTCGTTGACTGATATTTTCAGAGAGTTGGTTCCAGCGAGAATCAAGATCTTCAAGCTTCTGTTGCAGATTGCCTTTCTCACGTCCAGGTTTCATACTGTCCAGCATTGCTTTTCCTTTTTCCATAACGTGTTCGTGAACTGGCATGTGCTGTTCAACATCTTTTTCAAGCACCTAAAGAGATGCAAGAAAAGAAATCAATGGCTACCCTAGAACTCTTCCACGACAGGCAAATTAATTATCCTGGGAAATATAAAGGGGGAGGGGGGAGGGGGGGAGAGGGTGTTTTCCTAATACCTGTACCTGAACAGCTAAAACAAAAAGACGTCAAGGAGGTAAAATAAAACAGAAAGAAAGGGCATTACTAGGGCTCAGAACGATTTGGACAGCTCAGTGGCTAATTTGAAACCATGAACCGGAACCAATTGCGCTCCATTTATATTATAACTTATGATTCCACTCGTAAGATTATAAGGGAGGGCTGAGCGAACCCTTGCACCTTTCATATTTCTGTTCATTCCCCACTGCATATCTTTAATGCGCATAATTTCACGCATGATTTGCTGCGCACACATCGAAAAAAAGGCCTTTTTGAATTATGGTGGAAGTTTTTAGAGAGCATTACCTCGTTAAAGAGTATGCCCCCTTTTTTATCTTTGAAATGACAAATAACCTCTTTTTTTTTTCTTATAAACAAGCGTGGATACCCTGTGAGTTACTAAGACAATTACAAAAACCAGTGGGCAAAGCCTGACAGAGGAATGAGCTTAAGTAATTTACCTGCAGCTTGTCTTGTTGATCGACAATGACCTTGTGTCTGGCTGACACCGGTCCTTGAAGGTTCAAAAGGTTTTCAGTAGCCACTAGCCAGCCACCGAACTCATCCAAGGAATCTTTAAGCTCCTGACTTTGCAGCAGTGCCGTCTGAAACTCGGTCTGTCGTGCGTCGAGGAGCGAAATAAGCTCGTTCATCGGCGGCTCCACTTTTTGCAACTGTTCGTCCAGGTCTTTGTTGATGGTAGGGTCTTCACCACTGAGCTCTTTGATTTTGTCCGCTAAAGCCTTAGTGTTGTCTAATGACGTTACATTCGCTTGCACTTCATCTCTTACATTCTGAAGATACCACAAAATAAAGAAACGTTTGCCACTCTGTTACACATGCATTACTTACATTTGTTTTCATGGCTGCTGAAACACATCACTGTGGTTCTGGTCTTTCAATCTACAGATCCAAAAGCTATTTCTCCTAGCCCTTTATCAAAAAGTTCTTAGTTGGCTAGCCTTGTTGTTAAATCAAGGCAATCTCCGTTTGCAAAACATTTTCATGTACCTTATCTACAGTCTGCACGACATTTCTGTACTATAAGTGTGACTGAGAAGATTTCCTTTCCTATCACTAACGGAAGTTCACTAGTTCTTAAACAAAACAACGACGCGCTTCCCCTCAGGAAGAGATAGAGAGAGTCAATAACGACAAAATGCAAACACACTACAAAAGACAAACCTGGAGCTTGTCCAGCTCTTTTCTAATCGTCTCAGGGTCACCGCCAGTGAGATCTAATGACTTTACCCGTTCCGCTCCCTCTGGCAACCACTTCTCGACCTTCTCAATCTGTTCCAGGAATTCTCCATACAATTGCAGGCTCTTCTCAACTTTCGAGCGTCGAAGCCTGAGACTGGACCTGAGATCACGTTGCTTGTGAGTGACTTTAGCCACTTCCGTCTGTACCTCGGTACCAGGCTCCGACTGAATGTCCATGACTCGCAAAAGCTGCTGGCTTGACTTCCTCATCAGGCGTACTTGTTTACCGCTCTCTTCCATTTCTTTGATCATCGTCTATGCATTCGAGGGAAGGAATTAAAAAATTGTTTTAGTTGTTTTTTCTATGCTTCAGGTCAACCTAACCAGAAATAATTTTGTTTTACTTTTTGGCAGCATTATTTTCCCAGGCTCTACTCATTTGACTCCATTCTAAGTCACCAATGAACGTAAAAATACCACAAAAATGAGCCAATAGTTAAAGTTATCTAGTTATAACACCTTTAGAGCGAAATGGGCATATTGAATATATTTCAATTACAATATGAGGTGGAAAGGTTGCAAAAATTACGAGACGTTTTCGACTCCTGTAGTCATTATCACAATGATGGAGTATACATACAAAATAAACTGAAAAATAATGACGGAAATGACTCCGAGACTGAATTTTTATACCTCCCTTAAAAAAATAAGTTTACGCTGACAGGTGCAAGGCCCAACCGTAGCTAAGGTCACCCCCCACCCTTCCCCCATCCTAAGGATTCATCAGTTTTCCCTTAAATTATTTTTAGAACACATTATACTACTCCTCAGAGGGAAGAGGCACTACGAGTGTCTTAGGAAAGTGCCTTGCCCAACAGGTGTGGACCCTGGACCTTTCTACCCGTAGCCCAGTGCGGTCAGCAATAGGCCACCGTGTCTGTAAGGAATGGGTTAAAACGTTTTACAGTCGTATCTCACTCACATCCACTTTGCCAAGTTCATCTTCGCCTTTGTTTAAATCGACCGGGGCCTGAGCCTCCACGGAGGACTCAACCTGAAAGAACACCTCTTGAACAGGCTCTAGCTGTGCCTTGTAAGCCTCTAGATGTTCCTGGGCACTCTTCAAGTCCTGCTCACGTGACTGAAGTCTCTCTAGTAGGTCTAGCATGGGTGTTTGGACTTCAGCTAGTGACTTGTTGATGTCATGAGTGGCCTTTAGGTCGTCTTTCCTTTCAGAGCAGATGGTTGTCGCAGCTACCTCAGCTGATGATAAAACGCCAACCTGGGCATTGGCCTCGGCTTGGAGCTCCTTGATAAACGATAACAGAAAATAATGAGCCACTTGCAGAGGTTTAAGGAGAAAGACGCTTTTTTCATCACCAAAGGCTTACGTAAAGGTATCGCACAAAAGACCAACTGAAAAGTTATACTACTTGTAAAATCGTATCGAAAAATCCAGCGCGGCATTGCTTCAGCTTAACTTCGGTAAAGGAACAGTGCAATTTTTTTTTCACACTTCAGGGAGTTTGCTTGTTTCAACTTCGAGTTACGGTAGGCAATTTTGAAGTTAATCGTCATTTGGATTTGCCATGAGCCGACCAACTAGGTTTATGTTTAGTTTTGATTTTAAGATAATGAATCGACATACGCTCTGAGTGAACTTACTTGCACTTCTTTCAGCTGCTTTGTAATAACCTCTGCATCGTTATGAATAGGTTCCAAGCTGTCGAGTTCCTTGAATGCGCCATCCAAGTACACTCTCAATTCCCCAGTGGCTGTCACAAATGTAGTCAATTCCTTCAGAATTCTCTCAAGTTTCACCATCCTTTCATTAGCATCTCTCCGTAGAGCGATGCACCGCTGAGTGAGCGCAGACAACCGTTGTTTGACAGGCATCAGATCCAAGTGAGCTTTCCCTTCGTCTTTAAGTTGTTCACTCAGTGATTCAAGCTGGGATTCCAACTCAGAGATTTCGCCTTGGATAGCCTGCGCATGGAAATGCATAAGGGACTATCAGTTTTTTCACAAAAAATTGCCTGACGGTTTTTCTAGTTTGTGATGTTAACGAGCGACGAACGAAAGGGGGGAGGGATTGTAAGGTTAGGGGGGATGGTTCAGTGGAACTCAAATACAAGAAGGACTTCAAACTACCTTCTTCTTGACCTTTTTGAATTCATTATGAGAAACCACTTGGTTTTCATGGGGTTTACCAAGAGCTTGGTTACCTGCATAAGTAACCCACACATTTATAGTCGTGTATATCATCTCCTCAAACTACTCAACAGAATTCTGTACCTTAACAGTCTCAAGCTTTTTATTTCCAACGTCAATATTTACTCCTTCGTAATCACAATCCTCCATTTTTCTCGCCACTCTTTTAAGTTCGTTTTCAACTGGTAGCAACAAGCCTCTGTACTTCTTCGCCACCTGCGAAGCTTCCGCTACTTGACGCCGTCTCTCCTGATAGAACTGGTTTACCTGGCTCCATCTGTCAATCATTTCTTTGACGTCATCCTTTATTTGCGTCACTCCTTCGGTGACGGACAGATCTTCGCAGCTTTCAAGCAGGTCATCTGAACTGTCCACAAGAGAGCGGTAGATTGGGCGATGTCCTTCTATATCCTCCTGTAAGAACTGCTGCAAGTACTGTTCAAATGAAAGTAAAGTTTTAGTTCCATATAATAATCCTTTAAATCCCAAGATCTGATTGTTAATTCTCCCCTCTGAGGAATATTAACTTAAATTCACAAGTCGACTAGTGTAGTTAACCCTTTAACTCTCATGAGTGACCAAGACAGAATTTCTCCTAACAACATCGATACAATATCAAGCAGACAAGTGATGAGAATAAAAAAATATCAATTAGGGGATTATAAGTCGATCCAATTCCAAATTCTCCAAACTAACATCACAAGAACTATTTGGCAGACAGTAAGGAGGATTACTGATGAGATCTTGGGAGTTAAAGAGTTGAATCAAGATAATTTGGTTTCATCACCTGAGTTGATAATATCAACTAGCCACCGTTAAGAGTTTCCAAAGCTAACTCTTCAACGTGGCCAGTTTACATCAACAACTCAGTTGTCATAACCAAATAATCTTGTACTTCCCCCCCCTCCCCCTCTCCCCCCTCCCCCTTTCCCCCCTACCCAAACGAAACTTACTCCCTTTCCTTCTTTAGCCCTATAATCGGCTGCGAAAATGTTGAGTTGCTCTTTTCGTCTTACCCAAAATCATTTACGCGACGTCAGATTGACAGTTGTCCCGAGTTAACTGCACAAAACCAATATGCTGACATTTAAATCCCCAGAGTACATGGGGAAAATATTAGGGGTAATAAGCACTTCAGATTAAAAAATGTACGTTTTACAGAATTTTCACCCATTTACCTTAAGAAATGTTTGCTCTCTTATCAGCGCATGTTTTTCACAAACAATCATCGCGTTACAATCTGCAACCATCTGTTCGGTCTCTGTTAGCCATGGAAGTAAATCACTGACTGAATCAGAGTATTTCTGAGCCAGTGGTACAATTTCCTCGAGTTCCTCCTGCCTTTCTGTTGTGCTGTAAAACACTTCCGTCCACCGGCTTTCGACGTCATTCAGGTCCTTTTGAAGAGCTTCACGGTTTGGGCCTGGGGCAGTCTTTTCCAGGACCTCGCGACCGAGTTTGAGAAGTTCGTTGAACACAACCTCTCTCAAGGTGATCTCAAGGTACAGACCCTTAAAATAACAAAACATAGTAGATAAATGGGATGTCCAGGATGCGAGATGAAATGTATGATATTGCACGCATATTGGGCATGAAGCATAGACGTAACAAACATTTTTCGCAAAAGAAAACAAATGCCCCACATAAGAACCAAAAGCATGAAACTTTTTCAACCACGAGAAAGAGTGGTCAGTGCTAATGAGTATCCTCACTTTAACTTTTTATTCATAATTACCTCATGATCTTCTTTCTGTCGTTGAACCACTTCGTAAATGGCACTGATGGGCTCTAGCTGAGCAACGCTCCTTTCAAATTCATTCAGATTGTTTTGAGCTTCATTCAGTGACAGTTGAAAGTCTTGACTATTAATGACTATGTTTTGCAGACGGGCTTGTCTTTGTAGCACAACAGAGTGTAGGCGTTCAAAGGGCTCTTCCACCGCGCTGAACTTCTCTCTTAGTTCAGCAACAAGAGTAGGATCATCTTTTTCTGCTACTATGAGGTAATCAGTGATTTCTTCGAGCACGTCAAGCTTTGCGCGGTATTTCTGGAATTCGTCATTAAGATCCTGAAAGCAAAAACAAAGATTGCGATGGGTTTAATGTCGACTGCAAAAATTCTCCCGCAAAACTGGTATCAGATAACTTCAAATAGGGATCATTAGGGGACACTTTTCGTAGTCCTGAGAGTGTTACCTTAGTGTTAGCCAGTTGTGCTTTGGCCTCGTCGCTGTCTTCACTGATGGGTAATAATCCGCTAATCGTTTCTGACATTCCTTCCAGCCACTTCTCGATTTCGCGATGCACCTCCATGAACAGAATTAGCTTCTCCACGTGTTTTGTCAATCGAACCTGTACACAAAAAATATACAGTAGGCTTCTTTTTGTTGTTGTTTTTTTGTTAGAGGATTACACCTTATTACAGATATTATGGGATGTTGTTTGTTGTGCAGAGTAAACGTTCGCATCATTTTATGATTTGCCTTTCACGCAGCACCCTTAAATGTCCACAGTTGACCAATATCAAAAGCTACAAACTACAAAGTACAAAGGTGAGAATGCAATGCAGAAACCTGTTTTTAAACCGTACCTTTTGGCGTTTCAACTTGTTGACGTTCATCTCATATTTCTGAGACACAGTGGCCAGTTCTTCAGCTAAATCCACAGCTTGCTCAACCCGTGGAGGGCCTGACATTTCGACCACCTCCAGATCAGCTTTCTGTTCCTCAAGAGTGCTTAGAAGTTCCTGGGAGTGGAAATCATTTACGTGTCAGAAAGGAGGCTGTTTTTCAGTGGAAGTCGAATATCATCAAGGTTTGGAGCGGTTTGTCTTCACTCCACGCCGTGATTGGTCCAGAAAACTTTTCCTTCTTTTAAATATATCAGGTTAAAAAACTTAACCTTGTAACCTCTTAGAGTGACTATTACCTAATTTCTCCCCACACTACCACCCCTAAATCACACATTAAGGTAACAAGAACAAAGGAAATGATCACCAATGAAAGATGCTCTCGACTGTTAAATAAATTCTTCTTGTCAGCGTCTAGGGAAATGTATAAAGAACACTAAAGGGAATGTGCATACTGGATATGCAAACTGTCTACTTCTAGTTCTGATTGAATCCTTTTGACATTTATCTTTGTTCTTAATGGCTTTTGTGATAATCTCGGGTTCAGTTTCACGACACTTGTTAGATATCTTGCAAAACCAATAACACTATCAAGTTGACGAGTTGTTTTGCGTTACTGAATTGTTCCTTAACGTTTTAAGTAATTTTGTTTTGAACGTCACTTGTTAAAAGAGAAAATGTCACCAGACTCAACCTACCTCAACTTTCACTAGTTCTTCTTTGCCCTTTTCCACGTCCAACCCGATAGCGGGCTCAGACTCAAGATAACTGTCAACTGCGATAAACGTCAACTCGACAGGTTCCAGAGCCTTTTGGTATGGTTCAATACTCTGTTCAGCAACCCGGGTCTGCTTCTCTAAATCAAAGTTTGCCCTGGAGAGCTTATCGTAGCGCGTATTAGCATCTTGAACTTCATCTATAATGTGTGACGTGTCTACAGTGAGAGAGCTGTTCTCACAAAAATCAATTAGGGCCTTTGAAGCCATGTTTAACATTTGATGAACACCCTTGTGGTTCTCCACTCCTTCTACGAATGCCTGAAATAAAATTAATGAAGCGTTAAAATCCTAATGAAGAAAAAAAAATTAAAGGATGAAGTAATTTTTTAAAACGTTGGTATCCAATATCTAAATAATTTCGGGTTTCAAATGCGATTTCAGTCTCTTTTTCTCCACATAAATTGCTAGTGGTTTGAACTAACAAAAAATAAGTGGGAAATAGAACTCTTTTCTGCTTCAAAACTCAAACTGCTTTAGACCGACAGACCGACAGACCAACCAGGCGAACGATCGACCCACCGACCAGCCGAACAATCGACTGAGCGACCAGCCGAAAAACGGACCGACAGACTGATTAATAGACTGACTGACTGACAAAATTATTGAGTGAATAACTGACCCACTGATTCACTGACCGATCGCACGACCAAATTACCTACAGACTCACTGAATAATGACCGACGTTGGCTAACATTACCGGAAAAACTAAAGTAACTCTCCCTCTCTACCGAAAAAGTCGAACGCCACCACGTCACCGAACGACTATCGTCAAATTTATGTTACCTGTGCTTCAGCTTTGTGACGAGCAGCACTCTCATCGTCACGTGGTACTTTCTTCAGTGACTCCACTTTTTCTTCTGCGCCTTCCAAATAAAGAGTAAACGCCTGAAAAACCTCACTGTATTGCTCTGCTAGAGGCTGGAGTGAGTCTAAAGTTTGCTTTCTTTGGGTGGATTTTTCCGTCACAGCAGCGAAGCGACGGTCGATGTCTGCTAGCTTGTACTTGAATATGTCACGCTCTGGCCCGTTTGGCATAGATGCCATTGCATGGTTGGCGTTACTATCAACCTGTTGGATCACTGGCTGTTCACTGGCAATCTCTTTACATAACACCTGCAGAAATAAAAAGGCATTGGTCGGACTGATATTTAAGCATCTCTTTCTTCACTTGTCCAACGGTTTATGTGCCACACTTCGGAGTGAGGGATTTGAGTGCCTCGCTCGTCTCCACCCAAGAGTACAAATAGTATTGGTCACTTGTCAGAGAGGCCTGCTGAAACTTGCTGGGAGTAAAACGAAGACTTCTTCTTTTACATCAGTGTCGCAATAACCACCTTATGCTATGCACAGATATTGGAAATAAACAAAGGCATTTACAAAGTAACTAATAATACCCCACCTCTTGATCTTGTTTCTGTCTGTTGACTTTCCCAGGCTGCACTACGATGGGTTCCTGTCGATTCAGTGTCTTCTCCATTTCCACCAACCAACGAATGACGTCAGCGAGCGACGCGTCAAGCTCCTGGGACTGAACAAGCTTCACCTGAAGTTGGCCAACTCTCTCCACCACCGCAGCGGAAAGTATTTCGTAAGCCTTTTGTAATGGGTCCAGTTTGGTGGCGACCACATCGTCTATAGTCTGTTCCTCAGGACATACTTCAACAAGTCTGTGACCACAGTCTTCAGCGGATATTAACAGCGGTTTCTTTTCCTCTAAAGTGTCATGCAAATCCTGTAGCATGGAAGGAAAAATTTGCAAATTTATTTAATTTTTCGATTACTTATGCAGCAAACGGGTTTCCGTCTCACCATCAAAATGACCCAGGGTCTATTTGAGGCTTTAGTTACTTTCCGGTTCGAAGAAAAACTTTCAAACAAGCTCCAGAGCAAACCGTAAAGGACCGGTCTAAGATGGTTTTCATAAAATACTTCAAAATTCTTTGGAGAAATTGACCGAACAGAAAACGACAGACATCATTTCAGTATGTGCTAGACAAATATAAACAATTCAAAATTCTTGCCTCAGCTTCCTTCAGTTGTTTTTTGATTCCACCCAGATTAGAGGAAATAGGCTCGAACTGCTGAACTGCGGCTGAAACTTTGGGCAGCCAGGCTTCAAATTCAAAAATAGCAGTCTGGAAATCCTCTGCATTCTCGATCACCTGCAAGTTGAATGGAAAGATGAAAAATTCATCATCCGCAGTAGGGTATTTCATTTCACAGTTTCTTGTCGAAGACGAAATTTAATGGTGTAATAAAGAGTTTAAGAGAAATCTTTTCTACAGTCTTTCTTTTCAAATACAACTAGAAGTCCTCTTGGATACTTGGAAAAGCGAACAGTTTTCTTTATCAAGTGCAATCATCAGGAAAATTAGCTGGTGTAAAAGCAGCTTCACGAAACAATAAACTGCCTCATCACTAGCCATAGTTCCATCAAAAACACTACAATCTAAAGAAAACTCAACAGTGAACAAGGTTTGAAAAAAATCGCAGAAGAATGACCAAAACCGTGTCTGCCGTTGACATCGTAAGCGGTCAGCGCTAACTCAGTTTCAAAGGGAATAGTTCTCTGACTTGACAGTATTGCTTGTCAGCAGATGCAAAACTGGCAATGGAAACTTAACAAAGCTAAAAGATCCCTGCACCTGTTCGAGTTTAAGTTCTTCTGCCTCCAGTTTGTCGTAAAGGTCTTTATAAGAAGCATTCAAAGCAGACAGCTGATCCTGTACGGGCGAAGAGTTCACCAGTTGATGATCCACGCTGTGAACAAGCTTCTGGCCAGCTTCATTGAGGGAATCGACGTCATCTTTACCATTCTCAAACACCGACAATAACGTCTAAACGAAATCACAATAAAATAAGAAAACGTGTTAAAAACGTGAACGTAGGAGGCAAATGATAGAGATCTCGAATTCCGACTCACCTTTACTGTGTCTCTGTTGGCTTTCGCTTTGTTTACATCTGCTCCTAATTCACTTGGGGAAGCCAAAGTGGTTTCGGCGCGGTTCAACATGCGTTTGACTTTCTCAGCAGCGTCTTCGTACTGCTTCAGTTGCTGTTGGACATTGTCAATCTCGCTCTTCTTGGTCTCCACGACAGCTGTCATGACTTGCCAGCGATTTGTTACTTCTTGGTTGAGCATTTTGATGGGTTCCAATCCTTCTGTGATGTTAGCTGCATCACAAGCGTTGCTGAGGGCCGTCGCCGCTGAAATGAAAAACTCGTAAACCGGTGCGTGGTTTTTGACGTCCTCTTGAAGAGCCTAGAAGCCATAACAAAAATTAAACGTTAGCCAATGATAAAATTTAAAATTATTCCTTCCTTCCAAAGAAGCAGACTTCATCTGAGAATTCTCGATAAGAAAAATAAGGAAACATAGGAGAAGATTTAGACCTAGATCCTAGCCCGCAAAGCACTGCATCATAATTTTTTTGTTTTTCTTGTTGTCGTTTGTACTAAAATCGATCAAAAAAGAAAGTCAAAGCTCTCACCGTTAAATTCTTGCGTTGACCAATCAAGCTTTCGAAATTGCAAAGAACTGGAGCGAGGTTGATAACTTTCTGTTCTGTCTCTCTGAGCCAAATGTTCAATGCGCGGTACGCGTCATCGTAGTTATGGGCCAATGGAAACACTTGCTCAATGACAACGTGTCGATTGTCGCTTCTAACTCGCACACCTTCCCAAAGGGAACGGGTGGCTACCACACGGGTTTCAAATTGTTTCTTATCCGGGGCTTCCTCAGCTTTGCCAAGAAGACTCTCTGCTGCTGGGAAGAGGTAGTCGGAGATTGGGCGAAGGCGGCCGACTTCTCGAGTGACGATCTGGAAAAGGAAAACGTGTCTCAACTTGGCTCGATGAGTTGTGCTCTAAGGCAAGGCACTTAACCCTCACAATACCTCCCTCCATCAAGGACAATAAAGCAGGATACATGGGTACCAGAGAGCCGTGAGACGGAAACTTAACGTTGGACTTGCATCCCAACACTCCAGGCCGCTCTACGCTACAGATACTGGAATAAGCTAAGGCGGTAAAGAACCTCAAGGCTCGTTAAACTTAAACATTCCGTCGCACAATAACTAACCTCATGAGATGCTCTCTGTTCTTTTATGACGACAAACTCGGCTGATACAGGTTTAGCTCGAGTCAGAGACTTGTCCAGCTTTACAACCCTTCTGTCAAAGTCATCAAAGGTGTCAAACACTCGTTGTTTCTCCGTCAGCGCCGTTTCGAGTCTTCGGCGACGATCCGTCAATTTCACCGTCACTTCGTTGATGGTCGACTTCGCTCGGTTGATGCTCGAGTGAACTTCGCTGATGACTTCGGGTTCGCCGTTGTTTTCTCTGATGATCCATTCGCCAGTCTCTTCCATAGTGTCAATTTTTCTTCGATGAATGACAACCTCCTCTTCCAGATTCTAGCAAGATGAAACAGAAACTACTTAACGTTTCGAAAGATAGCTTAATTTAGTTACTCCTTTTTCTACTTTATTGCTTTTGCGCAACAAGGAAACTAACAGTTCTGGGAAATCTCTCGCAAGGAACGTAACATTTAAGGTCTTCATAAATGAGAAAGTTAACAATAAGCGTCAGCATAATGTATGCGAAGAAAGACTCCAAAGTTTATCGCCTTGCAACGAAACCACTGAGTTTAGAACGAGTTATGTGAAGGGCTATATAGTGAATACATTAGCAATTTCGAAATTTTATGTAGGACTTCCCTACTATGACAACCTTTAGGAAAAGGCCACAGGGCAAAAGCGCGTCATGAGAGAGTTTTAGATCCACGTTTGGTGTGTTCACCGCAAACGTCAAATCGCGGTCAGCAGTTTGTGGTTAGAAGTTTCGAGACTTTCAGCTTTTTAGACCGACGTCGGCTTTCACCTGGAAAAAAAATCGATATGTGCGCCGCCATCTTGAATTACACAAAGGATAGAGGTCCTTCATTTCAAATACAAAATGTGGCCAAAAGATTGGTTTTCTAGCATCCCAAACAGATTGATTATGAAGTAAAGACTTTACCTCACATATATTTACAGGACATACGCGAGAACTTTCGAACAGGAAGGAAAAAAGCATCAATGGAGTTCAACTACCTGAAAGTGCCTTGCCCGAAGTTCAAGCATGGCCGGCAAACGGCGAACGTGACCGCTAGAGTCTTTTCACGTGACTCTTAGCAGTATTCAGAGACAAGCGTGGATCTAAAACTCTCTCATCAGTCAACAGACAACGTCAGTCGGCAACCTTTGATGGTAGAGGTAAGCTATTCTTTAATGTACCTGTACGTGTTGTAATTGGTCCCGGATGTTGTCTAAGTCTGTGACAACGACCTCAACTGAAACAAAACTCATGATACCCATCACTTTCGTCTCAATCTCATTTCCGGCTCCCTGGAAAACTTCCACGGTCCGGATGTACTTCTCCAGTTTGACTTTTCTCTCTTTCAAGCGAATCTGTCGAGAGAAACGATGCAAGCTCCTCAGCACTAGTATACTGTTGAATTCAGTACCCTTCTTCTGTCTACAAACTGCTATGGGTGGATTTTTAACCCTTTAATCAAGTATGACTGATTTCTAATTTCTCTTTACAGTCTCACCCTTGAATCAAACGTAAAGTTGACGAGAACCAAGGAAATGATCACCAATTAAAGATACTCTTGATTGTTATACAAACTCTCCTTGTCAGTTCTTTAGGAACTGTATAGAGAACAGTATGGAGAATATGCATCTTTAAGTTAGGGTGTATCGAGTAAAGGGAAGATAGACTATGCCGGAATAGATTAAGTTTCTGTCTTAATTACCTGCATGACTCTGTTGTCTTTGATAATAGTGATGATATACTCGTTGTTGGTAACCTGCTTGGACAATCTCAGTAACTTTATTTCCGTCTTTTCCAACACGTCAATGCATTTCTGTTGACAAAGACCCACACACATCCATGAACTTCAGTTAATTGCCTCCGAAACGAAAAATTTCTCAAAAACACTGCGACTGTTTTGTACTTACGTTAACTTTGATGAGTTCTTCCTTAGCTTGTCCAATGTTAAAGCCGACTTTAGGCTCGGTTCCCAGAATACCCTCTGCTTCAGCCATGACTTGTTGCATCGGTTGTAACGCTTCTTGCACCTGAAGCCAAGACAACATCAGTTATTTTTTTGTTTAGAAAAAAAAAGGCCAAGTATGAACCCTTGTAAAGGGGGAATCTAGCTATCAAATGTTTTTACACAGTTTACGTTTCATTTTTTTGTTGTTTGTTTGTTTGTTTGTTTGTTTGCTTAATTGCTGGACTGCCTCACTGCTTTTCTCACTCTCTGAATGACAAATTGAGCAAGAAACCAACTCAGAGTATGCCAGACGGAATTAATGAAAGGCTGACTGACTGACAGAAAAAAAATTCACAAAGACACGCATTTCTGCAATTAAAGTGAACGTTGCAAGAGTAAAAAAATGCACTTTTACACAAAGTCGGTACACACCAATGCAAGGGTCTTGTTGGAATTTCTCAGTTCTTTTTCTCCACCGAGCACTTTCGTATTTAACGCCTCCCATCGTCTCTTAACCTCCTCCACTTCACCGATCACCATGACAACGTCGTTATTGATTAACAGCTCATGACACACGCCAATCAAAGCCTCGGACATGGTCAAAAGGTTCTGGAACACTGGTCTATGGTTCTCCATGTCCTCACGCAAAGCCTGTCAAACGAGAGTTAAATCTTAAAGATATATTTAAATATTGTGTCACAGTTTGACGAACCTAACGAAGCGTAAGAAATTTGGCCTAAGCCCCGTGCTAAAATAGAAGAAAAAACATAAATAAGTAAAATAAACCCCAAGTCACCTTGAGCTGTTCTTGTTTCTGTGACATGATTGTGAGGTCGCCTACGTCACCGAATCCCAAAGCGAGTTCGTCAAATTTCTTCTCGCTCTCGCTTAACCACGTGATCACCTCCTTTCGCACTTCCACGTAGCCAAATACGCTCGGTACCAGTTTACCAAGACTCCTATTGCGCTCGTCAATCCCCGCTCTTAAGCTTTCCCAGCGGTTTTTCACATCCGCAAGTCTTAACTCTATGTTGCTTTTGTCGGGTATGGAGTCTGCTCGTGTTAGCATGTCAAAACCTGCTTTTCTGAGTTCTTCGTACAGAAGGGCATGGAGTTCGATGTCTTCTTTGATGACCTTAGAATTCAAAGCATTTGCTATCAGTTCCATACTCAAGATACGGTCGTTAAGATTATGAAACTGTGACAAACTGACCGTGGCGACAATTTGCTCCGCACGACATGAAGAATACTTTCCTTACATAGTTGTCTCTACGAGAGTATATTCTACCTGCAACTGCTTTTACAAATTCTACCTGGTTTGAATTTATGGGAAAATCGCAACGACTACTTTTGATAACAGGACATGCAAAAAGGCTTCTCGCCTTGCGTGTCTAACTACTTTTTTCAGATATATTCTAACGACTGAATCATAATCCAAACCAACTACGCCATTCAGTAGCACAAAAACGAACAACTAAACTGCTTTCATTTGCATGGTAAAACAGTTAAGTTACATTCACAATTTGAAAAGCTGGAGCCACTTTCCTGAAAAAGCACAAGAATCTGTAATGGAGGCCACATCACAACTGCTGTGTGGCCATCATTTTTGTCATCGAGGCAAAGCTAACAAACAGAAGAAACTAAAAAAACCTTTCAACCCAAACAGAACTCAATCATTCACTTGGGAAAAAGGAAACGTTTTAATGGTTTGTCGTTAAATATATACAGCATACGGAGATAAACCTCTGGCCATTAATTAAGCGCCAAGTTACCTTCAGTCCAGAACCTTGCTTCTTGATCACACTTGGCTTGATTGACAGCATGCCAAGGGCCTGGAATCGACTCTCGGTGTCATACAGCCATCTTTCAAAGTCGTCTAGCGCCTCGTTGAATCCTTGACAGCGGTAGAGCGCAGTTTGTACATGCGCGATCCGATTTTTGATTCTGTCCTCAATGTTGCAGTACAGATCTGTAACGCTTTGAACTTTGGACTTGGTTGCATCCACAAACTTTTCGTTTTCTTTGTTGTCCTTCATCAGTGCCAGTCCATCCGATTGTAACGAGCCTAATTTGGGGCGTCGCTGAGCTAAAGCGACCTTAGAGGCCTTAAAAAGAAAACATCGAGACAGTTAAAATTGCCAAAGATAGGGACAGCGAGCGAACAAAAGGAAATCGTTTTTTTGAGAAGTCAGACCACGAGATTTTGAGAGTTGATTTGGGTTCTTTTAACCCCTTCACTCCCAAGATCTTTTTAGTAATTCTTTTCACTGTCTGCCATAAAAATTCTTAAGATGTTGGTTCGGAGAATTTGGTATTGAGTCAACTAATAGTCCCCTAAGTGAATATTTCTTTATTCTCATCACTACTCAGATTGATATTGTAACGTTATTGTAAAAAGACGTTCTGTCTTGGTCACTCGTGGGCGTTAAAGGGTGAAAAAAGGGCAACCGTGGACAGGACCAGTATCAAGTTCTTTAAATTTTCAGACCCTTAGCATTCGAATTTTATCATACAAATGTTACTTGGAACACCCTCTAATGCTTAAGAAAAAAGCTCAAAACCGTACGCGAAGTGCAAGCAACTCTAGAAGGTGTGAAAAGTTGAGAAATGCATTATCGCTATAAATTTAAATGATCAGTTTCCTGTAAGAATTATTCTCACCTGAAGCTCAGCCAACTGTCGCTTTAGCTCTTCACTGTCACTACCGACTGATTCATCCGCGATGGCAGCGTCCACGCCAGTTAAGTCCATTTCCAACTCCTGCAGCGCAGTCATGAATTGATCCGAGGAGTTGACTTGCGCTTCAATCAGCTTCTCGCGGTTAAGCAGCTCCAATCGAATCCGTTCGTAACGATCATTGGTTGTTTGCTGATCGTTGCGCGCTTCGCTTGACATCCCGTGGTAATTGTCGAGTTTTTCGGCCAACTCGGCGCCGACCTCGTTCATTCGCTTGACGTCGCGTTCGCGTTTTTCTACAGCTTTTAGGACACCCTGAAGAGAAATCAGAGCAGTTACAGATTAAACGAGGGCAAATTCACCAATGGAAGATGTGCAAATGGTGTATTGGGAAACCACACATTTATCGCTGTACTCTTTTGCTAAATTGTTCGAGAGACAGTTGATACCAGTCAAGGTCCACTGCCTTGGAAAATGCTAAGTTTATCTGAGGGATTTCGTTCGCAGTTAATCCATCATTAACTAATGAATAAAGGGGGTTACGTTTCTGAAGAAACTATGGTGCTACGTAGGTGGGAGAGTGTAACAGTGTTATTTAGTATAATCAATCGAGTTGGTAACGTTTCGAGCGTTAGCCCTTCGTCCTTTGCTCTGACGAAGGGCTAACGCTCGAAACGCCAGCTTTTAAACTCTTTACAGTGGCCAGTTTACGTTATCAACTCAGTTGATAATACTAAATTACATCATTAACTAAGTTAGGTTTGGAATAACCCAGCCTTAGTTACAACTGTAAGAGCATCATCTTTCATACCTTGATGTTCTGTAACTCTTGTTTTGCTATCTCTACGTCGGGCGACACACCAAGATATGATCCTAACTCAGTTTCAGCTAGTGTCACCACATCCTTCACGTTCTGCGAATTGTCGTGGTATTTTTGAGCCAGCGGTAAAACATCAGCGATTTGTGCATGTCGTTCGTTTGTTGTCTTCTTGAGCTCTTCCCATCTCTTCTTCACATCTTCCACTTTGGCGCTGATTTCATCTTGTTTCGGTCCTGGGCCTGACTTCTGCAGGAATTCAGTGGCCTTTCGGACGAGGCTGTTGTAGCTCGGTTCGTGCATCAGTACGTCGCGTCTGTCGGCCTGGACAAAAAGGAAAAATGACATCGCTAAGATAAGTGTTCAAGAATAGTGCAGCTTGTCACTAGGAGTTATTCGAGTTTTGTCGCCATAAAGAAACTAGTGGTCCCGTTTTTACGCGTCGATGGGATTCTTTTCTATAGCGTTTCACCCGACTATTCCCCCACTCCGCCCCTGGATTACTATACGCACTTTGGATTTCCTTACAATCTCACCTAACTCAGTTATAATTGTAATTGGAGTTTGGACGTTCAAAGGATAAGAAGACCATGGTACAATGACCACTGCAAAGAGTTGAATCTAATAGACTTCCAATACATTCCCGCCAGCTACTGATTGCGTCAAAAATAAAACGGCCACTAACGTGCAAAACTGGAACTAAGTTTTGATAAAAGGTGTTGACATGCTTTGCTCCTCTAAGAAAACCCTACTAGTACGTCCTCATGTGCTTATAACAAACCCTTTACAACTCAAACTTACTGTGATTGCTATCTCCTCGTCTTTGAGTGTGATCAGATCAGGTTTCAAGGGCTTATAGTTCGAGGCCACCTCCTTCGCACGAGAAAGCCAAGAAATAAAATGATTCAGGGCTTCCTCTACAGGTTGATGGTCAACTGGAAGAGCGAACAGTCTCTGCTCCTGAAACACAAAACATGTCTATGAAAGTTTGAAAAAGATATCTAGACCAGATGTCTAAACGTCACAGAGGACAGGCTGCCAAAGAACATGGATTTTCGGACCTTTGACGCAGAGCTGCAATTTTCCTTTTGAAGGACTCGCAAACAACCGAAACATAAATGCCAACTTGAACCATAACACAAATTATAGTCATGAAGGCGGAGCGGGGCTACTCTGAAATCGCTTGAGTGACGATTTCTACCTGTACATGCCACCGATTGGAATTCAAGATCAGCGTCCTGAACAATCGGCTGTGCATGTTATGAAGGGGAAAGAAAGAAGGGCAATGTGCAAACATTCTTTCCCTCGTCCATCGCCCAAGAATAACCAACAAGCTATACAGTTGATACCTGCTGAGGTGACAGGGAAGACAGGTAAAGTCTTTGTTCGCGGATTTTTATCTCCAGGACATGGAAGTTTTCTTTGATCATGTCCAGCTTTTCTTGGACATCGCGTGGGATGGCTTCACTCTCGGGTTCTCCGTTTGGTAACCTATGGTGGATAAGACAAGTAATGCTACGAAAACGGGGATGGAGAACAGCTTAAATCAAACATCATATTTTCATCAGTTTAAATGAATAAAATAATAGAATTATTCAAGTAACAGAGTCTTGGTGAACTTGAACAATATTTTATTCAATGTGTCCCAAGCGTTCCGTTCTTTATAAATTCACAAAATATGGTTTTAGACTATTTGCACTAAGAAGTCATCTTGTTAATTGTTAAAACACTTTTTCCATCAAGTCGAGGGTTCATAGCTTACTAAGAAAACGTAGGTGGATCTCCCTTGAATTCAAGCTAAGGAAATTAAGGTTCGGTTCACTTACAAGGCGCTTGATCTGTGCGCGTTTCTGATGAGCCAATCACCAGTCAGAGTCGCTGACGTAAGCAGTGGCTTGTGTTTACTGATCTCTTCGTGAAAGGCCTGTAAAAGAAAAGTAAGCAACGTCATATGAGGCTACAAGAAAATGTTTACCAGCAGCAAATGTTTCCAAAGACATGTCATCCCTGATCTACTTTCTGGAACGTTCGGACAATATTTAGTCTGAGAGATTTCGCGGTTATCAACGGCTGTACAGTACTCTCAGGGATTGTTTAAGCACAAGGTATGCGGACAAAATGGCGTGACTAACTGAGCGACTTGAAAATGCCAGTCAAAGAGAGATATCGTAAGTATTTTACATCTTTTGCCATTCAACTCCCAAGCTCTGACTGTTAATTCTCCCCTCTAGCTGCCGACACATTTCTTTGTAAATTAGTTTCGAAACTTTTGGTGTTAGACCAAGATAACTTCGACCTGATAAGTTTGAGTATTCTCGTCACCTGTTTGCTGGATAATGTATGGATGTTATAGGGAGAATTTACAAGCAAATCACTTGTGGGAGTTATAGGGTTAACACTAATTTAGTGTAGCTGAAAAAAGCGAAGAAAAAACAATTTTCTTTGTCACTTTTCTTACAGCTGCAGGCGTCTTTGGGCGCCAAACAACATGTCAAAGAAGACTTGAAAATGTCTTCAGTTTAAGCACAGCTTCGTAAAGTTTTGCGCCATTCTATGTAAATCATATTTGAAATACTGTTATTCTAAAGTGAAAGTAAAAATTTTTTTCTTCCAATTAATATGGATAAAGAAAAAGTGTTTACCTCCAGCTCCTCAAGTCGTTTCTTGACGGCCTGTCCATCTGTGGTGTCTATGTCTATTGCTAGAAGCTCCTCCTTTTTCCCGCCGAACTTTGCAAGAAGCCTTTCAACCGCCAACTGAAACTCATTGGCTTTGCGCATGTGCTCGTCGTAATGTTCTTCAAACCGGGTCATCTTACCCTTAAGTGCATCTACCCGACTTGACAGCGCATCCATTTGACTGCGCACCGCTGCCATGTCTGTGGAAGGATCTTGCAGACTCAGGAGGGCTTCCCCAGTAACGTGAGCTCTTTCCGCTGAATTGTTTAGTTCTGATTGTAAGTTCTGGAAAGGAAGACGAGAAAACTCTAAAAAATGATTGCTTCAAATTAAAATACATCTTAATACTTCTGTGGTTAAGCACTCCAAAGTCCAATATTTATAATTTTCGTCAAAGAAACCAAGCATGAATACAAAAAGCGGAAAAAGTGTTTACAAAGAATTATTGCATGTTTAAATATGAAATATCAGGGTACAAATATTGCACCTGCGGGGTGAAGTTTACTTTCGAAAGTGTTGAAATATATTTCAGGTTTATAGAATTATGCGAAAAAGTTGTTTTTATTTAACAGCGGGTACCTGCCTAAAACGGGCGAAACAAACTGTTCTTTTCGCTCGAAATCGTTAAATTAGTCGTTTCTTTGAACGAAAATACAATAAAACTATTTACTTTATGGCTCCTTTAGAACAACATAATTTAAGTGCCTGTCATTTGCATTTCGTTTGATTATTATTATCGTCCCAATCCGTGCGATGTTTGAGAACGATCAAGAGCGATTACCATTTGAAAAATAATAATCACATTCACTCGAATTTGAAATTTGAAATTCCAGTTAACGTATTTCCAAGTCAAATCACCACAATTAGTAAAACCATACACAAAACCTTGCCAATTTTGTCTTCAATATTTAAGGCGTACCAACTGCATCAGTACTAAATTTAGAAAATTCCTCAAAAGGAAAAGAACGGTGTTTCCAAGATTTTAATAACATCTCGGAGTCCCTACCTCCGGTTGAAGACAATTTTTCGCTTTACTATAAAATTTCTTTTTCCCAGCCTGCAACTCGCCATTGCAATAAAAATATTCAGACGAAATACGATTTGCTCGCGGTAAAGATTGGCCAGACGATCTTCTCACACGGACATTTAAATGTTTGTTCAAACAGCCTTGCCAAATAGTTACGGCGCGAAAATATTCCTCTTTTCCACTTTCTGACACATCGTTAGCTTGTAAATTGAAGGCACGAGATTTTCCGTCCAAAGATTTTTCCAAGAAACATCCGCAAGTTGATCGGCTCTTTGAGTTGCTTATCATAACTCTAGCAGCGGGATTTACGGTGCTCTTATTCGTGGGTCCCGTAAATCTGATAAACGTTCCCCCATTCATTTGAGTACGGACTGAAGTCACCTCTTTTCTGTCGCATGAGCATTCTCCGAGCGATCGCCTCGTACGGAGTTTTAATCGCAGACTGCTGATGTCGGCGGCTTCATCAAATTTCGCGTTATTACAATGCCCAAGGCGATCCGTCTTAATTTTGCAACCTCGAGATTCACATTCTGGAAGATTACTCCAATTTTCCTTTTTGTGCATTTTAAAACTTAAATAATTGTGTTGTAAGGTAAGATCTACGTGTTCCTCGGATGAACCGATGGATTTATCGTAAGCATGATTTTATAAACAACTTCCTTCCATTCATTCGCTTGTTCGACATGAAATATCCAGAATAATCTTTGATGATAGGTTCCGATGATGAACAAATCCAGAAATTTTCCTTTTCATTGTGTATAACACAGATCTTTGCTTGGTGTTTAGACGGTTGGTGATGACTCGGGTTTCTCAAAACAATCCAGAGAACCGTTGCGTCTACATAAATTTGCTATCCTAAACACTGCCACTTAATTATACATTCACGACACCGAATTTACATTTGAGACAAGGTCGCCGTCTTTGTTGTTACGGGCTGCGCGAGTTTAAACAAAGAAACAGCTTCTTTCTCTCAGTGCACTACGTTAAACATAAGATCTCAACAAAAAAGCCCTAATCCTGTGTTCCCACTGAGAAAGGAAACAGCGAAATTTTAATGTCATCTCTTGAATATACTGAGAAAAAAAATCATTTTGATTTTTGCAACCAAAAAAAATCAAGTGATGACGTGTTTCTAAGAATACATTTTACAGTAAATTCCATTTTAATAATGTTTTGAAAAGCACATTTGAAAAGTTTCTGATTCAAGATTTGTGAGGAAAGCGTAATTATCTAATCTACGAAAGTAACATTTTCCCTACATGATAGACAAGAAATACAATAAATGTCACAACACAAGAACACTCATGATGAAATCATGCGGGACTCATCAGATTCCATCTGCAAATCTTTAAGAACGAAAGGACAGAAAAGGCAATTTCAAAGCAACAGTGACGCGCTGCAGGAATTTCAATGACGAAGAACTTTCGGAACAATGTGTTTTGAAAGAGAGAATCTCTAAAGCAGATTTCCTTTTAAGAGGCCTACAAATAAAAATACGAACAAAAGAATTATGCTTTTATTTCCTCGCTTGCTAACATCTCTTTTCACATCGGTCCGTCCTTTGTATTTTGATTCCTGTAATGTAAAATAATTAGCAAGGTTATTCTTTTGCCAAAAATAACCAAACAAATAAAGCGCCTCGATGGAAACCATGCTGAGCGGTCCGTGGGAATTAACCTCCAAAATTCAACAACTTTGATTCTTTACCTTCACGTCAAAAAATTACCAAAAACCAAATTAGCTTGTTTACAAGACTGTCTTCATAAATTAACACCATTGAATATTTTGTTGTAAAGAGAGCATGAAGTAGCATCGCTGTACGTGATGTTCGAATCATCTTTCCCTCTTCCAGTGTTTTTTAGACTTTAGTCGTGTATATTTACAGAAGAGCACTATAAGAAGGCCTTGACAGTTTCTTCCTTAACAACAAACTCAAACGTGAGAAAATACATCAGTTCTTGACAAATCGAAATTTTGCCGGATTTTCTAAGGAAATGCCAGTTATATAAGGACACAATTAAAAAAAAAAAAACAAAACCAAAAAAACAACATTTTCAGCAATGTTTTCTGTTCATGGCCCCCCTCTATTTTCATGTATTTTATCCAAAAATTTGACCCTTGAAAAGGATCGGACAAAGATACAAGAAAAACTTTGGATCTAGTACAAGAGGAGAATGGACTTTAAGTACACGTGCCGACTGGAAAACAGCAAAGTAAACAACTGATGTCTGATGGGTCAACATCACATTTATGTCACCTCAAAATACGGAAACTTTGGCGTTTTTTTCTTTCCCGCTCGATTACTAACCAAATGAGTTGACTTAAAATTCAAAATACTTATAATAATTGTAATGATGATAATGATAATGAAAATAAGAACAATAATAATGGCAATAATAATAATAATAATAATAATAATAATAATAATAATAACATCTCTAATAATAATAATAATAATAATAATGATAATATCTCCTCTCCTCTCCTCTCCTCTCCACACTTTGTTATACTATTTATTGTATAATTTCATTTTATTTCTCATAATACAACTGACGATGGATGATATTTCATCCGAAACATGTTTTGTTTTCATTAAAAAATTAAAAAAATGAACTTCAAAAGCGTCGTGTGGTTCATCAAAGCATTAATAATAATAATAATATAATAATAATAATGATAAAAAAATAGTAATAATAATAATAATAATGATACTAATGACTATGATATAATGAAGTTGCAAAGTTTCACGCGGAAATGGAGTAATAAAGTGAAAGAATATTTTAAAGGCACTACATTACGGTTTGTTTATTCTTAAAATTCAGCTTATCTTATTTTCACGCTCGTCAATTTCCATTTGCAATCCGTTTCAATCTTCTCCATCTTCAGCTTACCTACTTCTTTCATGGTGTACTGCTGTCTCTTCTTTGTTCCTTTATCTAACTGAACTAATACTTTGAAGTCACTGTAACGGCACAAAAAATGTCCCATAGAATCTTACTTACAGAGGCCCCTTAGACCTCTAACTTTCTGTGAAAGCCTCACCTTTATCTTCTCAATCTCCTCCTGGATCTTTTCAGGCTCCGCCCCGAATGCACGCTGGGTATTCAGTTTGTCTTCAATTTTAGAAATCACTTCTGACAGGTTTTGTAAGGCATCATGGAAATCGTCCGCCAGAGGCGCAACATTTTCCAAGCTTCTCCGTCGGTCCGCGGTTCTATCCACGATGCTGCTCAAGGCTTCGGTCACGTGATTCACCTCTCTGGAAAGTTCCTCTTTGTCGCCAGGTTGCGCAGTTTCAACCAGGACCTCGCTGACTTTGGTGAAGTTTTCAATGACTGGTGCTCGATCAGCGATTTCGTTTTCTATGTCCTACGAGAAAAAGGGAGGGATCTTTTTAAAAACTTGGTGTTTTTCTCACCTTAAAAATGTTAGAAATTTTACATATGGAAATAGAAGGAATGAAAGTATTTCTTTGCAGTTATCATTTCCCACGAAAGTGATTTAAGGATTCAGTGAAGTTAGACGCTAACAGGTAGAATTTTTATGAACAGATTAGAATCAAATGATCAATAACTGTGCATTTTGTTATTGCTTGTCCTAAAAGTTGTTTGTAACGAAAATATCAGATTGTAATCCTCATACTCGAAAAGGAATTCCGTTTTATGAACTTTTAAAAAGTTTAATTTTATCGTTGGTTATGACTGTTACCCTCGTGAACGCGTTTAAAAATAAACACTCAGCCGAGTATCAGTCATTTAAACGCTTCTATTAGATTCTCTCGTTAACAACGACTGTATTTAATTCAGCTGCAAACAAATGAGGAAAGAAGTAGAAAAATAAATGAAATCTTGAAAATCACAGATTCATATGAGATTTACAAAACTTTTACGAGTATGAGTTGGCACAATAAGAAGATCAAGAAATGAATGATATTAGCTACGGTTAAAGCATATATGTAAAAAGGAAACTGATATAAACATGACAAACAAAATGTAACAGTAATAGAAAGGAATGTAAAGTGAAAATAATTTGTGATGTGAGAACAAAGTAAAAGATGAAGGCTGCACGAATACAAGCTGGAACCAAGCAAAAGAAATAATTAGGTGCAAGGAAAAAAGTAAACATAGACGAAGCGAATACATGAAATGAATAACTGAATTGAAAGTACGTGTAGCAGCAAGATCATAAACACGACTGCTAGAATTGGCCAGAAGTAGGCGAGTAAGAAGTATGTGGAGGCTTCCTTAGAAGTGCACAGTGGAGGTATGATTCCTCAGAAAACAATCACTACATAGCCGACATACACTGATAACGGACAAAACAACAAAGTTATTCCATATACATAAAACATCAGTATTAGATATGTGGTGCTAACATAAAATGCAAATTGTGTAGTACATTAATCAATTTTTGATCATCAATGGAATAGGACGCGTCAAATCACATTGCAGATGCCTCAGAGTGAACTTTGAACTAACGCAACTACAGTGATAGATGGTGCGATAAGCAAAAGGCATAGATGAACCAAGATAGCTTCAAATGAAGCCACAATTTACTTGCTACTAATTTCATTTTTATCAAAACGTCCATGCAAATTTTATTTTATTAGCAATAAATAGGTTTTTATTACAGTCTATCTTGTTTACAGATTATCACATTTAGGATCGCATCTCAGTGTAGTTCCAAGTTTTTCCAAGGTTGACTTTCTCGTTACGCATGCAAGCAATGACAACAAATCTTGTTTAAAGAGGTTTAGCAGTGGTAGAGAGAAAAGAGCCAGAAATGGCCTCATGGCCGATATCCACAAGCACCGTGCAAATTACTCGGCATACAATGTTCATGCAATTCCCATCATGCAAATCAACAAATATTCTGCGTGAGAGGAATACCTTGATTTCTTGCAATTGCGTCTTGATTTCATCCACTTTCCACGAAACGGCCCTCATCCAGCTCAACTTTTTCAAAGTTGTGAGCATCCACTGCAGGAAATTCTCCAGAACAAAATTAAACCGCATGTGTCTTGAGCTGTAGATGAAGATCAACGATTTGTGCTCCAATACGTATTGATAAAGTGTTTCAATAACGACAAGGTAACGTTGTACGACGGTTGTTTGGTATGGGATGGACACTCGCCGGGATGATGTAAGCTCAGCTTGATTAAAGACAGTGGATTCAGGTGTGATTGTTTCCACAGTTTCAGTTTCCTCATATGGAACCACTTCCTCTACTGGCCTTTGCATTCCGATCGTCCCTTCAACACTTCCATGATGCACAGTTCTTGTCACTGTTCGTGTCACAACTCTTCTGATCCGTACACCGTGTTCGTCAACATACTCTTCAAATTCTTCTGGCGCGTCATGTTCTGTGTGGGATACAGGTAGCTCTATTGTTGTTGGTGCAACATCTTCTGTCTCGAGATAAACAGGTGCCGCCGACTCAAATACCTTTGTACCCAGATCTTTTTTCTGTTCGTCGCCAGATTTACGTATTATACTTGTGGTTGTGATGGTGCGTCTCACACGAACACCATTTTCATCAACATATTCTTCAACTTCTTCTGGTGATTCACCTCCTGTTTGCGGTAAAGTAAATCCAACCTCTTCAGGTTCAATCTGCTGGCCTTCTCTTTTTATACTGGTTGTAGTGACAACGCGTCTCACACTTCTCCTTACACGAACTCCATTTTCATCAATATACTCTTCAACTTCTTCTGGTGATTCATCTCCTGTTTGCGGTAAAGTAAGTCCAACCTCTTCAGGTTCAATCTGCTGGCCTTCTCTTTTTATACTGGTTGTAGTGACAACACGTCTCACAGTTCTCCTTACACGAACTCCATTTTCGTCGATATATTCTTCGACTTGTTCCGGTGATCCATCTCCTGTTTGCGCTATAGAGAACTCAACTTTCTCTGGTTCAATCTGCTGTCTCCTAAAACTGGTTGTAGTGACATCACGTCTCACAGTTCTCCTTACACGAACTCCATTTTCATCGATATATTCTTCGACTTGTTCCGGTGATCCATCTCCTGTTTGCTTGCTATAGAAAACTGTTTCGACTCGACTTTCTGGTTCAATCTGCTGTCTCCTAAAACTGGTTGTAGTGACATCACGTCTCACAGTTCTCCTTACACGAACTCCATTTTCATCGATATATTCTTCGACTTGTTCCGGTGATCCATCTCCTGTTTGCGCTATAGAAAACTCGACTTTCTCTGGTTCAATCTGCTGTCTCCTAATACTGGTCGTGGTGACATCACGTCTCACAGTTCTCCTTACACGAACTCCATTTTCATCGATATATTCTTCGACTTGTTCCGGTGATCCATCTCCTGTTTGCGCTATAGAAAACTCGACTTGCTCTGGTTCAATCTGCTGTCTCCTAATACTGGTCGTGGTGACATCACGTCTCACAGTTCTCCTTACACGAACTCCATTTTCATCGATATATTCTTCGACTTGTTCCGGTGATCCATCTCCTGTTTGCGCTATAGAAAACTCGACTTTCTCTGGTTCAATCTGCTGTCTCCTAATACTGGTCGTGGTGACATCACGTCTCACAGTTCTCCTTACACGAACTCCATTTTCATCGATATATTCTTCGACTTGTTCCGGTGATCCATCTCCTGTTTGCGCTATAGAAAACTCAACTTTCTCTGGTTCAATCTGCTGTCTCCTAATACTGGTCGTGGTGACATCACGTCTCACAGTTCTCCTTACACGAACTCCATTTTCATCGATATATTCTTCGACTTGTCCCAGTGATCCATCTCCTGTTTGCGCCATAGAAAACTCGACTTGCTCTGGTTCAATCTGCTGTCTCCTTATACCAGTTGTAGTAACATAACGTCTCACAATTCTCCTAACACGAACACCATTTTCATCGAGATATTCTTCAACCTCCTCTGGTGACTCTTCCTCCGTTCTATCATCTGGTGAAGGGACCAAATCGTGATAGACAGGTGCCGCTGATTCAAACACTTGGGGTCCTCTGTTATCTTTATTTTTGTCAATCGCCTTTGGTGAATGGTCATCTGTTTTCGTTGGCAGTAAATTGGATTGTGGAATCTCCTCTAACGATGAACTCAACTCAGGAATTATCACTTTTTTCTCGAAGTGCACAGAAAACACGTTTTCTTTAACTTCTGGCCTTTCTTCTGGCTCGCCTCTTTCATCCTCGTCTCCAACTTCCATTCCAGACTCCGCAGGTAGTTTGGGTGACGGCATATCGGATTCTTCTTCCGACGGGAACGCAACGTTAACAGGTTGTAATGTTCCTTTCAACTGAGTCGTGAAAACTGATTTTCTGAGCTTCTGTGTGCGACGACCAGCATCGGAGGCAATCATCACTATCTGTTCTCCTTCCTCGGGATCTTCTCTAAGCTTGGAATCATCGACATCATCAGGTTTCAGGACAACCTTCATTGATCCATCTCGCAGCACCGTTTTCATTGTAGTGGTATGAGAAGTGCGCATTACTCTTGTTATCCGTTGTCCGTGCTCGTCTGTGTACTCCTCTACCTCTTCTTTTGGCTCAGGAGGGATATCGACATCCATTTCCAAGTCGGGCATCTGACGTTCTACTCGTAGTATTGTCTTGGTGGTCGTTAATTTAGCAATTCTTTTTACCTGACGTCCGTCTTCATCAACGTATTCCTCGATGACTTCTTCATCAGGATCATCACTTTTATCTCCCGAACTCTGCAATGAAATACTTACCTCGCCTGGTTCCTCTTCCAAGTAAACAGGTTGTGCTGATTCAAACACGACCGTCTCCCCATCGTTGTCCTCGTAATCTTCTTCGTCAGAAGAGGCCCCAAGAAGGGGCCTTCCCCATTCAAATTCTTCCTGTTTAGTCTCTGGTCTAGATTTACTTGGGACTTCAAAGTTTAAACTTTCAACGGTGCCCATTTCGACGGCTGTAACTCCAAAGGGAGACTTATCTTCCACTCTCCCATCACTATCAGAACTTTTTGCCACTGGTTTCCCTAATTCAAACGGTCTGGGTGAAAGGAGTACGTTAGTTCTCTCAGCAGCAGGTTCCGTTTTCCCAGATTTAGGAACTTCAAATGTATCAAGGAGATTCTTTTTGACTGTGGTGACCTTAAAGGGACGGGAAGAATCGCTGTCTGTTGGAGATTCATCATCCTAAAGATACAATGAAATACCGCGCGGGTCAATAACCTCCAAAGATGATAAAGCTACTTCGCTCAACTGATGGAGATATCTCTTTAATGACCGGCTAGTCAGGTGACCTAATGGTCGCATCCAATTAATTGATGATGGTGTAAATTCTCACTGCCTGGCTGTTTGACAAACTATCAAACTTGTGAAGAGAATTTATGCCTCACTGATTACTTCAAGTCGTGAAAAGTCGATAAATTGTGAAGAAACTCTTCTACATCCAATATTTTTATACTTTTTCCAATGTATCCTTTAATTTCCGTCGCGATAGGTAAACAAAATTGCCTCTTCAGATTTAATTTGCATACAAAACTGAATACAAATTAGCCCCACGACAACCTAGAAAAATTTCGCAAAGTTTAATAATAGGCCATTCAAATATGTGGATAAGCTGTTGATTGCTAAAATAAAGATCAGGATTTCAAATTAAGTCTCTAGAGTGGGTTTCAATTGTCCTCAAATACTGCATCTCAGATCAGTCCTCACAAGCAATTAGAATACAGCCGCGGGGCCAAAGCGACGCGTAGCAAACACATGGAAGTGATAATTGTCCACATCTTTTCGCAGTTTTTCATGGGCAATACAGACGGAATTGATTTGATGCTGTACATACATTACCTAACTATCAATATTACACTGCGAAATATTACTACCATCAACATATTAAAAATTGGAAGTTCTCAGATATGTATCGCTTCTAATAGACCGAACAATATAGTTTTTCGAACAGTCTACTCGCAACTACAGAGGTGATGGTAAATCAGTCGTAATAAATAGAATACTGGCAATTAAGAGACAGAAACTAGTACATTTTTCCTGAATACGACATCACCTGATCCTTGCCGCACTATAATTTGTGCATTGTTTGGGTTAGTGATGTTAGCACTCGCACATACAAATTTCATTAACTCGCGTGTTCAAAATACAAACCAAGAATTCAACCCACAAAATATCTTCTAAAAACAGGCCGAAAAACTAACCAGCCCCCTGATTTTCATCAGTCGATGTGCCAAGACACTAACTACATTTATGCTAAACATTCCAAGATAAACCATCCGTGTCTCAGGTTGTTAACATATCTGTCTCTTTAAGAATAAGTTTAGAGATCAACTCACATCTTGTTTGCGCCGTCTAAACAAGCCAAAAACTCGTCCCACAGCAGTCACAACGGGATTCATTTGGACTGTGGCTAAGAAGCTGAATTCAGCGACCGATCATGCTTGTCAATAACGAATAATTACCCCAAGAGACTCGTGTTAAATTGTTCAACCAGAACTGTTCCCGCACAATATTGCGGAGCGAGTGTTTACCGACACAAAGTGATTGGGCGTTTAAAAAAACAACAGAAATAAAATATTCGTCAATGTTCAGAAAAATGTTCAAGGAAACGGACAATAAATGAACAAGCAGCTGACGGGCCTTAAATAACATCACAGTAACCTCGTAACACAAATTTATGCATTCCTTCTACACGTTCTTAAGACACCTTAAGAACAATAACAGCCAAAAGAAAACAGTGTCAATTGTAGTTTCTAATCACGTTCATCTTTTCTCTCAGTGACTAAAAATAGTCTAGATCCTTCCTTTCGCGGCTGGTATACACGCAGAATACTAAGCAACCATGATCCCTTCCAGGCTCGTACCTAAGGGTTACTTCCCACCTTCAGAGGCCGAAAAAATCGATTTTTCTTCTCTTTGACTAAACTGAAATTCAAACATTCAACCTAACGTTCCCGTAAAAAAAGCATCTGAAATCTATCTGAAAGTACCCAAGTTATTTATAAAAACGTATTTTCAAATCAGTTAATAAATCAGGAAGATGTCATAACCTGGGCGGGTGCCCTGGGGGAATTTTCGCGGCAACCGCTCATGTTGGGGCTCGATTTTCATCTTATTTCCATACATTGTTTACATCGCGCACTTTACAAAATTCATACGTGGAAGCTCTTTGTTTATGGGAAAATCTTTGCTCATGGAAAAATGAAAATCGGAAGAAAGTCCTTGGGAAAAAAAGAAAAAAAAACAGGCCCCAAGAAGAAAGAAAGGGTACCATTCTGTCAAGAAAAGAAAAAAAATCCTTCGTTAAAGTGACTGGGGGAGCTCCACGCTGGCGTCCAGATTTCGAACAAAGAAGTCGCCGCCAAACCAAGATTTGCCATACATGAGGGTCATTATTGTGTCGTCCTCCTCAACGCTTCCCTGAGCGATCGAGAAAAAAAAAAAGGGGCTTGAATGGGTTACTTTTCCCACGAAATCTTTATCATCGTCATTGACGCCAGGAGGTCTCGTTGTCCTATTAGTTTGCGGTTTCAGGAGGCGAGATAATCTCCTAGCGTGGCGCGAGTTGTTGGCGAACCTTTAAAAGCTAAAATCTCGTATATGATGTTGGGAGGAATACAACCACTTTGAGCAAATTTATAGGGTATATAGATTTGACCGATTCTCGTAAAATTTCGCCGAAACATCCTAGGAGTAATGACAAACGAAAGTGTCGGAAAATTTTGATATTTGAAATATTTGTCCCGTAGCGTCCATTTACGCAAAACGAGTCGCATATTTTTAGCTACTCCAACTTTAGATGCCGATATCTACACAACCAATCAGAATAACGGAAAAGCCTGACACACGTAGTTGATTGATGCCTTGTGAATGAGACTATGTAGCCATTTTGCTCGTGCTGCAGCATCCGATACCCAATAAATTCAATAGAACCTTCGGTCGTTTCACGCCTTACCGGCTCCTAACGCTTCCTTAAGAGAAAAGTCGCTTAAATTATATTTTTATGGTAAACTGTTTTATTCAGCTTTCTCCTGATATATAGTTTGCTAGGATTTAAATGAAACTAGCGCGCGTACGAATTTTTTCCCGAAGGACACCTGCAAAGGTGGGAAGTAACCCTAAACTTTTACCCAGTGCTTTTCGATTTCAGAGAGACAAATCTTTATTTATTCCTAGAACAAGAATATCATTCTCAAATTCCACTCGATCAGCTGATGCTACACACTAAGCACTATCAAACAGTGATCATACAGATCTGGGTAATGACACGATAAACTTAAGGGAGACACTCCTCCCTGGCACTTGGAAAGGAAGCTCACCTATGCCCGGCTCCACAAATTGGCATCAAACGTGACATTTCCAGCGTGACGTCCACTTCTCTTGGGCATCATTTCACTTCTCTATAGGTTAATATGACAACTGCACTTACCTCGGCGCGGTTGTTTTCGCTACAGGAACAAGTTTACGTGAAAACGATAGTGTGAAATGTGAGACGTGGAGCATGAAATGTGAATAGAATGAAACGTGATGCGTGAACTGTGATGTGTGAACCGTGACGAGCGACGCGCAAGGAATTTCTTTCCGGACTTACCTTGAATTCAAAACGATTTTTTAGCTCCAGCAACTGAGTTTGGAGTTGATCCCACTGGTTGTTAACTCCAGTCACCTTATCGACGACACTCCTTGGGTTCTGTTCTGTATCCTCCAGATGTCTTATCACTTCCTGCCCAGACTCATTGGTGTTGGCCAGCTGGTATTTCAGACTGGATATTTCGTGATTTAAGGCCTATTTAAACAAAACAAAACAAACAACAATTGAGTTAAACAATTTTAAAATATGTTTGGGATAATAAAAAACAGTAAAATAATGAAAAGGTGCATAGGTGCTTTAGACTGCGGAAAATGAGGAAAGTTAGATTTCTTTGAACACATCAGTCGAAAAGCTCTCAAAAGGACTAAGTCGATGACACAGATTACCATGAATGAGGTAGTTACAAATGTACTAGCCAATTAATCAGTTCTTAAAGCTAGTAACATAGCGACGGCTAAGAAACTGTTTAAAGTTTAACCACGTTTCCCCGGGAATTCAACGGCTCGCCACGTTTTTCACTTCCTTTGAGAAATGGTTCTTGAACCAATCTTGCTACTTCAAACCCTTCTTTTTGACCCTTTTTTACATAGTTCCATATTTCTTTTTTTTTTATTTTGATGACGAACGACTCGACATGCACGGGAGTTACCTTGACCCGTCTGCTAACATTCTTGGGATCGTCTTCACTCAAGAGGGCCTCGATCTCCGAGCGGCGCTGTTTAATCTGAACCGTGAGAGACTGGACTGATTCGTCCAGGTTCTTGACCGTACTCCAGGTGCTTTCCAGCTCTTTTTGTCGATCATTTGAAGCTACCACGATGAACTCCATGCGGCTCCTCACGTTGGCAATTTCTTCCTGGAACGAACAGAATAAGTCGTGTTGGTCATGGTCATGGTAACTCATCGAATACCTTTCTGCAAAGCACCATTTCTCGCCGGGGGGGGGGGGGGTAGAAGAAAGGGAGGATCACACGGTTATAGAGACCGGACCTCTAACAGTCAAAGGTAATAGTAACTCGTTTTCACTCACCCCATACGGTGAACTGAGACTTTCCACAATCAAAATTAATCATTTATATCCCAAGATCCGTTGCAAGTTTATAAGATGCTCTTTCGACCCCCTTCCCACCCCTCCCCGCGCGCAGTGCAAGGTTTACTCGTTTTGGGGCTGAAAATTTATCTGCCCACATTTACCCTACAGTTGCAGCAAACGACTGCGAGAAACCGCAGTAAAGAAACTTTAGCAGCTAAGTTTTACCTGGATTTCTTCACTTCCAGCAGCACCTTCTCGGTCCTCTAACAAATCATTTCCGGCTTTCAAGAGCAGTTCAACATCTCCTTTGTTCTGGGCAATCTCTTTTTGTAGAGTCTGGCGAAGAAATCCAAAGCAAATCTGTCATGAACATATATTACAACGCTTTTCCAATGGCTGTTATAAAATCAAAATTGAAGTGAACACCTCAGTTTATTAAAACAACCTAGAATACTAAATAAAGAGCCATGATCAGTTCATTGTGATACACATATTTTCACTACCTTCGATTTGCTGAGCGTGTTCTTTCTCACCAACTTTGAAATCTTCACATCACGTCAATTAGCTTATTATGTGATATAAAAAAAAGCGCTATGTCTTCGAATTGTGGTCAAACTTTCAGCACATTGACAAGAAAAGCGTGACAAACAGAAAGTAATTCTACTTCGGGCTTTCTTAGGTGTCCAAAAAGTCACGCAATATTAATGTCATGCACATAGCGTGACAGGGGTCTTCAGATCTTACCTTGTGATCGGATATTTGACGTCTAATGGTATCAGTGTCTCCCGCCACGGGTTCTAGTTTGCCTAACCTCTTCTCCGTCCTTCCCAGAAAAATTGTAATATTCCGCACCAGTCTCCTGTATTTTTCCATCTGCAACACGGTCGTCTCCAACGTGACATTTCTCGTTTCCAGTTGTTTCCACACGTCATCGTAACGCGTGCGCACTGATGTCAAGTCCCCCTCAAGCGGAGTCTGAGGTGTTTCACCGGGGTGCTGAGATGTAATACTGATGATAACTTTCCCCAGGCCAACCAACAGATCGATTTGAGCCTTGTAATTCACGGCTTCGTTTTGCAATGCCTGCAAAATGAAATCAAAAGAGATTTGATAACTTCATAACGTCCTGAAAACCCTTGGAGTGACCAGCATCTTATTTCTCCTTACATCAATACCGCCCAATTATTTATGAAGATCATAATAATTAAAGAAATGATCGCCAGCGTAAGGAGCTTTGATTGTCATTCTTCTTCTCCTTATTAATGCCAAAGGAAATGTAAAGAGAACAGTATGGAGATTATCAAAACTGATGTTAGGGTGCGAAGGACTTACGAACCATATTTACCAGAGAACATAACTTTTTCTTTACTTAATAAGATGATGGCAGACAGGTGCCTTAAGGAGGAAAATTCGGCGGCTTCATTCAGTTTTATTCAGTCATTTTTGCTTCCTGGAGCCTTATCTACAAGTCAGATTTTCATTTTCTCTTCTAACCCCAAATTACCTTCTGTTCTTTCATCTGCGCACTGAGTACATCTGGGTCCAGACCCACGGGAGGTATGGAGACAAGCCTCACTTCTATGGTGTCCAACCACACAGTGACGGTTTTGTACACAGTGTAAAACTTTTCAGACTGTTCCTGTAACTCGTCAAACTTTGCCGTGGTATTGAGCAGTTTAATCGCAAGAGTCTGCCAGTTCTTGTTCACGCGGTCTAGTGTTTCTAGGATGATGGACTGTTGCTTATTTTTTTCCAGATTAATCAGTTCGTGACCTCCCTGGTTCACGGATTGGAAGGCAGGCCGCATCTTTTCGACTTCGTCTTGGAAATGCTAAAAAACGAAAACAGGTGAAGTTGAGTATATATGAATAGAGTGAAAATCGTTCATTGCCCATTCTTATCTGAAGCGAAAGTAGGGGTATTTGTACAAGATCAGCAGCAAAGCCATCTTACCTTCCCGGAGTATCTGGTAAATTCAAATTAGGATTTCGAGCAGCTAAGATGTAGATTTCATTTACCGTACAAATAAAAGTTTCGAGTAGAACAGCATAGCGTGTATCCAGGGGTTTCACCAAGTTTTTCCACAAGCGGTTACCAAAGGTGTAACAAGAGGGGGCTGTGCCCGAAAAATGGCCACAAGCAAAACCCAAGCATGAGAACCTCATAGCAAGCTCAACAGACGGCGGTAGACCGCTTTTAACGAAGCCCCTGGTGTACCACTCCGTCTTTAAATAAGGATTACAGCGTAAAAACAGATCATACGACAGTGAGAGGCACACCAATCAGGGTTGTCGAAAAGCTTTAGGGCAACCGGAATGTGATAAAAAGTACTTTGGTTTTATCAACTGAGTTGATAGTGTAAATCAGCCTCAGTTGGGAGTTTCCAAAGCTGACATTTCGCTCAGACAAAGGGTTAACTCTGAAATGTCAGCTTTAAAATTCATGAACGATGGCAAATTTACATCATTGACTAATTTGATAAAACCAAATTACCTTGTAGTACCTAAGCCGACGTAGTGCCACAGTTTCTTAAGCAACTTAGCCCAATTATTCATTTGTATTACAAAGTATCACACGTATCCCACCTGTAACTTCTCCTCAAACACCAGGATATCACTAGTCACCAGTTCGCCGGCGTCGAGCCTCTTGATCATACCCAGTTCCCAGCGTTCAAAGTCTTTTGCGATCATGATAAACACACTCTTGAGTTCTTCCTTACGATTGTCAGATCTTTCCAACACTTCAACCCAGAGTTTGTTGAGCTGTTTCAATTTGGATTCTTTCTGCTTCTTCTTCTGCGAGTTAAACATTTCGTTCAGAGCTTCCACAGATGTTCCGTTTCGGTTGACTTCCACTTGAAGAATCTGCGAAAAATTAAAGTTTAGGGTTAATGTTAGGTTAGGGTGAGGGCAGATGCGCTGTTGCTCATATACTGACATTAATCCGTTTATAACACGACGTTTGCGGCTAAGATTCAAAACATTACCTCTTGAATTCTCAACTAAGTTTCAGAGTTAACAAAAATAAACAAACTCATCTGCTATAAAACCAAGTTTTCTAACTCAACCTACATAGCTATGTAAAGTAGATATAATTAAGAGTTTCTTATTATATCTTGTGGGTTCACGGATTAAGAAGCAAAGTCGTAAAGGCATGTATACGTTGTTTCTCGAATTGGATTCTTCAAACCTTAGAAACAAATGCTAAAAGAATGAAAATTGTGTCCAGCAAAAGTATTTTCTGGAAGCATAAGCTCTTGTTCTGTTAGTCGCGTTACCTTAAACCGCTGCGCCTGGTTCCTGAGTTCAATCAGATTGCGTGACACGGGTGTAACTTTGTCGAGTTGTTTCTTAAGTTCAGTCAGAGCCTTGATCGCAACATCTAATCCATCCTTGAAGTTCTGTGAGGTGGTGAGCGCTGCCTGCAATTTTTCCTGGTAGACACTGATGTTCGCACACAGCTCGTCATATCGCTGGCTTATCGTCTTCCCTCGCTCAAACTCGGGCGTTCGAATCAATCCTTGGACACTGTGGCCAAGTACCCCAACAGCTACGATCTCCGCCTGATGTAAATTCACCTCTGTCTGCAGAACCTGACGAGAGACAAATCAAAACGAGGAAAACAACCTGTGAGGCGTGCTAACACTCCGATCACCCCACCCACTTCGTTCTCCACGTGGTCGCGAGGTTTTTAAAAGCTTGACGCGCAAAGAATATGTCTGGAAATGTGGCGTTGAGATTGGTCTGACTCGAGACACTCTCCGAGCCAGTGGGATGGAAATAGTAGACGGGGACACAGCCAATCAAAAAAAATCAAATCGCCATCTTCGCGATTCATATGCAAAGCCGAACATATGATTGGTTCATTTGTACTACGTGGTACAAAAAAGTCTTCTCTGATTGGCTATGTTCTATAGTGCCCCGTCTACTACGGAGCGACTTTGTTCCTTGCGTTATCCCGCGCTTTAGATAGCATCTTTATACTGTACGCTCCCATTGAGTCGTATTGGTATTTCATCTTTGTTCTGAAAGCTGCATTGCAACGCTTTCTGTAATCATTTCCAGTTACCTTCAGTTCAGTGATTTGCTGTTTAATAGCTGTTGGATCTGACTTCACAGGCTGCGCCATGTACCGGGCTAATGTGTCTTCTGCTTTGTTCAACCAGGGTAACACCTGTGTGGCTTGACTGTCATACTCACGCAATTGCCGCCATGATCGGTCTAAGATAGTTCCTTGTTCACTAATCAGCAAAAGAAGCCTGCGAAGGAGAGAAAATGCCTTAGTCGCAAAATATTCATCTTTTTACCCCTAAGAGTGCTAGCATCCAATTTTTCCTGACAATATCACCACTGAATCAAATCGTCTGGACACGAGAATGAAGGCAATGATCATTAACTAAAGAAGCTATTGGTTTTTTAAAAAATTCTCCTTATCAGCATCTTGGGAATGTATAGAGAACAGTATGGAGAATTTGCTTACTGATGATGGGGTGTAAAGGGTGAACTGTTTCGAGCCTGGTAGGTCGTAACTTCCGGGGTTATCCTGGCCTCACTGGCATGTGGTGACAGAGAGAATTGCCTCCTTCGGTACATTAGACTATCGAATGTAATCACCGTAGTTTCTCAAGTCCCCCCCTGGGGCAGAAGGCTACGGTGTTACAAAAGAGCACAACGCAGGGGACCGGCCCAACATTGAACTGTCAATATCGATTCAAACGTCAATAACTGGGCCGTAAAATGACTCCACTTACTGTGAAATGCGACATGAAATGCAACACGTGGAATTGTAAAGAGATCTTGCAATCAGTAATGCCTCAAAAACAATCAAGATCTGACTTGCGTAAATTTCTAAAAGGTTGTGCGATTTGTAATATTTTTTTTTTATAGAGGATAAACTGAGATGCCAAAAAAAAAAACACCAACGAAATCAAAAGAAAACAAAAAAATTTCAAAGGAATTACTCTTTACCTGCTGTAGCGCTCATTAATATCAGCAAGCTTGTTCTCTAGTACCCAGGACTTTTCATTAGGGACCGCTATACTAACTTGCGCCGGCGATGCAACATCTGTGGATTCTAATGTGGCAACAGAACGCTCGAGCTCTGCGTGGAAAACCTAAAACAAATAAAACAGAGCTAACACGTTGAAACCGGCTCACACATTTCTTACAACTGCAAATGCATGAGGACGACAAGTAGGCCCTTTCATTAACCGCTATGAAAATATAATCCCACAAAGTACATTCCCAATGAGTGTCCATAGGCAAACTTTAGTCAAACGCGCTCATCCAAGAGACTGCAGACATTCATTTAGGTACTGAAAAGTTGGAGTGTACAGAATGAACAGAATCCTCCACGAATCCTTCTAACTCAACAATTCCGACTTTGAATAATGTCATGAATAGTCATTATCGGATGGGAAGTGCAATGAACACAATGCAATAAAAAACTATAATACCGTTGCCAAGTCATGAACATTAAACTGGGTTGACAAATACTTGTGGCTAGGCTTGATAAAGACTCACATCTAAAAAGGTTAAGACCGATGCCACCCTTAAAAACTCTTAAACACCACCGAAGATAGTACTCAAATAACGCATAAATTTAAATGTTTGGGTTTCTAAGTCAATTTCACTCACGGCAAACCGGCCAATGAGTCACTGTAACACAAAGGTCTTCAATCAATGGTCACACTTCCTAGCAGTCAATTGTTATAAAATATAAAGAAAAATGGTCACCTTTGCTTCGTGTAGGAAGTCCTCCCCACTTTGGTTTACCTCCTTTAAGTCTTTCTCGTGATCTTTCACGTCGTCGACAAAATGCTACATTGAAACGAGAGCATTTTTAGAAACATGATTGTATTGCGATTAAGTTGCCTTTTTCCAAGGTCAGCCTATTGTTCACTGTAATTTAGTTTGGCCTTTAAGAAAAGTGGATCAAACGATAAGAAGGTACAAACCCAAATTAATCCCTTTTACGTGTGACTCGTCCAAAAAAAGCTTTCTTCGGTAAATATTTGCATTATAAAAATGTCAAACGCGCCAAAACGCATACAAAAATTATCAATTCAAAAGAAAATAAAAAAAGATGGAAAAATTCCTCATTCAAAACTTTCAAGTGTCGCTTTGAACGTCAGTCAAGAGGGAAAATGAAGACGAGCAGAGTTACTCTTCGCCCTAGTTATATTGGTAGCGAAAATTTTGGCGGGTGAAGAACACCTCGTGAAAGATGCATCTCTATGCGGAATATCTCAAAGCGGAAAAATGGCTGTAATATTTCTGATGAATAGTCTTTAAATCCGCGTGAAAATCTCTAAATTCCACCTGAGTGAGGCATTCTTTTCTGAGAATAATCCTTATGAAAATAAAAATTGTTTGACCTCTTACGCATCAATAGTTAGTGGTGTGGTACTGAGGAAGTACTTTCTTCTTAATTTGGAAATGACTTTTTTGAATAAGTCCTTAATAATTAATAGAACATTTACGCGTTTCACGCAGCTTGGTTGAAGGAAAATATCGAAACACATATTTGATACAATGTATTACTGGTGTTGCGTGACTAAGAAAATTGTTACGTGACATACCCAGCGGAATGAAGAGAGGACAAAGTCTTATCTCTCATTTACGGGTAAAGATTGAAGGTTACAATCACAAAGTATAGACAATGAATCCGGAAACTAGATAAAATGGAAAATGAAGCTTAACATTATTTCATTGTTCCGTTATCTTGATGGAAAGCCATGTTCAATGAACTAAATCTCTTTACATAGGAGCACACAAACCTTGTGAATGAGAAGTTTGTCCTGGGCTCTTTGGATATTTTTGGCATCCAGGAGAATAGCACTGGCCTGATCCTCTGCTTTCTTGAGCCACGCCTGAAAACAGATTACGAAATTCACTCAAATGAACAAATACAGCAAGAACTGAAACTGTGAGAGGATCGCCCTTAACGCCCAAATCTTGTTCCGGGTTTTGTTTTACTGCAGCCAGATCATGATGCTTTAACTCAATTTTTGCCGCATTGCAGCTACCATACACTATAAGTAATTCGCTTGATAAGAAAGGAATATCACCAAAAAAGACAACGATAAACCAAAAGGAAACACAAATGGAAATATTTAATAAGGATTAAAGTTGACAACCCTGAGAAATATCTGCGAAATGGTTTAAGATACACAAAATGGTGACGGGGCATACATTCACATTTTAAACCTAAATTTTCAAAATACTATAGAGCTATTATCATCAAAAGGGCATCTTTTAAAGATCTCTCCTTTCTTTGCTTTACAAGCAAAGGGATGTGTGTGATAAAGCAAGAAAAAGCATGCACGAAATTCCATTTTGCGACTGAAGAACACAGAGTACGATTGCAAAGGGGCTGATAGGTCATCCCGCTGTCCCCTTTGTTTTCCATGCGTTAGGTGTCAAATGTTTTCTCAAATCCATTTATCTTTGGCTCCACCATGCAAATTTTGTCTCCTTCTTTAGTGCCCTACTTGGTAAGGAGCCAACATCACTGGCTGATTGCAAAAAAATTTAAAATCATTGAAGCCAAAGCTTAGGCACTCGCCGACCACAAACGGATTAAAACATTGAGGACCGTTCATGAGGTAAAAAAATAAGTTGAGGACATTTTTTGGAAATATTCCATTTTTTGATGCAATTTTTAAATAAAAATAAAAATAATAAATAATAAATAATAATAATAATAATTTTAAAAAAATAACACAAACCATACCAAGAAAGGATGCAACAGTTCTTCAAAATTCGTTAGCTTTTCGTGGATCCTCACAAGTCTCATGTACCGATTGTCGAGCTCAGCTTGCAGTCGTCCCCACCTCGCTTCCAATATGCTCATCTTCGAGTCAAGTTCGGCTTTCTTCGTGGGCGATAGAAGCTGACCGCTGCCTTTCAAGAACTGCTTGCTCTGCTCGAGCATAACTTCCACCGGTTTCTTTCTCTCATAGACTGCTTTGGTAAATCGCTGGATGAGGAAAAGAACAATATTTAATTAATTTCACTCTCTAACTCCTCAGGTCTCAAGATCTCATAAGTAATTCTCCCGACTGTCTGCATTACCATTCGTATGATGTTAGTTTGGAGAATTTGGTATTGGATCAACTAAACATCCCCTTATACTCATTACTTCTCTGCTCTATATTGTACTGATATTGTACAGAAATTTTGTCTTGGTCATGGGAGTTGAAGGTTAAGAACTGACTAAATCACCACCTCTGAACGCTTAAGTGCCAAAGAAAACTTTTATCTTAGGAGCTCCTTCGGTAGTGAATTGTAAAGTAGGTTTTGAATGATTTAGGTAGTTAGTTATTTCGTTTGTTGCACAATTAGGTCTTCAAGTAGTTATTAAAGTGGCTAGCACGAAGATGTTGGCATGACGTGCTGCTCAATAAATTCGAGAAAAAATAAAGGTCTTACATGTTGATATGTTCACGATATCGTTAAGAAATGTTTCCTAACGTGCAAAATAACTTTAAACTTGAAGGAAACTAGAAAATATTAGCTCTGAAGTATAGGAAAATACAAAAGGAGACAGTAAATACTATGACAGTACAGGAATGATTACGGATGATTTGTTAAAGATTGAAAGGGATTTAAGTAAGGAACTGCGAAATTTGGCGGATTTTTTTCAAGATCCACACACAACAAATGATAAACATCTTTAACAATAACAATCTAACCCTCGGAAGTGATCGATATTGCTCAAAAGTGATTGGATTATCTAATTAGTACTAATGGTATGTGGATACGGGATGAAAAACGTAATAAAAATAATCGCCAATTTCTCAAGGCCCCTCTTACGTCAATGCACTGTTCTGAAGGACTAGTTAAAAAGGCACCCTAGAGGCAAAAGGTCGCTAGATCAAAAATTGTGTCAATGCTACTGTTCTTATTTCATTGATATGCAAATAAATTTCACAACTTCAAGTTAATTCATAGGGGTTCAGCGTTAAATTGCAGCGATTTAGAGATTAAATACGATGCTCAAAGGGAACTTATCGAAGTTAATGTCTAATGTAGACATAAGTCTCGCGAAAAGTTAAACAGAGTTTTTTGCAGTTCAAGAGTAAAGCAAGCAGCACCCTAATGACGTGAAACAGCCCTTGAGTTCTCCTGTAATGCAAACAAGCGTCTGATGAACATATTTTAACTTGATTTGCTTGCGCATTTACGCTACTGTTCGAAAGAAGAGTGCGACCTCACCATGTCACACAAAGAGACGGCTTAGATAATAAATTCATCAACTTCGCTGATCTGAATTTCGTACTCAGCGATGTACTAAACAGATCAGTGCAGAGAACGTCTCCGAACAATCGAGCAAGTATACTTAGGCTGAACGAGGTCTATTCCGCGGTTGCAACCGATCGAAATTACCAATTACGGAACAATTCACACCAACTCAGAGCCGTTAAATAGGAAGGAACAAAGAAGTTGTCGAACCTGGGTTTCAAGTTACAAAACATCGCGTCCTTCTCTCCACTGGAATCTTTAACACCACCAAATCGAATAATCGACGTTGTTTAAAATACTGAAGAACATTTCTCGACGTAATTTCTGTGGTTGAGAGCTGACTAAACGAGTTCAGTCTTGAGAACCGCGTTTTTACGTCTGTTCACTAGCTCTCTGAGAACAAGGAACCTTCCTTGTGCTAAACTTCAATCATGATTACGACAGGCGACGTGTTTGTTTTCCGTGATTATTAAAATCACCAGAAACGACTGTTTGCTGATTACATGCAGATTAGTGCGAAAACGTTTGGCTTTCTTGAGGAACTGGTCTCAAGGGACCATTGACCGAAAATAAATTTATTTTAAAAACTTCCTTGAATGTAGGATTCCAACTTATGAATGAACTGTGTCAGAAAGAATAATTACAAAAAGCCTTCTCGTCAAAAGAACTAAAAAAAAATTCACAAAACAAACGGCTAGTTAAGACTCTTACTAATTAATTCCTCAGCCTTTATTCCAGACTCAAATCTCTAAGAATGTAAAGTAAATCTCAGTTTTCAGCCTATGGATTACACCCCACTGAGCGACTGGACGGTTCTTCTAATTTTGTTTATTCCGTCGATCCACTTCGTAATTCTCCATTCTGGTTGCTAACTTCTGGAAACTAACTTCTCTATCAAGATCCCGCTTCTCGCTGACAAACCGTGGAGAAGTCACATGTTGTCAAATAGTCGAGTAATACATGCACTGCCATGCGGAAAGATGGGTATACTTTAAATTGTCACTCTAACTCTGTGGTTGATAATGAAAAGTAGGATATGCGATGATTCTTAGAAGACTTTTTCAACCAAAACCTTTCACGTAGGTAAGAACTCTCACATTGTTGTGCAGCCAATCAAATGAAAGCAAGCCAAGTACAATGCGCAGTGTAGCACTGTGGGACCAGTCCATTTACCGCCAAATTCGACTCTGACCTTCGGCCCAGTGGCTCTCAAAACAGGGGCAAAGTCCCACGCCAAAGGTGCAAATAAATCTGTAAGACTTCCACTGTTCAAAAGCTGATGGCGAAAATCTAAGAGCACTTGAATTTTGGCGTAATTACCCTTTTATCTAGCGAGAGTATTTTGAAAATGAGATCTTCCCCGTTAAAAATTGATTCTATAATTTACGTTGTTTAAGAAACTATTCTCAAAAGAGACACTCACTAAGCGCTGGGTTAAAAAACCCGTCATCACGTCACTGTCACTAGATGCTAGAACTTGTTCTGGACCTCGCTATTACGCAAATCAAATGACAGTCCTTCGCGTAAATTGTTCAGTGTAGCACTATGCCAAGGCGGTCTTTCCGAAGTCCAAAATCCAGGATTTTTCCATTAAACAAGAGCGCTATTCAACGTTTTACACTCAGACTGTTAGCTCTTTCATAAGCCTTTTCATACCCCATCAAATTCAATCACTAAGTAAGTAAGACAGGAAAACAAAGGAAAGGCAATGATAAACCAATTGGAACAAGGAGAGTCAAACTAGCGACGGACACATATTGACCAGAGCCGAGGATCATAACCAAGAGACTTCTCTCTATCTTACACTTACGAGAGTTAACTTAAGAAAGTTTTAAATTTATTGCCACTTATCCTCTTTAAAGGACACGATTTCCCTGTGATCTATCATTATCATGTTGATCTTACCTTCTGTTCTTCAATTTGCTCTTCTAATTGTTTGACATCTGCGGGGGAGGCTGATTGCGTCAGCAGGATTTTCTCTGTGTCGGATAGCCAGTCAAGTAAGTGCTGTATCGAGGTGCACCACTGTAAGCAGGCCTCTTCAACCTGAACAAGTACAAAGCGAACGTCACAAAAAGGTATGACTGAACGTCACGCCAATGTTGGGTGACCGTCGCGCAGTGAACCTAACAATGCCAGTTGTCACGACAATGTGCGATTTTGATTTAATCCAAAATGCCATTCACATTAAAACAATACGAAAAATAAATGAGATTAATGCGCGCACAATGGTTAACCAGTATAGCAACGAAAAAATTTATAATCGCATTAAAAATTACCCTAATCATTTAAAAGGGTGATCACATGTTCAGGTTTATGTCATGTTTCGAATGACTAACTTTGTAAAATTCTGGATACCAATATGTTATTTAACAACGACGCTTTCTTTCAAGAAACTAAATACAGATGTACAGATATGTAACACTTACAAATATGTTTCTCTTGTAAAAGATTACTTTTTGTTACCGAATATTTCAAAAACTGGAACGCATGGTGAGCTTATCCCATTACGATAATGGAATAAGAGGAAACAGACAAAAAAAAGTTCTAATACAAAAAAAATCAGCAAAAGCTTGGACAACGCAGAAAACGAAGGGTCTTTTTTAGATTCTTGGCAGCTCGAGCTTTCGTGAACCGCTCACAGTTAAGGCTAAATGTCGTATCCGATTTTTTGTGCGAGTCGACTTCTGCCACAAGTAGAGTGTCAAACAATACCATAACTTTTAGAGAAAGAAACCTGCAATTTGGAGAAAAATTACAACTGTGAAAGACCGCCTAAGGCTCTCGTTAGGCTAATCATAGCAAACCAAAGGTGTCGCCATGGATTAATCCAAAGGCGGCATTTTAAACGCAGTCAAGCCGCATTTAAGAGAGGCGTTAAAAGAAAAAAGTGGTTATGAACCATTAGCGGCGCAGTCTGTTGAGGTGTCAAAGATAAATACCTCCTGAAGAACAACCTCAACTTGTCACAATCTACTGACAGTGCAGAGTTAGAGTAAATAAAGTAAATATTCGTTAAGATAATCGGGCAATAAAAGTCGTGCATTTTGTAAGGTCAATTGTGAGGTAAAGAGTAGGATTAATCTGCGAAAGGCACCGACTCACTTCTTTGTGTTCTTTTCCGTGTCTTTTCAAGGTCTCCACAAGGTTCTCCATGGCAAGCTGCACTTCATTCAAGAGTTTTTCGTATCGGGCGTTCATACTCATCAGGGATGATATTATTTCCTCTCGGCCCTTCTGCGCACTTTCCAGGAGGGGGTTGACAGCTTCTCGGGACTCTGGCAGGTGATGCAGGCTGTGACGATAGTCCTCAAGGTTCTTTTCCCACATCTAGCAAAAAACACCAAAAAAACTTAGTACTAAGCTATACTCCTCTAATTCTCAGAAGTGATTAACATGTAATTTCTCCCTTTCATATCTATACATTAACGAGCAAACAGGCGATGAGAATATTGAAACTTATCAGGTGGAAGTTCTTATCTTGATCTAACACCAAGTTCTTGTGACTAATTTACAAGGAAATGTGTAGCAGCCAGAGGGGAGAATTAATAATCAGAACATGGGAATTAAACAATTAAAGTAACTAGGAAGTAAAACTCCCTCTCAAACTTGTAATATTCCGACATGGGCTCCAGAATTCTCCTGATAATTTCTCATTTGAATTCGTGTTCAGATTTGTTCATAGAGTGAAGACGGGCTTCGTATAATTCAAGCTAAATGAAAGAGGAGTAGCCAGTCTCCTTTCATCTCAAACCAAATAATAGAGATTGGGTACTAATCTGACCCAAGTCCCCGCTCACCTGTGATTCGTCTGTGTACTCATGTCCAACAGTACAGAGAGTTTTGATTGGTACTTGCTGGCTTCGGATATCCGTGTAGAGAGACTAAAACAACAAATTTGAAAATCTCGATTCAGTTTTCTGCTTTGTTTCCAGCCATAGCTTTGTAAGCAAAAAGAACTGCATCATGAACAAAAGTTGCAAAGGCATTCATCCCTCAGCAAAGATCTCCTAATTGACGGATATTGTGTTCATTTAACTTTTTTACACCAGGAATTGATAAAATGTAAATTCTCCTCGATAGTCCGATAGATCATCCAGCAAACAAGCGATGTTAAAAAGAACTGCTATCAGCTAGGGGTGTTATTTTGATGAAACGTATAATATACAGTATCACCTACAAGGAAGAATTACTTGTTTGATCAGATCTTGGAAGGTTCAGTGTTAAAAAGTTACTCAGTCGCTGGAATATGAACATAGTAAATGGCCACAAGTTTTCTTGCAAATCGTAAGAAGGAAGATTGAAAGTTTTTCAAAACGATAATGAATTATTCATACGAACTAAAAGACAATTGCAATTGAGTGTCGAAAAGTGTTCCAGGATTGCTATGATTTTATTTCCCTTCACTCTGTGATTGGTCCAGAAAGAAATTCGCACTACTCTCTCAACCAATCAGATGGAAAACTAAAACCAATCCCAAATTTGCTTAGTGTTTTCCCGCGCTTCAAGCAGGTTGCCTGTGTTTACTTTGAGTTCCCATTGGTTAATAAAGATGTTAACCTTTTTTATTGATTGGTAGTAGTGACAACTTTGGCTTTGGCTCTTCGAAGCTCACTTGAAATCTGCTCTGCCTTGCAACTTAATTATTTTCATGCCTTCAAGCGCAAAATAAGCATTTCAGACTCACTGTGAGTTCCTCCATAACACTTTCAGCATTACTGGGGTCGGTATTCCAGCCCCGGTCTTGGACTTTTTCCTCGACTCTCTTCAACCAGTCCAATTCATTTTGCAACCCAGCTTGAAACTGCTCCAGTTTGTGTTCAGCTTTCACCAGGCCCCCAAGACGATTATCAATCTCGTTCCGAGCTGCTTCCCATCTCTCGAGAACAGCCTGGACTCTAGCCTTATCAAATTCCTTGAGGTCGGGCAGTGATCTTCGAATGTCGTCCGTTTTGTCCTTCCTCGGTTCTATTTCGGTCTGGAGTATTTCCTATAGATCAAGAAATAAAAAAGAAAAAGAAGGGTTTAAACATTTATTAATTTATTAATTTATTTATTTATTCATTCATTCATTCACTTTTCAGTAAACGAACCTGCGAGCCGCACTGGCGCACTGGGGAATATTGGCGCGAAGTCGTGGTAGTGCATACCAGGCGCAGCAAAGTGCGAGCAGAAACAACTGAGGGCCGATATTCCCCAGTACAACTCAAGCAAGCAAGGTTGGTTGGTAGTTTATTGTATGGCACTCGGACTAAACTCGTTATGCTGAATTTTCCAGCTTTCGAGAAAAAAAAAGGCGGCTTATGACCGTTTCCGTGGATACGCTTCGTATGACAAAATTTTTACCAAGTAAAAACCAATTAGAACGTTTGGATTTACCTTAAGACTACCTTGCCACGAAATAATTGAAGTTACGTTAAGTTTTCTTAACTCCTTTTTCTCAAAAAAAAAAAAAAAAAAAAAAAAAAAAAAGAAAGAAAAGAGGGAGAGAGAAAAAAACAAAAATGAAAATAAAAAGATAGAAATTACAGTCTAGTTATTTCTGGTTACCTGTATCACTTTTGTCTGATGCTGAATGTCTTTCAAGTTAGCAGTGAGTCCCGGCTGTTGAATAAGGATCACTTCAACACGTCGCAAACTGTTTTCAAGATCTGTTACCAGTTCAGCAATGTTCAGCAAAAACACAAGCCTGTCGATTGGAAAAGAGTGCGATAGCACAAATAGGTGATATAAGTTCTACTAGGGCAAGAAAAGCTACTAACGTTAACTCGACGGCTAAGCGCATTCAGTGGAGGTTTAGGAGAGCTCAGACGTGACAATTTAGTTTTGCATCTGATTGGTTAAGAGAGAGGCGCGGGTTCTCTGGACCAATCACGGACCAAATTATAGAAAGAAAAAAAAAGAAGAAGCAAACCTGAATTACTTTCGACACTATTGAGAATTGCCCCAAGGATGAAGGTTAGTACGGGATTGACAAAACTCGAGAGATCCAAAGTAAAAGAACACCAGGCAACAGGAAGGCCATGGTATGGATTCACAGAAGTACTTATTTTTCTGTACAGAAATCCCTCATTAATATGTTATCGTTATTTTGGAGTCAACCCTGAATTAGTGTCAATAGGATTTTGAGCAACTCGTTTCAGGGTCCAAATGCTTCCTGGAACACGCATTAGCATAAAAGAATTTCGCCAGAAGAGTACGCGTTTAAGAATTGATTCAGCCTCAACTCACATTTTGTGCCAACCGTTAGCTTCTTTCTTAACATTTCTCCATTTTTCTGACAGTAAACCTAATTTGCTCTGTAGTTGAGGATCCATCTGAGTCACCACGGATTGTGTGAGGGAGTCGTACTGCGGTGTTCTCTGTTTCTGCTCCTCTTGCAATTTCTAAAATGCAACAAAGTCCACCATGATTGTCAGGGAGCGAAAAAAAAATTACGTGTTGTAAAAGATGTCACATGATGAATAAACGATCTAAAGTTTGCTTATCGATACAGACAATGAGGTTGAATGTCTTCGAGCTCATATACGTGCAGCTCATTGGTTCAGTGTGATTGATTGTAATTGATGCGTTTTGAAATCCATTACTTGTATTTATGATAATCAAAACGCACCAATGAATGTATACGGAAAAGAAAGCAGTGATAGTTTGCCGCTGCTCACATCTAACCATAAAAAAATTGTGAAACCTCATCTCACAGCAAACTATACCACGCAGGTTTTCTATAGAAAATTTTGGGATGTTGGGAGAACACTCCAAAAGTTTGAAAATCACGAGCCAGATTCACAAACTTTTCTCAAATTCTCTCAACATCCCGTGTGGGGTATTACAACAGTAAATCGATAGGAAGAGCGGTCTATTGCTTCAATAACTGGTAGATGATTTTGTGCATTTTCATCACATGTTTGCGTAACAATATATCCACACTGTACAAGTAAAGACTAAATCACCTCAACTTGCTGAAGTGTGCTGGAAAGGCTTCTTTGGTTTAGCGTCTCAAGTGACTTTGTTTTCAAGACCTCTTCAGATCTGTTCACCCACGCGAGAAGATCATTTAGTGTGCTCTGAGCACTTTGCTGAAAGGTAAAAAAATCCAAAATTTAAATAACTTTAATAAGTGTTTTTTTGGTGAGTGATTTATGTGTTTTACTTGTTCAAAAGAAGTTTAGAGTGCTTTTCGGTTGAGTGTCGTAAAACGAAGAGCAAAGTAATCTAAAAGGCCAATCAGAAGAAGGAAAATACCCTGAAAAACCTATGCCAACTCAAAGTAAAACTGACCAAATTGCCTAAGGCGCGGGAAAACGCGACCAAATCGTGATTGGTTTTAGTGTTGCATCTGATTGGTTGAGAGAGTGGAGCGAATTCTGTTGACCAATCACAGAACGAAAAAAAGCCAATCGAAAGACAATCCCGGATTTCTCTCCACATATTATTGAAATTGCTCCAAGAAGAACTTCTGAAAGTGAAAAATTATTGTTTCATTCTCTTCACCTTGTCAAGCGTTGGCACCGTTTGTGTTTCAAACATGGTCTCTGGTTCTATAGCATGTTCATTCAATGACACAGAAGCTGGTTCTAGCCGTTCTGTGATGCCAGCTATTTCCTGGTCATCAGGCATTTGGATTTCTTTCCATAGTTGTTCCACATCTTTTGATCCAGTCAGAAGCGGTATCTTACCCTGAAAAGAATGAAATGATCAATGATTTTTACGCAAACACTTTTATCGAACACCTTCATATTCTGGTATCTGTTTGAAACCTGAGTTTTCAAGAAAATCTGACTAGTGCCAAGTCATGTAGCACTTAGAAACAAAAGGTTTAGAACATACCTATAGTAAAAAGTCGAATCATCATGGGGAAAAAAACTGATAGCCAAGTAGTGCACCCAAAAAAAAAACATAATGATACTAACCCTGATTGTGTTACCAGCGCAGGTACAAACTTTATTTTTTAGTGCAATGAAAGGGAACCCAGCATGATAGGCAAGCTAAACACCTAAATTTTTAACAAGCGATCTATGAATATTATCCATTCACACTGTAGCCGGAGTTTTACAAAATTTGATCAGCTTTGATCCACGTTTTACTACAAGGCAAGATTAAATTTTTGCGTGCAATTAACCCAGGATTGGTGTTAGTCCTTTAACTCCTAAAAAGTGACTAGCATCTAATTTCTCCCAACAATATCACCCCTGAATCAAACAATAGGGTCATGAGAATAAAGGAAATGATCACCGACTAAACAAGCTCTTGATTGTTAAACAAATTCTCTTTGTCATCACCTTCGCAAATGTACAGAGAACAATATGGAGAATATGCATATTGATGTGACTATGTAAAGGGTTAATAGGGAAAATGTCAACTCAACCCTAAGTAGGGTGAAGTTCCAGGAGAGTGGATCATCGCTACCCATCATCCTTACAGCCTAAGTCCCAGTCTCCTATCCTTCACTGCTCATGATACCTGCACCAACTTTGTTATCCCTTCTAGCAAGAAATTGTACCAACTAACCTTCTCAGGAGAAGTGGATTTTATGATCTTCACTTGTGTAAAAACTTGTTCTTTGCTTAGGGCTTGCTTTAAATTCCAGTGTCTTGTTCTCCACAATGTCAGTAAATGTTTATACTGAATTTCTAACCTGGTGAAATAGAAAAAAGATTATACTGTAACAATACTGGAGAAAAACCTATCTTTAAAGGTTGCCAAAAAAGATAAATGAGATTGAATTATTGATATCTTATTTGTCTGTTTTAATTAAATTGTGATACATTTTTTTTAATAGTTTTTTCTCAGACAATTTGTACAGACCACCATCAGGTTGATACAGAAACATTTCTTTCCACAGGTCAAACGCTTGGTTAGTCAGAAGGTAATATTTTCTGATCCAACACAAAGAGTCCACATGAATGAATGTGGCTGTGACTATAACCTTTCTATATTTTACATCTCAATACAAGACGTTCTTCCTTACCAAACAGAGCACATGCAAAATCCAAGTTTTTCTATGTTGAAGGTTAAAATATGTGACCATTACCTGGTGGAAAATTCTGTAGCTTCCACATCTGGAGCAGGAATAACAAAACATACGGATGGAACTTCACACTGTCTACTGCTGGCATTTGTAATCTGTCAAAGAGTACAACAATTTTCATCAAAAAAAGAACAGATATGGTGATCCATCTGTTTTTATCTACATGCCTTATTTGTCTTGTCTGTCTGTCTGTCTGTTCAGGGTAGTCATTAGAAAATGTAAAAGATGCACAATCTGAACTTAGTAGACAGCTGAATTGAATTGTGCTTGCCAAGCATTTGCAGTGCACCTTTCTTTGAGGGGTTGAGGGGCATGCTCCACATTTTTTAGCCAGACAGTGATGTTACAATCAGTTAAATTTACTTCTTTTCTGTTTTGAGCAAAATTCACAAGGTAGCCAGCAGGTTTCTACCTCTGACCACCCTCTAATGACAATCCTGCTGCCTGTACATCTGTCTGCGAACAATGTGTCCCTCTTGTTTATTTACTTGTTGATCATTGATTGTTTGTTGGTTTCTCTTTCTGTCTACATACTTTGATTGTTGATTAGTCAGCCACACAGCTTGTCTGTGTTTTACTGTTTGTATGTTGGTTCTCAGAAGATCTTGATCACTGCTTTAGATTTAACTCAAAGTAGTTATTTCAGCAATAATACATACTTTCCAAGAATGATGCTCAGAATTATCCAGGAGTAGACATTCTTCACCTTTGTTGACAACATTCTGAAAAGCAAATTAAATAGCACACCATGTGTTAATAATAGGCCATCTAATGGCAAAAGAAATCCCAAATTTCTGACAAAATCAAGTTTATCACCAAATAGTAAGTGTTGGAGAAAAATACTTAATAACCCAGCTGTGTAGAACTTAGGTTAGGAGCTTCAAACAGAAGTCACAAATTCCAATCACTACATCAAAAAGTGCCTGCCATTCTTACCTGCATATTCTTGTAACTGCACACTGGATCAACCAAAACTTTGCCCTTCAATTTGGATTTTCTTTGTGGCAGGGGAACTACCTTTTTGCTCAGAAGTTGCAATGAGCTAACGACATCTTTGAAGTCAACAAGTTCTTGCTTCATTTCCTACAAGAAATTTTAAAATACGTCAAAAAATTAACAAAATGTTTCTCAACATCCTGAAAGAACAGATTAAGATTGTGTAACCTCTTCCAATAACTGTATATTTAATAAAGACCTAAGGAAACCCTGAGGAAAATAAAAAAAATTGAAGGATCTTAGCACAATCAATTTGCACGGTAACTTGTTGCATAAAACATGACAAATACTGTCACATTTTGGAACATGCTATAGAATCCTGTGATCAATGAGTTGTCACAGGCAAAGTTGACTGAAGAGGTATACCACTGCATTGAGTAGGATTTTCCAGTTGAGACATCTGTATTAAATTAGCACCTTACATTTAAGGGCACACCAGGTTATTTTGTCATTAAGATTGTCACTTTGTCTGGAAAACTGAGGAGGTTATAGACTTAGAACCCTCTTAGCAGGACCCCTTCTCTAGTAGTAGTAGTAACTCATCAAAATACAACCAACATGTAAAATATTCTGCAATACCATACACCAAAATGTCTGATGAGTTTTTCTTTTTTAATCACTCAATTAATTTACTTCATATGCATTTCTTCTAAGATAGGAAGAGCAAAGCAATAGAGATGTGATTTGTAGTCCGGATATTTGTACTTGATTTACACATTCTTTGTACTCTTAATTAAACAGTTGGCTAATAAAAACTTATCCTAAAAATAGACTAAACAGTGTAGATATCTTTAGGTAGAATTTAATTCTCAGAACCAGCATTACAAGTGAAAAGATGAAAGGTAAAATCACTCAGGATCAGATAAAACTGCAAGGAAAAATACTAACAAAGAAATACTGAGGTGAATGTGCAAGATTAAGGCAAGAAAAGCAATAAATCAGTTCTTGACAGACAACAAACTAGGGCCGGTAATAAGGGGACTGGATCATATTGCTGATTGCTATCTATGCCACTCCACCCCCTCAGTCATTAATCTGACATGATCAAATATTCTTATATGATCAAACATTCTTGTATGATCAAATATTCTGGAGTGATCAAATACTCTGGTCTGATCAAATATTCTGATGAAATCTAACATGTGGAAAGAAATCTGATAAAACTTGGTTGTGTTAAAAGTGCAAAAGGAAAAGCTGTTCTTCTACTTATAAGATAACATAACATTCTTTGAGGAATTATCTTCAAAATGACAATAGGTAATATAATAATTGAGCAGAACTTTCTTATTGCAGAACTTTCTTATTGCAGAACTTTCTTATTGCAGAACTTTCCTACCACAGAACTTTCCTTTTGAAGTCATGCCTGATTAACTTTTGATATACAGAGGAAACATATGCCTGATGAAACATGAACAGAAGGTAGGAGGAGGGAATGACTGAGATGCTGACACTCTTGTTCAAGTCTGACACCATCTGTAATCCACTATTATCATAATTGTCAGTGATCATGCATATTGTGCACAGTTAATCCTTTAAGAGTGACTAGTATTTAATTTAGCCCCACAATATTGTTCTGCATCACACGTTAAAGTCAAAAGAGTAAACAAGATGATCGACACTGGAGGAAGCTCTTCATTGTTGAAAAAATTCTCCAAACAGCACCTCAGGAAATGCTAAGAGAAATGTTCCTGAGGAGAAGTATATTGATGTAAGGATGTAAAGGGTCAAATGGCTGAGTGATTGCCATCAAAGGCTCTATCTGTAAGTATATGGTCTAAAGCATCATTAAAGAACCAGTAATATTATGTGCAGAATTCATTGTCTAAAGAAATGTTTCAGAATCAACCTAACAGTGGTCTACACAAATTGTTGGCAAGAAATTATAAAAAAAATGTAAATTTGTGTGTTAACTATCACAGTTTGATTAAAACAAACAAATAAGATATCAATACCAATCCTCTCCATTATGTTGATTTTTAAAAAGATATGCTATAAAAATATCAAATGCATAGCAGTGCACTTTGAGAGAAAGATTTACTAACAGTGTCCACCTTGGGAAAACTTAGGCAGTAATTTTAGTGGATGACAGTGAAGTATTGAGACCATCTTCAAAAATATCACCTGGGCTTGTGTTTCCTTATCATTATGAATAGAAATTTTGTTGTGGTTAAACCTAGTATTAGCTTGGTAAATTTCCAAACCAGTTATATTTATAATACTTCCACAACTTTGTAATAGTAATATATTTAACTCATGCCGACATCTGATGCAAAACTTTTATGTGATGTGTACAACAAAGTCAACAGCTACAGCATAGTAAACAGGTGATAGCACAAGTCATGCCAAAACAACTCTTTAAAAAGTTTCCTTGTGAATTTGAAGTTTACTTTGTTTTCATCTATATTTTCAATTTATTTTGATACAGCAAACAAGGGAAATTTTATTCATACTGGTGGCATGTCCAAACATTTCACACCAGAAATATGCATTTAAACTGAAATATATTTATTCCTTGGAAATCCCTTTAACCAACTGTAAACATTTAGGAAAGAAGAGGCACATAATTCATAACAAAATTTTTGCTTACCAACAAGTTATGAGCTTAATTGTATTTTGCCATAATTAAAACATTTGAATAGACATACACTATAATCCTCTGTGAAGGTCAAATTTTCTCAAAGAATATAACTATAAGTTAATCGGAGAGTGAAATAACGAAAGAAATAAAACTTAAAGATCTGTAAACAAGACAGAGAGGTGAAGCGCATGATTCTCCCTTGAACTAGGCTTAAAACAATGAAAGCTTCTTCGTGAGTATGACTCTTGCCAAATATTGACACAAATTCAACGTTTATTTGACTTGTAATTTAATACCGCTTGCGGCTCTAGCAACGTCGACCTCGATCCCCTGAAGCATCACCGCATGAAATTAACAACAGGCGAAAATTGATCACGCGAGACACGTCGGGGTTTCTTTAGTTTAAAAATAACCAGCTGTGGAAAACTACCAAACACAACTCTATAAATTTGTCTTGCAAATGGGCCAATTTACTTTCAGAACACTTCGTCAGACCGATATCAAGTATTTAAAAATTCCACGCGAACAACATTTTCGAGTTAAAAGATCGAGAGATAAAAAAGAAAAAAAAAAGCGCTTTCGGAAACTGGAGTCAGACATAAGCACACTATTTTAAAATGCAAATTTAGCACAGTGTTTGTCGCTAATATTAGTTCATTCGCCACGTTTCGACCTGTTCAAAACACTTAAAACAGTCTTTTTGGATGAACATCTTGGAAAACTGTTTACCTGCTTAAGTTGAAGCATGTCCGTAACGACGTCTTTAAACTTTGGCTCTAGATCCTTCTCACTTTCCGTCTTTGGTCCGCGCAGAAGCAACAAATAACGTTCTCTGGGTGCAGAAACACTTCTTTCTTCGATCTTTCGATCGAAAATATCGCGAATATATTCCAAAGAGTATGCGATAATCGTTCCCATTTGTGACTGTCTGACAACCGGGAAGTTTTCCAATGGAATTCCCGCCTGGACTGTCTGCTCCGAGGCAGGGAGAACTATTTCTCTTAAAAACCTTTGCCAGCGAGAGTCGTGAATTAATTGATCGTGATCGAAGATCGGCTGCTGTGAAGTTCGCCATCTCACTACAGTAGCCGCGCTGTGTAATGCTCGTCTGAATGCAAAATAAACACGAGTGCAAGGGCCCTTTATCATTTGAGTTACGAAAGAGACTGGATGAAGAAGATTATGGAAAGATGCTCGCGACAAGCGCGCTGTTCTTATGGGAACCGCTGCAGATCTTCGTCCATGTAATTTGTTTTCGTTCCTTGATCGGTAAATGAAGTACAAAAGTGAAATTAACGCCACGAAAGCGACAGCCGCCGATGTAAATAAAATGAACAGGAGAAGTGGTATGGGATTCCAATGCAAAACTACGCACATTTCTTAACTTTCGCGACGGCTAGCTTGCCAGGACTGTTTTGATAAAGAAATTAAGCCGTCTAGCACTTTCGGCATCTGTTTCGTCTAACGCTTCGTCGTTGTCGTTTGCATATAAGTCATTGTTCGGAAAGACGGCTGGATCTGACGTTTGAGAAGTGTGCCTTTGCACGTGTAAACTGAACCTGCGTGGATCCAATTCATCAGTCACGAGTTCTCACTCCACAAATCAATCCGTCAGTTGCCCTAATTAACTCTAAAAAAATCAGTGGACAAGTGTTGCCAGTGATAGACGTCAATTCCCTCTGTACAATCAATACGCTTCCTGTTCTGGTTATGCAAGTGGACCTTGGAGCAATAACTTCCAAACAACTATTTCCACACTTGACAGGAAATCCGATACGCGCGCGTAAAGTTCGAAACCAGACACTCACAAAGAGAGGCAAATTTTGAATTTTAATTATCGAAATTAAATATTAATAACTTTAATGCTAAACTACTCGCAATTTGTTTTTAATATCAGATTTCAATAATAGAGACCGGAAAGGCTGTAAATAAACACCGAGAGCATTTTAAAATACCGCGAAGTAACGTCAGAGTAAGCAAGAATTACCGTAATGTAGCGCGAAAACCATCTGGTCGACTTGCAAAAGTTTTTGGAAATAAAAGATATTTTCTAAATAGCCTATTATGCAATTTCTCGTAAATCGAATATACATGAGCAGCAAACAGCTAAGAAATGCACCACAGTTAAAATGGAAAAGGATAAAGGCTTTGTTTATCATGCAAATAGATAGTTCACAGTAGTTAATAAAAATACCAACCAATAATCACCAGTGGACCTTTACGAAGACAAAAGCTATTCTAATGCAACAGTTTTGACCTTCTGTTACCGCCACGTCAGATGTGAACAACAGCACTAAAGCTAGAGACTTCTAGGTATTGTTAACCACCTGTCAACTTATGAATTCTAGACCAGCAAATCATCTTTTCCAATAATAGAGTGTATTCTAGAGAGTTTTTTTTTTCATCTATGCCCACGTTCTTCGCGGGATATACTATTCTTTCAACTGGTGCCGGAAATTATATGCAAATACTACGATATCAAAAATAGAACCAATGAGTTCCCTTTTACGATCATTTTGTGATTACAGATACTATAAGCATTCGCACAGAGCATGCTGGATGCAAGATACGATAGCGGTTTTAACGTGCGCTCTCTTTGGTGGATATGCGTGTTTGAAAGAAAGTAGTTGAGCACGGTTTACCGCTGTCACAGGTTCTCCCAGCCCACCTCGTGTTTAGATGGCGCTATATAAACACGGGAAAAATCCCCTTTACTCTGATAATTCGCTTGCTAAAGAAATCAGAGGAAGGTTTATAAAACCAACTATAGAAAATAATTAATGCAAAATGCAATCTGCATAATCGTCTGCGAAGATGGGTGGAAGGCGGACTCAGGGTGTAATAATTTTAATTGCTGTCTTGGAACAAAAAGTTGCGGTTGGCCATAGTGATGAACACATTTATTAGTGAAGTATGATCGTTTTTCTCACGAGCCACTCATTTTGATTCTATGAACTTTTTAACTGGTAACAGAAAATGAACTGACCATTTTATTTCCTCACTGGTTCTTTGCACACCCCACGATTGTCAAGACCCCATTCAGACAATCAATTTCCTTACTAACTTTAATATTTTACCCCTCCATAGCTTGTTTAACAATTTTAAAAAACCTGAAGGTCTCCTGTTTTCATAGCTTCCAGATTGTAACTAGAGTACAGGAAAGTATTACAGAATTTATTTCTTGATGAATCGTCAGTCAGGACTAAGTTGTAAGACAGATGAAGCGTCTCCCGTCAAGCGAGACTACACCCCAGTTGCTTTAGTCGCTGGTCGCGGTTAGAATGCCCAGAAAAAGAGACGAACGCAAATCGAATTGTCGTTTCTTTTTCTCGCCTAGCATGCCAGGTAAGAGAAAATTCGAGTCAGGAACGCGGAGGAAAGATACAGGCCGAATCCAAATGCAACATTTTTTTGATGTAGATATAGCTGACTCCGCCTCTGGGCATAGAGAGAATTACGTGTTCTGATTAGCTACCCAAGCGAGGCATGTGAATATCTTGCTATATTCACCACACGCCGAGTCAATAACACATAGAAACCTGGGCTGTTTATTAACAACTCACCGTCAGATTATTCAGAGCTTGCTCGGCTGCGTCACGTGACGATATGTTTTGTACGTCATATTCACTGTTCAGTCGATCGATCAACTGAATCATCTTTTTCTCTGTGGTATGTGCGTCTTGGAAATACTACACGCAATCAAGTAAAAGGAAAAGCAGGAAACTTAAGATGCATTTAAACCGTTTCAAAACTGATCCATGTCAGTATCTGATTAACTGCGCACCTACCGCTCCCTTATTCCCAAAATAATCAACTGATAACAAGTCAGGGTTCTTGTTGGGTTAGGGGAGGGGTAGGTGCGCAGTTGCAGAGATACTGAACCGAAAGAATATAGATCAAGCAAAACGTGAGGAAAAGTAACGGAATGTTGTCAGTTTACTCTCGATAAGAATGCAAGATCTCACAAGGCTGGAAGAAACTAACATCAGAGGTTGAACAGATTATTATGGTACAGAATAAACCACACCTGTTGGTACATCTCTGCATTTCTCACGTGCTGTTGGAAGGCGACGAGAAGTTGGGTAAGCCACCACCACTGACTGCGCATAGCATTCAGGTACGCCTGCATGGAAAAGATATCAGCCGAACACTCTCGTTACTAGATTTTTGAGCCGTTGTTTAGTTTTCGTGATATATTTCCTCTGAATCGAAAACAACACAATGGCGAACGTGCTGGATTCCGGATCGAGAGGTCTGGGCGCACGAAATAGTCAGGTCGCTGCGTTATGTTCTTAGGCAAGACCCTTTGCATCCAAAGCAGGGAGCTCCTTCCGGGAATATGATGTGTCTACGAATAAACTCAGAGAAAGCTGACGAAATTTTTGGGGGTAACCAGGGAAAAGACCATCATTCCATTCGGGGAAGAAGCAAACTCCGGCAGGGATAAGTAGCTCCGTTCATGTTCGAACCTTCTCACAAAGATTTGCCCCCACACCTCTCCACCTCATCACCCTAAAACGCTGAATTGTAAATTGCTAAACATTCAATTCTCTAGAAAAAAGTACGCTAATCACCGCTATTCTTTCACGTCACAGGGCCACCAGTGACGATCCCCGTCTTTTCTCTTAATGAATCTCACCTCTATTGGTTCTGGCGCAGGGTGCCCACTCTGCACCAGGTTCTCTCCTTTAGTAAGCAGCATATTGTAGTGAGGTTCTCTGTCTCGAACATCAAATTCAAGATTCTAAGGGCATAAAAAATTTTACAAGTTTAACCCTTGAACTCCCAAGATCTGATTGGTTTCCTCCCCTCTAGCTGTTACACATTTCCTGGTAAATTAGTTGGGAGAATTTGGCATTAGATCAAGATAAGAACCTCTCAGTGATAAGTTTGAGTATTCTCATTACTTTTTTGCTAGATGACGTATGATTACTATAAGGAGAAGTTACAAGTTAATCACTTCTGGGAGTTAAAGGGTTAAGCAACAGCGTCATTCCCTACTCTGCCCCAATCCCGCTCCTCTCATAATTACAATACCTCTCCGTGTGCTTGAAGATCTTCAATGTCGTGATCTGTGATGGACCAGTCACGAGAGACCTCGGGCTCTTCCCGTTGGTTCATCCAGATCAATTCTTTGGTGGCTTCGCTCATAAACTCCACAAGGCTCTTTAGATAATTAATGCGATTCACAGAACTTTTCTGCAAGATAAAGAGTTCATGATGCATCAATACACAATTCGAATTTGGACGCACTGATCAACAACAAAAGAGAAAGAAGGCGTGTAAGATCAAGCTGTCGCACCACAAGAGCAGCATATTCTTCGTGGATTTCAATGATCTTCTCACTAAGACTTCTGTCTTCAGCCTGCGTCAAAACAGAATGATATATCAATAGATATCTACTGGATACACATGAGACATTTCACCCTTTCATCATCTTATCATCATATCAATACTCCTTGACCAAGACGACGCTCAAAGGCACTCCTCGACCCCAGCTCCCTCCCGACCTAGCTCCTTCAGGTATCAGAACTACAAGTGCACTGGTTTTCCACGAAACGTAACGATTTTCCTCCTAGTTACGACGCCCTTAATTTATCAGTATTCTTACAACATTCTCTGCCCGGTCAGTAACACAAAACAAATCTCACCTCCAGTTGTTTAAGTTTATCCAGTTCGTCTTTAAAGGCAAGCACAGCATCGTGTTGAGCATGATGGTTTTGTTGGTGTCTCTGTGCCGATGGTAAATCCAGACCAAAGTCTTCCTTTTCGATGGCGTCCTGTGCAAAAAAAAGACATCGAGATTGGAGGTCAATGGCTATCTACATATAGGCTATTACAACAAGGGATATGTAACTTAGTATCTGTAGCAGAAGCCAATAGCAATGTTAATACTATTATTGAATATATAATGTTTCAGTTTCTCACTCTTCCATCAGAGTCCACAATGGAAAGTCGAACTGAAAGAAGATTGTAATGACAAGAACACTACACTTTCAAACTACAAGCGCGTTTGACTCAGGGCCTCCTAATTCAAGAGAAAAAGACATAGTTTGAAACATGGGTGCGAATTCACAGTTTCTAGACCTGCAAGTCAGAAGTAAACAATAACGAGCATAAATTGGCGATAACAGCCAGAATTGAGTGCAGGTCCACAAAAAAATTAATGCAACGTCTTCTTGGATGAAGTTAAAGACCTGTCATAAATCATTCAAGCAACTAGAAGCAAAGTCCTTGACATGTTGACATCTAATTTACCTAATTTTAAGGAGACAGCAGAGAGCTCAATGTAAAGAAATGAGCTTCTAGAAAACATTGCTCGTATTTTTGGAAAATATTATTATGGGGGAGGTAACATAACACCAAAAAGTGTCTTCCTGACATTTTACATGAGAGAGAACATTTTGAAAACGCAATATTTTAAATACCTGATATTTACGAAACAACATTTTTCTATCCAATCGAGCCATATTTTAGGAGCGTTGTTCCACGTATCAGTTTTCTGACGAAGTTAATTTTTTGTCGCAAAAAAAGACAACTGCGTAACGCTTCATATCAGCGAGAGCTTTTTGCAAAAATTTATGCCTGCCTCTGACTGTGCCAGAACGGCAAATAAACATCAACAAATAAATGCAAAACGGAAAAATAATCTGAAGTTTCTGGTTACCACCTGCTAGATACGTGTTATTTAATGAAGATAAACAACCTACTGAGGGTTACCACAAAGAGGTGAAATATCTATTTCTACTTCCCTCGAATTTATCAATAAATTATGCCATGTCTCATTTTGAAATTTTGCCCATATGATACAAAAACAAGACACACTTCTCACAATCACAAAACTATGAAAACAAAAACATTTCCTCACAGTTTAAGTTATGATCGGGGAAGAAACAAAGTTTCTAAATTTATCACTGAATTCTATTCCTGGTTTGTTCCGATCGAATCTATGGCAGTCTACTAAAACTCAAAATGAGTTTTATACCTAAGTCAACGAAAACCCTCTCCTTAAGTTTTGCTTTTGGTCTATACATGATGGTGAAACTGATTCACAATCAGTTCCACGACAATTTAAACTTAGACAAGATGTCTAAAAATAACAGTGCATGGGGAAGTCGAAACTCAATACCGGTAATGAAAACATGGAGCAAGAGGCAGGATTCCACACGCTAAGAACTGATTGAGCCTGTGTTTAAAATTCTTTGGCCAGCAGTCGGACTGCATAAGTCACAATGACGTCACGCTAAAAATGATATATGATTAAAATAGCCGAGGAGATACGAACTTCATTTAAAACCAAAAATCAAAAGTAATGTTATTATCAACTGCTTGCTAATCCTGTTCACGATTCAGTTTTCGACCAAAGTTAGTTTTTTAACGAACCTTTGTTTCTCTTAGCCAAGTTAACATTGCATCCAATCGCTGTGATTTATCCCCAGCTCCATCCAGTGCTGCAAACTTCATTCTCACTCGTGTGCGGCCCTGGGTCGAGGTTGTACTGTCGCTTCCGTCTGGGATAAATTAAAATTTTTAGGTAGAATCAAACTCAAAACAACTATTTACTCCATAGCTTAGGCGCCAAAAGACCACTTCTTTGCGCTGATAATCAATTGCAGGGAGATTTTTTTAACTGACTGTTGTCATGCCAAATCAAAAGTAATCCCAACGGTCGATTAACACAATTTGCACCCTGCTATCAGTATGCATATTCTCCATACTTTCATCTCTACATTCCATGTGGAACTAACAAGGAGAATTTTTCAAACAATCAAGAGCTTCTTAAGCTAGCGATCATTTCCCTTAATCTCTTGACTTTGACGTTTGATTCAGGGGCGATACTGCAAGGAGTAACTAGATGGCAGTCACTCTTTGAAGTCCAAGGGTATAAATCATGAAGAATCAATCAGAATCAAAAGAAACGTAAATAATTTTAACTGAGGAAAACATCTGATTGAAAAACAGCACAGCAAAAGTTTTTAAAGACAAACCACAGAGTTCTGTTTCTTTCTTACCGTCACTCAAACCCTCTGCGGACATGATCCGAGCAACAGTTGTCCTTGTTTCTGTGGGGGTGCCCCCTGAGGAACGGTAGGTCCTCTTTGTGATGGTTATAACCTTTCTTCTTGTCGTGACCTCTTCCAAGTCTTCTAGGCTGGGCGTTGTTTCCTCCGTTGACACCACAGTTTTCTCCACAGGTAATTCCAGTTTCATTTTCTTGCCGTCAGTCGTGCTATAAGTCTGGTAAGTGAGTACTTTTGTGGAACGAGCTTCCAATCGATCCTTCATCTCAGACCAGCGCCTTTCAATGGACAGAACTCTAAAAAGGAAGGAAAAACATGTTCATGAAGTGGCCTACACGGCTGGAGCCTTTTAAACCGGTTTCTTCAGCATTAAAAGCCAGGAATGCTGCCACTTCTGTGGTCAGCTTGTATCCGTGAAAATATTTTAACATTAATTGAGGTAAAAGTTGGCCATAATTTGTATAATTTCCTCTTAACAAACTGTAGGTCATTAATCTTCTTATAAATGTGCGAATCGCTCAGTAAAAAGTCTCCCAGACTCACTTAATTCTTATTTCATCCGCTCTGGAGTAGCGGCCGGCGACAAGAATGTCCACGCCAGATAACATGTGCTTGATACTCGTCTCAAACATCTGCAGGAATGAAAAAAAATATTATCAATCCAGACTATATCAAAATAATGCAGGGAAATTGCAAATTATTTTATATTAAATACATCAAAATCTCTTCCTCCTGGAACAATTATGACCCCGCTATCCAAACGTCCACCCTCTGTTTCCTAAAATTAGCCAAATGCAGCCTGTGTGAGTGCTTGTGTAGCAAAAAGACAACTTAAGGATGGCGCTTACCACAAGAGACTTTTCAATTTGGTAGAAGTGCTTTCGGCGTGTCTCGCTATCAACGGTATTACCGACTTCCTCTTCCTGCAAGGGACAAAATAAACATGACACACGTTTCAATTAATAAAATATTCTTATAGCCCGCCAACCAGTCATGTGAAGGAGAACAAAAACTTGGAGGGAACTATTTAAGCAATAGCCCGCCTTTTTTGCCAGTTTACCACCGGCGTAATAACCAATACGGATGTTAGGAGAACGCAAGAAAAGTTTGTAAATCACGCGCCGAAGGCTATAGGTTTACCAGTGCACTAAATGATAGGTTTTGGACCAATCAGGGCGCTCCTAGTATCTCAATTATTTCATAGTTGTAAAAGTAATAGGACCGAGTGGAGTCCAGTTCGGTCTGTAATCAGACGGGTGATGAACAAAAATCGGACGACCGCGATACGCGAGTCCGATTTGTTAATCACGAATATGATTACAGACCGAATTGGACGACATGATATCCTGTTACCAATTCATCAAATCTATGGCAGAATTTGAGAACGAAACTTAACATCAGATATACGTTTTCATAAAAAAAAACCAGTTAACTCGGCGAAATGCGAGGCAACAGCGCGCGCAAATGACGCGTTCTGTCCACTTACACCGGCATGACGTGTTAACTGTCCTATTACACTGTCCAATTACATACATGACGCGTAAACTGTCCTATTACACTGTCCAATTACAAGCATGACGCGTACACTGTCCTATCAGTGTTCAAATCGGGCTGGTGATAACCAATCACGTTCGAGAATTTTGTTGTAGTTTTGATTAAACATAGATAGCTGTTACTTCTGTACTTACTGATTTGATTCTTTCTTCAATGTCATCGAGTGAAGCGTCGACAAGAGTTGCCTGGTGATAGAAAGGAACACGTGAAATATTGATTTCTATATTTTAAATTTTAAAATTGATCCTATGATTCAGAAAGCAAAGGAAGCATAAAAATGCATGTTACCAAATATAATAGTTCAGAACGCGAAGTTAACAAACACGCCATCAGAGTGGCTTACCACGACTCCGTAATCTCCTTTTACTGTAAATGGGTTGAACCCAGGGGTAACATGCGATAGTGCAGTCTGATTGTCCAGGTGAGTGTAGTCCTGAGAAGTTCTGTTGTTGGTAGCGGTGACTGAGCGGAAGTCATCATCAGAGTCACTTGACTATGATGAGGACTTCCGCTCAGGTTGTCGAAGCGTCAGTCACCACTATCGACAATAGTCTTTCTTAGGACTATACTCACCCGGATGATCATACGACACCATCTCCTTTTATAACCACCTAAAATTGCTTGGATTTCTTGAAAATTCAACAGGTAAAAGGATTGCGCTACCGGTTTGAAAATTTATTTTTACCTGTCGTGTTTAAATAAGGGACAACGATGAATTGGCTCTTCGATCAGTCGATCGTCGCCTCTAATGGCTCAAATTAAGTTTTTCAACATGTTTTGTACAAACATAACAGACGGTTCCAATCTGTATGGAGTTGCAAAGAAACTTAACCCTTTAATGCCGAGAGCGACATTACATAGTAAATATTTAATCACTTATTCTGAAATTTTCATCACCAAAAGGTCCGTAAAAGATCTGCATATTGAAGGCATGAAATCATGACCCCTCCAATATAACTTGATTTACCACCCCTACAACTTTTGGAACTTTTTGTCTTTGTACTGTTTTGGTCCAGGTAATATCTCACCACAATCAACGCTCTAAGAGCTGCAATTTACGCTATAGTTTAGTGGTATACCCCTGATGAAGGACGCAAGCGAAAAATTTCAACGTTTTTCATTTTTCACTTTGGACTCGTTTCAGTCCTTTCAGTTACCTCCTCACACTTGTTGATGTCATTTACATCATACCCCAGAAAATACCTTTAAAATGAAATATTAGACGTAGTGTGATGGTTCATCGTTCTCATTATTGAAAAAATTTGGCATTTCCTTTGGGTAGTCAAGGGTTAAGGGCAGATTTTCTTTTATAAAGAAAGTATCTGCTATGTTCGATACTGACCTCTTTCTGGATTTTTTCTGCCACTTGATGCATCTGTTCAAGCCTGTAAAATATTTGGATTCAAGCAGAGGCATAAGATCCTAAATTAAAACAGGTATTCGAGATTCGATCTTTTGACTTTCACACGTAATCAGCGACTACCTTCTTCCAATAATCTACATACATTATCATGCAGACAGGTGATAAGTTCAAAGTGGATTATCAGTTAGCGCGTGTTATCTTGATGTCAGCCCAAATTCCTTTGTCTGGGGGATTAGGCGGGATTAATGGTGAAATTTATATATGGGAACATTTCATCCGTCGATTTAGATCCTCTAAGATTGAACTGAAAACTTTCTACACGGATTTCATGGTGCGCCCAGAAGCTGTCTGTGATTGGTGGAGGCATTTGGAAAAATATGTGAAGCTGATCACAAGCATTTTCGTGGAGATGCATATCAAGAGACTGTGTAATCCTCTTAATCGTGAACTTTACCCTTTGATTCTCAAGGCCCCGCTAATGAAAAAGACAACACGATAGTCGTTCAAGACATAGATTTAAATCATTCTGGATTCTTGTGGGCGACATCTTCTTTTCAAATCATTACATTTTGCACTTTCCTGAATACCATTTACAGAGTACCGCTTAAGCTGTGCTCTAGAAGAGCCTGAGTGCCACTGGCGACCAATTTTTGAACTTTGGCCCTTGTCTTTCAAACGTTGGCACCAAAACAACGCCTTCAGTGACCTAGTGATTGTTCTAAGAGCACTGCTTTGGGCGGATATCATCTTAACTAAATTAAGTCAGATTAACAGCTGAAGAGTGAAAACACATATCTAACCTGGTAAGCTCAATTCTTAGTGACTTGTTGTAGTTGTCCTGGGTCTCTACAAGCTTTGTCCATGACTGTAAGGAAAAATGATGTAAGTCGTGACTTTGAATTTTGAGAAGAAACACTCCCCACCCACCGCCCTGTACAAGCGAGAGTCCGAAATAGTGACAGTCCTCTTCGCATCCGTTTAAAATAGAGAGAGAGAGCACGTTGCGTGACGAGACCAAACAAAAGCTGCGAAGGAAATCTTCAATACCGAGAGATGATTAAAATGACCCAGGTTTTAATTGAAAAATAAAAATATTTAGCGCACAAAGAACACTGAGAGACTCTTTCAAGATGTTCAGTTTCTTTTCATATTAGTAGAAAACACGTAAACATACTGAATGGTCGAAATATCGTAAAAATGCAAACATTCCGGAACAACAGAAGACAACTTTGTCATTGAACTCGTCCAATTAATTCGTTGGAAGAAAATAGAACAATAAAAATGTTAGTTTAGAACCAGATGAAGTGTACACGATTCCGAAATAGCATGAGCTGTCTCAAGGCATTTCCCTGTAGTTTTACCCGCCATTCAGCGCGGCTTGACTCTAAATATTTCTTATAGGAAGGCGAATTCAACTAGTTACGATTCAAGGGCTTTTCAATGCACAAGTTGCGTTATTAACCGCTGAGAATCATATCGCATGTAATCTCTGTAAGCAGCAGAGAAATCTCTATCAGTTAACGTTACAAAATAAACATTTCTTACCACTTCTAATTCCCTGGGACTACATTCATAAGGAAACTCCAACCAGGTTGCCATAGGGCCATACAGTGCCTGGAAGATATAGAACAAAAGTTACTTAGCTCTTTAGTTGGCTTATTGCAAGTTTTCATAATTTTAAAGCTCAAAACTATCTTAGTTTGAGGCCAGCAGATTTTAGCAGCAGGTAAACAACTTTCTCACGTAAACTTTTTTTTTTTTAAAAGAACGTCGCGATCTCATTTTGAGGTAGAAGCCGAACGCCCTTATTTCGTCTCGCGATTGACGCCAGGAAACGTTCTTAAAATGTTCTTATAGTTATGTGGTACAGTATTCCAATGAATTAACTCTGACGTGAGATAATTGTCCTGCTAGACCATAGTTTTACATTTCTTTTACCATTATTTACACTTCTCAGAAAAAAAAAAAAAAAAACGAGCGAAGTGACTCTCTCTGACTCTCAGTCCGAGTATGTTCTTCGTACGTTCTTAAAATTTTAGTTAATCTCAGCCTAAACGTTCTTATAAAAAAAAGGTTACTATAAAAGAAAGAAGAATTCTTGCCAATTTGTCAAAGTCCAAGACAAGCTCGAGGTCACTTTCCTTCCCAAGAAGATTCCAGATTTTTCCCTTGCTTTAGTTAAAATTGTCTGAGTTTCTTTCAAGCTGCATGCTATTTTCATCTTTCTAAGATTCTCCGTAATGTTTGCCATATACTCCTATGATTCTAGCTGTCAGAATTTTAAAGCCACATGAAACAATGTGGCTCTGTCTTTCTTCTCCGCATCTTTGTGGTTGACAACATGTTGATATCGTAAGGAGACAAATTACTTCTTGGTGATAGAACCTGTGAAAACTCTGCCAATGACATAAATTACTTCCTGGTGATAGAAACTGTGCAAACTCTGGGAGTGAGGCGCCCACGGAAGTTTGGTACTGACTTTACTTTTTCATTACCTGTTTTGATTTGTGTGACTGACAACGCTCTACGATGGGGATTGCCTGTAATCTAATCCAATCTTTACAGAAAGAACTACTCTCCATAAAAATTCAGAAACACATTTAACTGTACCTGTAGTTCACGAAACACCATTTTTAAGGAATGTCTTGAGGCTTCCATCTCAGGAAATTCACTTATACGGTAGCGGTTATACTCAACAATGAGCTCCTAAAAGTTAAAGAATAAATCCAAGATGTGTTCATTTTCAAAGGATTATTTCAATCAGAGGTGCTGCAGAATACATAAATCCATCTAATTTGTAAATCAAAATTTGGATCAATTACTGATAATTTCCTTGGACACTTTTCATAATCATACCCGTATCCCTTCCCCCCTTTACACAACTCTATCCTTGCGAAAACAACTAACAACTTTACGCATTTTGTTAACTGTACCATTCAACTTTAGGGACGCTTTAGGAAATTAATGTTCACACAATTTTTGTCACCGGTTGTAGCAGGTGTAAGCCTCTCGTGGCTTGCTCTATATCAAGGGAAAAATCTAGGAAGTTTGGAATAACAGGATTCTTAAGTTGAAGGGTGTCAATATTGTACTACAGAGGTAAAGCCACAGAGCAAGAGGAATTGTAGTCAGTCTGGCAGACATTTTAACTCAATGAACGTGAATTTAAACATTTTGTCTAGGCAAAATCTGGAGAGAAACACTTCATTCTCCTCAACTCCTACTACTTTGCTGCACACCATAACAAAAGAAAAGTCTCTTCAGTAAAAGTCATGAACAAAAACGTACAAATGCTGAGTTTTGTTCCCCTCTATTTCCTTTGTGTTATTATTTAGTTTTTTCCCCTAACATAAATGGTTGTAAATCAAAGAAAAGATGCTTAGTTGATAGTAAATGCACAAATTAACTTTTCCTCCAAACCTTTATTCCATGGATAGTCTTTGGGAATCTCTGTTTCTCCATTTTTTGCTCCACTTTGTTGATTTCCACAACTAGAGCTTTTGCCAGGTTACAATATTCTTCAAACTTGAAAAGCTTTTCCTGAATATAGATAAATCACAGGAATCAAAATTTGACTCAAATAAAGAATAGATTAAAGCAAAAAATACTTAACTGGCCAGCTTCATTCATTTTTTCGGTTTCAAATCCATAAAAAAAATTAATAAGAAATTGAGAGAGAACTCGACATTACATGTACAAGGATGCTTACATTATCCTGCAATGACTCTTGCACTGTTGGCTCTTTTGGAAATACTTCATACAAGGAAGATACATATGTCATGATAGATTTTTCATCTGGTTGTTCGGTATTTGCGAGATCTGGAACAGAAATCATAACAGGTTCACAGTCATGCATCACAGTCATCATTTATTTATTTATTTACAGAAATTCACTTACAATGCATTCATATCCATATTGTGTGCAATATTTAATGTAAAAGTTTAAGTTAAGTTTTTTCCCTTGCCCAGGAAAATACCCATTTGCTAGTTACCACAATCCATTCTGACAATTTGACACAATTCATGTGGATGGACAAGTGAAGACAATAGCTCAATCTAACTATCTTCCAGCATCTTATCAGGATTTACCGGCAGTTCTCTGTTATCTCTTTATACTCCTGAGCTAAGGTGATCAGAGCATTGTTATCACTTACCCAAAGTTATGTGCGGCACTATGCAGCTTACCCTGAATTAGTGATGATTTAGTTTTAAACAACTAAACTGAGAAGAACACAAGGAAAGTTCAGATCACAATGCTCTAGCCAGAACTCAAGCCCAGAGCTTTCATTCCCACAAATCCAACCAGCAATTGCCACCAATTCATCCTGCAAACTTCTCCAGCAACTGGTGCTTAACAACAATTCTGAGTGGTTGACCTTCCTGATAGCAAATTGAACCTGTACATTTAGTGATTTATTTTACCTTCCACATCTAAGAGTCTTGGAACACCAAGTTCTTTCTCAGCCACATGAAATGAATACTCCAGGTTTTGATCAGGGCTTGCTTTATTCAACTTGGAGAAGTCTACAAGATCTGGCCTGTTGTTGGAAAAAACAATCACAATTCCATGATATTTCTATTAAAGACCATAAATTCACATATCACATTTGACTGAAATTTATGTGCCTGACAAAAATCAAACTAAACCCTCTTTGTTACACAAATTAAAACATTTAAGATACCTGTATCTGTGAATAATTGCATTGAAAGCCAGCCCATCTCTCCATGAAGTTGTAAAGTTTCCAACATCAACTGAAGGATAACTGAAAACAGAAAGAAACACAATATGTTGTTTTCACTTTGCCTCTTGGCAGCATGTTAAGCTCAGCATCAGAGAAAATTTTTTAAGGGAAAGCTACATGTTAATCACTTCTGGGAGTTAAAGGGTTAAGTAAAAGCAAGCAATTTGTATGATGCACAGAATAACAATGGAAACTGAATGGCAGTTGCTCTTTTTCAGCTCATGATAACTAACTAGTTGGAAAAGAAATTAATGTTTTAAGGAACAATAATGGAGCATAGTAAAGCCAAATCAGTCTGTGAAATCCCACTTTGGACACTTAATTGCAAATTGCTCTTATCATCTCAGCACTTACCCCTGAGTTACTTTCTTTGCCCACAGAAGAAGAGCATCTTTAGCAGTCATCTGCTCCTGTTTTCCCACAACTTCCACCTCTGAAATCTGTAATTATACCATTACATAACAATAATTGTAAAGAAACATGGACATACATGCATTTAGTCTGGAACTGGACTAAAATATAATTTTTCTGCAAAGATGTTCAAAAGAATCATACAAGTTATCAACAAAGTAAGGGAAGCTTACTTTTTCAAGAGGCAGTAGAACAGTTTTATTTTGAAACTAGTCAGAATTATTCAAATTTATTTACCTATTAAAGAATTAACAGACATAAAATAAATACATGGTTTATTGTCTGACCTGGTAGTGTAAGATAATTGTCCATATCAGACCCAGGGTAAGCTTGGGATTACCATCCACTATGTCCTCACTCCGGATGTTCACCAGTTTCACCTGAAACAAAATACTCATTAGCTTAGGCTTTGTATGACAATGTCTACATGAGGGGTAACATTGGGTAAAGAAATCTTTCAAATCTGTTACTCCCTAACATCAGTATGCATATTCTCTATGCTGTTCTCTATCAATTTCCTGAGGTTCTGACAAGGAGAATTTGTTTAACTATCACAAGCTTCTTTTTTCCGGAGATCATTCCCTTTATTCTAATGAACTTGATGTGTGATTCAGGGGTGATATTATAAAGAGAACCTACAATAGATTCTTGCTACTCTTCAGGATCAAAGGGTTAGGAAACTTGCAGGAAAGATTGAGGTGTTCAAGAAAACTGTGGTTTAGCTGGAGCTCAGTTTCAAACTAAGCAGGCAGATGCAGATCCATGCAATGTAGTTGAACAAACACACATCTTGTTTTAAGAATACATAGGCTGATTTACAGGGAGAAAATCATCCTCAAGACCTATAAATATAATTTATCATTTCATGTGCTTTAAATAGGTAATTCAGTTCAGTACAAGACAGATCCTAACATTTCTCTACCAAATACACCCCTTGAGTGTCCCATGGTTTTTAATTTCTACAGTATATGATTGAAACTTAAGATACCTGCTGTGACTGAAGAAATTCTAAAGCAGTCTGAACATTCTGAAGTCTGTGAAATCTTAACTGTCCTCTTTCTCTTGGCTAAATAGTAAATATCACAAAAAATAACAAGAAAATTACGAAAGATCATCTCATTACAAAAAACATTAAGCTTACACTCATGTAAAACTTGCAGTTTAGGAAAGGAAGAAATCCCACATAAACATTACAAGACAAAAACATGTACAGTTGCAGAGAGATGGTAACAACTACAAATATGCGAAACTAACTCCCATATCTGCCAGAGTTCATCCTCACTTAAATAATATGAAGTAACCAAGATTATTATCAATTCATCTGGATGCCATGCTACATTTAGTCAATAATGGTTACAACTGCATTAGATAAAGTTTCCTGGACAATTTTCCGAAACTTAGTTACACTTTCCTGTGAAAGATGACTCCGTAAAAGTCGTGCACTATCCCTAACCAGACCTTTCCAACATCAGTTTAGCTTGCTAAGCATATGGGCTACTACATTAGCCACAAAGAAATTCAAAATGTTATTTCAGTTACTATTTGTTTCCAGGGCTGGTGATTTACAAACTTCTCCTTCATTCTCCCCACATCCCACACAGTTGATTGCAGCATTATACCAACAGAAAGTGTTGTTAACTTGTGCAATAAATGATAGGTTTTGGACCAAACAGGACACTCATAGTATCTAGGTAATTTTATATCACACATTAGTGCAGTATTCCCAAAACATCAAACACCAAACTTAGCCAGTACTGAAATACAGAAATCTAGTCTATCCAAGGTCTACTACATACATTTTCTCAAACCACAACTTTTTACAAATATACTTACCAAGTTGATCTTACAAAGAAGCTCTAGCAGTAATAACAGATTGGTTCCATCTCTTAGTTCCTCATATAGATCCAAAATTCGTACATTAACCTGAGAAGGAAACCATTTCAGCAGGTTAGGGCAAGATTCAAGTTAACAAAGGCAACAGTTATCAAGTTATCTTGTCAAAAAGAGTCTTACTTAGTGGATAATGGACAGGTAATTTATAAATAGGCAGCAAGAGGGCTAAATTGCATATTTACAGATATATAATATTACTTATAAAGTTCTAATCCCAAAAAAATACATATTATACGGATAATAAAATACTAAAATTAATTTAACACTGTGAAATTGGTAAAACAAATTCAATCTGTAATAAACATGTCAAAATACATTATTCTCTAAAAACAAGCCTAATAAAAATGTGTTTCTCTAGCAATCTTTTTTCCATTTTGGGAGTCAAAAATGCCTATTGCATCTGAGTGAGTCTACTGATTTATATGCTGTAAGCAAAAGCTTATGAAAGTGGTTATCCTCATCAGTCTGATTTTATTCAGATCCTACTCATTCCTAATCTTTCAATGACCAATTATAGCATTATTTAAATATAAGCAAACGTCCTGAACAAGCTCCTAAAACTGTATAAATCACATCAAGTTAAAGAGGCATGGCTTACAATTAGTTTGCTCTGAAGGATGATTCACCTTTTTAACTCCCTGATCATGAAATGATTAGCTTGTAACCTCTCTTTATAACATCAATACATTATCCAGTAAACTGGTGATGAGAATTTTCAGACTTATCCCATAGAGGTTGTTATCTCGATCTAACAACAAATTTTTGTAACTAATTTACAAGCTTGACATTCAGAACTTGGGAGTTTCAAGGGATAACCTTAGGAATAAGCTCCAGGTTTGTATATCATTTTTCTTGCAGGTTGTAAAGCTTTGTAGAAGCTGGTGTTAAGATAAATTCTCAGTGTTTTACCTTACAGTTTATAAATCATACAAATCTTTAGCCCTTATAAACTGTTTTTGAAAAAAAAATAAAAACCAACTTTTTAAAATCTTATCCTAGAAATGAATAAACTGCCTTTTGGACATGCGGCCTATGATAGAGCTTAGTAGTTTTGTTAATGTGATTATCACTTCAGAATGTAATCTCTCAGTTAAAGCTGTTCTGTTTGAGAGATAGAAGGGTAAAAACACACTGTGTAAACTTGGCATCGTTATATGGCCAGCCTGAAACTAACTTATTCAAACTGAAAAAAAAATTGAATTGCATGCCTGATGAAAAAAATATCAAAGGGAACTCCCTTTTAAAACAAAAGGTCATACCTCTAGTTCCTGTTTAGTCACTAAATGCTAACCATTATCCTTTTATGAATTCTAAACCATTTCAATTTTTTTTATTAGCTAACTGAGATACACGTACACCTTGTAAAAGATAAACATTTAAATTTTAATGTAAAATTGTAAAAAGTCGGCAAAATTTTCCTATCCAGACATGATGGTCTCTTAAGACCCTTTGAGGTAATGTATCTTCTCAGCTCACCCGAGAAGGCAAGAGAATTAAATTAACTTAATCCTCTTGAGCACACCTTCTACTTTATAACCATTGCACTGTAAAGTGAATTCCAATACAAACTACGGACTCAAGCAATCATTAGATGCAATAGGCCTCTAATGATCGATGAGAACGGAAATCCGTAATTTAACTTAGGGACAGCAGAGGAAAAACTTTGCACCATGTATTCAAATGACAAAAAAAAATTAATGAAACCGCACATTAAATTTCGTAACCTATATCTTACAGATAAGGCTTATGTTCTATTATTAGTAGTAACTAAACACACAGTTGAACCGCAATCGAGAACGAATGAAATTGACAAGCTTACTTTCTGAAGATGATTGTTAACCCACTTTGTGAAAGTTTTCTTCTGAACTGCATCTCTGTGATCTGTAACATAGACGAAATGAAGCAAAGGTTAGCGCTGATTCTTAGTGGTAAGCTTACAATGAAGTTTTAATAAAACTAACTATCCATCCGAGTTGTTATCTTTGAATGAAAACAGTAATTAACACGGACTAATTTACTGCATAAATATACCTGCCCGAACACCGCAGTGTAGCAATGATGGAAGAGAAACTCTAAAGAATTCGCTTTCACTTTCTGTCGTTATATTGGTCAACTTCAGCGAAGCAAAGCTTCTCGACCGATAAGGAAGGTAGTTTAAGTGTTAAATCGACCACTTTACTAAGTCGAGTACATAAAATATTCACAAGGCTACTAAAACAAGAAGCCAAGATTTTGCACGAACACTTTCTTCTTCAGTAGCAAAACACATGGTGTGGTTTAATTACCTGGCTCGCTCCGCCTTAACTCGATCATTAACTCATAAACATTGTCGTCTTCCTCATCCAATTCTTCCAACTCGTGGTCCGCCATTTTAAAAAATCTGTTGTCTCCAATCTTTAGGCCCTATTCATTAACCTAGACAAGTACGATTACTCCCAAGAGACTCGCTGCTTCACTCGAAGTCATTTCACAGTCAAACTCGTTTCTCGATCGTCAAATTTTGGTCACAGAGCGATTGATGACATTTACACTGGGCAAGAAAGGCAAGATGCGAGCTCTACCACAGCACCGAAGTAACCATTTGTACTGGACGGTTCTCCGATGAGCAAGAATGCTGATAATTTTCATGCAAGACCTATGTTATCTTTAAAATTCCGCCTTCTCAAAATATATTATCAAAATGAAGCCTGCACGCCTCGTCTTTAATAATGGCTGAGATGAATGCGTGATGCGATTAAAAGTTTTCACAGTCGTGTCCTGTCACTTCTTGCATTTATGCCAACTGGAAGTCCAATATAATTTTGTGAAATATGAGAGCGATTCTTGGGGTGTGGGGACAAACATTGTCTGATGTGACCTCCTCTCTGATAAGATGTAGTACAGCCCAATAAATTCTTAATTTTATGCAAATGTTGGGCCGGATGGGAAAGTGGCGAAGGACTTTTCTACGTGTATTAATCTTGTAATTTACCCGTGTCTTTTCTTCCAACAACTTTCACCTGATTTGGATAAATACTTTAGCCGACTGCGCAAGTTTGTTTTTGTTTTTCAGTGTTAATATTTTAATATCAAAGAAAATAAGCTTTCTAACTAACAATAAAATAAAAACAATGCATGTCTCGCAACTGCGACTGGAAATCATGTGCTCACTGACTGTGAAATAATGATACAATTCGAGAACTCGGCTGACCGTGCATTTGTTAAAGGAAAATAGCCAGAACTATTTCTATTTGTATCCTCGAACAAAGACAAATAAAGCAATTGACAGACAGCTCTGTACCTTGTCCTATCTTTAGCTTTATGTAACTGGTTAAACGTCAAATTATTCCGCTAGCACAACTGTTGGCAAATTTTAAGTATAGCTGCCAGAAAGTTAATTCGAAACAGGTACTTTAGCGCTGCTTCGATCGTTAATTGAAGACATGGTAATATACCAATTTAGCTTTCCCATTGTTGAACAGGAGAGAAATTTCCACAAAAACATAACAAGCAGACAGTTAGCCAAGCACAAGGTCAATCAGTTCTAAATGAAACTCTACTTCTCGAGATCTCTGCACGTCAACGCAAAGTAAACAAGTATATGATACAAGGTAACCAACTTCTTAAAATAATGATGAAATTATGCAAAAGAGCGCGCTTACCAGCAATTTTACACACGGCTCTGTCGGCAACGTTCGATGGGCTTCGAGTCCCAGAGCGAGACCTTGGTCTGCCGTGAATGGGAGTAGTTGGTCTAGACATAATAATTCGCAGTATCTTGTGACAACAAGTTCATCTTCTTCTCAGCCAAAAAGAGTCAGTTCTGCTCCACGGTCGAATCTTGGGTTTGGCATCACATCCGTAGACCAGAAATTTCCACATGCAAATAGAATTATTATGAGAACTTACGTTAGTCATTGCTGACACTCAAAAGCATAACAACAGGTATGTTCTCGCAGGGCGCTCTACTATACCTTGCCGTACCGATCCAACGGATTAAACAAAGCAACTCTAAGGTACTAAATTAAAATTCTGAAGAGATCGCACAATTTGCCTCTTCACAGACGAGCCACCATGTTTTCCTTTCTTTGAATATTCATTAAAGTTGCTTTTGTGCCGGTTTGTATCGTGATTGGCCGGGCGAGTATGAAAGCAAGTGATTAGGAGCCAAACGCAAAACGCGTGACACACTTTCTTTTTTGGCGCGTAATCCCTCCTTCGCGTTTGAGGTTGTCTCGTCAATTTTATTACTTAATCTTTAGCTGTTGATTTTGCATTTAGCGGCACCTATTCCGGACTCGGACAGATTCACTTTAATAAAAACATGGGTGATATGAGAACGAGTGTAAATTTGATCCACTGAGCGATCACATTGAATATTTAAACTTCACGCTTGGCGACCAACCTGCACGAGAAAAATCGGACTGCCTGTAGCGCACCTATGTCGCGCCTTCAATGGGTCAAGAACGAGTGAAATATAATCTTAAGCAGATCTTTCTTCTCTGAAAGAGGTAACGACGGATTTGAACCGATCTTCGGCCACAGGTTCAAAGCCTTGCCAAGAATTAGGCTCGGTCATGCAAAGGAAATTTTTTAATGCATGGTTCCTGTCTTCTGCTATATCATTATATTTTCGAAATAATAGGTGTATTTTTTTTGTAATTATGTTAAAAAGTTGCGTGTTGCGTGCGTAATGAGGCGGATACTAAGTAAACAGTGACGAGTACCAAAGGAAAGACTAAACATTTAATATAGGAAGACCGACTCTCATGTGAAGTCGAAGTCCTTTGCTAAAAAAACTTGAACTCATCAAAGTTCACAGGAATGTCCGCTTTCCTAAGATATTTTAGATGCGAAAGACCGCCATGTCGTCGAGTTTGAACTGCACCTAACTGTGACTATTTCCGGGATTACAAAGCTCGAAATTTGCTGCCTTGAATCTCTTTGATCAAGTTACAATTCCATCGCGTGACAACTTGAAAATATGCGCATTATTTGTAGAAACTTTGTAAACAAATGCATAAAACTATTCGGGGTCTCTGGGTTAAAAACAGAAACGACAATATTAACATATCCATTGTCGAATTGTTGCTGACGCGGAAAATCAAATATTCTTACTTTTGACAGTCTTTTTGAGGATCTAATTTACGAACCAGACATATAATATCATCAGATATATCTTCATTCCGAAGTCCAGACAACGTTGCGACGAAGGATGTATTCTAATCATTGCTGACATTCCGTTACCGCAAAAACGCACAATATCAGCAGACATAATTCGATACTGAGTTAAAATTAAGGAAACAGCTTGCCATGACCTTATGTATATTTTGTTCGTTATTTCGCCGATTGTCTTACTGGAGTCTGTGACCGGAGGGATTTCCAAAATGAAGCTCATTTAGAGTTGTATTCTCATTTTATTAACATGCTTTTCTGGTGAGACAGAGAGAAACAACGAAGAGGGTCCTCGATTTCCTTCCCTTCCCAGCTTCTTCATTTTAGTCTTCCCTACCCCTCCCCCCTCCTCGCCTCCACCGGATAGTTGATTAGGATGCTATGTTTCAGAGGGGAAGACTATCGGCGATGTAGATAAATGCGGAATTCTATACTATAGTTTGATAAATAAAAATCACCGACCTATCTTTACTTGATGCATTTATCGCGTGCAAGTCATCAGGCTCGTGTACCCTGCGGGTAGGAAAAGGAAACTTCGAGAAGGTTGGTTCCCACCCTCCTCAAAGCTTTCTGTGAGCCACACCCTCCTCCGTCTGAGGAATCCGTAAGCACATTCTGCGCTTTACATGAGCTGCACATTATGGCTGTCTAAAAGCGAGATAAACGGTACGCCCCTCCTTTTCATTCTTGCCTATTCCATACTTAGATCTACAAATGAAAAAAAAAATGGTTTCGGTGCTTTCCGGGGAGAAATAAAATTAGGCAAGAGTTCACTAGACGAATTTTTGACCTTCCGCCGAGAGCGCGAGATCCCGCGAGAGTTTCTCTCCGAAATTGAAATTTCACGAACCTGCGTGTACTCCACGCAATTTCAGAGCATTATATCACCTTGATTTAGGACGTAACCAACAAAAAACGTTTACTTCTAGCACTTAGGCAGGCGCACACTACCCCACGAGCTATTAAGCTTTAATCCCCATCGTGTGTTGATAAAGATTTTACTTATTTACTTAGTATTGCGTGCCTTGGCTTAGGGTTAAGTTGGAGGAAGTGTTTTTTTTTTTTTTTTTTTTTTTTTTTTTTTGCTCTTATTACAGCGTATTTCAAGAATTTTCGTTGGGAGAAAACATTTCCGTTACTTGTTTAATATTTCTAACGGCGTTCTACTTCGACTCTACTGCCGTTTCTCAGAAATAATTATCTGTATCTGACTAATACAATTCATACAAGTCTGCAACACAGTTAGAAAAAATAATTATGCAAATTGGCTGGCTGTGCATTCAATATGCAGCCAGCAATTTGCATAAGTAATTCGAGCCAAGGTTTGACTCCTCTCGATGGCGTGAGGTGTTCGCTGAACATTCCAGGACATCCGATAATCGCCACAAAAAAGTTTTAAAAGCTCTCCTCATCCTTCAGTTTTTTCTAGAACATAGTTTCTTCTGTAGGAGCTGTGGGCGGAGCGTATAGATACGAACTGTTCTCGGGCGTCGTTGAACTTCACATAATTAGAAATTGCTGGAAAACTACATGCAGCTTTGAGCAGAGTCGTAAACTCCAATGTTGATCGCGGCGACAAACTGCAGTATGATCGGGCAGTAATGGCAACTAGTTTTGCGCTGTGTAATGTTACAAAGATAATTATTGCATGAGTAAAGTGACCAAAAGCGCCTAGGTAAACAGGATCAATTTTTTTGTGTCGGCCACAAATATTAAAAAAAAAAAAAATACTAAGGTTCAAGTTGAAAAAAAAAAGCAAGGTTCAAGTTAAAAAAAGGCTCAAATTAAAAATAGCAACCACGAGGTGAGACTATTTTGGTAGGGAACGGCTCGAGATGGGCAAAATTTTAGAGATGGCCCCCAAGGTACTGTTGGCCTTCTAATCCTCATTCCCGTCAATTCTCAACGCTTTCACCCCAGATTTACAATTAACGACGGCTGAATTAACGACTCCTTTTTTATGCATAGACAGTCAACACTTTAATTGTTATATTGTGAACATTTTGTATATTATTTCCTTGCGTTTTCAGTTTAAACTGTATTTTCATAATCTTGATAACCAGAACGAACGCAAATTTGCTAAAAAGTGTCTTAAAAGTAGGGGTTTAACAGAATTTTCTGACGCATGATGGTAACGTATTAGCAGAGACCAAGAGATCATGATCTCTGGCTGGGACCTCTAAGTGTGAAAAATTTACCTAAGTTAAATGCATTTGAGAAAGAACTATATATGACCGAAGTACAGAGGTGAAAATAAAGTCGAGCTACTGACAGAATTTCGCTAGCGATACTAGAAATACAGGAAAAATGCCTTTTTATTCGATACTTGCGATTCATTGTGCTACTGAGTTAGTATATTAGCATGATCTGAGGTAGATATGCTTCTTTTAAAACTTACACTTATAATCACAATATGACTGAGTTTAAAAAATATCTTGTCATCAGCATCTTACGCGAAGCTACATTCACTTTAGATATACCCCCCACTGTAAAAATAAAACCTCCTAAAACACCAACGTCAGCAAGAGTCAATCCAGTTAGCATTTGTTACGCAATCTTTCCAAAGATTGCGTGACCAATCAAAGGTTACGCCGTACACCATTTGCCAGCGAAGGATGTAGTGCAAGTAGACAAAGGTTCATTCCCAATTCAAGTGCCAAGCTTATTTCATTTTAACTTGCTTGTTTTTATTCCACTTTTTCTCTTCTTTCGCATGGTGCCTATGATTCGAGATGACTGGATCCCTCTTGCAGACGACCTTGCTTCGTCCTGGAGTAAAAAAAATTAGATGTTAGTGAGATTATACACACTGCGCGTGTTATATGAGGAACATACAGAATTGGACGTTCTTACCTTATTACTCGGGGTCCAGGCCCTCCTCGACAGCAGCCAGTTGATAATGTGCTTTCCTCAGTTCTCCTAGTTTTTGACGTTCTTTAGTCAGCTGGCTTTCAAGCTCTAGAACCCGAACCTAGAAGAGAAGCAAACTTGTGAAGTAACTGACACAAAGCTCTAGTGATAGTGTAGTCTGATCGTCGGGGTGAGTGTAGTCATGAGAAAGACTGTTGTCGGTAATGGTGACTAACGTTGCGAAAACCTGAGCGGAAGTCATCATCTGACTTAAAACAGGGATAAAAGAACGAAAATCCGCCCTGGAAGGTTTAATAGTACCTGCCTCTGTTAACAGTTTCTGTGGCGTCTTATAGCTTCAAATGGGCGCAGGGGGGCGAGGGAAGGGGGTAATACATTCACTACTACCGCCTTTGTTCGAGCTGATGTTACTGTGGAATGTTAAAACCGAACTGGTAAAGAGATTCAAGGCCTCTTTTCCCAATGTTGTCTACAGTTTGAAAGGTGGTCAGCTCGTTCCAATTTTTCGTAAGGTGGGTAAATGGAGTTTGCCACACGTGCAACACTTTGGGGAGAGTTTTGGAATAAGGATTGCTAACTCAAAACCAAACTGGTCACGACAGCGAATCAGAACAAAAGGAAAAATATCACGAAGAGCAAATAAGAGCTCAAAGAAAATACAGGCAAATGCCAATTATGGAGTGAGTCGCGATTAGTTTGTATTTTAAACGTGATTGGCTGAAAGGGTGGAGCTAGTTGTATGGACCAATCACATAGCGAAGTTAATGCTGGGTTATTCTGACAAGTTACTTGAGAATTGTCCCATCAGATGTGTATCCTTAAGATAATAAATTGGCAGCAAAACAGATACCAACAACGAAGGAATGAACAAAACATGATATCTTGTTCTAGGATTTAGTCAGTAAAACAGAATGGTAAACGGCGCAGTGGTTGCGACAGAGAGAGGCTTGGTTCGAGTCTCCTACATTACGCAACTCGACCCAAGCCTCCCTCGTTTTTTCATTCTTCCGCTGCTAATGTGTTGTTTAATTTCACACTTCGTTTTACTGACCGAACTAGGAACAGGCAAAAATCATAAATAAAGATGGCTGAGATGAGAGAGATTAAAACAGATTGCTCATGGCGTACAAGAGAGATACAGCCTAGGCTTTTAAACATAAACGGGCCGTTCCGTAGCTCTTGAAAAACACGGGATTTGCATATAACAGTAATGATTAACTCAAAACAGATGGATGCAAGAGATTATATCATTATTACTACATTCTCTTGACGGATGTAGATACCTGTGACTCCATTTCAAATCTCTTAGCCTGGGTGAGACTTAGCTTGGTGTAATCTGGTACGGCTTCTACGCAAATAAATCAAGAAAATGGAATTAACATATAAAACTTTTTTACTGGTTGTGTGTTACTGACAAGTAGAGGAGTAGGAATGGTTTAGAAATATCATACTACACTTTTAACCATTTAACCCCCAAGAGTGACCTGCCTCTTATTTCTCCTTACAATAACACCCCTAAATTCAACATTAAGGTCACGCGAATCAAGGAAATGATCACGAACTTATAAAGCTCTTGATTTTTAAATAAATTCTCATTGTCAGCGCTTCAGGAAATTATAGAGAGCAGTATGGAGAATATGCATACTGATGTTAGGGTGTAAAGGGTTAACCCCTACGCTCTGGGTTAGAATCTTTCCCCTACCAACTGATTGATTTTTGTCTATTAGCTCTAAATTCAACTCCTGGATCACATTAGTAATTCTCTTTACTGTCTGTTATACAATTCTTATCCTATTCGTTAGGAGAATTTGGTATTGGATTGACTAATAATCCCCTTATTGATATTTTCCTTTATTCTCATCACTCGTCTGCTTGATATTGTATTAATGTTGTGAGGAGAATTTCTGTCTTGGTCACTCATGGCTGTTACAGGGTAAATGATCGCAAAAAAATCAGCTTCAAAACAATTCATGGCTTGATGACTGGGTTTTCCTAACACAGTAGTGCTCGTCGCCAATTTGTATCGTTAATATCTAGACTCTAATTCACGGATGACCACTAACGGTATGCGTAAAGTCTACTTTGTGGAGCGTCGCAAAACCAAAACCAATGGAATTAAAAGAAGCAATCAGGAAAAAAAAAAATGAAAATATAACGAGGAGCTTAGGAGAACTCAAATAGAACCAAGCTACCGTCTGACGTGCGGCAAAACAAGAGTAACAAGTCACGATCTGATTGGCTTGGAGGGTGAGGCGCAGGCCATGCGCACGCGTCAATGAAAGCCTACTCGCAGTTACACTCACAGGCTGGGTGCAGCAGAACGCAGAGAGGAAAAACCAGAAAAATCTGGGATTAAAATCTACGTTTAAAGGAAATGTAATCTGTTACAAGATTTCTATATGCTTACTACTGTCTTCTATCATTTCAGCTCCTGTTTTAGCAGATGCCACCACACCAGCCGCTGACTCAACCACTGAAACATATAAAACAACAGTTTTAGACAAAGCCTCTGAGTAATAATACAAAAAAGACTAAAAAGACATAACAACTGACGCAAGAGAAGTCGATTTAAAAGTTCTATGACACAACAATTATTTCAAGAGTATTTCAACGCTGACTACTACAAAATTACAAGACACGTGAAAGATTTGTCAGAGTCAAATGAGACTTTTCACAGTTTTCTACGTCATCACCCGCTAACTCGTTACCAGTCTGCGGGACACCTTTAAGACAAAATAAGTGCACTTTAGGGCCCAAAAAAAACGAGTTTTAATATTTTTGAAATTTTTCTTCCATCGGAATTGGTTTTTACGTGTGATAAGCTAAATAAATACGCAAAAAAGTTTCGTGTCGTAGGAACTTTAATTTTTGCCAACATGAAGACAGCTTTATTTCCTAACACAAAAGTAACATAATTTTTGTAAAATGTTCCTATGGTATTCATGGAAGTATGATGCCAGATTGGCCTATCCATGCGAAAGGTGACACCCTCTCGATAAAGGTGCCGGAGGCAATCCTTGTTCCAGTGTGCGTTAACATAATCAACATACCATTTTTGGAGGCCCCTTGCAGAGCAGCTAAACCTGTACTGGCTTGTCGAGCCTTTACTCTCGAAGCAGCCACCTGAACATCAAATGAAAAATTATTTATCATTAACTGTTTATTCCTGAAACAAAGGCAGGGGAGGGGGGGCGTTTTAAAGCATGGATGGTCATCTGCAGTCTTGAAAGTTGCTTGGGGAACTTGTGATCACTTTGTGACGATGCTTAAACCTTTAACTCCCAAGATCTCATTAGTAATTTTCCTTACTGTCTGCCATACAGTTCTTATGATATTATTTTGGAAAATCTGTTGTTGGATCAACTCATAATCCCCTTATTGATATTTTTTTTTACTCTCGTCACTTGTCTGCTTGATATTGACCTGATATTGTAAGGAGCATATACCGTTCGCTACTTTTTACATAGTAATATGAAGCAGACTTTATGCTGAATGTTTCCCTCTGAGGTATGAAGTGTCCAAAAAGAAATAATATAAATAATACCAAAAAAGAAAACAATATCCATCGCTTACCAGCTGCACTGTACTTGCTGTAATTTCATTGGATGCTACAACTATTTCCTCAAACTTGCCTCCCCCCTGAACAACTTTGTCAGCGGAGTCACTGTGGAAACAAAAAAAGGGTAAGCCACGCTACAGTTGCTCATGTACTACGATGGTTTTGCTATTGAAAACCCTGGAATTATACTATACATAAAAAAGAGTTAGGAAATTAATTTTAAAATGGAAAACCTTGTCGCATTTCACCATGATATATCATCATTTCTCATGAGTTGGCTTCCTCAAAAAGTAATTTACAAGACTGTTAAGGTTATCACAAATAACAAGGCGACACCATGAACAAGTGAATGTTTGAATTTAGAGCATAAAATCACCAACTCGGATCTCAGCATAACATCTGGTCGAACATCGTAAGTTAACAAGACTTGCGCACCAATCGATACAATCCAGACCAGCGGTCTTTCCAAAACATTTTAAAGGTGCTAGTAGACTTGTTCCAAACCAATACACCCGTAAGAACTAACTATATTCGGTAATACAGCACGCTCCCTTTAGCTTGGAATTCAACCCTTTAGCCCCTAAGAGTCACTAGCATCTAATTTCTCCTTACTATATCACCCCTGAAACAAACACGAAAGTTATGAGAATATTGTGGATGATCAACTCTTGACTGTTACACATATTCTCTTAGTCAGCCTCTTTGGAAATGTATGCAGAACAGTAAGGAGAATATGCATACTGATGTTAGGGTGTAAAGGGTTAAGCACTTACACAAGCACTTTGGCTCCCCAACCAACAGCTTTCGCGGCGGAGATAAGCCCCTCCGTCCAGCGGTGGTGACGCTTGTAAAACTCTTTAGCTGTTGCTTGACCCTGAGAAGCAAGTGTCTTTGATCAGGCTATTTGAGTATTTAAAGTATACACGAAAACTTCCCTACGGCAAGCGGTCTTTGAATCAAAGATATGCTTAAAGGCTAAATCAGATATACTACGTATTCTACAAAAGGGAATTCATTCGAAGCTTGTGTCGGCGTATCGAAATGTATTTTTTTATATTCACAACTGTTTTATTATTATAGTGCGTTAAACATTCATCGTATAGTGGTAGATTTAATGTTGTCAAACCGTAACTAATATGACTTGACTTGAAATATCTCAAAAAACACTACTTGAAACTGAACAAATTATTTAAATTTCATTTTATTAAATACCTTGCCCTCGTCGACAATCTCCTTTTGCAATACTTTAGACTTCATTATCAATTTCTTGATTGCCTTAAAAGAAGCGCACACAAATTTGGCTCATTAGTTACAAGTAAAAGTATAATACTATCAGTGCCTCAATTAAAAAAACAGTTTATATAGAGATAGACAATTTCAATGACATTCTTTCGTCTGAAAGAATGTGTTCACTACTTTCCTATGAGGTAAAGGAGATGCACAATTTTTAACAGTTCTTCTACTCTAATTTCATATATATATTATATTTATTTTGTTTTTGTAAGAAAGCTCCTTAGGGATTTGATTTCTCAAAGCAAACAAGAACGAAAAAAAGTCCTTACATCTACATTGCGGGTCTGAGTTCGACTTTAAGCAAACAGATAGGCTTTTTCGACGTTTCCTATCTCACGGTTTCTCGCACTAAGAGATTGCAATGGCCAGTTTATTCTACCTTCCTTCTCCTCCCCCCACCCACCTCACCTCAGACAAATTGAGGGTGGACTTGTCTTACCGGAGCTTCCCTCTCCCGATTCTCACTCTGCGTTTCGAATTCGAATGCAATAGGGATCTAAGCCAATTGTGAATTGTAACTCTCTCTCTCTCTCTCTCCCTCAAGGCAAACTTACCTCCATCAGTGCCGTGCAGGAATCTAAAATTCTGTGTATAAGCAAAGACAGGGTAAATCAGAATGACCAATGCTACGGATTTCAAGGTCTTATCGCCTTCTTGCATTTTAAAAACCTGATACATTCCGCCGACAAGGGGAAAAATGTAAAAAAAAGCCAAAACGAAGAAAACAATGTCTAAGTTAGTAGCTTTCTCACCTTCCGTTCACTTCAAGTTGTACACCACTGTATTTCTCCCTTGTTTGATTGATCATTTCCTGAGATCGTAAAAATGATGAGTCAGCCCAGACAAGTTTTAAAAAAATGTATGAGCAAACATAAAAGTTTGAAGTGAAGTTACACTGTATTCTGTAAAGTCTCTCAAAGAAAGAGTTGTTTTAAACTGGACATGAGTGAAAACAAGGAGTCGAGAACCTCAAGAGATCCAAGGATCCAGTAGCAAGTTCGAATCAAATACTTTTGATTATATATCCAAGCGAACGACCAACAGGAATGTGCGTGTGCGTGCACATGCGTGCGTGTGCCAGTGCGTAAGCATGTCTATGTGTATGTGCCTGAGCGAGTGCGCGGTATGCGTATGTGCACGTGCGCGTGTAGTGCGTGGTGTGGCGTGCATTATTATTTTTAACCAAAGTGTAAAGAAGTTAATCATCAGTACGATAAACATGACTGAGAAAGAACGGGAATTATCACCTGAATCCTGGCCGCTGAATCTGCGACAAGCTAAACAAAACACAATAACGAGGTCAAATATTTGATTCCTTTAATACAAGTATTCCATTCACTAACTGTTATTCACGACTATTACTTTAGAACTTTACCATGCCAGGTACCAACGGAATTAATCAGTAAGATCGACCACAGTTAAATCTTAATTTTGAAACGCTTCTTATCAAGGGCCCTGATTGAAGAAAATGCTCACATAACCGGTGGGATAATGTTGATAAAAACAAAGTGAAAAACAAACAGAACAACTCTATAATTAACTTGATCAAGATGGGAAGTCTCCGGCATCCTAGGGGTAGCCCCCCCCCCGGCTTTCCTAAGCCCTTAGGGGGGGGGAGGAGACGAAGATAAAGAAATTAAAAACAAAGTCAGAAACAAACAAAACGAGATCATCTTACTTCTGCAGTAGCATTGATTTCATCGTCTACTCCTCCACCTATACTATCAACACTGTCTTTTTCTTTGGGGGCGAGAGCCTGTTGACACAATCGGTTGAGCCTGTCAGTTGGGTAACAGATTTAAATTGAACCGTTGATTTCCTGTAAAAAGTTACCTCAGGACAGCAATTCGGCATGAAAAGGGTTTTGGGTTCAATGTTTTGATGTCTGGCTCCTAAAAATATTAAGTTGACTAAAAAAACACACACACAATTGATGACCGCATTCCATTATCCTCTGGTGAACTTACCTCAGCAACTTTGGTAATATCTGAGATGTATTTTTTTACGGCATTCAGCTTGTCGGCAAGAACATTTGGATCTGCAATGACGATAAAATTCATCAAAAACCTGCCTTCATCTTCTCTTCTCGCACGTTCCAACTCGTAGCTGGCCAGAATACTGCGGCTCAAGTCGCTTTTTGATTGAATTTCAAAACAAAGTTATCAAATGGACGATCAGAAAAATAGGAGAGTAACAAAAGTAGCTAATGACAAACCAACTCAGTGTAAGTAACACGGCAAACTGCCTTGAACGTAAAAAAAAGGCGAGTGACAGGGTCGTAAACGCTTTTTCCTTTTTGATCTAATTGGTTTAGGGAGCGGCGTGAGTTTTTTTTATCAATTAGAAGGCGTAGAAAGGAAAAACCAAACTGTCCTGAATAATTTGCGACACATGTATTGAGCTGTAGGAGACCAAACTAGGCAAGCCTAAGATCAAAAAGGAGGCAACTTCTTGATAACAAAACAAAGGCCATGAAAGGGTAGCATGGACTATAACTAAGAAGCTCACCCGGATCACTTTGTTTGTAGAGTTGCAACAGTTCGAGAGAAGCTTTACCAGCAGATTCGCCGAGTGACCGAAGATCTAAAAGAAACAACAGCAATTAACTATAATTTACGGCTAGCCTGGGTGACTTCTCTTTGAGATAACTGTTCTTGGCTTCATGTATTTAGTTAGAGGGCAGTCCTCGTGTTACGACTAACTATGCAGTCAATCGAATAAAGGGGGTAAGTTTCTAAAGAAACTGTTGTGCTGCGTTGGTGGGAGAGTATAACAGGGTAAGTTAGTATTATCAACTGAGTTGATAACGTAAATTGGCCACCGTAAAGTGTTTAAAAGCTGATGTTTCGAGCGTCAGCCCTTTCCTCTAAACGTCAGCTTTGAAACTCTTTACGGTGGCCAATTTACGTTATCAACTCTCTTCATAATACTAAATTACCGAGTTATGCAGTTAATCACCGGCCGATTGATGGGCTATCACCCCAGTTTTATGAGCACGACTATTGATTTTAATAGTCCCACCGATGCCAAAAATGGCGGAGTCTCCTTAAGTTCCCACCTTCAGCTTCTTGAGTAGGTGCCATGTGGGAGGTAGCCTTGGCATTTAAGATACAATCACTGAGCTGATGTGAGAACGAACCAAGACAGCATATACAGGGAATGGCATCTGCAAAAGGAGAGAAACTCTTAAAGAAAAGATCAAACAATCATCGTTCCTTTCTCTCTTGGAATGATTGGATCAATGCTAGTATCTACCTACCCCTCCCCTAACCCAACATTAACCCTTGTTATCAGTTGACTGTTGGGTCAGGGGAGGGTTAGACACTGATCCGAATGATTTAAACATTCTGAGAAGAAATTCAACGAGCGTATTTTGTTCCTGATTTTTGGTTTGGTTCATCCATGGTCTCTAACCTTTGTGATCTTTTTTATAAGATGCAAACTTCGAATTAAGCTCGTCAACAACTCCTGGAAGGCTCTCGATTCTACTTAGCAAGTAATCTGAAAAGAACACAGAAAACAACGGCGGATATCATTAGTGAAATATAAGTCAGGAAACCGCTGGTTTTACATTAGTCACAATATCAGTGAGTCAATCCATCAATCAACCAACAAACAAACCATTCAAAACATAAATAGTTAAATATGTAAATATCTAAGTTAAAGTAAATATATACAAACATAAATATAACTAAGCAATGGCAAATCAATGAACCGATACTTTATCCTTCAATTTTAGATGGCGATGGAAATATCAAAACAAGGACACTGACTTGAAGTCTTATTTATAACTGCCCTCCAAATTAATTTCACCAAAAGGTGCTCGTACCTGCAGTACAAGTCGTAGAACTGTGTTTCGGATTTTGAAACTGATCTAAAGCATCTTGGATTGTTCTTTCTGCTGACTCTATCGCCGTTCCTAATAAAATTCAAGAAGACTAGTATGAAACAAGTCTGAGATCAAAGGATCTGGGATTTATATTTATTTATCCTTATTTACAATTAATATTAGTGTACTCTGACTAACTCTACTCAGAAGGGCCTCAATTAAAGAACAGTAAACAGACACGACTCCTGCCTGAAACTGATAAAACTGCAAAAAAAGCCCCCCCCCCCCCTCATTCCTGCTCCCTTCCAGCCCTCTGTTTTCTTCGAGTCTAAATTCGCCAATGCAGGTTACATGAGAAAGGTAATGCGAGAACTTCTAAAATTGGGTGAAAAAAGAATTCCGTTTTGTCTAGAAGGAGAAAATTGGTTTTAAAGAGGAGACAGACAACATAGAGAGCTCAGAGGACTTAAGAGAGCTGAGATGGAATTTACAGCTAGCTTGGTAAAGAAATATTTGATAGTGTTCCGAATGGTCTGAAACTCATTATAACAAGCACGCCCTTACATTACAAGATTCCTTTTTCAATTAAGACAGTCTTGGTTTTTCTCACCTACTAAGTCGTACTTTTCTTTAGAGATATCTTCGAGTCTTTTTCTTTCAAGCTCATTTACCTGTGGAAAGAAAAGTCATCAGCTAATGTCACGTAAGTCTAACTCTGTCACAACAGTGCCAAGTGTAACGGTCGATCAAAACAGAGGGAAACATCAATTGGAGCCAGCGAAGACGAAGCATGGGAAAACACAAATGGTCAAGGGGTATGATTGCTTTTAGCGTTGCATCTGTTAGGTTGAATCAATCGCCTTTAGATTGAGTGTCGTAAAACTAAAACCAAAGTAATTACAACAGCCAATCAGAAAGAGGGAAAATACCGTTAGGAGCCAATGGGAACTACTCCACCTAAAAACAACCACTCTGCCTAAAGCGCGGGAAAACGCGGGCAACCAAGTCGCGAATGGTTTTGTAACCGATTGGTTGAGAGAGTGACGTGAGTTTTCTGGACCAATCACAAATCAAAATTTAAGTAAAACCAATGCAATCCTAAATTTCTTTCGACACTCAAACGAAAATTACTCTAAAACAAAACTAATACAAGATTACGTTCGACACTAAATTGTGGGAATCAAACTGACCATTTCTTCATGTCCCTTTCTTTCTTTCTCTATAGTTTCCTCAGCTGTTCGTTTCGCCTCCTCCTCAACTGTCCTACTCTTTTGAACATCTGAAAGCTCTCGGCTAAGCGTTGCAACCTACAAAATCACAAACCAATATTCAGTGTTTGGAAAACATAACTTTGTGACAAACCAAAGGTAAACACTGAAGGGGAAATAACCTTTTCCTCGTGATCTTTTATCATTGCTTCTATTTGTTCTTCGGCGATTCTTCTGGCCTCATCTGTTTCATCTTTTTCTTTCTTCAAAGCCTCTATCTCTTCCGCAAGAGTCGAAATCTTCAAAAGGAAAGACATAAAAAAGAAACACAGTTCTTTGCAGTAATAAAATGGTGCGACTGCCTCATTTCATGCCTTACGCTAACAGCCATGCGCATAAGCGAAAGACACAAACGGGTTTCGATAAATTCCCTAACTTGACTCTGTTCTGTCCACCACGCAAATTGCACCAAAGCCTGTTGCAGGCGTTGGACGAATCATTGACAACCTGTGCAAAATCCGTGCGAAATACTAAACAGAGCGATAGTAGCAGCTGCGCGAAAAACCAGGGCGGTTTTAAGTCAGTCGTTCCTTGCGCGACTCGACCCAAACATCCCTCTTTTGTAACTCCTCCGCTACTTTCGCGTTGCTTATTATTTTTACGAACTGAACGCCTACACCAGGCTAACTGTACGGGTACCACCGTGGGAATTAAATTTCGTTCACAATAAGAAGTGGATAAAGTTGCCTCTGATTCCATAAAAGCAAAACAGAGCATAACGAAGAAATTTACTTCGGTTTCGACCGTCGCTAATTCATATTCTTCTTGCAACACCAGTCTTTATGAAGCAGGGATAAAACCGTCCTTTCTCCATTACATTTAGGTATCAGAATTTAATGCCAAAGCATAAAATTAACCGGGATTTCAAAGTGATATACCGTTTTTTTTTTCTTTATGCACCTGTCGGGATAGCGCCCGCCAAATTTTGCGCTGATCTTTGAATCGTGAAAACACCTCATCGCAGTTTTCTTTGCCTTGTCTTCATCTGTTAAAGCTCTTCAAAAGGAACTCTGCCGAAGAACGCAAATGGTAAGAATTCTAAGAAAAATGTTTGCGCGCGGCATACGGGGACGGGAAATTGGGGCAAAGACGGGTTGTATTAACTGAGTTGATTGATCGTGTAAACCAAAACCTAGGCAATTACAAAAGCTGACGTTCGTTAGCCCTTCGTCATATATCACGAATAGCCAAAGATAACTTGATTGCTTGGTTACGATCTGTCGCTTAAGTTTCTCAATGAATCACAAAGCATAAGGGGTTTGGATATACCGACCTTGTCTTTATGCTCCTGTCTTTCTCTTTGAATCGTTTCCTCAGCAGTTTTCTTTGCCAGCTCTTCATCTGTCCAGCTCTTCCGAAAACTTGATAAATCGCTGCTAAGTGTTCCAATCTAGGGGACGAAAAAGGCAGGATAGGGTTCATTACAACTGATTCTCGTGAAACCAAAACCTAGGCAATTACAACAGCCAGTCATAATTTGGTTTTAGCTTTGCACCAGATTGGTCGAGAAAGTGGCACGAGTTTTCTGGTCCAATGACGGAATGAAGTGAGGCAAAACCGATGCAATCCCGGATTCATTCTAACACCCCATTTAAAATTGCTCTATCAGGTGACAGCAATTGCGGGAGTCAGCGATACCATCTCTCACCTTTCGCTTAGCAAAAGAGAAAGATGATTAATTAAATGGTAAAATACCTTTTCCTCGTGATCTTTTTTCATGGCCTCTATTTGTTCATCAGCAATTTTCTTCGCTTCTTCTGTTTCTCCTTTTTCTTTTCTTAACGCCTGGAGCTCGGCCATTAGTGTGGCCATCTTCAAAGAGAGAAAATAAGCTAATTGAGCTTAAATATATTGTCACAATCATCCCCAGTTCTGCTCTTAACCCCTTAACTCCCAGAAGTGATCAAGTTGTAACTTCTCATCGCAATTCCAATACATTATCTTACAAACAGGTTATAGGAACAAAGAAGCTTGTCAACTAGTGAGTGTTTCGTTGATTTAAAATGAATTCTGTTATCTTATTTATATGGAAACGTATGGCAATCAGTCGGGAGAATAATTAAATGGATCTTGGGAGTTAAGGGGTTTTTCTGGGTTTTTTCAGTTTTAGCGACAAGTCAAAGGAATCAGAACAAAGGAAACACCGCAAAGTCAATAAAAACCCAGAGGAAAACCTAGTTTGTCTTATGATCGAGAAAACGAGAGTAAGCTATTCTCGATCGGTTCTCACTTTGCATTTGATTAGTCTAAACGTAAGTATTTTTAACAACTCACTGTGTGAAGTGATTTGTAAAATCAAGAGAAGGACAGCACGACACAGAATCCTAGTTCTATTATTGTACCTTTTCATCGTGCTCTTTCGTCAGTCTTGCCATCTCATCACCCGCTCTCTGAAAACAGATGCAAAGTGTTACTTTAATAATATAGTACAAGAAAAAATAACGCGCTTCTGATTGGCTGAAAACGGGTGCATTCTCACGTAACATGAGTGCAAAGTTGTAACACGTGTGCAAATTACAAATTGCGCGCGCAAGCTCTCAAAATTTCGTCTGTCTTGACTTCCTCCGATGTTTTTCCATGTACATTATTAACAAGTAATAACATAATTTCTCTTGTAATTTGGTGTAATAAGCACTTGTAAAATTTTCAAAGACTGCAAATTGCACTTGCCCTAAGGGCTCGTGCAATTTTGTCGTCTTTGAAAAATTTACTTGTGCTTATTGACACCAAGTTGCACTCGAAATTATGTTATTACCTCTACTAATTCTTCCTCTTCCATAAAAGAAAGCCTGTTGTGTTGTGTTCTTGTCGTGAAAAGTTTGCACGTGCTCATAAGAAAGTTTTCCTGTTTCGGTATATTTAGTAGTTGATTAAGTAAGCTATTATTTCTTGTCGCTAACATTGATTTGTGGAATGTCAAAGGAAGTATTAACCGGCATCGTGTGATCGAGCCTTCACAAATTAAACAATGATGTATTTAATCAAATAGTCGCTAGTAAAACCGCATGCTTAGATTAACACTATGATTGTCGAGCAAGCCGATGTAACAGGAAATTAGTGGCCACGAATCATTGAAGAATGTGTAAAACAAAACTGGAACTTTGTCAAGTTAGCTTAAATTATCTTACCACTCCGGACTTACGTATCTGGGTGTGTGTATCCCTAGTTAAGAAAACAGCATTTTTGTAACTCAAAAAAGATGGGAGTGAGTTAGGTCGTAAAACAGAACGTGTAATGTTGGATTATGAAGTATACAGTCCAAGTCTGTAGAACCAGCGTGTGCAGAGTTTCCTTCTAACGTAGTGAGAAATTCTGCGAAAGTTCCAGGGCAAAAAAAAACTCTACTCTCACAGGGCATCTCTCCAACCAGGGGTATAAATGGGCACCGGCCATCAGTCAGGGAAGTCTGACATCCCATCCAGGGGAGAGTAGTGATACTCCGAGTCGCTTCAGAAATCGGGATGAGCTCCCCCTGGATGGGTGGGCCACTTTGCTTGACTACAAACTGGTGAAGTGTCTGAAGAACGTTTGTGAAATTACCATTTTACCACACTGTAAAAGGGCGTGCCTCAAAGGAGTTGCATGATGCATGTAAACCCCTCTCTTTGTCACAAAAACGTATCAATTTATTTAGTAAAAAAACAACCTAGCCTATCCAATTCCTCAAACAAAAATGTAAGTAAGGCGCCAGTGATGATGTTCCCTCCCAACGCTAACTGGATAATCTTGCCAACGCCTTAAAAAGTAGGCAGGTATCTTTGGTCGCACTCTAGAAAGTTATACAGGTCACCAGCTACGTGCAGACTTGCTAAGTTTTTCTAAAACTGTCAATTCAGTATGTTTCAGTTACCTTCCCATCCTGCTCAGCCATTTCCGCTTTCTGAAACACTTGTAAAAGTTCTGTGGACTGCACAAAGAACGTACACTTTTATGAGATAACGACAGCAAACACAGGGAACGGCTTGGTGCATTTCTTACAAATATCGGCAACTTTACTAATGTGTCAGCTCACCTACATCGCGAAGAAGCCCAGTTGTTCAACCCCCGCCCCCAATCCCCTCCATTTCCGTCCTCTTCTCCCGACCAGAAATTTGTCATATCACAGTGGAAACCGCCTGACACTTAACCCTTTATACTCTAACATCAGTATGCATATTCTCTATACCGTTCTACATGCAATTCCTAGGGTCTTCACAAAGAGAATTTGAATTTTGTCCAACAATTAAGAGTTTCTTTAGCTAATAATCATTTCCTTTACTGACTCTTGTGACCTCAATGATTGATTCAGGGGTGATATTGTGAGGAGAAATTAGATGCTTGTCATTCTTTAGGATCTAAGGGTTAATCACGTTCTTTGATAATCAGGAACTATAAGACATAAGTGCTTCGTCCCCGAACACAAATCAATCGGGTCACGCCTCAAACTATCACTCCTTCATCTCGCCTTACAATTTAACCACTAGGCTAACATAATGGGAAGCGATCTTTCAGAAGCGCAGTATTACGACTCGCTCATGAATTTTAATTATCACTGTTTATGTTCAAAGGATAATTGTACCTTATCATCTACTTCCAGTTGAAGTTTTTCATTTACTTGACTTAATTCCTGACAACAAGACGGGTAAAAAGTAAATCAACAAATAAACCACCAAGTAACAGTGAAATACCTTGGAGGGAAAAGCTTGAACATTGTGATTAATTCATTATGTATGCAATATAGGTCGTTACTGGAAATTTTGATACATCAAATGAACAAATAGATTCATTTTCTGTTCCGCAACAGATCACAGACGAAGTCAAAACGTGGTAGGAACAATAAAGTAGCACACGAGGCTCAACCGAGTGTGTCACTGTCTATTACTGGACAAACCCACGGCAACATGGAATCTCTTTGTTTAAAAAGATAAAAAGCAAAATGTTTTCACTGCATGGTGGCGTCATCTGTGCGTATGTCTTCCCATAGATCATCGGTAAGAACCAATCAAACCCACATGTATAATTCAGCCTATTACATAATTTTCTTTAATACCTCTTTGTCCTTTTCTGAAGCATTCAATTTTTGCTTCACTTCAGCATTCTGGTGGAAAGACAAAATAATAACAGTAAATAATGACCAACGTTAAGACAGTGGGTACGTGTTTTTAGAAAATGATTCACATATCTGTTGTAGGGTGAATTTAAGACAACATTAAAGCCCATTAAATTGGATGATACATTTTGCAAAAGTAAAATGCAGTTCTTAGATTCAGAATAATGTACACCCATTTAGGGTTCTCTCTAAAGTGACTGCATCACTGTTAAGATAACTTTTGTTTAATAACTCTTCACACTCTCTTATTGGTACTCGTATTCTCCCCAGCCTCTCTTTACATTTCCTATGGTAATGACAAGGAGAATTTGGCTGTTAATCAGGAGCTTCTGGAATTGGTGATCATTTCCTTTATTCTCATGACCTTTTATATTTGATTCAAGGGTGATAATGTAAGGAGAAATTAAAAGCCAAACACTCTTAGAGGTTAGAAGGTTACACTTAATGTTTGTTGCACATATTATTTGATTCAAGGATGATAATGTAAGGAGAAATTAAAAGCCAAACACTCTTAGAGGTTAGAAGGTTACACTTAATGTTTGTTGCACAAGTTCCTCGTCATTACTTGAGAAAATGTTCCATTTTCAAAACTGAAAAAAGTTTTTTTCACTGAATAAAGAAAGAGGTCATTTTCTTTGTCCTGAACATGAGATGAAAGAAAAAAATCCAAGATCCCCTCATGAAAATGATTCCCAAGACACCCAGATTCCTCAGCCAGATGCCCCACAGTTGAGTGATGGAGGACTCATTAATGAGCTTAGCCATGAACTACAGCATAGCAGGGTAATTTAGTTTTATCAACTAAATTGGCCACCATAAAGAGTTACAAAGCTTACATTTCAAGTGTTAGCCCTTCATCAGAGTGATTGACGAAGGGCTTACACTTGCAACATCAGCTCTGTAACTCTTCAAGGTGGCTAATTTACATTATCAACTCAGTTGTTAAAACTTAATTACCCTATTACACTCTCCCACTGACACAGCACCACAGTTTCTTTAGAAACTTACTATCCTTACTACAGGGTAGGTCCATCTGTGACAACCACCTTGCATACCACCAGGATAAGTGGTGTAGAGATACTTTCTATGCAACTATATTAAAAATTATGGTAATCTTTTTAGCTGGGTTGTTGGAGATGGAACAATAGTCCTTTTGTCATGTGTATGGCATAAAGAAAAACACTGAGTCCCCAACAATCAATCAAACCCAAGAACTTGAAATTTTGCAGTCTAGTTTACATGCAATACTTTCCACACTGCTGATCATTGCAGTATGAAGAGTGCTTCATATGTCCAAACATAGTGTATGGCCTGACTCATTGACAAGTCCTCTGTAGTTAAGTGGTATTAAATCAAATTTTGTAGGTGTTTGGTTCTTTTAGGGGACTCAGCCTTTTTTTTTTTTTTTTTTTTTTTTTTAATCTCCATCGACATACAGTTCGCAACAGCTGGATGTGTTCCTCTCTCAGTTTACTGTAAATTCCTTTGAGTTTGTTATATTTCTCTTCTGCTGGACCTTTCTGATCTGCAATGGATTGAAAAAAGTTTGCAATTTGGAATTACCATTAATATTCAAGTAAGAAATTGAAATTACTTCTCTGTAAAAGCATCAGAAAATGCAAACTTAATTTATTCACAACAATCCATTGCTCCCTCAGAGTCAGTAACCACCTCACCTTTCTTGTCATCCTCTTTGCTTTCTAGGTCTTTCTTTAACGAAACATTCTCCTGTAAAGGAAATGATGTCTCAACATTATCCCAACCACCAGAAAAATGCCAACACTTACAACAAAAGAATGAAAATAAACCACCTATTTTAAGTACCTCACAAGCTTTCTCTGCAATTGTCTTGTACTCATTTAATTCTTCAGTCAGCTAAACACAAAAATTCAAAATCAATATTTTGCAATATTTAATGCTGTTAATCAAATCAATAATTTGAAATTAATTTTTTTTCAAATGCAACATAAAATCATTTTAATTTTTTGTCCTTTACCCTTGCAATCTGGGAGCGTAGAGAATCTTCAAGTGCTTTTGCCTAGAGACAAGCAAAGTACAAAAAGATTTAATTATCATGATAATGATAATGATAATCAGGAATGACAGGGAAACAGTGCAGGGTGAGCATCAAGCTAAACTCCTCTCCAAAATGCAGACCATGTGATGCAAGACCAGGGATGGTACATCATACCATAGCAGTCTAAACTGCACTTTTGTGCAAGCAACGTACAGCTGTTTTGAGAAAGATTGTTGAAAAAAAAAGCAAAAAATTTAAAGTGCATGCACTATCTCAAAAAGGTAATCTCCATGTGGTAATCAATGAGTTTAAATAGTCAAATAATTGAGTAAATTCATCAAATTCACTATGATTTGCCCTTACTGTCTGTGGTATTTTGCAGATTTCCCTGAAATCCTGAGGTCAAGGAAACACAACCTGAAAGCTACCTACAATATGAACCGTAGGAGGTTGTCGTGTGCACTTTTGCACTTTTTTCCAACATCCTTTCTCAAAACAGCTGCATGAATGTGGAGAAATGATACATTTGCTCAGGTTTTTTGCTAAGATGTCAGAGTTTTAGATTAAAACCAAACTCAGTCTGGTGCAATCCCAAGCCTGACTGATTAGCAAATCCATAAAGTACTAACAATGATGGAATCACAAGATCCAAACTGATCACCACAAGGATCACAATGAGTCAGATAATCTGCTTCCTAGGTAGGAAGAGAGATCTTGCCTCATCCCAGATGAGTATCTTTGGCATTAGGAGAAATCAACCCTGCATCATAATTCTGAACCAAGTGTAATGAACTATCTTTTTGCATCCAACACTTTCTGCTTTGCCTAAGCTGATCCCATTCAGAGCAACAACAACTACAGACTGAATAGTGAATAGTGCTTTTTACATACTTAAGCTAATTGGCTAGTTCAGAAGTGATTAGCAAGTACTATTCACCTTCAACCAGCCAAAGAGACAAAAGCACACATCAAAAGTTTAATTTTCGACCATTATTATGAAGAAACCTGAAGTGCCTGGTCATGGAGTGCTACAGAAATACTCACATCTTTCTGTTGACGCTCTAATGCCAGCTTTAGTTGTGCAATCTCTTGTCGTAACTGATAGATTATCAGGTCCCTAGAAAGTAAAAGGCATTACAAATCATTGTCTTACACCAAAATAACATCAATGTATTAGCATTGTTGAAACTGTCCAATTCTTCCTCTCTTTTCCTAAACCATTATTTTTAATTTTGAAGACTGGGGTTGTAAATAAAATCGTAAGGCACACAGATTTATCAAATAGACCCAAGTTGTACTGTTAATATAAAGTAACCATAATGCATGTGATCTTTTCAAAGTTTTTCTTTGCTTTATAAGTTTTCAACACAGGTCGATTTTTATCACTCTATTCATTTCAGAGTAAGATAATGACATAAAGAAAAGGAAGAATAAAACCCAAACTTGAAAAGAGATCATGGTAGTAAATTTCCAAAATTTCTTGCAAATTTTTGACTCAGTACAAACCTTCTAATTATAAAACACATAGTTGAATGAGATTTTAAAAGTAGAAACAAACCTGTTGTCAGGTGCAGGGCCATTTGAAGCGTCAATTCCTAACATATTAGCTTCTGGAGTCTACAAGAAAAAATTATGCTCTTCATAATATGGTCAATGAAAAGATTTCTTGATCAGCAATTGCATGAGCACACTATTTTCAGCAAAAGAATTACAACAGTTTTTAACATTATCAACTGGTATGTCATGAAACAAAGAAGACATGAGTCTATGACAGTGAATGAAAATAGATATTTCACTCTGTAAATATTAAGAGGTGAAATTCAACTAGATTGGCTATAAAGCTCCATTCCTTGCTCAATGAATAAGTGCCTATTTGTACACAAAATAGGCACAGATATAAAGTCAAAAGATATGAAACAGTGAGTGTGCTCCTTTACTGAGTCTATGAAGCACTTGCATGATCAACATTCAACTTCTCCCAATAATATCCATACATTACTGGTATCCAGCAAACAGGTAATGAGAATACTTAAACTTATCAGGGAGAAGTTGTTATCTAAGCCAAATTTGCATAACTACTTTCCAAGGAAATATAGCAGCTAGAGGGGAGAATAAACAATCAGATCTTAGGAGTTAAATGGTTAAAATCTTCCTATAAGAGTGAATGCAGACTGAATACTTGTTTACCTGAGGAGTTGTCTGAAGTAATGGCTCCATTGTAACAGGTATATTAAGTGGCTCCATTAGGCTCTGGCGCTTGAAATCTTCAGCTGGAGTTGACTTACGCCTTGGCATTTCCTCACTAGTGGATCTCACCAAAGTTGGCTTGGGATCAGATAATGTGAAAGAGGGAGGATTCTGTGGAATGAAACAAAGTTCAGGGCAAATTCTGTGAACCCTTTTACTCCAAGAGGTGACCAAAAGGCCCTATTACTCCAAGAGGTGACCAAGACCCTATTAGGCCTTGAACCCCATGAGCAATCAAGACAGAATTTCTCTGTAAAATATCAATCCAGACAAGTGACAAGAATAGAGAAAAATATAACTAAGGGGACTATTAGTTGACAGAATACCAAATTCTCTGAACTAACATCATGAAAATTGTATAGCAGACAGTAATAAAAGAGAATTACTGAAGAGATCTTGAGAGTGAAAGGGTTAAAAGATTAAAGAGGAAATACAATAATTAAGTAAATTGTAAGAAAAATCAAAAATATTCTCAGGGCTCACCTCATGAGAAATATTTGGGAGACAGGGGAAAGAATCAAAATTTAGCTTGCAGGAGGGGGGTGGGGTGAGTGGAATGAGAGGATTAATGTCAGTAATGTTTGAAAAGTTATGATCTTAAATTTTGCTGCCCTTTGATAATATCCTAATGAGTCTGCTTACATACCAAGCCTTAAATCTGACAAGGAACACAGGCTTGGAAATTTCTACCGATTATTCAAAGTGACAGTTGCTTCCTATAGGACAAACAACATAAAAGAAAATACTTGTCAAACCTGAGGTAGCACTGGAATAGGAACCAAAGCTTTTACATAAGCCATGTTTCCAGCATCAAAGAAGAATTTCTTCAATCTACAAGTTAAACAAAAATAATTGTACAAACATTGCAATTAACCTAATAAAACTGGCAAATTAATATGCACATCAGTAACTTTCCCAGGAACTATTAAATATGGTTAAAAAAGTTATAAGTAAGAAACTGGTTGGATAATGAAAAAAAAATTATTTTAACCCTTTACCTCCCAGAACTGATTTTCAATTCTCCCCTCTAGCTGCTAAATATTCCCTAGTAAATTAGTTATAAGAATTTGGTGTTGAGTCAAGGTAACAACTTCTACCTGATAAGTTTGAGTATTCTCATTACCCATTTGTGGGATAATGTATGAATATCGTAGGGAGAAGTTACATGTTAATCACTTCTAGGAGTTAAAGGGTTGGACAATAATAGAATAGAAATTATACATGTAGTACATAAAGAATAGAATATGACATAGAACACCTACTCAGCAAAGTGAGAGTAAAACCTCTCTCTGTGGCCAGTCAGAGTGTCTGCTGGTAAGTCTAAAAGTAACAATTATCAAAATAAGAAAAAACAAATTATCACACACTAAATACCACCACATCATGTTCTTAGTATGCGAGTTTCTTGTACTCAGTTATTGACACAACTTTTTCATGGTGAGAGTTTGTGTTTTATAATTCAAGGATAATCACACTTGGAACTTCAAACCAACTTCACACCTTAAAGCTTGATCAGTTTGAAACTCTAAGTGATGAAAGTTTTCTCCCTGTCACTTCACCCCATTTACCTATTTACCTATTTACCCATCACTGATAGGTATTAACCCTTCCCACCCTAACATCAGTATGCATATTCTCGATACTGTTCCCTATATATTCCCTAAGGTGCTGATGAGGAGAATTTGTTTCATAATCCAGAGCTTCTTTACTTGGTGACCATTTCCTTTATTGTCAATACATTAATGTGTGATTTGGGGGTGATATTGTAAGGAGAAATTAGATGCTAGTCACTCTTTGGAGCCAAAGGGTTAAGTCTCACAACAATATCAGTGAATAACCTGAGTACAGAGTATAGTGAATATCCTAAGCCTAGAATTTCATTGCACACAAGGTAGTGTAATCTTCTGGCCAAACATGATTAAAAATAAACCCTTATAACATAAATATGTTGCAGATAATTAATCAAATCTACAGCAGTACTAAACTGGGAAAAGAACAACAGATCAGAGATAAATTGACACAACTTACTTGCATGTAGTTTATACATTAAATCCACCACAATGTCATAAAGGCCACCACACTCCTGACAATTGAAAAATGGGACAATACCATCAAATAATCTCTTAAGCAAAGTCAATCACTGAACAAAAAATTAGACTACACCATCAACTCTTACTCTTAGGTTCCAGCCATTTCCAGTCTGTATTTACATTATTTACCTGAATGACAACAGGGAATGGACAAATCCTACACTGCACAGCCTGAAGTTGAGAATTAGCACGGAATGGATCAAGAGTGCTGAAGACTGAAAAGTAAAGACAACAACATCAACAAAGGAAAGACAACAAATCAGAGGCCATAAATAACAAGAGGGCTATGCTTTCTTAAAGAAGCACCTTGTGTAATGTTGGTCACGCTCTTTCTTACACAGAATTATAATAAAGAGGGTAAATTTCTGAAGAAATTGTGTTACTGAATCAATAGGGGGATCACAAGATAATTTGGTTCTCTCTTGACTGACTTAACCCTTTAACTCCCAAGATCTGATTGTTAATTCTCCCCTCTAGCTGCTACACATTTCCCTGTAACTTAGTTACGAAAATTTGGTGTTAGATCAAGACAACAACCAGTACCTGATAAGTTTGACATTTCTCCTTATCTCTTTGCTGGATAAGGAATGGATATTATAAGGAGAAGTTACATGTTAATCACTCCTGGGAGTTAAAGGGTTAATTAAATGTAAATTGGCCACCTCAGAAAGTTTCTAAAGCTGATGTTTCAAGCATTTACCCTTCATCAGAGCAAAGCATGAAGAGCTAATGCTTGAAATGTCAGCTTGAGAAACTCCTTATATTACAGCTTACAATCAGGGAAACTTTTTTCCTGTTTGTGTTTGCTTCTTTTGTTACTCAAACCACTTAATCAGGTGAGCACTAAATAATACTAAATAGAATTACAACTCACTGTATAAGTCAGTTTACCTACTTTACCTATTCAGGGATGTAGATAAAAACAGGAAGCCGGGAAATTACCCGGCTGTGAACGCAATTTTTCTGGCTGTGAAGCACTACTTCTTTCTCCAAAATGTTTTTAAATGTTGTCAGAAGATTGTTTTTTATTTATTTCATTTGTTTACACCTTCAAATCTAGATATAGCATGCCAAAGGCATGCTAGAGTGGGCCTTTGGCCCAAATACCCGCCTATCATTGCAAGATTCCTACCTGTTAAAAACTTTATCTACATCCCTGCTGTTAGTAAATAATGATGAATTACAAAATGTGTTATATTGCAAGAAGACCTCTAGAAAATGAAGAATTCATTTACATGTATGACGATGCCATTGAAAATAAGATGACTTACTTTTTTTCTCAATATCCACTAATGTGTCCATATAATCAAAGATGTCTATTGACAACTCAAAACTAAAAGTAAATTAAAGTAAACAGAAAAGATTTATCCAAATTTCAGTTACTCTACAAAATAGATGATCATTTCTGATTTGAATATTACAGATAAAATATGTTCTGCATCTTTGTGGCCAGCAGAACAACAGAGCTCATTCAAATTTGCATACAATGAGAGGACTCAGAGTACCACTTCTCTGGCTGGGGTCTATCTCAATCATTGGTTAATTCTTTCCTTCTCTTTCTCCTTCTCCTTCTCCTCCTCTTCTTCCTCCCCTGCCCAACATTTTGTCAGATTTTCCTAACAGTTTACAAATACCCCTTCATACTGCTGAGTAGAATGAGTTATGCTTTTGATCAAGGCAGAGTACAAGGTTTGTACCCTTTTTCAGAAAAAATTTCAAAGGACTTTTCCAGGACTCAAGATTGTTTTTTTCCAGGACTTCAAATTTTACCTTATGCCCTTTCATTCCCAAGACTTCAAAGTCAGTTCTCCTTAAGGTCTACATAAATTTCTCATAATGTAAACTCTAAAAACTTCATTGCTTGTTTGAGTAAAGTAGATTTCCAGGACTTTCCAGATTTTCCAGGACCCATACAAAACCTGAAGGTATCTTACCTAGGAACACAACACAAAGAACCCTTACGGGACTCAAACCTAAGCCACTTAACCAGGAGTCAGGGGTACCAGCCACTCAACAAATGCATATTTCATGATTGAAAATTGTTCAACAAAATCTTTCATGAAAAATCCATTATAATTATGCACTTACTAAGCATTTACATCTGTCCCAGTGTAGACAAGTGGTCCACCATCACTATTTCGAAGTGTACCAGGGACAGCTTCATTCTACAAAAATGCAATCACATGATAGTAATTTATAATGAACTGTAAAGTGCTGCTGTGTTACAAGGCAACCCTACAATCAAACTACCAAAAACATTTGAAAGTTTGATTTGCTCTCAAGATTAGGCTGAGAGCATTACTCAAAATTTCATGCTCTTTCAGACACTGGGGGTGACTGAAAAGTATGCATCTATGCATAATGCATATAAATTCAAAAAATTAAATTTACACTACCCCAATGGGGCTTTACAGTACCAATACAATCAAATTGGAAACAAACATTGTAAATAAACATAGCGTTAAAAAATCCAAAATGGCAGGAGGCAGACCAGTTTGCCACATACAAAGTGCAGCCAAGGAGTTGAACCCTTGACAACTGAGAACAAATCCAGAGAATTACAAGTCCAGCACTTTAACCACTCAGCCAAACTAAAAGACGTACAACCACACTTTCACACTTCTAATGTTCAAACAGGACTAAAAAAAACAAATCTCCTTGTCACAGACAACTGAAAAACCTGTTTTTTAACTCTGTGTGACACTAATACAATATTTAAAAATATAAGATTTAACCTTCTGATGGAACTCCAGTTTTGCTATCAAAATTGCAAGGTAACTGTGAATTAACCAGCCATATCCACCCTTTGTTGAATGTTTCTGTGTAAGAAATTCATGAAGACATTTTCTATTAATTTTGAAGAGTATCAAGTCACACTCATTTATCTTAAATAACCCTACCCCCAAGATCTTATTAGTAATTCTCCTCACTTTCTGCCATTCAATTCTTATAACCATGTTAGTTTGGAGAGTTGGTATTGGATCGACTAATAATCCCCTAACTGATATTTTTCTTAATTCTCATCACTTGTCCGCTTGATATTGTGTTGATATTGTAAGGAGAAATTCTGTCTTGGTCACTCCTGAGAGTGAAAAGGTGAAGGTTTCTTTTTTGTCCCATTGTTATCTTTTTGGCACCTTTTATACCTCATGTGTAAGTTAAGCACTGTTGTTGAGACAATTGAAGTCAAAAAACATAATTTTTAAATATTCTTAAAATAATTCTACGTTAAAAATTTTCAAATCACAGTAGATCCATCAAAATTTGAGACTCAGTTGGTTAACTGTGACTACTAGCCCTGAAACATTTCATAGATCCCAAATTATGCTTCAAAGAGTTTAGAGTGAACTGAATCTGATCATTATGGATGAGCCACAGTTGTAAAAAAGACTCAAGTTGTTACCAAAAAACTTTGATCATTTTGTGGTTGTGACTAAGTTTTTACAAGATTTTCATGATAGCAAAATTAAATCTAGATAAGGTGTCATGAAAATTGTTAACAAAAGTACCCAAAAATCTCTCATGTCCTTCAGCATCTGCTTGTATTTAAGGGATTCCTTCAAAGCCTGTTTGCAAAAAATGAATGCATAATTAAAATTATAATTATCTTTAAATCTTTCAAGCAAGGAAATAAATATAAGGGAAGGTGGAGATACAGAATTTCTCTTTGAGCATTTAAATCAACACATAAACATGCATGATTGCTGACTAACCACTCTCTCAAGTGTATAATTATCAAACAATGTTAAATTAGGCTTGTAAAATATCGCAGTTTAAGATAAATGAATGTTTAATTATTTTTTTCACAATCTTGTGTCAGGCTAAGCAATCGTGTACTGTTCACTGTGTTTTGATGGCGATACTGCTAGTCTTCTTCAGGCAACAAAGTCAAAATGTCCCTATCTATACATTTGATGGCCTGATTCTACAATCTGAGACAAACAATTTAACGCTCATTTATCTATAAAACCACAACGAACACCAGCACTTTCTGTAACATGACAGTTTTAGTAATAAATGCACAATCTTTTTTATGATCGGCATCCTGTAACATGTACACAAGGCTGTGCAATACCTACATTTGGGTGTCCTTCTCTTAACAGTTTGTGTATCACCAGCATTGCCTTCCAACACATTATAACTTGGGATGGGAGGGGCATCCTTCCCAATGAGTTCCAAAAAATAGAGGCTCCTTTCTCGTGCCATGTTCCAATAATTGCACTTAAACAAGGTTAAGAAATTTTTTTAACACTTTCCCAGTCCAAGGTATTTATAAGGTGGATAATGCTAAACAATGGATCAATCAATATCCAGTAGGTAGTAAAGTGGAAAACCTATCTATTGATAGAAATTAAACTAGTGGATGGGGTTTCATGTTTAGGTGAGTGGTATGTGAGTTATTGCAGGTGTCCATAGCTTTCAAAATGAAGGAACATGAAAACCATTTTATCTTTAAACTCTGTTTGTCTTGAATCCATTTTTTCATTTATATCTCACAACATGATAATTTACAGACTAGATGTACAGTACTGTAGCTAATGCACTTAGGCCATAGATCTGAGCAGAAAAAAAGTTGGTTCATAACTAAAAGTACCTACCTTGAACTCAGTTAGTAGAGGTATTTATTAAGCATTTATTGATCCAGTTAATCCCCTTTGATCTAAACCTCATTTTTGTTCATTAAAAGGATATTTCTGATGTGTTTCTCTTTGACTGCAGATTCAATGTTGTTGACAGCTTTTCCTATAGCTTCTTGCTGCATAGGCAAAACAAGTGACAAAAATTTATTGTAGAACTTAAGGATTGGGAAACTAATAACCCCTAAGTGATAAGACTTGCAACCAGTAAGTCTTTCTACCTAAACTTATAAAACACTTTGGTTTTATTGCAACTGAGTTGATAGTATCATTTGGCCACCCTAAAGAGTTCTTGTGGCAGATGTTTCAAGTGTTAGTCCTACATCAGAGGAAACAGAGGAATTATGGATTAATAGTGATTTATATAGAGAAAAATGGACCAACACTATTGGTGAGAACATAGTAACATAAAAAATACAAGAATTAATTATTGGATTAGAAGCTTTCATTGATAATGTGGGGATTAAGAGTGCTAATCTTGAAAATAAATTTTTGTTCCAGAGTTCTAAAAAGCCACAAAACTCTAGACTAAAAATTTATCTCTCAACCCTGCACTCTCAGGACCCATGGTATCCAGGAACACTTTTCATTTAACAAATTTAACCCCTAATCAGGTGACTTGAGTCACAATAAATACTAATTCCTACTTGACCTCATCTCATCAGTTAAATTAAGTAAAAGCTGTGAAAAGACCCTCAGAGTTTTTGGCAAGACACCAGCTACATGTAGCTTCATTGAAAAGCTCCAAATCTGCAAATAAATTGATGCCTGTTTAACTGAGTCAAGGGCAATATCTGCAAACTAAGAGCGTAGGTTTTTTCGGTGAAGTTTTCCATACTATGATTACTCTAATTCCTTCGGAGATGTTTGTAGTGAAGGTTCTTTGCGTGTTATAAATAGCGTCAGATTATTTCAGTTTTTCATGTTTAATGAGTTCGACATGTTTCTTTATGCCCTCAATCAAAAGGCGATGACTGCACAAATGTTTACAAATGCGATAGGAACTTGACAGCTTTTTACAAACGTCACCGTTCCCACTTAAGTCTCAACTCAATGGCGAGCGTCAATTCTGTTAACTGTTCAGTCTGCTGTGAACATTTAGCTTTCAAAAAAATAAAAGAGCCACGTGCAACACTTGAATTACACTGAATGTATATCTCGTTACAATCTAAAGCCCGTCATTTTACTTAAATTAATTTTGAAGAGGAAATCATTCATTCTGCATTGTTTTTGTACGAGGCTAATTTTACGAATGACTTCCTCACATCGCTACGAACGAAACTTTTCGAGTAAAATTTGGTTGGTAAAACGGTTAAAGAAACATAAGAGATTTTTTCAGTTATAAGTCAATATTTCACTATACTACCGTGCCTCCCAAATGGAATTACTTTCGATAAAAAACCAATATATTTTTCTTTCGAGTTGAGATTTTACCTGGTCTTTCTGGAGTTTCTCTCGATCTTGAGTTAAGCTTGGTCTTTTACTCAGTCCAAGAGCTGGGGTGGTCATGATTTACCCAACTAACATGTCAAATAAAAGATCAATTCACGTAAAAGCACGTTCTCACGCAATAAGTACTTTCAAATTGTATGCATCGCGATATCTCGTTCGGAGAACTCAATCAGGCCGCCAATTTCTTCAGAACGGTCAGGACACTGGAAACTGAATAACTCTTTACCAGGACGCCCGCCAAACGCAGTTAGACCGCGGTCGCGCGCGTTGTTTTCAAACACTTTAACTCTCAAGATCTGATTGTTGATTCTCCCCCCCCAAGCCGTTAAACATTTCCTTAAAAATAAGTTACGAGAATCTGGTTTTACAATTAAATAACAACTTCCACCTGATGAGTTTGAGTATTTTCATTACCTGTTTTCTGTATAATGTATGGCTTTCAGGGGAGAATTTACCTGTTAATCACTTCCGAGAGTTTAAAGTTGAGATTTTGATTTTATTTAGTTGAAAGAGTTTCAGATTAAAGACTTTCAACTTAATGGCACCACTGTTGAATGATTTTGTTGACCGAAAAACATTTTCAAGAAATAACAGACGTATAATTTTGAGCAGAATAAGAACTACTTGATCGCACAGCCGGTAACTACAGGCGAATGAATATGTTGCGAGTGCATTCGAAGTAAATGAGAAAGCCTGTGCTTTTAAGGGAAAAAAGAGCATTGGATGCACCCTATATGCAATCTGTAGTTTAAAAAAAGCGTTTCAGGAGACTTTTCAACCCAAACCTCGCAAAAAAATGATGTGGGTACTCATTAAAATTAAATTACTCTTAAAAGTTTCAACTTGCCGTACTTTTTGGGATTGTTTGATACACTATCTACAAATGACCGTGCTGAACTTCTGGCATGTAAACTATGTAATTATTACGCTGAAAAGCTTTTTGGAGTGCGTTTCTGGAGTCTTCTCTCCAACTGTAATGAAATTGATATAGGGGTAAGTTTCTAGAGAACCGTGGTGCTTCATCGGTGGCCGGGTATTCCAAAATGATGTGATTTTGTCAGTTGAGTTGAAAGAGTAAAAATAAGCCACCGAAGAGAGTCTCTAAATCTGACGTTATGAGCGTTACCCTTTGCTCTGACGAAGTCTAGTGTTGTCGGCCCTACTCAGGGCTGACTAGAAATCAACTGACAGCCCTTAGATCTCCGAGAATGTAACGCAGAAATAATGTAAACCTAATCTAACGAAAAATGATTAACCGAGCCAAAACATACAAAATACAAACTAAAACCTAAAATGGGGAACAACAGAAGTACATCACATAAGACTAATTAACAAAAGCTACAAGGACGCGAAAACTAAACTAAGCAAAAACCGAAATTAAAAGCACGAACAAAGACTACCTTATTATAGGAAATTAACGATGCACTTTATTCATGCCATTTTGAAAAAATCACGTTAATTGATGCATCTCAACTTACGTCTATGTAAATTTAAATCACACTGTTTTACATCATTAACGTTTTACAGCACTTTTATTCTGATAAAAAAAACCTTATCTGCTCCTTGCCCAACTATCAATGCCTCCGAGGCACTATTTAACAATTTTTCTTTCAACTGGTCTTCGTATCGATGCGTTTCCCCGTGGGGATAGCTAACTTCTTCAGTTGTTTGGAGGCTTGGCACATTAACTCCGCCCACGCTCCTTTAAATCGTGACGATGGCGGTCTGCTTCCTGACGCCTATTTACACCTCGTCAGAAAAAAGGCCGCTAATTAGTGATCATATAAAAGGACCTCTTGTTGCAGCGTTTAGATCACCCCTGATGAAGGCACTAGACAGGAGTGTCGAAACGTTGGGTCTATGAATTGTAACTTCTTCGGTTACATTCATTAAATCTGCAAACCAGTGTAGCATCAAACTATGTCTTCTTCAGTCTTTCTTCTTAAAATTTTTCGAAAATTTGGCGTTAATTCAATTTATGTTAACCTAACTTTTGGAAAATTCGCGTTTATTTTGTTTAACGTAAATTTTCTTCGCGTTGTCAACGTATATCGTTAAAATCCTATAATGGGATATTATAAATCCAGGTGCCTACAATACCGTTGCAAACAAAGTTTCTTTTGTGCACTTAGATCCCTCTCGGGAAATGATAAAAACCAACAATTGATGCTTCAATCGAAAAATTCTGACTTGTGACAACTTTGACGAGATGTTATATGGCAATATGAATATTTTGGAGGGCACAAGAAAGAACTTTGGAAACATAAAAAAAAATATGAAAAATAACAACAAAAATAACAAGTGCGTACGGTAGCGATAAAGAGGGTTCATTTCCGGGATTAAAACTTCATCGAAGTGTGGAAGACCAAAGGTCAAAGTCCTGGTTGAGGAGCTCGTGACAAAGTTGCTTGGTCCAGAGTCAAGTCCAGAGTCCAATCCACGTTCCAGAAGGAAACCAGATCATATGAAAGATTTATATCAAACTTATTAACAAACACTGACTGTTTGGGTTATAACTAAAAGAGATAACAGAAACTGTTACTTTTGAAGTACTTCTTGAAATATTGACGCCCGCAGCAAGCACCAGTGCAACTGGATTTTTCATTTTTCAACTTGTAAGAAAAAGACTGGGGCGAGGTAGTATTTCTTCGGGTCTTGTCAATATGGCGGCTATTGCACAAATTTCAAGTCTTCAAGAATGGGAAGAAGAATGGCAGCACTTGGAAGAGGAGACGCGAACGTTCAAGGTTTATTCTATGTTCTTTTTTTATCTAAGTTGACATCTTGGTTAGCGTGATGCCATGATAGCGGCGCCCGCGAGAGCACTTAATGATCAATGAAATAACTCGTGCATAAGTGATTTTTTTTATTTCATGAGCAAACCCGTGTTTACTAATTATCTTAATTTGCCTCTTAATGCTTGGAAATTTTTACCAGTTTCGATGTCGAGTGATTACTCGCGAAAAAGACTTCTCTAGAAAACCTAATGCAATAATAAATGATTGATCACATTTTGGTTATCGATCTTCCAGCTTTTCATTCAACACCAAATGACTTAAATTTCAGCCTCTTTCCATTTTTATCGCATGATTTCCTCGACAGTAACGATGACCCTTCCTAGAAAACAGCTAGTAATTCCAATATAGATCGAAAGAAATCTTAGCTATTAATTGACAGCTTGTTCGATCTGAAAATATTTGTTTTTCATAATGAAAGTGACAACGAATGAGACAAGGCACGTAACATAATTTTTCCAGGAAGAACATTACTTTGTTTCAAACGTCCGTTTAAAACAAAAACAATTTTTCTCGGTGATCTTTAGCAAACGAAGTTCCAAGACTATCAGCAGAAATTGGACGAGTTTCATTCGAGTCAGAAATCCTGTGCGTCTGCCGTTAATCAGCAAAAACGGAAACTGAGGGATTTTCAGGAGTCTCTGCAGCGGTAAGCCTTTTCTGTTTTGATAGCGATTAAAGTTAACGCTTTGATTCCTTAGAGTGACAAGCATTTAATTTCTCCAAACAATATCACCTCTGAATCACACATTAAGGTCCTGAGAATAACGGAACTAATCACCAACTAAATAAGCTCTTGATTGTTAAACAAATTCTCCTTATCAGCACCTAAGGAAATTTATAGAGAACAGTATGGAGAATATGCATACTCAGCATGCTGATGCTAGGTTATAAAGGGTTGATCCATGTAATCCTTAACATTGATGCACCTTTGCAACTCATTGTACGTTCTTCCTTCCACTTGAATGTGCTTTTCTTTATAACTGAAAATGACTCTATTAAAGATTATGAGATACTCATAGTTTCATTTAAGTTGAGCTCAAATGGAGATTGATCATTTTCCAGACTGCATGTTTTAATAAATATTTCACAATGTAAATTATAAATATTTTCAACAACTGGAAAATATATATGATCAAGGTATTAGAACTTTACTTTATAACCATTGCCTTTTTGATTGCTTGTAGGTTTAAAGATGGACCCCTCTCTGGTGATCAAAAAGCTCATTTTGTGAAACTCCAGACAAAAATCTCAGACCTTGAAAGAAAAATAAAAGATTTTGAGTTAAGCCTTCCTTCTCAAGCAGGGTAATTATTTTTATTTATTCAATCATTTATGGCAGCCAGATGGTTTATCATTGGAAAAGAAAAGTGATTCAGCATATTTTATTGATGGCTGAAAAACTGTAAACTTATTAATTAAACATATTTTAAACATATTAATTTTATTCAGTTCCCAACTGCTAATAATTACCAACTTCATATAAGGCCCAACCTGTTGGTAGGAAATGTTTCTCAATGCCCAGCCTCAAATAAGTGCTCACTCCCTCTTCCATCTCCAAACCTCCCCCTCACCCCCTCCCCCCCAAAAAAAATACTGTGAGGATGGGGTGGGGAAGGGTTTGGCTTCAAGACAGTAGTTCACAATAACCTGATCAGGGTTTCCATATAGAACTTTTCAACAGGAGCCCAGCCAACTAAACTACAGCTTAACTGGGTTCCTATTATAAATTGCCTGTAATCTGTATATTCTCATTTTTAACAATGAATGTCATTGCTTTATTCTTGGACATCCTTTTCCTCTCCACAGGTTATTCCTAAAGCTATGTCTGGGAAACATCAATGTCTCACTTTACAATTCAAAGTGAGTTATTTTTCTATGAGTATAATGTTGAGCTCTAAGGACAGTTTTCAATACAATTTACTTTCCATGATAACTCTTTTGGAGTATATGATAGCAAATAATTTTTGTTTTCTTTTTAGGATGGCATACAAAGATGACTACGAGAAGTTTAAATTAAAGATGACAGTGATAAGCATGGTTTTTACCATATTAAACTTGTACATCTTTAACTACAGGTATACAAATGGCTATAACCATTATAAATCAAAACACATCCTTTGTTTCAGTGCCAGTAGCTACAAATGAGAATCACTCTTGCTTTTCTATGCTTAAAGTTCACTGTTACATATATTTGAATGTGTATAGTTCTATATTAATTTCCAGCTTCAGAGTGTTTTAGGGGATCTGATGTTAAATACTTTGGAAAAAATTTGTTTGAGTTCTCACATAATAAATGTCAAGTAACAGTATATTTTATTTTGGGATATCAAGCCTTAAGTACGACTATTTGAGTACTTGCATGTAGGATGATAAAACTAGATGGAAGAGGGAATCCACTGGTCAGAGTACTTTTTTCCATTACTATCACGGTATGGCTGCCATCTCTGGGATCACCCTTAAAAAAAAACTTGAACACTCTCGTTCAATTCCTAGTCACATTTGTTTCCTTTGCACCTGAACACTGATAAGCCAACTTGAATGATCAATTAAATCAGATTTGGTTTCCCATAATGTTACTGGTTTACTTTGTAAAGGTAACCCTGTCAAGAGTAGAAGCAGTCAAATATGCACATACTTTCCCATTATAGAAAGGTCAAGTCTGCACAGGAACTGGCACCATCTTAAGTGTTCATGATTTCTTTTCACTGAAAAAATGATCATGAGTACTGTTCTAGATCTCTTTGCTAGAGGGGGGTTTAAATTGTTGACCCCCTCCCCTGAAAATTTTTGCCAATTTTATCTTCAAAGTGTGCATGGTCCATTCATTTGGACACATATCGTGATTGTGTACCATGAGTCTTAGTATGAAAGGAAACACAAGGCCTAAAATAAATTTCTCTGATCTGAAATCCTGCAGTAGATTCATAAGTGCCTAAACCAAAGTACTTTAGAAGATTAAATGAATATTAATATTATAAGTGATATTACCGTAATATGATTGTTGTAGGATAGCAGATGCCTTGTTCCATGCAATGTTATTGTGGTATTATAGTACACTAACCCTTCAAGAACACATTCTTATGGCTAATGGCTCACGGTATGAACCAAACTAAGTTGTTTATAAGTACTTAGTTTGTCTTTTTTTTTTATTAATTCATTAAATTTGTCACACCTCTCTATTGTTGATTTTTTTCACTGACATTGTGAGTATCAAATAATTTGAAAAAATGACTTCAAAGGAATAAATTAACCCTTTAACCCCTTTTGTATCTAATTTCTCCTTACAATATCAACCCTGATTCAAACATTAAGGTCATGAGAATAAAGGAAATGATAACTAACTGAAGAAGCTCTTGACTGTTAAACAAATTCTCCTTACCAGCACACTAGGAAATGTATAGAGAACAGTAGGGAGTATATGCATACTGATGTTAGGGTGGAAAGGGTTTTAATACATTTATTTTTCTTTACACAGGATAAAAGGTTGGTGGGTTATGCATCATTATCTGTCCATCATTTTATCTGGGTTTCTTCTTATATGGTGAGTCATTTCACTTTTTCCATTCAAAGTAATTTATTACACTAAAACAAACAAAGATGGTTATTTAAATTTTGAGTTCAATGATCTATATCAACAAATTTTTTTTTTCTATTCAGGCCAGATGGAAGGGTTTACCAACTTTTTAGGGGACAGTTTTTCTACTTTTCTTTATATCTTAGTAAGTATTACATTGTAAATTTTTCATTCTGTTAAACAACTACACAGAGTCTCATAATTTGAGAAAGGTACTACAGAAAAATCATATCCCCAGTCTCCCTCCCTCTGCTATTTTACCCTTATCATCTTCTATTTTTTTCATTTTAAACAAACAAGTAGAACACTCATCATTTTATCATTGTGTTTCAGGTTTCGTTCAACTTCTACAGTTCAGATATCAGTCAAGAGCTCTGTACCGATTAAGATCACTGGGTGTCAGCAAAAACATGGATGTCACTCGAGGTTTGTGTCAATTTGGATCCCTAACCTTTCTGATTGGCTGTCTATCACATTTAAAATTTAACTTCCAGAAGTGATAAACATGTAACTTCTCCCCATCATATCCATACATTATCCTGCAAACAGGTAATGAGAATACTCAAACTTATCAGATAGTAGTTGTTACAAAGTAAGTGTAGTGTATTCAGGTCAACTGGTTGCATCAGCTTACCGATTATTGACTGAGAAACAAATTGTTTTGCAGAGGGTTTCCATTCATGGATGTGGAGGGGACTAGGATTCATTATTCCTTTTCTTATTGTTGGCTATGTGAGTAGGATATTTCAATAGAATTTATGCAGCAAATGATTTGTATTTTAATGCAAATTAGCAAATGTGTGTTATTCTAAATAAATGACTGTAAATTTATGAAAATCATTTATGTGAACTGAGATTGAAGAAACGAATATGGAAGCAATCGTCACAGTTATGAGCACTACTTTAGTAGTAGTGAAAGTAAGGCTTGAAAAAAATGCAGTGAACTGTGATTGAAGAAACATATATGATTTTCATATATTTACAGTCATTTTTTCACCACTTTGAGGGTTTATTTGGAACCAACATAATGACCAACTCCCAGTTGGCTTGTTGGCTCAGTTGGTAGAGTGCTGCACCAGTATTGCATTGGTCCTGGATCCAAATCTTGTACAGGCCTGAATTTTTTTCAGGTCTTATTTTCACTACCACTGAAGTAGTGTTCACAACTGCAAGGATGGCTTCCATCTATGTGTTAAGTGTTCTATTCTCGGAAGATTTATTTTGCTAGTGTACAATATTAACAAACAGATTCCATGTTGTTGTGTATCTGTTCAGAAATTGATCAAAGATGACATCATACACACATACAGCACAGCTGAGTGTGTCACTAAATTTGATGTCTTCCGTGATCTATTACTGGACACACCCATAGCAACAATGAATCCATTTGTTTCCTGTAATAAAGAGCAAAAAACTGGTAATGCTGATGTCGTCTGTCCTCTGATAGAGCATAAGAACTAATCAAAATGTATGTGGAATTCAGCTTATTACACATGATTTTATTTCCACAGTTATTCCAGTTGTTCAATGCTTACACACTCTACCGACTGTCTTTCCACCCTTACTGCAGCGAGTGGCAGGTAAGGTTCCTGTGCCAATTTGTTGGAAGATTAATCACTAGTTTAGGGCAAAATAATACATAGATACATTTCTATTTATGCACCAGCAAATTTTTCAAGTTCAAAGGAGCTATTTCATGGTCTATGTATGCTTATCTCCTCATACAAAACTACCTTTGCTTCTTTTCTAGTGCTCTTACATGTAAGAAAGCTAAAGGAATTCCTTCTACAAATTAGAATAAACAGGACTATTAGAAAAGTACAAAATACACTTTTTTATCATCTCATGTCATAACAGAAAACCCTCCTGAGGCTCATGAAGTGCAAGAAAATTAAAATTAAAAGATTTAGGCATAGCCTTGTTGATAGTATTGCATTACCATTTTGCTTGTATAAATGTTAATTGACATTAATATATTTTCAGGTTCTTGGCCTCAGTGTGGTATTTTTTACCTTGTTTGCTGGAAACATGACAACCCTCCTGTTTGTTGTGAGGCAGAAATTTATCAAGGCAGTTTCAGTTCCACAATTACCTTGTAGTTAAATACCTCCCCCCAACGTAATTTAATAGAGGTGCCAAGGAGGCCTCTCTACAGCTTAAGATTCAAGTCTTGTTGCTAAAACTGCAAATGCAACAAGAAGTGTGACCTTGATGTAACATCAAAGGGGGCTCACCATAAATTAAAATTGACTAATCAGACAGGTTAATTTGGGTCTAGAGTAGACCTTTTTAAGAGGAGCTTCTTGGAGACTTTTTATCAGTCATAAACTTTCTAGACAATGCAGTGATTCTCTCATATGAACAGAAATCTTGTTACTAGTAACCTTTAATTTATCTACTTTGTGACTCATGTCACATAAGACCTTCACAGATCGTCTCCAGCTCTTGCTGTCCACAACTCACTGCAGAATATTCATTACTTTTCTCTCTTTCAATGCCTTGCCTTGCGTTAGGTTTTGGTCTCCTCCTTTTTCTCTTTCCTTTCAGTGCTCATGCAATATTGCAACATAGTGCAATGTTGCAGTGAGTTTATAGATCGTCATTATGTGCTTAATCAACTCCATCTTTATCTATCACTTCATTAAGCAGCCCCATTTCCATTCTTTTCAGAAAATCCTCCTTTATCATAATCACTACAATTTTAGTAGAAAGAGAATTGTATTTATTTTTAGACTGACTTGGCCGGCCAGTTTTGACCTATGTTAAGCATCTTATGTTGGGGTTAAGAAATTGTATGCGGGTTATGACATGTTCTGTTCAATGTAAGGAAGGGCAGCCAAGAATGAACAATCAAAATATTTTATACACAGATGTTTTGGTTTTAGGAGGCCCAATGCTTTTGATTTGTTAGAGATTGGGCAACCAATGCAAAGATTATGAATTTACTAAGAACCTGCAAATGGCATTAAGTTATTTGAAGTACCTTTTAGCCAAGTTTCCTTATTATTATTTTTATTACCGATATTGTGACTTTTTATCATTAACAGACACTGTAACTTGGTTTTACAAAAATTTATGATTATTGTTTGGTGAAAGAGATCAGCATTCAACTTTTACAGTTTATATTATCATGATAAATTAATGTAAAATAGTTATATCTTATAATGTACATGTTTCAGTATAGAGAGGATAGAAAAAGTGATGATTTTTGTGTTAATTTTAGAATTTGTATAGCTTTGGAATTCTTTTAAATCAATTAAAAATTTTTTCCTGTCATGACAAAAATCACAAAAGCAATTTATTCTACTAGAGATAAGCACCTTTCTACAGTGTCAGCTGTGTGCATATGGCACATGGATAATTAAAGGGAAATAGACTGCTATCTACTATGTGCCTCATGTCAAGTAAGGCCTTCACAGATGTCCACAACTCACTACAGAATATTCATCTATTTTCTCCCTTTTGACACCATGCCATCTTGTGTCTGTAACATGATCCAAAGACCAAGTGTTGGGGGTCACACATACTTCATAACAACCACTCATAAATTATCTGGTGAGCTGTAAATTGTGGAGAGAAAAAAACACTAGAAATTGTAGAATGACAGCTCTTTTCATATAATGATATGTCTTCCCTCAACTTCTCAAATTCAACAAAAAGGCAGTCTGCTGAAATTCTTACTTTGACTGGACCCTGATTAGTGGGAAAACTGTGTCCCTTCCTCAGTATTTTTCTTCCTTACTTACCTTCTAAACATTTCAAACTTTACCTTGACATCCTAGATACCAAGCATCACAAACTACCTATCACATTCTTAATTAAAGTAACGATTTCTACACCTCAAAACAAGACAAAAAAAGAAAAAGACAACCACAGTATTAAAGAAGCCCAGAGGTGCAACACCTGTAGAACCCTTTGACCCCTAAGGGTGTCTAACAACTAAGTTCTCCTTACAGTATCTCCCCTGAATCACACATTCAGGTCAGGAGAATAAAGCAAACGATCACTGACTAAAAAAAGCTCTTGATATGTTATATAACTTCTCCTTGCCAGCACCATAGAAAAAGGAATTTAGAACAGTATGGAGAATATGCATACTGATGGAGGGGTTAATAGTCCACATCATCTTGTGCAGAATTAAGGACGCCAATTATAGCTTCAAAAACAAACTGACATCAAGTTTATTGAAGAGTCTAGTAGCAGCAAATTGCCTTTATTTATTATTTTTATATTAAATATTGCATAATTTTTCACCCAAAAAAATAAGTTGCAATTTTTATGTACATCAATGTCCTTGCCTAAGATTTAAAGTGAGACTGAAAGTTAAGACAGAAAAGGAATTCAAGATACACTTTAAATAAGTTCATTATGGACAAAAGGAAAACCGGTGTGAAGTACCAGTGGTCATCATTACAGAGCCAGAGGAAACAAGGCTGAAAGTAATTTGTCCATAAAAATTTGTTTTCATGTGGAATTTCTCGGTTTTTATTTCTTGTGGCTGTGATCCAGTTGATGAGAGATACCAAGTTGTCGTGAAACATGGATTAATCCATCCATTACACCATCCACCAGTCTGAATGACAGAAAGAAAGCTATTGTCAGAAAGTTGAAATGTTTGACACTATTGTCTCGAGTATTATAGTTTCACAGGTAAGTACATAGTGTGAATAACTAAACATATAATTTTTCTAGGGTAGACAAACAAGGTCAGAAAAAAGTCATACTTGAGAAAGAGGGATGGGTAGCCCTTTAACTACCAGAAGTGATTAACATTTAACTTCTCCCTATAATATCCATACATTATTGAGCAAACAGGTGACAAGAATATTAAAAAGTATTCGGTAGAATTTGTTATCTTGATCTAACTCTAAATTCTTGTAACTTATTTACAAAAAAATGTGTAGCAGCTATAGGGGAGAGTTAACAATCAGATCTTGGGAGTTAAAGAGTTGTGGAAGATCAACACAGACTGATTTTGACAGACTAGGCTTAATTTTTCAAGGAGAAACAATAAAATGGTTACCTCACTCTTTAACAAACTTAATAAGTTATCTACTGACGTCACCCACCTGTCTATAGGTTTGATAATAAAGGGTATTGCACTTAGTCCCACAATAGTTGTCATCCACATTTGGGCATTAGGAGGCACTCCTCTTGCATATCTGCTAAGAGTGAACCTAGATGCCGCACAAATCCTGTTGATTGTAAACCCTGGGATGATCACTGAAGCCAACCCCTGCCAGATGGCTGCTTCTACCATGGTTTCAACTGCTTTGCGTTTCTGAAGGTAGCTGGACAGATGGGTACTTTCCTGGTAGCATTGCCTCCCTTTGTCGATGGAGTCTGCCAGGCAGTAGGTGGAGGCAACTCCATAGCTACCAAGGTACATGAACCGAGGAATGTGGGAACGGAATGCCTCACCAAATTCATTGGCATATCCTGATGGGTATCAACAAATCTTAATGAAAAATGTTGAACTAAGCAATGATTATTAGTGGCTAGGGTCACATTTGGTATAGAAGAAGTTATGTTGGTCAGTAGTCTTCACCCTTTCCATCCAAACATGAGTATTCATATTTTCTATATTACTCTCTTATGGTGATGACAAGGAGAGAGTGAAGGGAGACAATTATATACCTGGTTAAAATGGGAACTTTCACTAAAATGTTTAGTCTTATGGCTAATAACATCATTTTTTTTTTTTTTTTTTTTTGGGGGGGGGGGGAGCCTGAGTTGCAGATACAAGGCAGGAAGGGGAATGAAAATGCAAGGAGAAAACTAGGCTCACAAATGAATGGCAGAAAAATGTTGGCTGTGGTTAGTTCTAATATATCGAGAGCCTTGTAACAAACTTGTGACCAAATTTTCACAGAAAACACAATTTGGAGATACAAATAAATAATTCCAATGAATTTGTAGTCTTCAGCTAAATTAAACAAATTTTTTGTTACTTTCATTTTGTTTCAACCTTAAAATAAACTAGGTCTGAGAAACTTTAAACTGAAGTAAAATTTAAACCACAATCCAGACACTAAAAATTATAGCTTGTTTGAAAACAAGCCTGGCAAAGGTTTTCATACAAGTCAAGCATATTTGGCATATACAATTTATAGGGCTTGTTACCAGAATTTCACCCTTTATTGTTTCAATACTGATCTTACCCAGATCAACAAAAAGCAGGGTAATATCACATTGACAACAGAAAAACATGCTTAGTTCAGCCAGGTTTATGTTCAGAGAGAGTAAAAATTGGCAACAGAAAAGGAAAAAAACTGATTTTACATACTTTAGGGTTAAATTAGGCACTAACCTACATTTTCGTTGTTCTAGATTTGAAAGGTGACAAACATCAATCTTAAAAACTTCTGTGAAGAAAACAATTTCAAACCAGGTTTAACAAAAAATGTTTAAGCTTTTGTGTTTATGGGGTTTAAATCCAGTGGAAAATCAATTCAACCTTCTTTTAAGATCTCCGAGACTTGACTGTTGACTAATGAATTACTTTTAACTTCTGACAAACACCATCTCAAGAGGCTGCCTTCTGGTGATTTCTTGAGGTCAATCCTATTTTACAACCTATTGAGTTCAAAAGCTACAGTTATGATGATGGAAGGTGAAATTGTCACTTGTCTGATTCAAATCTATCTAAGTCACTCAAAACACAAGAATTGAACCTTGTGTCATTTCACGCTCTAGTTAGCTTACTCACTGATAGAGAAGGAAGTGGGTTAATGGTTCACTAATTTTGCAGGTATTTTAAGATAAGTCCTCTGACACATTGAGCTATTAGATAAACTAAATGCCATTTAAGTAAGCTTTCATTGCAAACAAGATGTACACAATTTAAAGCTTTGTGCTAAGTTAGTGGAAGACAGAAAAACAACAGTTAGAGCAAATACTCAAAATCAAACAAATTTAGAAATGGCTGTCAGTTTCAGAGAACAGTAGAGTTTAAAAGGTAAAATACTTGTTTTAAAAACAATGAATTTTTAATAAAGGAACACTATTTATTATTAATAGCTCAAGGAACCAGGTTATTCTGTCTTTTGGTAAAAGTTCAACACTTAGCATTCTGTTTGCATTTTAATGAATAGAAACTGTTTACTGATGAAAATGAACACCTGCTGAAGACTTGTTTCAAACACTGGACTTGCTTTTAAGTACAGCCCCTTAAAACCTAAGATAAACAAATTGTTTTGAAAGGAGTAGTGCTCCTGCTGTGGTCCATGATCACAGACACAGAAAACCAGTGAACAACACTGTAAACCAGTCTTACTTGATAACACAGGAATGAAAACAAAATTTTAGCCCCAGGAAGCTGCCAGAGTTTGCTGCTTTGTTAGTGTCCAATTGAAACAGCTTCTTTTAAGTCAAAAGTTGGAACCAAATGGCTTGCAATTTTTAACATGAAGGTATGTGAAGTTCTTTACTTTGTTTTACACAAGTTTCACTCTGGAATCAGAACTAGTAAACTTATACAGTTGATTAACTTGCATGCAATTTATTTACATGGAGATTCCATCCTTCACTGCTTCTAACTAGAAAAAGTCGTCATACATGACTGGATGAGAGGAAAGAGACAAAGCATGAAAACTCCCTTAGAACGCTCTGCTACACAAATATAACTGTATTCACCAGCAAAATTCAACCATCAAAATCCTATTAATATCCTTTGATTTGACTAAAACAGGAAGTTAAAACTCTGCTTTAACAGAAGTTTAAGAAAGTTATGCAACCAGTAAGGATCCAGTAGAAAGGGTTGACCCACAAGGCCTTGGAGTAAATTCAAATCACAAGGTTTTCCTTTTTTCAAATTTAGAAGTGCTGGAAACCTTACATTCTCACACGTGCAAAAATGACTTCAACTATATTGCTTCTCTAAACAGAAAGCCTCCATAGATTCCAGGTGTCCTATATTTCAAACAGGTACCTTGCTTAAATCGCAATCAATTTAATTCACACATATTGATACAAAATATTCCTAGAAGCATCAGCTGCCAGTGTGTTTTCTTGCTACTCATTTCTGAAGCACAAGCTTCTTTAAGTAGACAAGGAAGTCAAACATTCAGCCAGTATTTATTGTCGATTGGCTTCTAGACAACCATTGGAGAATACTGGATATCCACTGTTTAACTCACAAAGAAACAAGAAAAAAAGCCGAGATTTTAAGAAACTGATAAGTAGATTTCTTTACTTCAAAATCACATGACAAGAAGTGGAAATGTATTCTTGTTGATTAACAGCTCACTATTTTTTGCACATGTTGTGGAACAAGATCAAAGCTACAGCTAGTAAAGCTGTGAAGTTGTATTACCAATATTAATCTGAAGTAATTTTTACAAGAAATAGGTAAATTTCATGGGTCACATTACATAACAGTTTACAACTACCTCAGAGCTTATCCTGAATAAGGGTGTACATGAAGCAAGTTAGCATCCAATAGAGATAGCCCCTAGCCTTTTGAAACCAAGGTTGTCCCTTATAAAATTGTCAGGTTCAAAAAATGTAACACAAATAGAGGACAAGAGAAATGAGAACTATACATTATCACCAATAAAGATTGCTACTTCTCAAATTCAACTTCATTTGCATAGATCCGAAATTAGTCTACAACATTTTGACCAAAAGGATCTCTTTCTTAAGGATAGAGTAAAACATCAAATCCTTAAAAATTTTGTCAAAAAAAGATGGAAGAACAAAAAGAGTACCTACAACACATGTTGAGGACAAGAGACCCTGTCCCTAGGAAAATGGGATTTTGCACAAAGTTCCAAACAGTTTGTTAAAGTTCACTAATACTTCTTTGTATGGGTGTCTTGGTATTTTGTCAAAAAAATCGTGCATAAAGCACACTAACCACCATGCCACACGATTACAACGTTTGAACTTGGTTAAGAATCTCCCAAAAAGAAATCACTGTAATTTCCTTTCACCACTAATGTAGGTACGAAATGTGTACTTTCTATAAGCCATGTTATTTCCAGAAGATCTTGAAAACAGTCAATAAAAGAGGTACCTCAAATGCAGTCATCCCTAGAGGATCTAGCAACTTCTCATGTAAACCAGCTCCTGACGTGTTTTGAGAAAATTAGAGAATTTTGCGATGAAATAGTATAATTCTCCGAAACGGTAATGTTCGGATAAATTGATGAACAGCTTAAACAGCCATTTGTAAGTGTAAGAGCAAACAGCTGTGCATTCTGCTTTAATTAATGATGTCTAAAAGGGCTGTAGAGACGAAATAAGAAGCTGTCGACTTTCTTCTCCAGTGACCATCTTAAAATAAATTCAGAGCTTACCTAGATATCTTAACGATGTATCCCTGAAAACATCAACGTCAGAAACCTCGATATCGGAAACATCTTGCAGCTTTTCCGCCATCATTCGTCCGCCAACATGATTTTTTAGAATTTATTGTCTCCCACACAAGCCTCGTCTCCACGAACGTGGTAACTTCGTTTCCAGGATCATCTCCAGGAATAATGCTCGGCATTCCAACCAGCCAATCAGATTACAACATCGAATGTAAACATCACAACGAGTCAATTTGTTTTGGTCACAACAAAATTTTGTAAAATACCTAACGTTTCTAATGCCTGCAAAGAGTTATCTAGCCTAGTATTAAGAGGACTGGTGAACCGTTATTTAGCGTCCTGAATCAGTAACCGTGAAGTGAAAACTATTAGCGAAATGAATCAACGAAGATCGATGGAGACTTACTTCGAGGTTAGTCTTACAATTTTATCGCTACCTTAGAATTTTGAGACTTCTCTAGAGAAAACCAGAGCTCTAGGCAGTTTGCAAGAAAAAGATCTCATTTTGGCAGACAGAGGTATGATTTTCTCCCGAAAGCTTGTGGAATCTAAAGAATCATAGATCCAATCGCGCAAAGTTACGGCATTTTAGTCTCCAGACCTGACGTATGCATACTTTCCTCGCCACAAACGTAAGTTTGTAGATTTGTGCCGTGAAAGTTACGCAAAATAAAACTCTCTCATTTGGCGTGTCTGCAATTAAAAACGCTTTTTCTAGCAGTACTTTTGATCAGATCGATTAAAAAACGAAATCAGTTTTCTACATACTTCGATCCGTTTACTCAGCAAGCACTGCAAAAAACACGGACCTATTATTAAAAATGACTAATATATGAATGAATTATGAATTTGGCCTAACAAATGCCTTGGAAACTCGAACATTTCTTCTATCTACCAGAAAGTGGGGAGATGGTGAGCTTATAATGAATTAGCATTCCTGCTTAAGAAAGAAAAAATTCACAACTGTTGAAGTCGCTTCCTATCAAAGGTGTCTGGCCCTAATTTATTACCGTTACAAATGTGTTAATATATTCATTATTTGAATTAAGTCATCCTTCACTGCTGGACAGCAGAAACATAATTTGCCCTTGAAATACCTGTTAAATTCTCAAAATATGCACCTGTCGTATTTCCCTTGAAGTGCCTGGTGGACTCAAAGTATACCTGTCCCACCCTTGGGAGAAAATTCAGATAAGTAATAACAGGATTTCAATTGCAATTTGGTGTTAATAAGCAAGAGTAAATTTTTCAAAGACAACAAAATTGCATGAACTTGTAGGGCCAGTGCAATTTGTAGTCTTTGAGAAATTTACAACTGCTTATTACACCAAATTGCACAAAAAATCATGTTACTTGTTAGTAATTTACATGAAAAAAGCATCACAGAAAGTAAAGGCAGACAAAACTTTGACAGCAGGCATGCTATCTGTTAGTTGCACCTGTGTTGAAAAATGCACTTGTTTTCAGCCAATCAGATGTGCATAATTATTTCATTATATTATTAATTAGAAAATATTCTTATATGTTGAATGACTCTCACACAATGAGCCTTCCTGTCTATAAAGCCTTACTCTCTCTCTTTCTCTCTCTTTCTCTCTCTCTCTCTGGTGTCTAAAAGCTTCCTCTCTGATAAGTCTTCCTCCATCTCCCTCCCTCCCTCAAACGAAAAAAAAAATAGAAGTTTAATTATTGTTATTTTGGGTGGTATTTGAAATTCTCTATCATTGGTTTTCAACAAAAGAAATGAACATTATTTATTATGATACTCATAAAATCTGAGCCACAATTTAATTAGGAAAAAGAGATAAATTACTGGGATAATTAATATCTAATTGTTAATTCTCCGCTCTAGATTGTAAGCATTTCCTTTCAATTAGTTACAAGAATTTGGTATTCAATCAAGATAAAAAATTACTAAGGCCCTAAAGGTGCTTATAAAGGCAACTATGGTTGCTACCTCGGCATAATTTAACCCAATACCAATATTCTGTACACTAAAATATAAAAATTTTTCAGAATGGGAACAACAAGCAGGAAGAGACATCAATGCAAGATACTTTTCAAAACAGCAAGCAGTCAACTGAGGATGACACTAAAGGGAAAGGAGTAGATTCACAGACTGGTGATATTTCAAATAGCTGTATAAAAGTATTAACATCAAGCAGGGCTACCAATGCTGTTGCCTTCCACATTCCCACAGGGCAACCAGTTTGTAGGCCACCACCAAAACGTTTTTGTGACCAAACTACAGAAAGAGAAAACATAAGCCTTGAGAGACTCACAGAGAAACAAATAATGGCTGAAAGACGGAAGCAAGTGAGTTGATTAAATTGAAACATTCCTATGGTATAAAAAGAGTTGGATTCAGTAGATTCATTGCTTTAATCTAAAACTTTTGGATGTGGAAATTCATTAATTCAAGGTTTAATTCAAATCCCACAAATTTATAATAAAATTGTAATCATAATAATAGTTCTTAGGATGCTTTTGACAAGTTTCCATGCATTTCAATTGAAAAAATTCAGTTCCCTTCAGGAACTGGCCAGTGGCCTGACAAATGACCTTGTCTTTCAGGAAAAATCATTTCTTGCTCTATCTGTAAAAAGAAGATCTAATTTCTCATATTGATATGTGGAACAATTTAGATTGAAAAATTTGATTTTTTTTACCTTTTAAATCACTAAATTAGGTAGTTTGAAAGACAAATAAACACTTTGTCTTCACATTTTATTTATCTTCACAGCAACAAGTGGAACAGAGACTGAAAAGAATCCATGATCGACAAGAAGCTGCTCGAAAGCTTGCACACAATGTTGAACTCCTCCTACAACAAAAGTCTCTCATAAGTGCTGGGAGAGGCACCAGTCATGAGACACCCAAAATGACGTCTTCTGAACTTCTTGCTACAGCTCGTCATGTTGCAAAAGATTTTAGAACTTTGACATGTCAAACGACAAAAGATCTTGCTGTAGATGACAAAAACAACAACTTGTCAAAAGGACTCCCACCTAAAGTCAAACCCAAAAATCAGAAGGAAAAACATACAAGCTTGAAAAAATCATCTGTTCATGACAACAGGAGCATTGCATTTACTGTTGGATTTGATGAAGAAAAGCAGCCTCTATCTCCAGTGCCCAAAGCTTTACAGAAGACATGTGCGAAGGACAGAAGTAAACTCACTGCTCAAGAACTAGACGAAAAACAGAGAAAGGCTATGGAAAGACGAAAAGTAAGTGAATGCAATTAACCAATTAACTCCTGAGATGTTATTGTTAATTTCCCCTTTCGCTGCTAAACTTTTCTTTGTAAATTATTTACAAGAACTTGGTGTTAAATCAAGATAACAATTTCTACCTGCTGAGTTTCTGTATTTAAATCACAATTTACATGTAAATCAATTCTGGGAGTAAAGGGTTGCAGGAATTTTTAGAAAGCATACCAAAGAAAATTGGCCCTACTATACCCAACAAATGACTCAAAATATTGCGTAGGAGTTAACACCTAAAACCTTTGCACAAGCTAAAAGATGTCTTACCTTTGAAAATCAAATCTTGAAATTGGTTTTGTTTACTTCTAGAAAAGACAAGAGGAAAGAGTTAAGAGGGTTGTGGCAAACCGTGAAGCACTGTTCAAGTTGGCCACTGACCTGGAGACATTCATGATATGGAATGATGCTGAAAGAAATGAATTGAGAACGCGTAATGAAGGAGAACAAACACATGAGGCTGCTCAATTAGCAAGTGAAATTGCTGATAGCTTTGATAGATTGAGTCAAAGGTATTCAAGAGATCTGAAGCAGGCTGAGGGTTTTCCAAGTGGTTTGTGGGGAATTAAGCAATACTAATTAATTAGTTTCTGAGTGGATTGAAAAGGTTTCTATACATTGATTTGCGCTGTGGGCTCGTCAGAATTTTGGAATTGTGTGAATGATTTCAGACCAAATTGAACTCCGATCAGTTCAATTACAATTAAATATTCTGCTAAACAACTAAGATCAGTAAGATTTTAGGATTAAGTTTTGACAGTGGTCAAATTAACTGACCTTGTAACATTATAAAACAGAAAAAAAAAGTGTGTAGTGAGTGTGCAGTTAAAATGTTATGAATTCACACATTTTCCCAAAATTTTTCATGCATGCAAAAAATTTTTACTGTACAACTCTAAAAAAGTGACCCCTTGAACCATTTAAGGAATGTTTATTATATCATGTTGGAGATCAGGTAACACACATTACCCCAGAGAAATTACTATTAATAATGACCACTGACAGTTCAGTGTTCACACAACTGATTGGCTGATTCAACCGCATAACTAATTTCAAAAATATTTTTCAAAGAGTGTTCACGGTTTTCTGAGCTTCATAATAAATAATCTATACAGAATAGTGTTCAATATAATGGTGGAGACTGTGTTGCTTAATCATCTCTATTGGTGTCTAGCTCACTTCAGGATTGAGTTTTTGACAATGGTCAAATCAACCAAGCTTGTTTTATTCAAAAAGAGAGGTGTGTAAAGAAATGTGTGGATATTTACTCTAGAAGTTTCAGTCCTGCATGCATGCAAGAATATTCAATTCAATTAACATTACATTGTTCAAAATCATACTTCCTGTTGACAGTTTAAAGTCTTAAGTTCCATTCCTTTCAGGCCTTTGATAGAACTAGGAAACATGTTACTTACAATATGTGTTATAAATGTAAAAATGTGAATATGGTCTTGCTAAACCTTGCAGTTAAACAGTTCTTTGTAAGTGGAGTTTCCCACTGGTAAGTCACTTGAGACAAGTGTTGAAATTTTCAACCAAAAAAAAAAGTCAATAAAATTTTATTCTCAAGTTTTTGTGGAAGTTCTCCTTCGAAAGCCTAAATATGTACTAATAGGAGAAGTATATCCCAGAAACCAGGTAACTTGTATCACCAGTATTCTAAAGAATACCTAATAACTTTGTTTGCATTCTGGGACTCTTCAGAGTGACCAACTCTTCTTAAATTGTCTTCAAACATACTTAAGTTTCAACTACACAGGTGCAATTACACCCAAAAAAAAACTCAGTAACATAGCTGCACATGCAAACCACTAAGTGCAATTCACAAACAGCTACTGGTCTGATTATTGCCAACAAAAGCATAATCATTTAAGTCAAGAATACCTTCATCTATAGCTCCCAATGGTTAAAAAAGATTGCCAAAAGATAAACAGAAGAGGAGTAAGACTTCACAGTTGGTGGCTTAATTTCCATGGATGTTTCAAAATCACAGCATCAACAGAGAAGTCCAGTTTTTAGAACATTTGAAAACAATTTTCAAAAGGTTAAGTTACTCTTGAGAGCTCAAAATGAATAAGTGGTAAGTATCATAAATTCCTATATTCAATTTTTATAAGGTTTAGATAAATAAATTATTTTCTGGGCTTTTTAACCAACTGCAGGAGGTTAAAACCTACTGACAATAAGTGGCAATAGTCTTGGCACACACCATGACTTTCTTACTTTATTTTCTTTTAACACCTTCCATACAACTTCCCCTCTCCCCCAATTCAATTTCACCCAGTTTTAACAAAATGGTCACTAAAGGCTGTCAACCACCTACTAAGGGGAGGCATGCCAACTACTTTTGCTGCTCATTCATTTGCCACTCGATTCTTTAGTTTATCAGGTCTCCAAGATTCAAACAGATTCTCTTCATTGCTCTCCAGTTCATCGTAAACAGTTGATATAATTCTTTCAACTTTTGTTCGTTTTACATGTCGCTGTAACTTCTCACCATAGTAACCCAAGCCTCTCTTACACTTTGGTAATTGTCCTTCAGCAAAAACAGGTTCTGTGATTCCTTTCTGAGATGAACCAAGACATCCACCTTCTTTCCAGCCTTGCTTTCTCATCATTTGGCCTCCAAATCCTTTAGTGTGTTTCTCAAACCCTCCTATTTGATTTAAGTCAATATCATTTCCCTTCCTCCATTGCTTTTCTATACGCATCTGAAGAAGGTCTCTGGAATCTTTGTCACCTCCACCTGCAAGCAAAATAATATTTTTTTTTTCCATGAGCTGTATAGTCGCCTTTGCAACTTGAAAAAGTTTGGCTAAATCTCTTTAGATCATTCTTTCTTAGCCTAAAGCAGGCTGTCATTGTTTGCACTGACACAAGTGTTTCTTACCAGCAAGAAAGTTAGTGCCTTTTGAATTCAGCCGAGAAAAGATCTGCTAAGAGTCAAGCACTAAAAATGGCACACTCCTAACAAATGTCCCCCTGACTGCAGGTGGAAAAACAAGTGTCCTAGAGTACGAAAAATGAGTGCCTGCTCGCAGGCTAATTCTTTCATATTGATGTTTATCTTCTCCGTTCTTAGCCAACATCGATCCCTTTTGATTGAATTTCAACCATTGCATTTGCTTTCTCAATGAAAAAATAATTCTTGCTTAAAGATCTCCTTTCAATCAACAACAATATCCCAAAATCCAACATTGAGTAAAGCAATGCAACTTCTTTAATGTGAGAAAACAAAACTTTTTGCAATAAAAATTCAACATGGTTTCAAGTTGGCAAGCATTAGAGACTGAAAAACATTGAACTTATTCCAGATATAATTATAGTGTAGCAGCATTCAAGTACATCTTCTACATGGCTATTCTTTCCTCTATAAGTCTTACAAATAGTGACATCTAAAGAGACACAAAATTATACCAAAGCATATTAATAGTAATACTTGCAGTATTCCCAGTAAATACTGCATGCTTAAGAAGTCAATGTTTATTAATATTATTTTTTTTTCCTAGCCATTAACTTCCTACTAACACTTTTTAGGGGGAAAATTGTAATGACATTCGTACCTGGATTTTCATAAATTTCCATATCCACATCCCAATCATCTGCAGTTTCCTCATCAAAGTCTGCTTCTTCATGTTGTTTCCAAAATGCTGCATCAGTGTAAAAGACAAGCCCACTACCACCTTTCTCCCACTTAAGTTCAATATCCTCTTCAAATAATCTCTCTTTTGTGCGTTCCTGACTTGTGACATCATTGTGCAATGATTCATGTCTCTCCCATTCCTCTTCATCGCTCTCACCATTACCACCACTGGCATAAACCACATCATTATCTTCTCTCTCAGAAACATTTTCATCATTATCCTGTTTGGAACTTTGAGTTTCTGGTCTATCAGTAGTTAACAAAGAACTCTCCCTCAGTAAATCACTTTGTTTTGCATTCATTCCCAAGTGGTGGTCTCTGTCATTTGGTGCTGATTTCAAAAGAACCCTTCCTTTTTCCAGGCTTGTGTAATCCAGTGGAACATTGCTGTACTTCTTTTTGGACTTTCCAATAGAAAAATTAAGATCTAGTTTTTTGATCACATGAGGAGGTAGCTTGCAAGTTCTTATCAATTCCCTAAATATAGACAAGGATGTTCCAACATTTCCATTGGGCATCAAAGCAGGAGGGTGAAGCTCTATCATTTCTCTAAGGTCATGTTGTGAAAACTCCAAGTTTGTCCTTGGAGAAAGATTTTGTTTTTTTTCTTGTTTTGTTCTATAAAGGTCTTCTGAAGAACCTAAGAAAAAGAAGGGAAATTTGTAACACATGAGCTAAAGTGTTCTGTATAAGTTGAGAAATAATACTTATTTTATTTAATGATAGGCTAGAAAAGTTTAAGGAGGGAGAGGATCTTAATTAAATTCACAGATTTTTTGAAGCATAACATTTTCATGGCTAAATATTTGACATTGTATTAATAGTGAAATTTCAAGTATCACACAACACACATCTCTCCCCAATGAACCTCATTCTTTGGGAAATTTAGCAACTACTCTATTTCATCTGGCAGACAAAAACCATTCAATTTTTTTTATTTTCTGATTTCTTTGCACAGAAAAGACTGAAGCAAGCTCTCACTTTGAAGATGCAAACCATGACTGTGCTATAGTGTGCATATTTATCTATTTAAATTGTTAAGCGCAACAAATTTTAATAAAGGTTGGAATAAAGAGGTCTGAGTTTACAAGACACCCAGGGCTCTGAGTTTTTCAGGGGTCAGGGACCTGAGTTTTTGTGACACTCTTAATGATGAGCCAAAATGTCTACCTATGAGCTCTAACAAAAAGGTTACATTAACCTATCTCTCAATCTAATTAAGTTAAGGGTGACATCAACACCAACCTTCTCCTTCTTTAACTCTGATTTTTGATATAAATGCCTTAGAAGGGAAATATTTTCCATGTCGGTCAACCCAGTTCTTGCCATGATAACAATTGATTAGGTCTTGAAGATTTGTCTTTAGGATAAATATGACACAGCACGTGGTCGAGGACGTCTTAATTTCTTTATCTTCGCCACTCGATCCCGCCTCATGTCTGAACTCAGGACGATGACGGAAATGGAAACACTTAAAACCCTTTGATTCATCGTTGATGAAGTTAGAGAACATTGCTCGCAAATCAGAAGAGTGAAATTCTTTTGGAATGTTACCCACAATTGCATAGCAGTCCTCCTCTTCTTTTTCAGTTACATTTTTCCCGCTTAAGTCTTCCATAGTTAGAAATTTATCGACAAGACGAAACATAAGGTTCGTTTATGCGCACCGCCATCTTGTTTACAGTTACCGAAAGGGGTTATGGGTATTTATCTGTTGGTAGCCAGGCCTGCCCTTAGTTACAGAGGGTAAATAATTATCTAATTCGCATTGAAGACAGCTACAAAATGCCGATCACTAAACATCCGAAGAAAAGTGAACCGTTGTGGAAGGAATGGGATTATAAGGCACAGAAGAAGGGTGTTCATCATACGGTGTATTCCGTGAACGGCGATCGGTACACTGGTGACTGGGACAAAAATCAAAAGAATGGTAAGTGGCTATGGAATCGAAGTCTACCCTTGCATCTTACAAATTTGCTCGTGCAGAAAGCATTCGTATTCGATAGCTTGATATTTACCTTTTCAACATTACACTCAGTAACTGGCTGAGGGAAAAGGCATATGAGCTCGAATTATATGATGTTTTACAACATTCTTACATTGTAGTTTTCGAATGTTTAGCCCAGTTGAAGTCCCAAACATCCTGACCCACATTTGCATTACAGTTTAGTACAACAGTTTACAGCTATTTATAGGTTTGAAAAACAAAATAAAGTAATCACTGCATGCAGTTAGCCACAGGTAGTCGAGGCGAGCAGTGGTTTGACGTATAACAGAATATCTAGCAATAATACAGCAATACAAAATGAAAGGTGCATTTCAGTAGCAGACAAGTATCTTAGCTGCATAATGTAAAAGGTCTTATTAACAGAACAATAAATCATTTCCATCGATTATAACAGATAAGTGAGGAAGAAAAACATGTATGTGACCAACTATACACCTTTAGAAGAGAAGCAGCTAAAAAAAATTTGAATAAAAAAAGAGGAAAGTATTACTTTAAAATTCATTTCATATATTTCATATTCAAATGAGAGATATTTGGCAAATATGGAGAGATCTACTCCTTCAGATTATGTTGGCAATCACAGCATACAATGTTTTTATTTCAAAAGGAAAGGGAACTATGACATGGAAGAAGTCAGGTGCTATTTATGACGGAGACTGGAAGGATGATCATCGTTGTGGATTTGGTACATACAGTGTTCCTGAAGGAGGAGGATACAGGAAAGTTTACTCCGGTGGATGGAAAAATGATAAGAGACATGTATGTATCCATGGCATTTATAGAAATGTTCAGTTACTCTCAGCTACAATTTTGATAGAGTTTCTAAGAAAACAATGAAAAATCTAATTTTTATTCAAGTATTTTACAGTAGGTTTTGGCATCCCTATTCCCTAGAAAGGTCATATGGGAAAAAGGTAATGGTCTGGTGTTGAAAATGGCAGTGCAAGAGCTTACATATAAAGGGCTTTTTTTCTTTTGGCAGGGGGGAAGGGGAGTGTAATCAAAGTAATAAAAAATGAAAGTATGTTAGTAGACCAAGGTTCGACATGATAGGAATACCTACTTCCCCAAGAAGGGTGACACAGTTTGGTAACTTTGCTGTGGGAATTTTACTTGTTTGTTTGTTTTTTTTTTTTATTGTTTTGATTACCGCCTGTAGATTGCAAAGTGCAGAAATCTTGCTACTTTTAGTAACATGTGAATATTAGTATTGCTGTTATAGTAAAAAGGGTGCTATTGGAGTTTCTTAACTGATGTAAAAAATACTGGTAAATTGTGTTTTTTTTTCTTTTTTCTGTATATAACTGATGTGTCTGTTCATAATAAATTTTTTGTTGTTTATTTTGCAGGGCTATGGAACAAATTTCTACTCATATAATGAATACTTCGAAGGAGAGTGGTATGCTGATAAACGAAGTGGGTGGGGAAGAATGTACTTTTCTGATGGTTCAGTTTATGAAGGAGAGTGGTACAACAACATGAGAAATGGTGAAGGAATGCTCAGACTAGGTAAGCTTGTTATTCATTGGTGCCTTGTAACAGGTGAACCCGCATGATCATTTTTCTTATTTTTTGTGATTGGACTGTAGGTCATCAATTTACTATGATATATCAGTTTAAATTTTTGTCATGGTTTGAATGGAAATTTAAGCTGGTTTTCCATTTCTGGTTTTTCCATTTCTATGGAAGTCTACTGGTCATTATCTCTTTGCTTGTTCCTTTCACCCCCTGGAGTGATCAACAAGGAATTTTTACACAATATCTTTACATTTTTGAGCAGAAAGGCAAAAGGCAGTCAGAGAAAGATCAATAAAGAGATATTTCTTAATTTAACATCAAATTCTCAGAACTAGAATCCTATGCAACATAAGGGGCACCGTACAGAGAACTTATTTTTAGATTTTAGGAGTGAAAGGGTTAACAAAAGTGGCTGCTACTGATCTGAAGAAGAGCATCGCAGCTACCTGGACTCTGAATTTATTCTTGTGTCACATTAAGTAAGTTATGGCACTTGCTGCTTGTTCAACAGCAAATGAAAATCGATATGAAGGTCAATGGAAAGATGACAAAAAACATGGCAAGGGAAAATTCTTCTATCTTGATCGAGGGCAGATGTACACTGGGGTATGGTGTGACGACATTCCAAAATGTGGCACTGTGGAAGATTTTGGTCGACATGAGGCTCCAAACCCAACAACATACCCATTACCTGAGGTTTGTGTCTTATTCGTAAAAGTAAATAGTGTTGAAACATAATGTACAATGTAAGGCTCTTTCCACAAAAGGGATGCCAACATGATTTATCTTTGAATACTGTTAAGATTTGAATCTTGCATTTGAATGCTCAACCAACTGACCATCTGAGAAATCGTTGTTGAGCCAGGCCATGTAGGTTCTTTCAGAGCTCTCAAGTCTCACACATTGAGTGTGAGACTCACGCAAACAAATTCAATCTTATGCTCTTAGGCTGAAATTGTTTTTACTCATGCATTTAAGGTTTCTGATTTAAACTATTGATTTTTGAGATAGTAAACTGCTGCTTAACAGTTAGATACCTAACAAATAACTGTATTAATTTTAAATATGATGTAATCATTGTTCCCTTTGTACTGGCTTCAAACACTTTCCAGCAGCTGAAACTCTTGCTTAGAGCAAAGGAATGCATGTCTTAGCTACTCCATTTTGTCACAATTTTCCAAGGGAGTATGCCTCCATTCTCCCTCTGGAGGGTGATGCCCACACTGTCACAATCAAATGCTAGGAAGTCAAGAATCTTACTCTTTGCCAGCAAAATCAACTTAAAAGCTCTGTTCATGATATACAAAAAAAGTTTGTGTGCTGTCAAGATCAGCAATGTCAAAGGTGTCCAGTGAGAATAAAAAGTCTATCATAAACAAAGTACAACAACATAAATTTGGACTTAAACTTACTGAGCACCCTTAAACATCAGTATGCATATTCTCCAAACTGTTCTCTACATGTTACCTAAGGTGCTGACAAGGAGAATTTGTTTAACAATAAAGAGAAAGAAAGAACTTCTTCAGTTGATGATCATTTCCTTTACTCTCATGACCTTAATGTTTGATTCAGGGGTGATATTGTAAGGAGAAATTAGATGCCAGTTACACCTAGGGGTTAAAGGGTTAAACTATTTTCACGAGTGTGAGAAAAATATGAAGTCCTGAATAAAAAGTTTTTTGCATAATTTTTCTTTTTTTTTTTCACATACAGTGCAAACTGCAAGACACAAGAGGAGTAATAAAAGAGGCAGAAGATACATTTCTTGATGAACAACAATCTTAGTAGATTTATTATCATTTTATTGAGTTGTCCCTATATTTTTGCACCGTACATAACAACAAAAGCCAGAGGTGTAGGAATTTTGTAACAGATAAAACCTGATATATGAATATGTGTCCTTAAAAGAAGAAAATCAGCATAGCTAAATATCCATACCAAAATTTTAGCTTAGACTAAAATTTTTTAACTAATCATGAAGAAATACTAGAACATGGAAATACTCAGGGTAGGATTGAGTGCAAGTTTTTCAAAAACACCTGTCTAGTGTATAGATTTGTACCGTAGAAATCAACCAATTGCAATCTGGAGAATCTTCTGGATTCATTTTAAAAGACTTGCCTAATGTCTTTCAAGAATCAACTTGATCAATTTTCTCACCAAGAAAATCCCTCTGCTTTATGCAGATTACAGTAATGTTTACAAATGTTAGCAGATTGTTTACTCCGGTTTAGATTTGTTTCTGTAATGTACAATGCATCTGCATCATGTAAATAAATATAACCTAAGATAACTTAATAAATTTTGTACAGCAACCTACTTGATACTCCAGTAATCATTACCAATTCATTAAAGTATTCTGTTGATGCTGGTTCTGAATACAGTAAAAATAAATAATACCAATTCCTTTGTAAGATGTAAAATTTTAGTCAAAAGAAGGAGAAATACAGCTAAACAGAATAGACAGGACCTCAATTCCCAACCTGTCTCAATCAATTTTTTATCATACAAATACTGTCAATGTCCATGCCTATACCACTTTGATTCAATAGGCTGAAGTTAAATTATCACCTCACTGATGGAAACAAATAAACCAAATCATGGTAAATTTGAAAAATCAGCAGCAGAAGTACTAGCCATAGTAAACAACTACAAAAAGCCTTCCCCTGATTTGGAAAATTTCTTAAGAATGAAATCACATAATTATGGTTATTCTTAAACAATGTTACATAATGTTTAAGAATTTTTCAGAGTTCTTTGCTCAGTATCAAAGGAATTTTGCATCACCATGCTTAAGTGTTAAATGGAAGCCCCTTTGTCTAAAATAAAAATCATTGTTGCATTTTACAATTATTTATAACTATTCCACATTTAACTTTATACAAAGAAAAGTACCCCACAGAAAAGTCAGAGCAAATGAGATCACAATGCACTTATGACCAACAATGATGACACACTGATAATACTGGTGGTAGTTTAACCCTTTAACTCCCAAGATCTAATTGCTAGTTCTCCCCTCTACCTGCTACACATTTCCTTGTAATCTTTTGTGGGTTTTTGACAATAGACCATGATGACAACTTCTTCTTGATAAGTCTAAATTTACTAGGAACATAGAAGCAGCAAAGGGGAGGATTGCAAGTTAGATTTTGGGAGGTGCAGTAAGAACCAGGAGCATGGCAATAAAAAGCATAATGCACTGGGTGTGTGCCGTTAAAACTATCTCAAACCCTGTGATTAGGAAATGGACTGGCAGCTGGTGAGCTTGGTGCTGTCCCTGTATCTGTGTGTAGTTGGTTTGCAATCTGTTGAAGTTCTTCAATTCCCTGAAATGATCTTTCATACTTGTGTTGGACAAGAGATCGGTAAAAGTGCACAGCAAACCATACAAACACAATGCATACAGGTACTAATACCACAGAAGCAGCCACTGCCGCAGGCTTACTGTAATTGTAAAACTTCACCCAACAGAGTATAGCAATCTCAGCTAAAAAGAGAAGTGTTCCAAGACCAGTTGAGAAAATCCATGCAATTTCAATGTGAGTGTGAAGTTTTTCATGAGGAGAATCACGTACAACTTGGGTGCCTTGTTGGTGAATATTTGCCACGCCATCAATGTTTGGCAAAATACAGACAGATATCATAAGTGCAAAGACATGAACTGAGATCAGAATGGTAGTCATTACACTGAATGCTATCAAAAGTCCTTCTGGTATACCTGGTTCTAACTGAATTTCCACCATGGCTACCTAGAAATGAAACAGGGAAAAGGTCCTTCACTGAAGGGTTCTGTGCAATTAATGGAAGGATAGTACAGCAACAATAGTAAACAGATGCATTTTGAGATAATAAATTAAGTTTTGCATGTACATGCAGATACTCTGCCTTATGGTCAAAACCCTTTCCTCTTTCAATTCCTTTTTCCTGAAAAGGTGCAGCATTAAACACCGAAAGAAAATGCAACTGCTACAATACACCTTCCTTTAAGTAAATCTCCATGAAAAGTCTAGTCATAAAGCACAGCAGTTACATTTTCTCACTGATATGCGGTCGTTCTGCCCAAGAACTTTCCACCCAAACTTTGAAGTCATTTCCCCCAATGTATATGTCATCCTATCTATGCATTGTGTAGAGTTCTTTAACATGGTATCTTAAATAAAACTAATGTTTTATGAGTTTTTGTAATAAAACACAACATGAATGGTTTAATATTTTTGCTGAGTTGTATACTGACATTCCGCAGAAGTTCTGCAGAAGTTAAATATTCCAGCAGTTGAATGAGCTGTTGTTTTGATAGCATGGTCAACAAATATCTACAAACATTACTAAAAGAAATCAAAAGAATGGAATAACAACATAATCTTTGTAATTTGCAATTTGTTTGTTTGCCAGGCTGATCGACTTTCATTCTCAGGCAGATTGACTTCAAGCGGATTGTCTTTCAGGCGGAACAACTGCAATTCTTCTCACCACTTTCTCTTCAAGGGCACCAGATGACCATTACACATGATAGAATATGGAAAATGAACTCCCTTCTCCCCTCTCTATATCTGACCTAAAAAATATTGTATCTCCATCGGACAGAGTATCCCTTCATGTAGCTCAAGATGAGTTGCGTCCCCTATCCAGGCTCCATTTAAGCAAGAGACAGCACCTTCTGTCAGTTAACCAGCATGATGGTCCATGCAGGCCATGCAGGATGTTGTAAGAGGACAAGAAAAGTTCGTAAATCACTCGCCCCCAGCTCGTGATTTACAAACTTCCCGAGTATTCTTCCACCATCCCAAGTGGATTATTACACCAGTAAATAACCGAAAGTACAGTCTACTGCTTTTAAAAAAATAAACTTACATTTTTTTATGGGTTTACAGGTGCTGGGTGATAATTGTATCTCAGTTATATTTTAAAGCTGAATGTTCAACTTCCACATGACGCAAAGATCATGCAAAGATCTTATAACTTGTCCAAATACAATTAACCTATCCGCAACGGATGAAAACGAAAAAACGCTGTGCAAATGTGGAAAAGATAAAATTCTCAAAACAACAAAGACTCGCTTTTAACAATCAGAATTAACATGTAAGAGTAATTTAAATTCATAACAAAACGCATTTGTAAACAAAAAAATTCCATAAAAAAGCAGTATAATTAGAGATCCACACGCTAATTTTTCTCTGTTAAACATCACAAAATTTGAATAAAGTCGTATTCTGTTTCCTAAAGTTAGAAAATTTGAAACATTAAAACACTTACCATGGCAAAACCGGACATCAAAGCCGATGTGCGACTTGATGCTTTCAGTTTTCCACGGGTGAGAAAGAGTCTTTTCACCGTTAATTTTTGAACACACTCTTCTTCTGCGTGCTTCATATTAGTTTTATCTCATTTGTGAAGACCACCTGGATGTCTTTCTCCGTTTAAGGGCAACTTTTATACAGTACAAACACTAAGTTTTTCCTAAACTGACATGGCAGTAATTTATTATATTTTGGAGTAATACCCGCTGACCAATGGACATGAATGTTTCTCGTTAGGAGGTGATTGCGTGACAGGTGTTGTCACGCCTTCTAATACTATGGACGTTTCAAACACACAAAAAAAAGTGAAGACATCATTCATTTTTCAAAGGTGTCGAAAACAAATACACGCAATCAGACATCTTCTTTGAAAAACTCTTTTATTCATAAAACATAGGACATGCTGCTCTGAAAGACCAGCACTACTATCATTTGAAAATTTCGTGTGGAATGCCGCTAATATTAAAAGAAACGAGAAAAGTTCCAATCAACGTGATGTGCTTTCTTGACCGGAAATCGGTTGAAGAGTAACTGCAGCCTGAAAAATAATTTGGGCTTTGACGGGGCTTGCACCTGCTCTCGAGTCTGAAAACCAAATCATCATAGGCGAAACTTAAAATGTCATTATTTTGATTTCAGCCCAGAAGTCAATAAGTTAAATTTAGGCCGTCCAGTGTTCACATGAGTTGATACTAAACTTACAGGTCATTTAACTTAATCATGATTACGTGCAAAAGCTAACATCATTGCAGGCATAAACAAGAATATTTGCCTAAGAGAGATGCTGAAAAAACGGAAGAGATGTTTTTGACCTGTTACAGTGCAGGTGACAGAACCGCCATTCATGTCGTAGGAAAGTGACGACAGAATGACCAACCCTTCAGCTTTATAGGATTTTCCACTCAGATGTGACCTGTATAGTATTGACCACCCGGGTAAAAGCAGGAATGACGACATGCATTACTGTCAAAATACAGTCATATCGATATTCAGCTCTATATATTATCTAACTCTGATGCAGGGAAAATTCGGACATATCTAGATATACTGGATAGTCATTGGGCTTCGAACTGAAGTTGGTTAGACTTAGATTTAACTCTTAGATTTAAATATTCCAATTTGACTGATTGCTCATCAACTCGGCGAAACAGGAAATGAAAGACGCTGATTTCGAACGTTCTGTAAGCGCCAATGTTTTTACGTTTTACCATGGCACTCTTTGGGAAATGACACAATAATTCAATCACTGCAGCAACACAAGTTCTCAAACCCAAATTTGTAGCCCATTAAACTGCGTTTTCTCAGGATTGTTCAGCCCCTCTTCCATGATTGATGGAATAGGCGAAGCAATCAAAGAGGCTAAATTTATTTGTAACAACATCATCGTAAACGTTACGGTGCTAACCGCTAAATTTAAACAATGGTAATTGAACTGAGTGGAATACAATTTGGGCTGAAATGATACGCGTGATTTCAAAATCGAACAAGCGCGCAGCGCGAGTTCGATTTGAAAACACAAGTATGATTTCAGACCAAAATTGCACGACACGAGATTCAATTACCACTTTAACACATCCCTTTTGAAATCGCCCAAATACAGGACTTGGTCGGTTCAAATACTTCATTGATGCAGTACTAAGCCGGTTTGAAATTAAATTCATCCATTTTTTTTTTTTTTTTTTTTTTTTTTTTTGGGGGGGGGGGAAGTAACAGTTTTGGAAACCAAAGTTGCAAAATTTGCCACACGATACTCTTTGTCTTTTATTTTCCTGCAATTTTATGGGTTACTTTAAACAAACCTTGAAATTTGATTGGTTGTTTGGTTTTTAGTATAGCCTCCTCATTGGCTGGGAAAAAGATGCGATTTAAAGTAAAAAATGGTGCGATTCGTGAATAAATCGCGTCCAGTTTCATATGAATCGATTCTGAACTTACAGGTCACCTACCTTTATCATGATTGCGTGCAATAGCTAACATCCTTGCAGGCATGAAGAAGATGCTGAAACAACGAAAGAGATGTTTTTGACCTGTTAGAGTGCAGCTGACAGAACCACTATCCATGTCGTAGAAAAGCGACGAAAGAGTGACCAACCCTTCAGCTTTATATGATTTTCCGCTCAGAATGTGACCCGTATCAGTAACAGGCTTTTACCCCCGCTCGGGTTAAAACAGGAATGACGATATGCATTACTAGTAAAACACAATCAGATCGATTTTCAGCTGTGTATATTATCTAACTCTGACGCGGGGAAATCCAGACATGTCTACATATATCGGATACCCTTTGGGCTTCGAACTAAAGTCGGTTTGACAAAACTTTAAGTCATAGATTTAAATATTCCAACTCCGCGATACAGGAACTGAAAGGCGCTGATTTCGAACGTTTTTCAAGCCCTAACAATATGTTTTGACAGTTTACTTTTGCACTCAGCCTTGGGAAATGACACACACTAATCCAATCACTGCAGAAACACAAGATCTCTAACCCAAATTTTTAATCCATTAAACTTCGTTTTCTCTGGATTGTTCAGCCCCGCCTTTCGTGATAGATGAAACATATACGAAGCAATTAAAGAGGCCAAATTTATTTGTAACAACGTCATAAACGTTATTAAAAAAAAACTGCATTTGTTTCACATGCGCGAACTTGATCATCCCATCATAACTACAATCAGGTCTGAGAAATGACAATTAGTCATTTAGGTGAAAGGATTGTGTACATAAAAACTTCCTTTTAGACTTTTGCTGGTGACTAAGCAATCATTGTAATTCAAAAATTACAAAAGTAGTAGATATAAAACATGCTAGAATAAAAACAACAAGTGCCCTCAATAAATTTATATTACACTAATCATATCTAAGTATTGTAAAAGAAATTCAAATCTAATTAAGCACAAATTATTTAAAACAAGGTCTGATACCTGGGAACAACGTTCTCCGGCAATTTGCAATCTTGGTATTATGGAAAGAAGTTTTTGAGTTAGTTTATCCGAAACTCATAGAGTTTCATTCAAATACAAGAAAATTCAATAGCACTGCATACGATGCCTACGAGCAGCGAGAAAATTTTTCAGTAGTCTTTGATTCACTACCTGACTTTTTCAATTTTTTCTTTTTTTTCTATTCACGTTACTGAAAATTAAAAATATGATGGAATTCTTATTTGTTGACTTAAACTCTCCTAAGTAGAGAGACAATTCCGCGCTACCTTTGATTAAATCTCAAAAGCCTATTACCAGAAACGACTAACACAACAACAAAATCAGAAAAAATCCATTCCCTAACCACTACCTTCTATCTTGGAGTTCAACAGTCAGTCTCAAAGTGTACATAATGAATCACCAAATCGAGTCTTGTAAACATCCTTTTACAAATTATCAACTGAATTCTTTTTCAGAAAAAAAAGCTAATATAGTTAACAAACCTTTATGATATTAATAACGGAGCTCGCAGAGCGTAGCCCCATAATTACGCAAAATAGTAGTAACCCATCAAGCCGAAAAAATTTGGATGTACGACCGTACGACTGTACAAGGCGCTACTTTTAGCATGCGCGGCCAACTGTACCACGGGCACTATCTTATAATCAGTCCTCTACACAGACACGGAGAAGTCGCGAATGAAAATCCATTAATACTACCATGCACTTTATCCTTAGTAAGGGCTTTAGTTTTGTTAAGAGACGTGCGGGGAAAAAAAATGCGAGCTCCGCTTTTAGGCTTGCCTAAATCTATATATTACTCAACTCGCTGGATACAGAGCTATGTCCATTGAATAAAGTGGGTAAGTTTATAAAGAACCTGTGGTGTTGCGTTGGTGGGAGAGTATAACAGTTAATTTAGTGTTTACATCTGAGTTGAAAACGTAAATTGACTGCCGTAAGGAGTTAAAAGGCTGACGTTTCGAGCGTTAGCCCTTCGTCAGGGCGATCGCTCTGACGAAGGGCTATGTTTACCTGCTATGTCCATTGAAACTCGTTTGCGCGAGTAATCTTCTTGGCTGCAATTGGAGGGCACGTTGTAAAACGTAACATTGTTAAAAAATTCAAGTTTCAAACTACAAATGTAACAAGAAGATTTCACATGAAGTCAGTAAAATGTTTAAAGAATGTGAACAATTAATCATGGATATTACTATTATAACACTTCATAACATACGGCTACTCAAATATCTGCACCCGATGATTGTAAAATTCAGTAACAACTATCCTACCATCACTGAGGACTGCTGAAGAAAGTGGTCTAGAAAATCGTCCTATCTCTTTTCCTTTTGAGCCAAATTTTCCAATAAAATTTCCGTTTACCTCAAACAGCTGAATTCTATGATTGTTTTCATCACAGACCATCAGGTGCTCAGCTTTGTTAATTGACAAATGATAAGGTCCATTGAACTCTCCGTCCCCTGTTCCACGCTTTCCAAATTTGTACAGAAAATGTCCGGCTTTGTCAAAAACTTTGATACAGTCTTCCTTAAAGTCTGATGCTATAAGATATTCCTTATACTGGATACAGTAAAAGGGAAAGGTGAAAGAACCCTCAGAGCCTATACTACGGAGAAACTGGCCGGTACGGGAAAATAACTTAATTTTATTATTTCCGCTATCACCCACAATGCAATTTCCGTCACTATCGATGGATAACCCGTAAGGAAAGCTGAGTTGGTGATCAAGATTTCCCTCTACACCAAATTTGTTCAGAAACTCCCCCTGCTCACTGAAAAGTTGAATTCGGTGATTAGCTGTATCTGCTATGAAGATGATTCCGCTTTCATTATCGATTGCAATCCCTTTAGGCGAGTTAAACTCTCCCTCTTTATTCCCCTTAGACCCAAATGATCCTAAGTAAGTTCCATCACTACTGAATACCTGGACCCTGTTGTTACAACTGTCAGTGATTACAATTTCATCGCGTTCGTTCACTGCTGCTGCCCAGGGATATGTAAAATCTTCCTTGGCCGAACCATGTTTTCCGAAGGATAACACGGCTCTGAACTGTCTGGGTTTTACTTCAGCAGCAAAGGGACTGTTACGAATGTGCTCTCCATTGACCTTCACAGACACACCGTATTTTCCGGTTTCTTTCGCAAAATAGCTGATCTTGTAGCTACCATCTTTGTTATCCTGGACTCGTGTCTCCGTTGCACAGTCATGGCCATCCTGATTTTTTATCTCAACTGTTACATAGTCACGCTTTTCATAACACTGTTCCTCTTTAGCATTTCTTGTTGTCAACATTATGTTAGCTTCTAGTCCAGTGGTCGGTTCACTGATTCCTTCTCCGGAGGCGCTCGACTTAGTTGGACAAGTAGGAAGAACTTTCACAAAGCCAATTCTGTCAGTCCATGCATGATCAAACAATCTTTGATTTCTAACAAATTCAAAATCTGCAATGCTTTCATTGCCAATGGGAGGATAGGCTGACTCAACTTGACCCTGAAATGTTACTTCTCGAATTTTGTTTGACTGCATGATTTCAGCGCTAATATTCCGTTGCAGAATTGCCTCAGTAGCTTCGATGCCTGTTTCAGTTATTTTCACTTGGTTTTCAATCTCACCTCTTTGTATCCTCAGGCGATGTATGGACTTTGCAGCTCTGTTGTCTAAGTCATCAAAGGTTTCTTGCTTTTGTGCCTCGATAACAGCCATCAGGCTGTCAACAAACTGTTGCACGCTTTTCTTTACACTGGCGACATGTTCTTGAATTTTGGCGCAGTCCGAGTCAAGTCGAGCAATTTCTCGCCTATACTCCAATGCTGTTTTCTTCTGATTCTCGATCAGAGACTTCGCAAGTAATTTTCGATCATTTGCAGCTTCTTCCAAAAGCATCTTGGCGTGACCGTCATGAGTAGTGGCAACACACGAATGGCAAATTGCAACACAGCAATCTTTGCAGAAAAACTCTAATTCCTTACCCTCGTGGCCACGGCTGCGACAAAATACCGGTCGCTTCAAAACATTCTCAAAATCTTGGTCTTTAAAGTCTTTGAGCGCTAATACACGGTGTTCCTTATTCGCTTTTATTCCATTGTGATGAATGATGCAGTTAGCCTCGCACCAGAATGCACAACATTGGAAGCAGTAAAAGCTTTGGGAGCTGCTCTCTTCGCAATTTCCACACCTGACTTCAGTAGCATTGCACTCTTTGATGACCAACACGTCAAGGAGACTGTTGATGCGAAAGTTGGTTGGAAGATCCTCAAGATTTCCACTTCTAGGAACTTGAATCTCTTTCCGACATTCAGGGCATGCGATGATATCGTGGCGGCCACTCGTTCTAAGAATCCCGTTCAAACAATGCAGGCAAAAGACATGTAAACACGGCAGCGTTTTCGGATCAGTGAATGTGTTCATACACACAGAACAGGAGACCTCTTCATGAAGATTGTTTAGTAAGGTTTTGATATCCATGGCAAGATTCGGAGATAGGGAAAAATTACGGCAGAGAGAAAAGTTAAAAGCGAAACCACTTCAAGCCACCTCAAGCGGAAGAGAATCTTAAAATCACTCATAAAATCTGACCAATGAGGTAGCGTTATTGGGCATGTTTTGACGTACTTCTGACTTCTTAGGGCCTTAGTGACAGGATCAGTATTTCCTACACAGGAAAAAAAACATTGATGACTGTCTCCTTAAATTACTAATCGTGTGCGGTTCGCCATACTTTCGTATCTAGACATCTTTTAAGGCACTGCGCCAGGTAATCAGCCGATTGTGGCCCGTAAACGGTCCGATGATGTTACAAGGAGGTAAGAGAGTGTAAACTGAAAGAAGGTAATAAGTTGCGATCAATGAGCAGTGATGAAAGGTATTAAGTAAACACTTCATGGAGTTTACGGTCGATGGAACCTGTGATAATAACCCGTGATAATAACCCATGTAATACATTTTTTGTTTCAGTTGTTTCATTGGAAGATCACTTCACGAGGTCTGATGGATATGTTCAGGTTTTCAATTCAATTGAGCAACGTCTATACAATTCTTTAGATTCTCTTAGATCAGAAAAGAGGCAAGAGGTGTGCAATACTAAGCTACGGCGAACCTGTGCGCAACTGATAAGTGCAGAGGCAAGACCGTAATTTATGGGCAGAAAGTTGCCTGAAAGGAAAGACTTTAAACGGTCTTGTTTACCTGGAGGTAAACAATAAGCAGATTTCTGTTCATCCTTAAAGGCGAGTGTAATCATGATTGGCCTCCAAAGGTATAGTACATGCAAGTTTTGTCGTTTCTCAGATGAATGAAAAAAGCAAAACAAACAAACATACACACAAACGCAAACCACGCGTCCCGAATTTGCTCCAATGAATAGCGAACGTTCAAAACACTAGAAACGGCGCAGGTGGCAGTAAAATACTTAATCGAGCACCATGCCGAAAAGAGCTCAACGCATAAGTTATGATTAGAAAGTTACCCAATGTTTGTCACGCAAGATCACCCTTCAGCCATATCAACAAGTGTTACTTTCGACCTAAACACAGATTGCGGCTGGAGCTTCATAGCACCCAGTGGTTAAACACGATAATTGAGCAGAAATCCGTCTTCCTTAAATTAGACTTAGCTGTTTTTCGTCCCCCCTTCCCTCACTTTTTGAGACAGTAGTGATCGTTTTGTTTGAGTGGATTTTTTTTTACTCCTTGTTACCCAAATCTAAATGGTTTCGGCTAAAGTACATTTGGGAACTTTCGAATTATCTCAGTCACGTTAAAAAAACTTAGGAAATGCCAGGTTGTAAAATTGGTTAGAATTAAGGCAAGATGAAATGAACGCAAAATACCTATCTTTACTACGTAATCACACGGTTATCTATACTCCGTTTAACCAAAAGCGATTACGCCTAAAATATCTACGTACTGAATTATGAAACAGTGCATATGAGCACTTTCCGAAACTTTTTACTAAAGTTGCAAAATCCTATGTTGTTTCCCGGCTATACAAAGACGACAAAGTCTTACTCTAAAGCTAAATAAAATAAGAGTGTCTGAAAGGAACCATTTGAAAAGTAAACTCCAAACGTGTCACGTCATGTCACGCACCGCAGCTTCCAGGTAAGCAGACGTACAACTCGTAGCAGATTTTTTAAGAAGAGTACGAATATCCCCATGTGGAGTCAGGTGCAACCATGATAGTATTGGTTCTTCGCAGAGAGAATGTTAATTGAAGAGAAAATCTTCAACATTTCGGTCTGTGCCAAATGGAGCCGGCAAGAAAGAATATAACGTTAGTGTTTATTCTAACCTTGAAGAGAGTTTATTTGCAAGTTTTCTGCGCGTGCCAAAAAGAGTGCTGCGAGATGTAGTGCTAGACTTAAAGCAAGTATTACGTTACATAATGTTAACAGGAAAAGGTCTTTACCTGCAAATTTTCTCTCCGTGCCGAATAGAGTACGAGAAAGAAGAAGACAGTAATAGTCATTCCAACTTACAAAGATGTTATCTGCAGAATTTCTGTGCGAGTACGAGAATTGAGGAAAGTTCCTTGAATTGACAAGTTCCTTCCTCGTTTTGAAAAGAATGTGCGCAGAGGATCACCAGCAAATAACTGATGGGGTTCTCGACACCTCTAAACAACTTGATTTAGTTCTATAAGTAAAACCAGGTTAATTGCTGGTGTGATGTTAAGTAATGAGTATTCTGAGTTCGTTAGTACGCAAATTAATCTAAACAAGACGTAATGGGAGCGAGAGAGGTATTTTTAGTTTGTAAATAATTGCCTAAATGATCACTTTCTCACCTTCTTCAAACTTTTATAAACTGTGGATATTATTTCTACGTTAGCTTTTCGTAACATTTGTATTATCTCTCCCTTAAAAGATTTTTCGTTTACCGCACAGAGCCATTTGCAATAAACATATAATATTTTCATTATAAGATCTCGCTGTCGTTATTGCTCTGTTGGAGCATTGTTTTTCTGATTTAAAACTATTGATTCTGAGATAACAAACTGCTGCTTGAAAGTAAGGTGCCTGAGAAATAACCAGTAGTTATCTTTGTAAATATGATGTAATCCTTGTTCCCTTTGTTCTGGCTTCAAACACTTTCCAGCAGCTGAAACTCTTGCTTAGAGCAAAGGCATGCATGTCTTAGCTACTCCATTTTTTCACAATTTTCCAAGGGAGTATTCCTCCATTCTCCCTCAGCAGGGTGATGCCCACATTGTCACAATCAAATGCTAAGCAGTCTAGAATCTTACTCTTTGTCAGCAAAATCACCTCGAGAGCTGTTCTTGATATGCAAAGAAATCTCCTGTATACTGTCAAGATCAGCGATGTCAAAGGTGTCCAGTGACAAGAAAGGGTTTATCATAAATAAATTACAAAAACAAAACTTTAGACTTAAACTTACTGAGCAACTCTTCACACCCTTAAACATCAGTATCCATATTCTCCACATTGTTCTCTACAGATTTCCTGAGGTAATGACCAGGAGAATTTGTTTAACAATAAAGAGAAAGAAAGAACTTCTTCAGTTGGTGATCATTCCCTTTATTCTCATGACCCTAATGTTTGATTCAGGGGTGACATTGTAAGGAGAGATCAGATGTTACATTTAGTTACTTTGAGGTGTCAAAGGGTTAAACTATTTTCATGAGTTTGGAAAAACATTAAGTCCTGAATAAAAGATCTTTTGCATCATTATAATACTTAGGTGTAAAATGGGAGCCCTTAGTCTAATAAAAAACTCATGGTTCCATTTTACAATTATTTAAACCTGTTCATATTAATACAAAAAAAGTACCCCACAGAAAAGACAGCAAAATAAGATCACAATGCACTTATGTCCAACAATGATGACACACTGATAATACTGGTGGCGGTTCAACCCTTTAAATCCCAAGATCTGATTGTTAATTCTCCCCTCCACCTGCTACACATTTCCTTGTAACTTTTTGTAGGTTTTTGATGTTAGATCAAGATAACAACTTCTTCCCGATAAGTTTGAGTATTCTCATTACCTGTTTGTTGTATAATGTGTGAATATTATAGGGTAAAGTTATATGTTAATCACTTGTGGGAGTTTCTATTGTTTTACATCAATTTGTAACTTATCCCTCTAAAAGTGTTATTTGCTGCGGTTCTAAGAAGAACAGCAAATTATTGTTTTCAAGGTTATAACTTTTTGACAGTTGTCATGTAGACATGGGAATAAAATGGAGGGATTTTACTAAGACAAAACACTCTAAGCTGACATCGCTGCTGGCATTGGTGCTTTCTTCTACAATACATTTCTTTTAATTTACACCAATTTTCTTTGCGTGCATTTCAGTTTGATTGTAGGTGGTGCGTAATGTATTTACAGTTTGTATTTATATACGTTAGTCAACCTCTCTCCCTCGAGGTATTATATCTCATCCCTTGACAGTTTCCATAGATTATCCAGAAAAAAGGTTACAAGAAAACAATCTTGGGGAAAAAAATTCTCTTAACAATTTACAAGGAACGGAGAAGCAGTAAAAAGGCAGGATTGCAAGTTGGATTTTGAGGGGTGCAGTAAGAACAAGGAGCATGCCAATAAAAAGCATAACACACTGGGTTTGTGCCATACAAACTACCTCAAACCCTGTGATAAGGACATGGACTGGCTGCTGGTGAGCTTAGTGCTGTCCCTGTATCTGTGTAGAGTTGGTTTGCAATCTATTGAAGTTCTTTAATTCTCTGAAATGATATTTCATACTTGTGTTGGACAAGAGATCGGTTAAAATGCACAACAAACCATACCAACACAATGCATACAGGTACTAATACCACAGAAGCAGCCACTGCCGCAGGCTCACTGTGATTGATAAACTTCACCCAACAGAGTATTGCAATCTCTGCTAAAAAGAGAAGTGTTCCAAGACCAGTTGAGAAAATCCATACAATTTCCAACATTAAGGAAAACAAATATACATAATCAGACATCTCCTTCGAAAAACTCTCTTATTAATAAAACATAGGATATGCTGCTCTTAAAGACAAGCACCACTACTATTTGAAAACTTCGTGTTGAATACCGCTAATATTAAAAGAAACGAGAAAAGTTCCAATGAACAGGATGTGCGAAGCCTTTTGATTTCGTAAAATGCAATTTTAAAATGTCATCATTTGACTTTCAGTCCACCAGTCAATCGAGTATATAAGCTAAATTTAGGCCGTCCAGTTTTTACATGAAATGATTCTGAACTTACAGATCATCTAACTTTATCATGATTGCGTGCAATAGCTAATGTCCTTGCAGGCATGAACTAGAATATCATTAGAATATTTGCTCAAACAACGGAAGAGATGTTTTTGACCTGTTACAGTGCAGGTGACTAAACCACCATTCAAGTCGTAGAAAAGTGACGAAAGAGTGACAAACCCTTGAGCTTTTATAGGATTTTCCGCTCAGATGTGATCTGTACAGTATTGACCGCTCGGAAAAAAGCAGGAATGACGACATGCTTTACCATCAAAATACAATCATATCGATTTTTAACTCTATATATTATCTAACGCTGACGCGGGGAAAATCCAGATACGTCTATATATATTGGATACTCACTTGGGCTTCGAACCGTAGTTGGTTAAACTTAGTTTTAAGTCTTAATTTAAATATTGCAGTTTTGGCCAATGGCTCATCAACTCGGTGATACAGGAAATGAAAGGCGCTGATGTCGAACGATTCTTGAGCGCTACCAAATGTTTTGAGCCTTGGGAAATGACACACAGTAATCCAATCAATGTAGCAACACAAGATCTCTAACCCAAATTTTTAATCCATTAAACTTCGTTTTCTGAGGATTGTTCAGACCCCCTTCCGTGATTCGATGAAACAGGCGAAGCAATTAAAGAGGCCAAATTTATTGGTAACAGCATTATAAATGTTACAGTGCTAACAGCTAAATGTAAATCTTCAAAAGAGCTACATATGTTTCACATGAGCGAGCTTGATCATCTCATTATGATTAAAATTAGGTCTGAGAAACGACAATTGGTCATTTAGGTGAAAGGACTGTGTACATAAAAAGTTCCTTTTAGACTTTTGCTGGTGCTTAAACAATATTAAAAAATTTAAAAAGTACAAAAGCAGTAGACATAAAATATTTTAGAATAATAACAGGAAGTGCTCTCAATAAACCTTAGTATTGTAAAAGAAATGGAGATCTAATCAAGCACAAATTATTTAAAACAAGGTCTGATACTTAGGTACAACGTTCTCAGGCAATTTACAGTCTTAGTATAATGGAAAGAAGTTTTGAGTTTGTAAAGGTAAATTATCCCAAACTCAAAGAGTTTTATACAAATACAAACAAATCCAGTAGCACTGCATAAGATGCCTACGTGCAGCTAGAAAGTTTTCAATATTGATTGGTTTTGATTCACTACCTGACTTTTTCAGTTTTTCTGTTTTCTTTTCCATTCACGCTACTGAAAATTATAAATGATAGAATTATTACTTGTTGACTCAAACTCTCCTAAGTAGAGAAACAATTCCGTGCTACTCTCGATTAAATGTCAAAAGCCTGTTGCCAAAAACGACTAACACAGCAACAAAATCTGAAAAAATCCATTCCCTAACCACTACCTTTTACCTTGGAGTTCAATCAGTCAATCTCAAAGAGCAGATAACGAATCACCAAATCGAGTCTTGTAAACATCCTTTTACAAATTATCAAACTGAATTCTTCTTTTTAAGAAAAAAAACTAATGTAGTCAACAAACCATTATGATATTAATACTCAATTGTGTGGATACAGAGCCATGTCCATTGAAAATCGTTTGTGCGTGTAATCTTCTTAGCTACAACTGGAGCGCACGTTGTAAAACATTGTTAAAAATTCAAGTTTCAACCTACAAACGTAACAAGAGGCTTTCACATGAAGTCAGTAAAATATTTAAAGAATCGAAAGATTAGTGATGCTACTATTATAACACTTCATAACATGCGGCTACTCAAATATCTGAACCCGATGATTGTGAAAGTCAATAACAACTATCCTGCCATCACTGAGGACTGCTGAAGAAGATGGTGCATTAAATTGTCCTATCTTTTTTCCTTTTGAGCCAAATTTTCCAACAAACGTTCCATTCACCTCAAACACCTGAATTCTATGATTGTTTGTATCACAGACCATCAGGTGCTCAGCTTTGTTAATTGACAAATGATAAGGTTTATTGAACTCTCCGTCTCCTGTTCCATACTTTCCAAATTTGTACAGAAAATGTCCAGCTTTGTCAAAAACTTTGATACAGTGTTCATTAAAGTCTGATGCTATAAGATATTCCTTATACTGGATACAGTGAATGGATGTAGAAAAAGAACCCTCAGAGCCTATACTACGGAGAAACTGGCCGTTACGGGAAAATAACTTAATTTTCTTATTTCCTATATCAGCCACAATACAATTTCCGTCACTACCGATGGATAACCCGTTAGGAAAGCTGAGTTGGTGATCAAGATTTCCCTTTTCACCAAACTTGTTCAGAAACTCCCCCTGCTCACTAAAAAGTTGAATTCGGTGATTAGCTGTATCTGCTATGAAGATGATTCCGCTTTCATTATCGATTGCAATCCCTTTAGGCGAGTTAAACTCTCCCTCTTTATTCCCCTTAGACCCAAATGATCTTAAGTAAGTTCCATCACTACTGAATACCTGGACCCTGTTGTTACAATTGTCAGTGATTACAATTTCATCGCGTTCGTTCACTGCTGCTGTCCAGGGATATGTAAAATCTTCCTTGGCCGAACCATGTTTTCCGAAGGATAACACGGCTCTGAACTGTCTGGGTTTTACTTCAGCAGCAAAGGGACTGTTACGAATGTGCTCTCCATTGACCTTCACAGACACACCGTATTTTCCGGTTTCTTTCGCAAAATAGCTGATCTTGTAGCTACCATCTTTGTTATCCTGGACTCGTGTCTCCGTTGCACAGTCATGGCCTTCCTGATTTTTGATCTCCACTGTTACATAGTCACGTTCTTCATAACATTGTTCTCCTTTAGCATTTCTTGTTGTCAACATTATGTTTGCCTCTAGTCCAATGGTCGGCTCGCTGATTCCTTCTCCGGAGGCGCTCGACTCAGTTGGACTAGTAGGAAGTACTTTCACAAAGCCAATTCTGTCAGTCCATACATGATCAAACAATCTTTGATTTCTCACAAATCCAAAATCTGCAATGCTTTCATTGCCAATGGGAGGATAGGCTGACTCAACTTGACCCTGGAATGGTACTTCTCGAATTTTGTTTGACTGCATGATTTCAGCACTAATGTTCCGTTGCAGAATTGCCTCAGTAGCTTCGATGCCTGTTTCAGTTATTTTCACTTGCTTTTCAATCTCACTTCTTTGTATCTTCAGGCGATGTATGGACTCTGCAGCTCTGTTGTCTAAGTCATCAAAGGTTTCTTGCTTTTGTGCCTCGATAACCGCCATCATGCTGTCAACAAACTGTTGCACGCTTTTCTTTACACTGGCGACATGTTCTTGAATTTTGGAGCAGTCCGAGTCAAGTCGAGCAATTTCTCGCCTTTTCTTCAATGCTGTTTTCTTCTGATTTTCGATTGCAGCCTTCGCAAGTAATTTTCGATCATCTGCAGCTTCTTTCAAAAGCATCTTAGCGTGACCGTCATGAGTAGTGGCAACACACGAATGGCAAATTGCAACACAGCAATCTTTGCAGAAAAACTCCAATTCCTTACCCTCGTGGCCGCGGCTGTGACAAAATACCGGTCGCATCAAAACATTCTCAAAATCTTGGTCTTTAAAGTCTTTGAGCGCTAATGCACGGTGTTCCTTATTCGCTTTTATTCCATTGTGAAGACTGATGCAGTTAGCCTCGCACCAGAAAGTACAACATTGAAAGCAGTAAAAGCTTTGGGAGCTGCTCTCTTCGCAATTTCCACACCTGACTTCAGTAACATTGCACTCTTTGATGGCCAACACGTCAAGGAGACTGTTGATGCGAAAGTTGGTTGGAAGATCCTCAAGATTTCCACTTCTAGGAACATGAATCTCTTTTCGACATTCAGGGCATGCGATGATATTGTGGCGGCCACTCGTTCTAAGAATCTCGTTCAAACAATGCAGGCAAAAGACATGTAAACACGGCAGCGTTTTCGGATCAGTGAATGTGTTCATACACACAGAACAGGAGACCTCTTCATGAATATTGTTTAGTAAGGTTTTGATATCCATGGCAAGATTCGGAGATAGAGAAAAATTACGGCAGAGAGAAAAGTTAAAAGCGAAACCACTTCAAGCCACCTCAAGCGGAAGAGAATCTTAAAATCACTCATAAAATCTGACCAATGAGGTAGCGTTATTGAGCATGTTTTGATGTACTGCTGACTTCTTGGGGCCTTAGTGACAGGATCAGTATTTCCTACACAAAAAAAAAAAACATTGATGACTGTCTCCTTAAATTACTAATCGTGTGCGGTTCGCCATACTTTCGTATCTAGACATCTTTTAAGGCACTGCGCCAGGTAATCAGCCGATTGTGGCCCGTAAACGGTCCGATTATTTTACAAGGAGGTAAGAGAGTGTAAACTGAAAGAAGGTAATAAGCTGCGATCAATGAGCAGTGATGAAAGGTATTAAGTAAACACTTCATGGAGTTTACGGCGATGGAACCTGTGATATTAACCCGTGATAATAACCCATGTAATACATTTTTTGTTTCAGTTGTTTCATTGGAAGATCACTTCACGAGGTCTAATGGATATGTTCAGGTTTTCAATTCAATTGAGCAACGTTTATACAATTCTTTAGATTCTCTTAGATCAGAAAAGAGGCAAGAGGTGTGCAATACTAAGCTACGGCGAACCTGTGCGCAACTGATAAGTGCAGAGGCAAGACCGTAATTTATGGGCAGAAAGCTGCCTGAAAGGAAAGACTTTCTTGTTTACCTGGAGGTAAGCAATAAGCAGATTTCCGTTCCTCCTCAAAGGCGAGTGTAATCATGATCGGCCTCCAAAAGTATAATACATGCAAGTTTTGTCGATTCTCAGATGAATGAAAAATGAAACAAAACAAACAAACACACACACACGCCAACCACACGCCCAGAATTTGCTCCAATGAATAGCGAACGTTCTAAACGCTGGAAACGGCGCAGATGGCAGTAAAATACTAAATCGAGCACCATGCCGAAAAGAGCTCAACGCATTAGTTATGTTTAGAAAGTTACCCAATGTTTGTCACGCAAGATCACCCTTCAGCCATATCAACAAGTGTTACTTTTGACCTAAACACAGATTGCGGCTGGAGCATCATAGCACCCAGTGGTTGAATACGATAACTGAGCAGAAATCCGTCTTCCTTATATTAGACTTAGCTGTTTTTCGTCCCCCCTTCCCTCACTTTATGAGACAGTAGTGATCGTTTGGTTTGAGTGGATTTTTTTATTTACTCCTTGTTACCCAAATCTAAATGGTTTCGGCTAAAATACATTTGGGAACTTTCGAACTATCTCCGTCACGTTAAAAAAACTAAGGAAATGCCAGGTTGTGAAATTGATCAGAATAAAGGCAAGATGAAATGAACGCAAAATACCCATCTTTACTACGTAATCACACGGTTATCTATACTCCGTTTAACCAAAAGCGATTGCGAAAATATGTACGTACTGAATTATGAAACAGTGCATATGAGCACTTTCCGAAACTTTTTACTAAAGTTGCAAAGTCCTACGCTATTTCCCAGCTATATAAAGACGACAAAATCTTACTCTAAAGCTAAATAAGATAAGAGTGTCTGAAAGAAACCATTTGAAAAGTAAACTCCAAACGTGTCACGTCATGTCAAGCATCGCAGCATCCAGGCAAGCAGACATACAACTCGTAGCAGATTTTTTTAAGAAGAGTACGAATATCCCCATGTGGAGTCAGGTGCAACCATGATAGTATTGGTTCTTCGCAGAGAGAATGTTAATTGAAGAGAAAATCTTCAACATTTCGGTCTGTGCCAAATGGAGCCGGCAAGAAAGAATATAACGTTAGTGTTTATTCTAACCTTGAAGAGAGTTTATTTGCAAGTTTTCTGCGCGTGCCAAAAAGAGTGCTGCGAGATGTAGTGCTAGACTTAAAGCAAGTATTGCGTTACATAATGTTAACAGGAAAAAGTCTTTATCTGCAAATTTTCTCTCCGTGCCGAATAGAGTACGAGAAAGAAGAAGACTAATAGTCATTCCAACTTACAAAGATGTTATCTGCAGAATTTCTGTGCGAGTACGAGAATTGAGGAAAATGTTACGTGGCATAATTCTACAGGAAAAGAGGAAAAAATGTCATTCTTATTTGAAAAGCAAAATTACATATAGGCTTTTTGTGAGTGCCAAATAGAGATGAATTGTAAGCATAGTGCGAGAAAGAAAAAAAATGGTTGTAGTCATTTTCACCTGCAAAGATTTTATAAGGAAAAGACAATGTTCGATAAAATATTATGCACGGTTTCGACGTTTCCAGAACGTCATTATCAAGTGAACTAGAATCGAATGAAGCGGTGAATAAATTACAAAGCGTTAAAGTTAAAGTGGAGTTTGGTAATGGAATCGCTCTGGGTGTTTAAATTCTTATTTCTTAAAACAAATTTCATAAACAAGACAATATGCCACATTTTTTAAGCATTCTTTTCATTGAGTAAGTCAATGTTCCCATGGGCATCTCTCAGGTGTCGACCAATGGCAAATCGATGAGCAATGCGTTGAAACAAATGGCGCGTGTATATCCGACGTAATTTGAGACAAATCAAGTCTTCATGAAACAAATGCTGATTTGATTGCTTGATTTCTTTAAGCTTTAGGTCCTGCTCAAGTTTCTTACTGGTGTAGACTGGTTGTACATCAACAAATGTGATTATTCCTCTACACCAGATACTAAGACAAAATCTGATGAAACTTTAAGAGTCAGTATTCCTTTCAAAGATCAAGTCTCAGCGAACATTGCCAAAAGACAAATGCGCGATCTCAGTTCAAAAATCGGCATTGATGTACAACCAGTATACACCAGTAAGAAACTTGAGCAGGACCTAAAGCTTAAAGAAATCAAGCCACGCATCGTAAATCAGCATAGCGTTGTTTACTGTTTTAAATGTGATTTGTGTGATTCAAATTACGTCGGATATACGACGCGCCATTTGTTTCAACGCATTGCTGATCATCGATACTCTGCCATTGGTCGACACCTGAGAGATGCCCATGGGAACATTGACTTACTCGATGAGAGCCAGTTTAGAATGCTTAAAAAATGTGGCACGAAATGGGATTGTCTTGTTTATGAAATGTTGTACATAAGAACAATAAGGCCCAATTTAAACACCTAGAGCGATTCCATTAGGGCCAAACTCTTTGTTTAACTTTTAACGCTTTGTAATTTATTCACCGCTTCATTATATATATACTCGATTTTATTATTCTAGTTCACTTGATAATGACGTTCTGGAAACGTCGAAACGTCGTGTCATGCTTTATAATATTTTATCGCAGATTTTTATTGTCAAAAGATTTTATATGCATATTTTCTCTCCATGTCGAATAGAGCCAGAAAGAATAAGAAATTAGTAGTCATTCCTACTAGAAAAGACTTGCATATTTTTTCTCCATGCCGAACAGAGTGCCACAGAACATAAGAAAGTAGTTACCTAATAAAATGATACCAGCAAGTTTATTATGCGTGCCGACTAGAGTGTGAGAAGCAAATATCAAGTGACATTACGTAAACAAAAAAGAAGATTTTACATACAGACTTTTTATGCGTGCTAAATAGGATGCCAGAAAGAGTATGAGAATAGTAGTCACTCTATCATGAAAAGTGTTTCCATCCATGCAATGTTGGGGTCTGCAGGACTCTTGCAGAAAAAAATACAACAGGGAGAGAGATATGTGTGCGCCACACCTGGAGAAATGAACTTTTGGTTAAACCGATACTATATATGAGTTTTCTTTCCACAGATACATTTTGGAGGTGCTTGCTGAGAAAGTGATGACATTCCTAATCATGGATAGGGAAGGCTGTGATTATAGTTGAGCGACAGGGAAGCATTTGCTGAGGAAAAGCTGTTGAACACGGTTTACGTGGGGAAATGGGACGAGCTCCCCGGAGTAAACACCCACCAGTGCCAGATAGATATCGACGGAGAGTTACGAAGGAAAAATGAAAATATATTTGGAGACCAAGACAAGTTCCTTCCTCGTTTTGAAAAGAATGTGCGCATGTTCTTAGGTTGAAATTGTTTTTCTGATTTAAAACTATTGATTCTGAGATAACAAACTGCTGCTTGACAGTAAGGTACCTGAGAAATAACCAGTAGTTATCTTTGTAAATATAATGTAATCCTTGTTCCCTTTGTACTGGCTTCAAACACTTTCCAGCAGCTGAAACTCTTGCTTAGAGCAAAGGCATGCATGTCTTAGCTACTCCATTTTTTCACAATTTTGCAATGGAGTATTCCTCCATTCTCCCTCAGCAGGGTGATGCCTACACTGTCACAGTCAAATGCTAAGTAGTCTAGAATCTTACTCTTTGTCGGCAAAATCACCTGGAAAGCTGTTTTCGACATGCAAAGAAATCTCCTGTGTACTGTCAAGATCAGCGATGTCAAAAGTGTCCAGTGACAAGAAAGGGTTTATCATAAACAAATTACAAAAACAAAACTTTGGACTTAAACTTACTGAGCAACTCTTCACACCCTTAAACATCAGTATGCATATTCTCCAAACTGTTCTTTACATGTTTCCTAAGGTGCTGACAAGGAGAATTTGTTTAACAATAATGAGAAAGAAAGAACTTCTTCAGTTGATGATCATTTCCTTTATTCTCATGGCCTTAAAGTTTGATTCAGGGGGACATTGTAAGGAGAGATCAGATGTTACATGTAGTTACCTTTCGGGGTAAAGTAAAAGTACCCCACAGAAAAGTCAGAGCAAATAAGATCGCAATGGACTTATCATAACCAACAATGATGACGAGACTCTGATAATACTGGTGGTGGTTTAACCATTTAACTCCCAAGATCTGATTGTTAATTTTCCCCTCTACCTGCCACACATTTCCTTGTCGTGTTTTGTAGGTTTTTGATGTTAGATCAAAGTAACACTTCTTCCTGATAAGCTTGAGTATTCTCATTACCTGTTTGTTGGATAACGTGTGGATATTATGGGGAGAAGTTATATGTTCATCACTTGTGGGAGTTTCTATTGTTTTACATCAATTTGTAACGTATCCCTCTAAAAGTGTTATTTGCCGCGGTTCTAAGAAGAGCAGCAAATTATTGTTTTCAAGGTTATAACTTTTCGACAGTTTTCATGTAGACATGGGAATAAAATGGCGGGATTTTACTAAGGCAAATCACTCTAAGCTGACATCGCTGCTGGCATTGGTGCTTTCTTCTACAATATATTTCTTTTAATTTACACCAATTTTCTTTGCGTGCATTTCAGTTTGATTGTAGGTGGTACGTAATGTATTTACAGTTTGTATTTATATACGTTAATTCAACCTCTCTACCTCGAGGTTCATGTTCAGTGTCTGGCTCTGCATTCGGGAGAGTTCAGGTTTCCTCCTCAGATGGAAAGGGGGTTTTTCCTGACGGGGCAGCTGGCACACATCTGTAAATTACACCAGTGATCATAAAACTGTACTCCAGAGTTTGCTGTCAACATTGTAATTTTTTCTTGTTGCTGCCTTTGCGGTATTTATGTGATTGTATAAATAAACGTGGACTGATGCTTGCTTTACGCTGAGCCTCTATCCAGTACAGATGTCAGTTTTCCTATTTCACAATGAGCAATTCACTGTCCCGATTGTCCACTATTTTGAAAATAGGGAATAGAGAAAACGCGACTATTATATCTCATCCTTTGACAGTTTCCATAGATTATCCAGAAAAAAGGTTACAAGAAAACACAACGTATAAGCTAGAGGGTATAATCTTGAGAAAAAAAATTCTCATAACAATTTACAAGGAACGCAGAAGCAATAAAAAGGCAGGATTGCAAGTTGGAGTTTGGGAGGTGCGGTAAGAACAAGGAGCATGCCAATAAAGGGCATAACACACTGGGTTTGTGCCATACAAACAACTTCAAACCCTGTGATAAGGTCATGGACTGCCTACTGGTGAGCTTGGTGCTGTCCCTGTATCTGTTTACAGTTGGTTTGCAATCTGTTGAAGTTCTTTAATTCCCTGAAATGATCTTTCATACTTGTGTTGGACAAGAGATCGGTAAAAATGCACAGCAAACCATACCAACACAATGCATACAGGTACTAATACCACAGAAGCAACCACTGCCGCAGGCTCACTGTGATTGTAAAACTTCACCCAACAGAGTATTGCAATCTCTGCTAAAAAGAGAAGTGTTCCAAGACCAGTTGAGAAAATCCATACAATTTCTAACATTATGGATGTTTCAAAACGAAAAGAAGTAAAGACATCGTTCATTTTCCATAGATGTCTCAAACAAATAAACATAATCAGACATCTCCTTTGAAAGATTCTCTTATTAATAAAACATAGGATGTGCTGCTCTTAAAGACAAGCACCACTACTATTTGAAAATTTCGTGTTGAATACCGCTAATATTAAAAGAAACGAGAAAAGTTCCAATCAACAGGGTGTGCTTTCTTGTAGGAGAACAATTTCCCATGATTTACTTGCTTTGAAGAGAAAACGGATGAAGTTACTGCAATATCAGCCTGAAAAAACAGTTTAATCTTTGATGGGGCTTGAACCTACTTTCGAGTCATTTGTAATCGAAGCCTTTTGATTTCGTACAATGCAACTTTAAAATGTCATCATTTTGACTTTCAGTCCACAAGTCAATCGAGTATATAAGCTAAATTTAGGCCGTCCAGTTTTTACATGAAATGATTCTGAACTTACAGATCATCTAACTTTATCATGATTGCGTGCAATAGCTAACGTCCTTGCAGGCATGAACTAGAATATTATTTGAATATTAGTCCAGGTGACTAAACCACACTTCATGTCGTAGAAAAGTGACGAAAAAGTGACCAACCCTTCAGCTTTATAGGATTTTCCGTTCAGAATGTGACCTGTATAGTATTGACCGCTCGGGAAAAAGCAGGAATGACGACATGCATTACCATCAAAATACAATCATATCGATTTTTAACTCTATATATTATCTAACGCTGACGCGGGGAAAATCCAGACATGTCTATATATATTGGATACTCACTTGGGCTTCGAACCGCAGTTGGTTAAACTTAGCTTTAAGTCTTAAATTTAAATATTCCAGTTTTGGCTGATGGCTCATCAACTCGGTGATACAGGAAATGAAAGGCGCTGATGTCGAACGTTTCTTGAACGCTACCAAATGTTTACTTTTGCACCCAGACTTGGGAAATGACACACGGTAATCCAATTAATGTAGCAACACAAGATCTCTAACCCAAATTTTTAATCCATTAAACTTCGTTTTCTGAGGATTGTTCAGGCCCCCTTCCGTGATTCGGCCAAATTTATTGGTAACAACATTATAAATGTTACAGTGCTAACAACTAAATTTAAATCTTCAAAAGAGCTACATATGTTTCACATGTGCGAACTTGATCATCCCATTATGATTAAAATTAGGTCTAAGAAACGACAATTGGTCATTTAGGTGAAAGGACTGTGTACATAAAAAGTTCCTTTTAAACTTTAGCCGGCGATTAAGCAATATTAAAAAATTGAAAAAGATATAAAATATGTCAGAATAATAACAGGAAGTGCTCTCAATAAACTAATATTACACCAATCTTATCTTAGTATTGTAAAAGAAATTGAGATCTAACTAAGCACAAATTATTTAAAACAAGGTACAACGTTCTCAGGCAATTTACAGTAATGAAAAGAAGTTTTGAGTTTGTAAAGTTCAATTATCCCAAACTTAAAGAGTTTTATACAAATACAAACAAATCCAGTAGCACTGCATAAGATGCCTACGTGCAGCTAGAAAGTTTCAATATTGATTGATTTTGATTCACTACCTGACTTTTTCAGTTTTTCTGTTTTCTTTTCCATTCACGCTACTGAAAATTATAAATGATAGAATTATTACTTGTTGACTCAAACTCTCCTAAGTAGAGAAACAATTCCGTGCTACTCTCGATTAAATGTCAAAAGCCTGTTGCCAAAAACGACTAACACAGCAACAAAATCAGAAAAAATCCATTCCCTAACCACTACCTTTTACCTTGGAGTTCAACAATCAATCTCAAAGAGTACATAATGAATCACCAAATCGAGTCTTGTAAACATCCTTTTACAAATTATCAAACTGAATTCCTCTTTTTAAGAAAAAAAACTAATGTAGTCAACAAACCTTTATGATATTAATACTCAACTGTGTGGATACAGAGCCATGTCCATTGAAAATCGTTTGTGCGTGTAATCTTCTTAGCTACAATTGGAGCGCACGTTGTAAAACATTGTTAAAAATTCAAGTTTCAACCTTCAAATGTAACAAGAGGCTTTCACATGAAGTCAATAAAATGTTTAAAGAATCGAAAGATTAATGATGCTACTATTATAACACTTCATAACATACGGCTACTCAAATATCTGAACCCGATGATTGTGAAAGTCAGTAACAACTATCCTACCATCACTGAGGACTGCTGAAGAAGATGGTGTATTAAATTGTCCTATCTTTTTTCCTTTTGAGCCAAATTTTCCAACAAACTTTCCATTCACCTCAAACACCTGAATTCTATTATTGTTTCTATCACAGACCATCAGGTGCTCAGCTTTGTTAATTGACAAATGATAAGGTTCATTGAACTCTCCGTCCCCTGATCCATACTTTCCAAATTTGTACAGAAAATGTCCAGCTTTGTCAAAAACTTTGATACAGTGTTCATTAAAGTCTGATGCTATAAGATATTCCTTATACTGGATACAGTGAGAGGGTGAAGAAAAAGAACCCTCAGAGCCTATACTACGGAGAAACTGGCCGTTACGGGAAAATAACTTAATTTTCTTATTTCCTTTATCAGCCACAATGCAATTTCCGTCACTACCGATGGATAACCCGTAAGGATAGCTGAGTTGGTGATCAAGATTTCCCTTTCCACCAAACTTGCTCAGAAACTCCCCCTGCCCACTAAAAAGTTGAATTCGATGATTAGCTGAATCTGCTATGAAGATGATTCCGTTTTCATTACCGATTGCAACCCCTATAGGAGAGTTAAACTCTTCCTCTTTATCCCCCTTAGACCCAAATGATCTTAAGTAAGTTCCATCACTACTGAATACCTGGACCCTGTTGTTACATCTGTAAGTGATTACAATTTCATCGCGTTTGTTCACTGCTACTCCCCAGGGATACATAAAATCTTCCTCGGCCGCACCATGTTTTCCGAAGGATAATACGGGTCTGAACTGTCTGGGTTTTACTTCAGCAGCAAAGGGACTGTTACGAATGTGCTCTCCATTGACCTTCACAGACACACCGTATTTTCCGGTTTCTTTCGCAAAATAGCCGATCTTGTAGCTACCATCTTTGTTATCCAGGACTCGTGTCTCTGTTGCAAAGTCATGGTCATCCTGATTTTTGATCTCCACTGTTACATAGTCACGTTCTTCATAACATTGTTCTCCTTTAGCATTTCTTGTTGTCAACATTATGTTTGCCTCTAGTCCAAAGGTCGGCTCGCTGATTCCTTCTCCGGAGGCGCTCGACTCAGTTGGACTTGTCGGTAGAACTTTAACAAAGCCAATTCTGTCAGTCCATACATGATCAAACAATCTTTGATTTCTCACAAATCCAAAATCTGCAATGCTTTCATTGCCAATGGGAGGATAGGCTGACTCAACTTGACCCTGAAATGTTACTTCTCGAATTTTGTTTGACTGCATGATTTCCGCGCTAATGTTCTGTTGCAGAATTGCCTCAGTAGCTTCGATGCCTGTTTCAGTTATTTTCATTTGCTTTTCAATCTCACCTCTTTGTATCCACAGGCGATGTATGGACTCTGCAGCTCTGTTGTCTAAGTCATCAAAGGTTTCTTGCTTTTGTGCCTCGATAACCGCCATCATGCTGTCGACAAACTGTTGCACGCTTTTTTTTACACTGGCGACATGTTCTTGAATTTTGGCGCAGTCCGAGTCAAGTCGAGCAATTTCTCGCCTATACTCCAATGCTGTTTTCTTCTGATTCTCGATCGCAGACTTCGCAAGTAATTTTCGATCATCTGCAGCTTCTTCCAAAAGCATCTTGGCGTGACCGTCATGAGTAGTGGCAACACACGAATGGCAAATTGCAACACAGCAATCTTTGCAGAAAAACTCCAATTCCTTACTCTCGTGGCCACGGCTGCGACAAAATACCGGTCGCTTTAAAACATTCTCAAAATCTTGGTCTTTAAAGTCTTTGAGTGCTAATACACGGTGTTCCTTATTCGCTTTTATTCCATTGTGATGAATGATGCAGTTAGCCTCGCACCAGAAAGCACAACATTGAAAGCAGTAAAAGCTTTGGGAGCTGCTCTCTTCGCAATTTCCACACTTAACTCCAGTAGCACAGCACTCTTTGATGGCCAATACGTCAAGGAGACTGTTGATGCGAAAGTTAGTTGGAAGATCCTCAAGATTTCCACTTCTAGGAACTTGAATCTCTTTTCGACATTCAGGGCATGCGATAATATCGTGACGGCCCTTCGTTCGAAGAATCCCGTTCAAACAATGCAGGCAAAAGACATGTAAACACGGCAGCGTTTTCGGATCAGTGAATGTGTTCATACACACAGAACAGGAGACCTCTTCATGAAGATTGTTTAATAGGGTTTTGATATCCATGGCAAGATTCGGAGATGGGGAAAAATCACGGCAGAGAGAAAAGTTAAATGCGAAACCACTTCAATCATCCTCAAGCGGAAGAGAATCTTAAGATCACTCATAAAATCTGACCAATGAGGTAGCGTTATTGGTCATGTTTTGACGTACCTCTGACTTCTTAGGGCCTTAGTGACAGGATCAGTATTTCCTACACAGGAAAAAAAAAACATTGATGACTGTCTCCTTAAATTACTAATCGTGTGCGGTTCGCCATACTTTCGTATCCAGACATCTTTTAAGGCACTGCGCCAGGTAATCAGCCGATTGTGGCCCGTAAACGGTCCGATGATGTTACAAGGAGCAAGAGATTGTAAACTGAAAGAAGGTTATTAATAACTTGTGATCAATGAGCAGTGATGAAAGGTATTAAGTAAACACTTGATGAAGTTTAGGGTAGATGGAACCTGTGAAAATAATCCGTGATAATAACCCATGTAATAATGAAGAAATGTAAAATGGTTTCCGTGTTTACATAGCCTGATGTAAACACGCGGGAGGTTGGGAGAACACGAGATAAGCGTAGGAAACCACGACGCAAAGCGGAGTGGTTTCCAGCTTATGATAGCTTTCCATGATAGTATTGGTTCTTCGCAGAGAGAATGTTAATTGAAGAGAAAATCTTTAACATTTCGGTCTGTGCCGAATAGAGCGCAAGAACGAATAGAACGTTAGTGTTTATTCTAACCTTGAAGAGAGTTTATTTGCAAGTTTTCTGCGCGTGCCAAAAAGAGTGCTGCGAGATGTAGTGCTAGACTTAAAGCAAGTATTACGTTACATAATGTTAACAGGAAAAAGTCTTTATCTGCAAATTTTCTCTCCGTGCCGAATAGAGTACGAGAAAGAAGACAATAATAGTCATTCCAACTTACAAAGATGTAATCTGCAGAATTTCTATGCGAGTGCGAGAATTGAGGAAAATTTTACGCGGTATAATTCTACAGGAAAAGGAGATCACATGCAGGTTTGCTATCCGTGCCGAATAGTGCGAGAAAGAAAAGAGAGTAGTAGTCATTCTTATTTGAAATGCAAAATTACATATAGGCTTTTTGTGAGTGCCAAATAGAGATGAAGTGTAAGACATGAGACAAGTCTTCATGATATTAATATAAGCAGAAGAGGAGATTATATGCAGGTTTCTGTGCGTGCCAAATAGAGTGCGAGAAAGAAAAAAAAATGGTTGTAGTCATTTTCACCTGCAAAGATTTTCTATGCATATTTTCTCTTCATATTAAATAGAATACCAGAGAGAATAAGAAATTAGTAGTCATTCCTACTAGAAAAGACTTGCATATTTTCTCTCCATGCCGAACAGAGTGCCACAGAGAATAAGAAAGTAGTTACCTGATAAAATGTTACAAGCAGGTTTATTATGCGTGCCGAATAGAGTGCGAAAAGCAAATATCACCTGACATAACGTTAACAAAAACAAAGGTTTTTATATACAGACTTTCCGTGCGTGCTAAATAGGATGCCAGAAAGAGTATGAGAGTAGTAGACACTCTATCCTGAAAAGTGTTTCCATCCATGCAATGTTGGGGTCTGCAGGACTCTTGCAGAAAAAAAAAAATACAACAGGGAGAGGGATATGTGTGCGCCACACCAGGAGAAATGAACTTTTGGTTAGACCGATACTATATATGAATTTTCTTTCCACAGATATATTTTGGAGGTGCTTGCTGAGGAAGTGATGACATTCCTAATCATGGATAGGGAAGGCTGTGATTATAGTTGAGCGACGGGGAAGCATTTGGTGAGGAAAAGCCGTTGAACACGGTTTACGTGGAAAAATGGGACGAGCTCCCCAGAGTAAACACCCACCAGTGCCAGATAGATATCGAGGGAGATTTACGAAGGAAAAATGAAAATATATTTGGAGACCAAGACAAGTTCTTTCCTCGTTTTGAAAAGAATGTGCGCAGAGGATCACCAGCAAATAACTGACGGGGTTCTCGATACCTCTAAACAACTTGATTTAGTTCTATAAGTAAAACCAGGTTAATTGCTGGTGTGCTGTTAAGTAATAAGTATTCTGAGTTCGCTAGTACGCAAATTAATCTAAACAAGACTTAATGGGAGAGAGAGGTGTTTTTAGTTTGTAAATAATTACCTAAATGATCACTTTCTCTCCTTCAAACTTTTATAAACTGTGGATATTATTTCTATGTTAGCTTTTCGTAACATTGTATTCTCTCTCCCTTAAAAGATTTTTCGTTTACCGCACAGAGCCATTTACAATAAACATATAATATTTTCATTATAAAGTCTCGCTGTCGTTATTGCTCTGTTGGGAAAATTGTCGCCATCTAGATGAAAACAAAGCAGCCTGAGTATTAACTAAGCTGGGTTAGAATATGTACACTCTAACGTGCTCAAGTTACGCACCGTTACACATTGAGTGCAAGACTCACGCCAACAAATTATTTCTTATGTTCCTAGATTGAAATTGTTTTTACTCGTGCATTTAAGGTTTCTGATTTAAACTATTGATTCTGAGATAGCAAACTGCTGCTTGAAAGTAAGGTGCCAGAGAAATAACCAGTAATTATCTTTGTAAATATGATGTAGTCATTGTTTCCTTTGTACTGGCTTCAAACACTTTCCAGCAGCTGAAACTCTTTTTTAGAACAAGGGCATGCATGTCTTAGCTACTCCATTTTTTCACAATTTTCCAAGGGAGTATTCCTCCATTCTCCCTCAGCAGGGTGATGCCCACACTGTCACAATCAAATGCTAAGCAGTCTAGAATCTTACTCTTTGTCAGCAAAATCACCTCGAGAGCTGTTCTTGATATGCAAAGAAATCTCCTGTATACTGTCAAGATCAGCGATGTCAAAGGTGTCCAGTGACAAGAAAGGGTCTCTCATAAAGAAATTACAAAAACAAAACTTTGGACTTATACTTACTGAGCAACTCTCCACACCCTTAAACATCAGTATGCATATTCTCCACATTGTTCTCTACAGATTTCCTAAGGTGCTGACAAGGAGAGTTTGTTTAACAATAAAGAGAAAGAAAGAACTTCTTCAGTTGGTGATCATTTCCTTTATTCTCATGACCCTAATGTTTGATTCAGGGGTGATATTGTAAGGAGAAATTAGATGTTACATGTAGTTACCTTTAGGGGTCAAAGGGTTAAACTATTTTCATGAGTTTGGAAAAACATGAAGTCCTGAATAAAAGATCTTTTGCATCATTATAATACTTAGGTGTTTAATGGGAGCCCTTAGTCTAATAAAAAACTTATGGTTCCACTTTACAATTATTTAAACCTGTTGATATTAATACAAAAAAAGTACCCCACAGAAAAGACAGCAAAATAAGATCACGATGCACTTATGACCAACAATGATGACACACTGATAATACTGGTGGCGGTTCAACCCTTTAACTCCCAAGATCTGATTGTTAATTCTCCCCTCTACCTGATATACATTTACTTGTAACTTTTTGTAGGTTTTTTATGTTAAAACCCTGTGATAAGGACATGGACTGGCTGCTTGTGAGCTTAGTGCTGTCCCTGTATCTGTGTACAGTTGGTTTGCAATCTATTGAAGTTCTTTAATTCTCTGAAATGATATTTCATACTTGTGTTGGACAAGAGATCGGTTAAAATGCACAACAAACCATACCAACACAATGCATACAGGTACTAATACCACAGAAGCAGCCACTGCCGCAGGCTCACTGTGATTGTAAAACTTCACCCAACAGAGTATTGCAATCTTAGCTAAAAAGAGAAGGGTTCCAAGACCAGTTGAGAAAATCCATACAATTTCCAACACCAAGGAAAACAAATATACATAATCAGACATCTCCTTTGAAAAACTCTCTTATTAATAAAATATAGGATATGCTGCTCTTAAAGACAAGCACCACTACTATTTGAAAACTTCGTGTTGAATACCGCTAATATTAAAAGAAACGAGAAAAGTTCCAATCAACAGGATGTGCGAAGCCTTTTGATTTCGTAAAATGCAATTTTAAAATGTCATCATTTTGACTTTCAGTCCACAATTCAATCGAGTATATAAGCATAATTTAGGCCGTCCAGTTTTTACATGAAATGATTCTGAACTTACAGATCATCTAACTTTATCATGATTGCGTGTTATAGCTAACGTCCTTGCAGGCATGAACTAGAATATTATTAGAATATTTGCTGAAACAACGGAAGACATGTTTTTGACCTGTTACAGTGCAGGTGACTAAACCACCATTTAAGTCGTAGAAAAGTGACGAAAGAGTGACCAACCCTTGAGCTTTATAGGATTTTCCGCTCAGATGTGACCTGTACAGTATTGACCGCTCGGAAAAAAGCAGGAATGGCGACATGCTTTACCATCAAAATACAATCATATCGATTTTTAACTCTATATATTATCTAACGCTGACGCGGGGAAAATCCAGATACGTCTATATATATTGGATACTCACTTGGGCTTCGAACCGTAGTTGGTTAAACTTAGTTTTAAGTCTTAATTTAAATATTGCAGTTTTGGCCAATGGCTCATCAACTCGGTGATACAGGAAATGAAAGGCGCTGATGTCGAACGATTCTTGAGCGCTACCAAATGTTTTGACATTTTGCTTTGGCACTCAGCCTTGGGAAATGACACACAGTAATCCAATCAATGTAGCAACACAAGATCTCTAACCCAAATTTTTAATCCATTAAACTTCGTTTTCTGAGGATTGTTCAGACCCCCTTCCGTGATTCGCTGAAACAGGCGAAGCAATTAAAGAGGCCAAATTTATTGGTAACAACATTATAAATGTTACAGTGCTAACAGCTAAATTTGAATCTTCAAAAGAGCTACATATGTTTCACATGAGCGAACTTGATCATCTCATTATGATTAAAATTAGGTCTGAGAAACGACAATTGGTCATTTAGGTGAAAGGATTGTGTACATAAGTTCCTTTTAGACTTTTGCTAGTGATTAAGCAATATTAAAAAATTAAAAAAGTACAAAAGTAGTAGATATAAAATATGTTAGAATAATAACAGGAAGTGCTCTTAATAAACTAATATTACACTAATCTTATCTTAGTATTGTAAAAGAAACTGAGATCTAACTGAGCACAAATTATTTAAAACAAGATCTAATACCTAGGTACAACGTTATCAGGCAATTTACAGTCTTAGTATAATGGAAAGACGTTTTGAGTTTGTAAAGGTAAATTATCCCAAACTTAAAGAGTCTTATACAAATACAAGCAAATCCAGTAGCACTGCATAAGATGCCTACGTGCAGCTAGAAAGTTTTCAATATTGATTGATTTTGATTCACTACCTGACTTTTTCAGTTTTTCTGTTTTCTTTTCCATTCACGCTACTGAAAATTTTAAATGATAGAATTATTACTTGCTGACTCAAACTCTCCTAAGTAGAGAAACAATTCCGTGCTACCCTCGATTAAATGTCAAAAGCCTGTTGCCAAAAACGACTAACACAGCAACAAAATCAGAAAAAATCCATTCCCTAACCACTACCTTTTACCTTGGAGTTCAACTAACAATCTCAAAGAGCAGATAACGAATCACCAAATCGAGTCTTGTAAACATCCTTTTACAAATTATCAAACTGAATTCTTCTTTTTAAGAAAAAAAACTAATGTAGTCAACAAACCTTTATGATATTAATACTCAACTGTGTGGATACAGAGCCATGTCCATTGAAAATCGTTTGTGCGTGTAATCTTCTTAGCTACAATTGGAGCGCACGTTGTAAAACATTGTTAAAAATTCAAGTTTCAACATACAAATGTAACAAGAAGCTTTCACATGAAGTCAGTAAAATATTTAAAGAATCGAAATATTAATGATGCTACTATTATAACACTTCATAACATGCGGCTACTCAAATATCTGAACCCGATGATTGTGAAAGTCAGTAACAACTATCCTACCATCACTGAGGACTGCTAAAGAACATGGTGCATTAAATTGTCCTATCTTTTTTCCTACTGAGCCAAATTTTCCAACAAACTTTCCATTCACCTCAAACACCTGAATTCTGTGATTGTTTGTATCACAGACCATCAGGTGCTCAGCTTTGTTAATTGACAAATGATAAGGTTCATTGAACTCTCCGTCCCCTGTTCCATACTTTCCAAATTTGTACAGAAAATGTCCAGCTTTGTCAAAAACTTTGATACAGTGTTCCGCAATGTCTGACGCTATAAGATATTCCTTATACTGGATACAGTCAGTGGGTCTAGAAAAAGAACCCTCAGAGCCTATACTACGGAGAAACTGGCCGTTACGGGAAAATAACTTAATTTTCTTATTTCCTCTATCAGCCACAATATAATTTCCGTCACTACCGAAGGATAACCCGTAAGGATAGCTGAGTTGGTGATCAAGATTTCCCTCTACACCAAACTTTCTCAGAAACTCCCCCTGCCCACTAAAAAGTTGAATTCGATGATTAGCTGAATCTGCTATGAAGATGATTCCGTTTTCATTACCGATTGCAACCCCTATAGGCCAGTGAAACTCTCCCTCTTTATCCCCCTTAGACCCAAATGATCTCAAGTAAGTTCCATCACTACTGAATACCTGGACCCTGTTGTTACAACTGTCAGTGATTACAATTTCATCCCGTTTGTTCACTGCTACTCCCCAGGGATGTGTAAAATCTTCCTTGGCCGCACCATGTTTTCCGAAGGATAACACGGGCCTGTACTGTCTGGGTTTTACTTCAGCAGCAAAGGGACTGTTACGAATGTGCTCTCCATTGACCTTCACACACACACCGTATTTTCCGGTTTCTTTCGCAAAATAGCCGATCTTGTAGCTACCATCTTTGTTATCCAGGACTCGTGTCTCCGTTGCACAGTCATGGCCTTCCTGATTTTTGATCTCCACTGTTACATAGTCACGTTCTTCATAACATTGTTCTCCTTTAGCATTTCTTGTTGTCAACATTATGTTTGCCTCTAGTCCAACGGTCGGCTTACTGATTCCTTTTCCGGAGGCGCTCGACTTAGTTGGACTAGTAGGAAGATCTTTCACAAAGCCAATTCTGTCATTCCATACATGATCAAACAATCTTTGATTTCTTACAAATCCAAAATCTGCAATGCTTTGATTGCCAATGCGATGATAGGCTGACTCAACTTGACCCTGAAATGTTACTTCTCGAATTTTGTTTGATTGTATGATTTCAGCGCTAATATTCCGTTGCAGAATTGCCTCAGTAGCTTCGATGCCTGTTTCAGTTATTTTCACTTGCTTTTCAATCTCACTTCTTTGTATCTTCAGGCGATGTATGGACTCTGCAGCTCTGTTGTCTAAGTCATCAAAAGTTTCTTGCTTTTGTGCCTCGATAACCGCCATCATACTGTCAACAAACTGTTGCACGCTTTTCTTTACACTGGCGACATGTTCTTGAATTTTGGCGCAGTCCGAGTTAAGTCGAGCAATTTCTCGCCTTTTCTTCAATGCTGTTTTCTTCTGTTTCTTGATCGCAGACTTCGCAAGTAATTTTCGATCATCTGCAGCTTCTTTCAAAAGCATCTTGGCGTGACCGTCATGAGTAGTGGCAACACACGAATGGCAAATTGCAACACAGCAATCTTTGCAGAAAAACTCCAATTCCTTACCCTCGTGGCCGCGGCTGCGACAAAATACCGGTCGCTTCAAAACATTCTCATAATCTTGGTCTTTAAAGTCTTTGAGCGCTAATGCACGGTGTTCCTTATTCGCTTTTATTCCATTGTGAAAACTGATGCAGTTAGCCTCGCACCAGAAAGCACAACATTGAAAGCAGTAAAAGCTTTGGGAGCTGCTCTCTTCGCAATTTCCACACCTGACTTCAGTAGCATTGCACTCTTTGATGGCCAACACGTCAAGGAGACTGTTGATGCGAAAGTTGGTTGGAAGATCCTCAAGATTTCCACTTCTAGGAACATGAATCTCTTTTCGACATTCAGGGCATGCGATGATATCGTGGCGGTCACTTGTTCTAAGAATCCCGCTCAAACAATGCAGGCAAAAGACATGTAAACACGGCAGCGTTTTCGGATCAGTGAATGTGTTCATACACACAGAACAGGAGACCTCTTGATGAAGATTGTCTAGTAAGGTTTTGATATCCATGGCAAGATTCGGAGATAGGGAAAAATTACGGCAGAGAGAAAAGTTAAAAGCGAAACCGCTTCAAGCCACCTCAAGCGGAAGAGAATCTTAAAATCACTCATAAAATCTGACCAATGAGGTAGCGTTATTGGGCATGTTTTGACGTACTGCTGACTTCTTTGGGCCTTACTGACAGGATCAGTATTTCCTACACAGGAAAAAAAACATTGATGACTGTCTCCTTAAATTACTAATCGTGTGCGGTTCGCCATACTTTCGTATCTAGACATCTTTTAAGGCACTGCGCCAGGTAATCAGCCGATTGTGGCCCGTAAACGGTCCGATGATGTTACAAGGAGGTAAGAGAGTGTAAACTGAAAGAAGGTAATAAGTTGCGATCAATGAGCAGTGATGAAAGGTATTAAGTAAACACTTCATGGAGTTTACAATCGATGGAACCTGTGATAACAACCCGTGATAATAACCCATGTAATACATTTTTTGTTTCAGTTGTTTCATTGGAAGATCACTTCACGAGGTCTGATGGATATGTTCAGGTTGTGAAATTGATCAGAATAAAGGCAAGATGAAATGAACGCAAAATACCCATCTTTACTACGTAATCACACGGTTACCTATAATCCGTTTAACCAAAAGCGATTGCGAAAATATGTACGTACTGAATTATGAAACAGTGCATATGAGCACTTTCCGTAACTTTTTACTAAAGTTGCAACCTTGTTGTTACCTTTCCAATGGAGTATTCCTCCATTCTCCCTCAGCAGGGTGATGCCTGCACTGTCACAGTCAAATGCTAAGTAGTCTAGAATCTTACTTTTTGTCGGCAAAATCACCTGGAAAGCCTATTTTGACATGCAAAGAAATCTCCTGTGTACTGTCAAGATCAGCGATGTCAAAGGTGTCTAGTGACTAGGAAGGGTTTATCATAAACAAATTACAAAAACAAAACTTTGGACCTAAACTTACTGAGCAACTCTTCACACCCTTAAACATCAGGATGCATATTCTCCAAACTGTTCTTTACATGTTTCCTAAGGTGCTGACGAGGAGAATTTGTTTAACAGTAATGAGAAAGAAAGAACTTCTTCAGTTGATGATCATTTCCTTTATTCTCATGACCTTAAAGTTTGATTCAGGGGTGACATTGTAAGGAGAGATCAGATGTTACGTGTAGTTACCTTTCGGGGTAAAGTAAAAAGTACCCCACAGAAAAGTCAGAGCAAATAAGATCGCAATGGACTTATTATAACCAACAATGATGACGACACTCTGATAATAATGGTGGTGGTTTAACCATTTAACTCCCAAGATCTGATTGCTAATTCTCCCCTCTACCTGATATACATTTACTTGTAACTTTTTGTAGGTTTTTGATGTTAGATCAAGATAACAACTTCTTCCTGATAAGTTTGAGTATTCTTATTACCTGTTTGTTGGATAATGTGTAGATATTATTAGGTAAAGTTAATATAAGTTAATCACTTCTGGGAGTTTCTATTGTTTTACATCAATTTGTAACTTATCCCTCTAAAAGTGTTATTTGCTGCGGTTCTAACAAGAGCAGCAAATTATTGTCTTCAAGGTTATAACTTTTTGACAGTTGTCATGTAGACATGGGAATAAAATGGCGGGATTTAACTAAGGCAAATCACTCTAAGCTGACATCGCTGCTGGCATTGGTGCTTTCTTCTACAATACATTTCTTTTAATTTACACCAATTTTCTTTGCGTGTATTTAAATTTGATTGTAGGTGGTACGTAACAAATTTACAGTTTGTATTTTTATACTATAGTTTAACCTCTCTCCCTCGAGGCTCATGTTCAGTGTCTGGCTCTGCATTCGGGAGGGTTCAGGTTTCCTCCTCAGATGAAAAGGGGTTTTTCCTGACCAGCAGCAGGCACACATCTGTAAATTACACCAGTGATCATAAAACTGTACTCCAGAGTTTGTTGTCAACATTGTAATTTTTTCTTGTTGTTGTCTTTGCGGTATTTATGTGATGGTATAAATAAACGTGGACTGATGCTTGCTTTACGCTGAGCCTCTATCCAGTACAGATGTCAGTTTTCCTATTTTACAATGAGCAATTCACTGTTCCGATTGTCCACCATTTCGAAAATAGGGAATAGAGAAAACGCGATTATTATATCTCATCCCTTGACAGTTTCCATAGATTATCCAGAAAAAAGATTACAAGAAAACACAACGTATAAGCTAGAGGGTATAATCTTAGGAAAAAAAAGTTCTCTTAACAATTTACAAGGAACGGAGAAGCAATAAAAAGGCAGGATTGCAAGTTAGATTCTGAGAGGTGCAGTAAGAACAAGGAGCATGCCAATAAAAAGCATAACACACTGGGTTTGTGCCATACAAACGACATCAAACCCTGTGATAAGGTCATGGACTGTCTACTGGCGTGCTTGATGCTGTCCCTGTATCTGTGTACAGTTGGTTTGCGATCTGTTGAAGTTCTTTAATTCCCTGAAATGATCTTTCATACTTGTGTTGGACAAGAGATCGGTAAAAATACACAGCAAACCATGGCAACACAATGCATACAGGTACTAATACCACAGAAGCAGCCACTGCTGCAGGCTTACTGTGATTGTAAAACTTCACCCAACAGAGTTTTGCAATCTCTGCTAAAAAGAGAAGTGTTCCATGACCAGTTGAGAAAATCCATACAATTTCTAACATTATGGATGTTTCAAAACGAAAAGAAGTAAAGACATCGTTCATTTTCCATAGATGTCTCAAACAAATAAACATAATCAGACATCTCCTTTGAAAGATTCTCTTATTAATAAAACATAGGATATGCTGCTCTTAAAGACAAGCACCACTACTATTTGAAAATTTCGTGTTGAATACCGCTAATATTAAAAGAAACGAGAAGAGTTCCAATCAACGGGATGTGCTTTCTTGTAGGAGAACAATTTCCCATGATTTGCTTGCTTTGAAGAGAAAACGGATGAAGTTACTGCAATATCAGCCTGAAAAAACAATTTAATCTTTGATGGGGCTTGAACCTACTTTCGAGTCATTTGTAATCGAAGCCTTTTGATTTCGTAAAATGCAATTTTAAAATGTCATCATTTTGACTTTCAGTCCACAAGTCAATCGAGTATATAAGCTAAATTTAGGCCGTCCAGTTTTTACATGAAATGATTCTGAACTTACAGATCATCTAACTTTATCATGATTGCGTGCAATAGCTAATGTCCTTGCAGGCATGAACTAGAATATTATTAGAATATTTGCTGAAACAACGGAAGACATGTTTTTGACCTGTTACAGTGCAGGTGACTAAATCACCATTCATGTCGTAGAAAAGTGACGAAAGAGTGACCAACCTTTCAGCTTTATAGGATTTTCCGCTCAGAATGTGACCTGTATAGTATTGGCCGCTCGGGAAAAAGCACGAATGACGACATGCTTTACCATCAAAATACAACCATATCGATTTTTAACTCTATATATTATCTAACGCTGACGCGGGGAAAATCCTGATATGTCTATATATATTGGATACTCACTTGGGCTTCGAACCGTAGTTGGTTAAACTTAGCTTTAAGTCTTAAATTTAAATATTCCAGTTTTGGCCGATGGCTCATCAACTCGGTGATACAGGAAATGAAAGGCGCTGATGTCGAACGTTTCTTGAGCGTTACCAAATGTTTACTTTTGCACTCAGACTTGGGAAATGACATACGGTAATCCAATCAATGTAGCAACACAAGATCTCTGACCCAAATTTTTAATCCATTAAACTTCGTTTTCTGAGGATTGTTCAGACCCCCTTCCGTGATTCGATGAAACAGGCGAAGCAATTAAAGAGGCCAAATTTATTGGTAACAACATTATAAATGTTACAGTGCTAACAGCTAAATTTGAATCTTCAAAAGAGCTACATATGTTTCACATGAGCGAACTTGATCATCTCATTATGATTAAAATTAGGTCTGAGAAACGACAATTGGTCATTTAGGTGAAAGGACTGTGTACATAAAAAGTTCCTTTTAGACTTTAGCCGGTGATTAAGCAATATTAAAAAATTAAAAAAGCACAAAAGTAATAGATACAAAATATGTTAGAATAATAACAGGAAGTGCTCTTAATAAACTAATATTACACTAATCTTATCTTAGTATTGTAAAGAAATTGAGATCTAACTAAGCACCAATTATTTAAAACAAGGTCTAATACCTAGGTATAGGCAATTTACAGTCTTAGTATAATGGAAAGAAGTTTTGAGTTTGTAAAGGTAAAATATCCCAAACTTAAAGAGTTTTATACAAATACAAACAAATCCAGTAGTACTGCATAAGATGCCTACGTGCAGCTAGAAAGTTTTCAATATTGATTGATTTTGATTCACTACCTGACTTTTTCAGTTTTTCTGTTTTCTTTTCCATTCACGCTACTGAAAATTTTAAATAATAGAATTATTACTTGTTGACTCAAACTCTCCTAAGTAGAGAAACAATTCCGTGCTACCCTCGATTAAATGTCAAAAGCCTGTTGCCAAAAACGACTAACACAGCAACAAAATCAGAAAAAATCCATTCCCTAACCACTACCTTTTACCTTGGAGTTCAAAAATCAATCTCAAAGAGTACATAATGAATCACCAAATCGAGTCTTGTAAACATCCTTTTACAAATTATCAAACTGAATTCTTCTTTTTAAGAAAAAAAACTAATGCAGTCAACAAACCATTATGATATTAATACTCAACTGTGTGGATACAGAGCCATGTCCATTGAAAATCGTTTGTGCGTGTAATCTTCTTAGCTACAATTGGAGCGCACGTTGTAAAACATTGTTAAAAATTCAAGTGTCAACCTACAAATGTGACAAGGAGCTTTCACATGAAGTCAGTAAAATATTTAAAGAATCGAAAGATTAGTGATGCCACTATTATAACACTTCATAACATGCGGCTACTCAAATATCTGAACCCGATGATTGTGAAAGTCAGTAACAACTATCCTACCATCACTGAGGACTGCTAAAGAAGATGGTCCAGTAAATTGTCCTATCTTTTTTCCTTCTGAGCCAAATTTTCCTAGAAACTTTCCATTCACCTCAAACACCTGAATTCTGTGATTGTTTGCATCACAGACCATCAGGTGCTCAGCTTTGTTAATTGACAAATGGTAAGGTCCATTGAACTCTCCATCCCCTGTTCCACACTTTCCAAATTTGTACAGAAAATGTCCAGCTTTGTCAAAAACTTTGATACACTGTTCCGCAAAGTCTGACGCTATAAGATATTCCTTATACAGGATACAGTGAATGGGTGTAGAAAAGGAACCTTCAGAGCCTATACTACGGAGAAACTGGCCGTTACGGGAAAATAACTTAATTTTCTTATTTCCGCTATCAGCCACGATACAATTTCCGTCACTACCGATGGATAACCCGTAAGGATAGCTGAGTTGGTGATCAAGATTTCCCTCTCCACCAAACTTGCTCAGAAACTCCCCTCGCCCACTGAAAAGTTGAATTCGATGATTAGCTGAATCTGCTATGAAGATGATTCCGTTTTCATTACCGATTGCAACCCCTATAGGCGAGTGAAACTCTCCCTCTTTATCCCCCTTGGACCCAAATGATCTTAAGTAAGTTCCATCACTACTAAATACCTGGACCCTGTTGTTATCATTGTCAGCGACTAAAATTTCATCGCGTTCGTTCACTGCTACTCCCCAGGGACATCTAAAATCTTCCATGACCGAACCATATTTTCCGAAGGATAATACGGGTCTGAACTGTCTAGGTTTTACTTTAGTAGCAAAGGGACTGTTACGAATGTGCTCTCCATTGACCTTCACAGACACACGGCATTTTCCGGTGTCTTTTGCAAAATAGCTGATCTTGTAGCTACCATCTTTGTTATCCAGGACTCGAGTCTCCGTTGCACAGTCATAGCCATCCTGATTTTTGATCTCCACTGTTACATAGTCACGTTCTTCATAACATTGTTCTCCTTTAGCATTTCTTGTTGTCAACATTATGTTAGCTTCTAGTCCAATGGTCGGCTTACTGATTCCTTTTCCGGAGGCGCTCGACTCAGTTGGACTAGTAGGAAGTACTTTCACAAAGCCAATTCTGTCAGTCCATGCATGATCAAACAATCGTTGATTTCTCACAAATCCAAAATCTGCAATGCTTTGATTGCCAATGGGAGGATAGGCTGACTCAACTTGACCCTGGAATGTTACTTCTCGAATTTTGTTTGATTGTATGATTTCAGCACTAATGTTCCGTTGCAGAATTGCCTCAGTAGCTTCGATGCCTGTTTCAGTTATTTTCACTTGCTTTTCAATCTTACCTCTTCGTATCCTCAGCCGATGCATGGACTCTGCAGCTCTGTTGTCTAAGTCATCAAAGGTTTCTTGCTTTTGTGCCTCGATAACAGCCATCATGTTGTCTACAAACTGTTGCACGCTTTTCTTTACACTGGCGACATGTTCTTGAATTTTGGCGCAGTCCGAGTCAAGTCGAGCAATTTCACGTCTTTTCTCCAATGCTGTTTTCCTCTGATTTTCGATCGCAGACTTCGCTTGTAATTTTCTTTCATTTGCAGCTTCCTCCAAAAGCATCTTGGCGTGACCGTCATGAGTGGTGGCAACACACGAATGGCAAATTGCAACACGGCAATCTTTGCAGAAAAACTCCAATTCCTTACCCTCGTGGCCACGGCTGCGATAAAATACCGGTCGCTTCAAAACATTCTCAAAATCTTGGTCTTTAAAGTCTTTGAGCGCTAATACACGGTGTTCCTTATTCGCTTTTATTCCATTGTGATGAATGATGCAGTTAGCCTCGCACCAGAATGCACAACATTGGAAGCAGTAAAAGCTTTGGGAGCTGCTCTCTTCGCAATTCCCACACTTAACTCCAATAACACTGCACTCTTTGATGGCCAACACGTCAAGGAGACTGTTGATGCGAAAGTTAGTTGGAAGATCCTCAAGATTTCCACTTCTAGGAACATGAATCTCTTTCCGACATTCAGGGCATGTGATGATATTGTGGCGGCCACTCGTTCGAAGAATCTCGTTCAAACAATGCAGGCAAAAGACATGTAAACACGGCAGCGTTTTCGGATCAGTGAATGTGTTCATACACACAGAACAGGAGACCTCTTCATGAAGATTGTCTAGTAAGGTTTTGATATCCATGGCAAGATTCGGAGATAGAGAAAAATTACGACAGCGAGAAAAGCTAAAAGCGAAACCACCTCAAGCCACCTCAAGCGGAAGAATCTTAAAATTATTCATAAAATCAGAATCTGACTATCTGTTCTCTCCTCTAGTTGCCCCACATTTCCTTGTAAATAAGTCACGAGAATTTGGTGTTAGATCAGGACCACCAACGTCTACCTGATAAGTTTGAATATTCTCATTGCATGTTGGCTGGATAATGTATGGATATAACAGGGAGAAGTTACGTGTTAATTACTTCTGGGAGTTAAAGGTTAAGGCGCCGCGTCAGGTAATCAGCCGACTGCGGCCCGTAAACGGTCTGTTGAAGGGAAAGGTACGATTCTGTAAAGTGTAAAAATAAATGTTACAAGGAAGCAAGAGATAATAAACCGAAAGAAGGAAATAACTTGCGATCTATCAACAGTGATGAAAGGTATTGCGTAAACATGAAACTGCATGCACTATGGGAAAATGAAATTTGTGGCCACGGAATGAACAACTCCACGTCGTGTAGAAACAAAAACAATGCCGGAGTTTAACTCCTCAACGGTCAAATGACGTAAGTTGAAACTAAAATAATAAACAACTACATAAGTTTCACAATATTTGATATGAAGAAATAACAAACAACACAACGGAAATAGGACTATAAAACACTTACATTGTCACGGCCACAGGAAAGACCAATATTGATACTGCAAAATGCTATGGCCAAAAAATGGAAAAGGAGAAAGACAAACTAAACACAGCGGTACGCTATTGAACTGCGCTTAGAGCGAAAAACAAGAAGACAGGCGTATTGGTGATACATTTCTAAATATATCGATAAATTATGCGATGTAGCGATAAGGCGGAAATAAGGTGGCGATAAAAACAACGAAAAGAAAAAGGTGCTAATGAAACAATAAGTAAAAACGTTGGCTCGTTACAGGGTGCCAAGACTTAAATAATAAACTTTGAACACGTGGAAAAAAAAAAAATCCAACATGAAAAAAATGTCGCACTTAGAATTTGCAAAACACCTAATGGAATTTACGGTAAATGAAACCCGTGACCATGTAATAAATAGAGAATAATACATGGGTGCGCGTAGAGACGGAATTTCTCTTCGAGTGCTCAACTCGATAGCTCACGAGTGAGATGTCGCGTTGATCACGAGAAGAGAAATTCCATATCTATAAGTAATCATGTATTATTTTGTTTATCATATAGACCCAAGAGCCCTTTACTGACAAGCCGACTTAATTAATAAATGAAACTAAATGAATCGACAATCCCCAAATAGCAATCGTAGAGTGCGTTGGCGCTGACTCTTAAGATGGAAAAATGCGTTATAACTCTTATGCATCTTTCGTGCTCTCCAAACTTCCCGCGTGCTTCATATCTCGATGAACGTTCGCTGACGTATGAACCAATTGTTAATTGAATCATGATTACAAAAACAACAATGGTCGTAATTTTCAATTTACAAAACTCTCATTTATTGGCTTTGTCCTCACCGACAGAAGAAGTCTTTCAGGTAAACGGCCAAAATCGGCCAGTGGCAAACCTTCCAGTTGACGACTTTCATTCTCAGCCGCGAGAAATGCCAACACCAAAGTCACTGAATACTTAACTTTCGGTTTTTCTTTTGGTATATTGTTTTTTTCCCCTTCCAGGTAAGTTTGAACTTCACTTTCTGTCAGAAATACTGATTTTTTTAGTGTTTTAACCGCCACAATCCGAGAAAGTTCCGTCAAACTATCTTGTATCGAGAATCGTGAAGGCTTTGCCGTTCATTCGTCAACCTGACCGATTGGCGCCAAAGGCGAGTGACGTGTCAGCAGCTGATTGACTATATCAACACACGTGAAAAAATACGAAATTTTTCCACGTGTGTTGTTACAGCTTTCCCCAGGGCCAGAAATCCCTGTATAACACCGCAGTTTATGTGATAATATTTTTTTTTCAGTGGTTTCATTTAAAGATCAAGTCACGAGATCTGATAGGTATGTTCAGGTTTCTAATTCAATTGAGTAACGTCTCTACAATTCTTTTAGTTCTCTTAGGCCCGAAAAGAGGCAGGTGTACTTAGCTACGGCGAACTACAGAACCTGTGTGTAACTTGTGAGTGCAGAGGCGAGACAGTAATTTATGGACAGAATGCTGCCTGAGAGCAAAGGCTTTAAACTTTCTTGTTTACCTAGAGGTAAACAGTTATCAGATTTCTGTTTTTCCTCAAAGGCAAGTGTAATCATGATCCTCGAAAGTATTAGCACATGCAAACTTTGTTGTTTTTCAGATTTGCTGGAATTATGACTGGAATATGGAACATTCCTATGTGTAAAAGAACATTAATCGACTAAAAATCGTAATAGAAACAACCGAACTCTGAAGATGCTAGAGCTAGTGGATCAGCGACTAGTGCATATTTAAAGGTTAATTATGAAGAGCGACACCGTAAGTAGAAGGGCACCTCTCCGAATCATTCCACATGTGCCATAAGACGGGAATCAGAGCTCACTCCAAAGGCTCAACTACTTTCAGTGCTCATTAAAGGCGCATAACTACATCTCCTTGAAAAAACAAACAGACACACGCACCCACCCACACAACCCACACAACCCACACGCCCCGAATTTGCTCCAATGAATATCGAACGTTCGAAACGCTGGACACAGCACAGGTGGCCCAAGCTTACAAGACACGAAACTTACACAAATGTCACTGGTGCACAGGATCTCACGTATGAGATCTCACTCAATGTATGTGGATCTCCACATACATTGCAAACTTAAAGACATAAGAGGAGTAATAAAAGAGGCAGAAGATTCATTTCTTAATTAACAACAATCTTAGTAGATTTATAATCATTTTGTTAAGTTTTCCCCATTTTTTTTGCAACTTACATAGCAACAAAAGCCAGAGGTGAAAGAATTTTATAACAGATAAAACCTGACCTATGAATATGTGTCCTTAATGAAGAAAATCAGCAAAGCAATATATCCGTACCAAAATTTTAACTTAGACTGAAACTTATACACTAATTATAAACCTAAACTAAAACATGGAAATACCTATGGTACGACTGAGTACAAGTTGTTCAAAGAAGCCTGACTAGTGTATAGATTTGTATTGTAGAAATCAACCAATTGTGATCTGGAGAATCCTCTGGATCTATTTTGAAAGACTTGCCTAATGTCCAGCAAGAATTCAATTCATCAATTTTCTCACCAACTAAAAACCTGTTTGCTTCTTGCAGGCTACAATAATATTTACAAATGTTAGCAGACTCTGGTTTACCAGTAGATTTGTTTCTGTAATATAAAATGTGTCTGCATCATGTTAATAAATGTAATGTACGATAACTTAATAAATTTTGTATAAAAACCTACTTGATACTCTAGTAATCATTACCAATTCAAAAAAGGTATTCTGTTGATGCAGGTTCTGAATAAAGTAAAAGTAAATAATACTAATTCCTTTGGAAATGTAAAATTATAGTCAAAATAATGAGAAATACAGCTAAACAGAATAGACACAACCTCAGTTCCCAACCCATTTCAATCAATTTTTATCATACAAATACTCCCAATGTCCATGCATAAACCACTTTGATTCAATAGGCTGTAATTAATATATCACCTTGGTGATGGAAGTAAATGAACCAAATCACACTAAGTTTGCAAAATCAGTCATACTAGTCATAGTAAACAAATACATAAAGCCTTCCCTGATTTAGTAAATTTCCTGAGAATAAACAGTGTTACAAAACACTTAAGAACTATTCAGAGTTCTGTGCTAAGTATTGAAGAAATTTTGCATTTCCATGCTTAAGTGTTATATGGGAGTCCTTACTCATATAAAAACTCAAATGATTGCATTCCATGTAATGATTTAAAACTCTTCCACATTAATACAAAAAAAGTACCACACAGAAAAGACAGAGCAAATAAGATCACAAAGCACTTATGATGACCAACAATGATGACACACTGATAATACTGGTGGTGGTTTAACCATTTAACTCCCAAGATCTCATTCTTAATTCTTTGCTCTATCTGCTACACATTTCCTTGTAACTTTTTGTCCGTTTTTTTTATGTTAAATCAAGATAACAACTTCTTCCTGATAAGTTTGAGTATTCTTATTACCTATTTGCTGGATAATGTGTGGATATTATTAGGTAAAGTTAATATAAGTTAATCACTTCTGGGAATTTCAATTCTTTTAAATCAATTTGTAACTTACCCCTCCAAAAGTCATTATCAGGTCTCTTCCCTTCACAGTTTCAATAGATTATCCAGAAAAAGGATTACAAGAAAACACAACATATAAGCTAAAGGGTATTATTTTGGTATCAAAATTCTCCTAACAATTTACAAGTAACAGAGAAGCAGTAAAAAGGGAGGATTACAAGTTAGGTTTTGGGAGGTGCAGTAAGAATAAGGTGCATCCAATAAAAAGTGTAACACACTGGGTTTTTGTGATACAAATAATCTCAAACCCCATGATTAGGACATGGACTGCCTGCTGGTGAGCTTGGTACTGTCCCTGTATCTGTGTGCAGTTAGTTTGTAATCTGTTGAGAAAGATCTCTCCCTGAAAAGATCTTTCATACTTGTGTTGGACAAGAGATCAGTAAAAATGCACAGCAAACCATACAAACACAGTTCAGTTCAGATAATTCCATGTAATTTCAATGTGTGTGAAGTTTTTCATGAGGAGAATTGCATTCAATTTAGGTGCCTTGTTGATGAATATTTGCCATGCCATCAATATTTGGAAAAATATAGACAGATATCATAAGTGCAAAGACATGAACTGAGATCAGAATGGTAGTCATCACACTGAATGCTATCAAAAGTCCTTCTGGTATACCTGATTCTAACTGAATTTCCACCATGGCTACCTAAACAGGGAAAGGTCCTGAAAGAACAGAAAATACATTGAAGTGTTCTGTCCAAGGATAATACAGCAACAATAATTTATACACACATGGTGAGATAATCATCAAAGTTTTGCATATACATATGGATACTCTTCCCTATGCTCAAAACCCTTTTCCTTTTCAATTCTTTTTTCCCAAAAAGGTGCTACATTAAACACCCAAACAAAATAAAACCGCTAGAATACACCCTCCTTTGAGTAACTATCCATGAAAAGTCTAGTCATTAAGCACAGCAGTAACATTTTCTTACCACTTTCTCTTCAAGGGCACCAGATGACCATTATACATGATGGAATATGGAAATGAGCTTCCTACTCCCCTATTTATATCTGGCTAAAAATATTGTATCTCCATAGGACAGAGTATCCCTTCATGTAACCCATGATAGGTTGCATCCCCTATCCTGGCTCCATTTAATCTTTTTAACTCCCAAGATCTGATTGTTAATTCTCTCCTTTTGCTGTCACACATTTCCTTGTAAATTGGTTATGAGAATTTGGTGTTAGTTCAAGATAACAACTTTAACCAGATAATTTTGATTATTCTCCTTACATGCCTGCTGAATTATGTGTAGATATTTTAGAAAACAAGTCGC